CCTAACCTAACCTAACCTAACCTAACCTAACCTAACCTAACCTAACCTAACCTAACCTAACCTAACCTATTAGTTTGTAACTCAATACAGTTTGGCTCTTAGTATATAATTACCAGCGGTACAGCTTGAAATCTCTATTTTTTTTCTCTAGACAGTTTAGTTCGCAAGCACGGCCCCTTCGGTATCTAACAATTACGCGGACGGCGCCCTGAAAAAGTGGACATTGCTTAAATTGAGTAAACCTTTCACCCTGTTGAAATTACTGGCACACACACGTTTTGGATATCTTCAATGAATGATATAAAATGAACAGAGAAGGAATTAGTTGCTTGATTTTGATTCAGATTGCTTTTCTTCAGGAATATTGAGCAAATAATCATACTCGACATATGGCTTCTTGTACAGCTTGCCTGTAGGTACTATGAAGGTGGGATCTAAGTGATTGGGCCGCTGTTCACAAACATCAAAGCTAAGGAAGTTCCATAAGGTGATCGGAAGTGTAAGCTAATGCAGTATCGATTCTGTCCAGGTGAATTCACGCTGGCACATTAAGTACCAGCGAATTTGCACTTTGTTATTAGGATCATAAAAATATTTTGGGGACCAATCTACGTGTTGGTAAAATATGTTCTTAAGTGTAAAAACCATTTGGCGAGGTTCTGATTTGAGTGCAAGATGGTAGGTAATGTAGTATAATGAAATTACCTAGCTTGTATCAGAAATAAATAAAAAATTAACGAAAACCTATATGAAACTTCTTGCTTTGATAGACATCCTTTAGTACTTCTTTGTTATCAAATATTCTAGCTAGCCAATTTGAGTTATCTTATTTACGTCATCATTCGAAAGTGAGAATCTTTCACTTGATAATGCTGCACCTCGAGTAGAAAAATGGAATTGCTATAGTTCGTGTAGCAAAGCCATTATACGAAAATGATACTAATTTGTTAGGGAGGTACTCGTATCTAGCGACAAACAGTGATCTTATTCGAACTGCGATGTCAAAACTTAGGGAATTCTCTTACCATGTCGTACCCAATGCATACACTGTCCTAGATGTAATGAACGTATGTTCGTAGAACAACTCCAATTTGATAGCCTGAGTAATCTGTTTTATAGCGTGGTTATGACCCATTTCTTCTTGAGGTTAGATTGATTATCAAGCATAACACTCTTTTCATTCCTTGAAAGTGTGTTAAAGTGCTCAAGCCTTCCTCGTAGCACTGCCCGCTGCCTACGTAACGAAATACTGAATCCGATTCTATCTATGAGGCGTAAACAATGTTTAAGAAGGACTCAGAAGGTGATCGCTAGTAAACTATTAGGTCAATTGCGCGAAATCCCTGTAAGCAAGCGTACCAAAACCGACGTAGCATGCAAGTAGGCCAATAATACACACATCCAATAAAGTTCTTCTCGGTAGTCCTTTCAGCAACGTGACTTGTAGGAAAGGTCTTAATCGTGACAAGTCTATCGAGCATATATATTTGGTACTTATTTCTTGAGCAGAGGTAAACAGCTCCTGCACGACTTGAATTATAAAGTGAGGCTAAACAATGTTCATGTATATTTTTCACAATGATGTGTTGTGACTTGTATGATTAAAACTTGAAAGGGGTGTGTCTTAGATATGGTCGTACTCGATCCAAGGGAGGCCTAACTAAAGTTTCGATTTACTCAAAGGAGTGACGAAGTTATGGCTTAAGAGCTTCCGCACTTATCTGGATCAAAGGCGCAACATGTACTTTTCATGTATAAGGGACACGGTAATTCTGCTCTCATGTATAAAAATTGTCTTCAGCATCGGCTTCACACCTAATTTTCCCACTCAGGTTCAAACAAGTCTCAGTCAGCGACTGTATTTTCAACCTCAACGTTTTTGAAAGATTTAGTCGTCATTGCATTGACCCATGCACTTGCTACAGTATACATCCCATACGTGTTGTACAAGGCGAGAGCTGACACAATAGCAAAAACGTATGCACTCGTACAGATTTTTCTACTCTCTGTCCCATACAACCATATTTCGCTTGATCCACAAGAGCCGTAACGCTTCTCCATTGTCTTTAGGGATCCCTTGTCTTTCAATATTTTTTTTTTAGCTTCATTCAGTAATGCTGCGTTGCTAATTGATGATAAAAGTAGGATTGTAAAAATAACAAAGAGGTATTGCAGAAAACCTCCTTTCAAGAATGAGGTCGCCACGTTCATTTTATTTCTAAGAAAACTGCGTTTATGTTGTTCTGGTGGTCGTGGTTGAATTTAAGGGAGATGTCGAACATTATTGATATTACATAAACCAGATGTCACAATAATCGGTTTAAATAAGTGCAAGCCTATCTTGAATTGAAATTATGATTGATTTCAATGGTATCAACGGAAGATTCGTGAGAAGGAGTTGCCGTTGAGACTCGAGTTTGTTAGTGTCAATTTCACTTACGCCTCAGAGGTGGAACAGGATTAAGGAGAAGCAGTGTTACAGATAAGCTCGCGGTAATTTATCAAGGGGATTTGCATTAGAATTCGATTCGTACTAGGTCGAATGCTCGGGGACACCTAAGCTTTACAAGCCGGGTTTACACGTCGTAACTGACTACACATGCAATGTGCTTTGGTGATCTCGCGTAACCGCAAGTAAAAGGGGAACGCAAATTACCAAGACATTTTACGGCACAGAAAAAAAAAAGCTTTCAGCTAACTCAGTAAGCAAACGAAATTATCGTGAAATAATAAGCCCTGGTAATATACATATATATTGATTTCATCATCATAATCACATAAGGAGGATATATAATTTTACTGCTTATTAGTCTACCAGAACTATGCAACTTAGTGAAAAATGTGTTGGGTTTGGATTTACTATAGCATCGTTTTAATTTGTTCCCATCTATAGAAACTGTCTGAACCGTTACACCACTCTCGACAGTTGCTAGGACGAATAGTGCCAAGGTGTAAGCCAACAAGTCTATCACTTATCTGGAGAATGCTATTAATTTCATAACCTTGTGCTTTTGTATTGTAAGTATATTTCTCTAAATAAAAAGTATAACCGGCTTTGTCGATAAATGGCAAATACTTTGCAGCTCTGGTAAGCAATGTAGCTACAAATCTGCTATCCATAAATAATACTCTTTTTACAGTATATTTAAATATACCCGAAAATACATTGTATATATCTGAGGCTGGTGTACAGAAGGGCACAATGGATCGGATGACGCTTAGTCCATGTTATCAGGGTAATTAATAACAACAAGGTTCATGAGACATTGCAGGATTTTGTTTCATTGAAACATCTTTACATCTTTACATAGTTATTATTTATCTGATGATATGAATATGTTTTATACTGGTGGATAATCCTCTTACAACATCGTCTTTTTACATATGTTTGATTGTTCACATTTACCTCGTTTTGCCCTTATCATACCTTTATCTTTCCGAGCTACTACATAAAATACGCCAACTCCGTTAAGTTATTGAGTGTAATAACAGAGTACTTGAAATATGTCCAGGATATTTACTATTAATGACGATGCTTGAACCATTCTATCAAATTCAGTTGGCACAAACTCCTTTGATAAAGTCTGGATTATAATAATGACAACTTGCAACGTTTTCATACTATCCCCTGGTCTTCCGTTGAAAATATCTCAATCGTAAGGTCACAATAACTACCAAATATGGTAGTCGCCTAGTCGAATCTAGGCAGCTTGGATGGAAACACTATAATATAGCTTGGAACTTTACCGATGTTTCAACTTTTTCGTCGCTTTTGAAACACTAATATCCGGTATACCAGATGTAAAGGAGGTTACTATAACATACGGCCCTAGTTATGAAAATACAATGGTTGTACCTATGTAAGCCGCATAATACTTCAACCGTAAGATATTTTTCTGAACCTTCCTATATACTATATAAAAGGAACAATTTAGCGGTGTTATGTGAATTCGACGTGTACAATCTCGGAGTGTAAGGCATCATCAAGGAGTATGTGTGTATGAAGATGAATCATGGACGCCACAAACAATATCATGATCCGGGTGAATTATTTCGGTTCATTTAATCGCATAAAAATGCTATTACTTATGATGCCTCGCGGTAATAGTCATTCTAGGTTTTTTCATAATGATTATTAGTTTGCGTCATCAATTTATATCGCTAGATCCTAAACCAACCTTTTTTGTTCATTATAAATATCCCTTGATTCCTTACTATTTTAATTTTTCCCCGTTCTTATGCTCTTTAAATTATTCTTTTTCATCAATTTTTGTAAACAGAAGTAACTTTTCAGTATTGAATACTTCATCAAAATATTATGATAAAGTTTCTTTCTAAATTTAACACCTAATAGGTATTTTTGTGTATACTAATATTGTATCCTTGCAGTTTCCTTAAACTATTGAGAAAAGGTAAGACAGACCCTCACTTCGTTGTATTCCTAGAAATGAAAAGCATCCACTGTAAATCAGTTTATTGGATTTAGTACGTAAAATAACTGTAAAATACTGATAGACAGACAATCGATTTGACTTAGAATGATGTTGAAAACTAAATTAAACTCTGTCATAATTCAGAAAATTGAAGTAATGAGAAATAGTTTCATTATGGTAAAGTATAGTCCCGGTTTGAATTAGGTCCCAGGATATTCTATTAGGTGATGCCACTATCTAATTCAAGGTATTTCATATGTACAGCTTTCAAACCTATACCGGTATGATTGCCCTTGAGCCAAATTACGACGGTGATCTTAATAATACAGTACAAATACAGAAGGTGAACAGCTATACTTGTTAAATAAAATAAAAAATAACTGTTTCATTCCGGGTTTTATCTTCTAATGATACGACCATCACGATTATTATACACTACAAGAAATATTCAAAATATTCACAAGATGGCATTCAATTATCCAAATGTTAGACGCGACGAAACTAAATTCACTGATTACAAGTCAGAAAAACGAGGCGTTGTGAGAGTACCAGACCCATACCATTGGTTAGAAACACCGCCAGCCCAATCAAAGGAGAGCGCAGAGTTCGTAGATGCTCAGAATAATTTATTTAATGCATACATGGAGGATGTAAAGTACAAAGAGGAATTCAAAACAGCTTTAACTCAAAATATGAGTTATCCAAAATTCAGTGCACCATCTTTGAAAAAAAATGGCATCGCTTACTGGTCTGAAAATGCTGGTCTGCAGCCACATGCAGTCATACGATCATCTAAGCAACTTAGTAGTAATGAGAGCAACGTATTTTTTGACCCTAACCAATTGTCTGATGATAAAACGGCAAGTTTAGCTACAGCTGCTTTTTCTAAAACTGCAAAGTACTTTGGTTATGGTATATCAAGATCTGGTAGTGACTGGTGCACTTTGTATGTGCGGCCAAGTGATTCACCATTCACAGAAAAGAGTGGTTCACATGAAACTGACAAGGAAAGATTCTCTGACGAAATAAGATACGTTAAATTTAGCAGTATTGGGTGGTTAGGGGATTCTGGTTTTTTTTATCAACGTTATGATGTTACAGAAGGAGCCCATGGTGCAGCCCACGAAGATGTAGCTGGTTTAGAGACAGATGCGAATGAAAATGCGAAACTGTATTATCACAAAGTCAATACTCCACAATCTGAAGACAAGCTCGTCCTTGAGGACCCACAAAATCCGACACATATGTGGTCTGCTAGCACCACCGATGATGGTAGGTTCCTTGTCGTTACTGTGGCCAAAGATACAAGTAGAAGGAATTTACTTAAGGTGGCCGATCTTAATGATTCACGCAACGCCGAAATTTCGTCAAATATGTGCTGGCTAGATATAATCAGCGATTTCAAGCATGAGTATGATGTCATTGACAACGATGACAGCAAACTTTATATCCACACGAATGAGGAGGCAGACAACTACAAGATCAAGACCTTTGATATCGCATCTAACGTATGGAGTGAGCTTGTATCCGAAGAAGATGGTGTTCTCGTTGAAGCTCAGATCGTCAATAGTGACAAGCTCGTCGCTGTATATACGGTGTGTATATTCCAAATGTAGTACTTTTCTGACTTCTTCAGCGCGACGTGAAAAGCGAGTTGATTGTCAGATCATTACGTGATGGTTCTCATTTATACAGACCTTTTGATAAGTTTACTGGATCTATCAATCAGGTCACTGGCGAACGTGATCATACCAAAATTTATCTTAGCACTACATCCTACACTACTCCAGGAGAAGTTTTGTGTTTTGATTTTGAAGAACTTGAAAAGCGCAAATGCATTGACCAAGCTTCCACGGTTTTCCGCTCAGCTGAGGTTAATGGTTTAGATCCTAAAGAATTTACCACAGAACAGCATTTCGCCCAGTCACCTGATGGTACAAAGATACCCGTATTCATCACCCGTCATAAAGACACACCAAAGGATGCACCATTTTTCCTATATGGATATGGTGGTTTTTCTATCAGTTTGCTCCCTTTCTTTTCGCCATCTGCGCTCACATTTGTCAAGCACTTTAGAGCAGGCCTAGCAGTTGCTAATATTCGAGGAGGTGGTGAGTATGGTGAGAGGTGGCACCAAGCTGGTACAAAGGAGCGTAAACAAAATTGTTTCGACGACTTCCTTGCATCTGCTAACTATCTGGTTGATAACGGCTTTGCAAGGAAGGGTTCAATCATCGCCAACGGAGGTAGCAACGGAGGGCTTCTTGCTGCTGTAGTTGCTCAACAAGACAAGATGGATCTAATTGGCGTGTCAATAGTTGACGTCGGTGTGCTGGACATGCTCAAATTCCACCTTTGGACTATCGGTCGTGCGTGGTGCTCCGACTATGGAAATGCTGAGGAAGCTAATGACTTTGACTACCTATACGAGTACTCTCCGTTACATCAAGCTGCTCTGGCTCAGGAGAAAATCTACCCTTCTATGCTTCTCACTTCAGCCGCGCACGATGACCGAGTTGTAAGCTGTCATACTACAAAAATGATAGCACAATTGCAACATACTCAATCAGAAAAGATCAAGTTAGCAAGACTGGAAACCAAGGCTGGCCACGGTGCTGGTAAATCAACAGAAATGCGTATAGCTGAAGCAACTGACAAATACACATTTGCTGCTCATGAACTTGGATTAAAATGGTTTAACTAAGTAATAAGCATTCGCTGAAATTTATTTTTCTGTAATACTAGACTTACATGGTAGTTTATCAGCCATTACAACTGATCATGAGATTTGTGATAAACCTAACTTACGATTTCAGTATCAAAATAAAATTTAAAGTCGACAGAGATAATAATCTTCAGATATACATATAAACTGCTATGCACATACATAGCAAGCTACAACTAATATCAATCATAGCACATTCCATTGAGCTTGTGCTTGAGAATAACCTTTGCACAATAGTGCAATACAGTAATCAGCAAATGATTGATCGACTTCCACGTTGATGTCTTGCGTTGACCCCGCTTATTCATATCTCCGGTCGGAAAATGTACGGGGAGCGAGTTTCGATCAGAATAAGATAGTTTCATTCTAGACACAGTCTTCAAGGGCACTGACCAATAAAGAGGATATAATCCGACGTCATAAATTATCCCAGGCACTGACGCTCACTGCGTATTGGGATCTTGACACTGCGCACGGGCCTCTGGCTAAATGAAACAACCAGGCGTAGAAAAATTAGCGAATGTCAGTGCGTACCATAATACTTCGCGACATTCCATAAACGTTTATTTAGGTGAACATTCTTGACATTACTTCAGCAAACGAAGTAAAGTCGGCATTCGACTGAAGAACTTTTTAGAGGTGCATAACTCGTTTTAAATTGACTTTCAAGATCCAGATAAACTAGAATATGGGTTATCAACCGGACTATGAAAATCCCGCATTGCAGGCGTTGGCTGCTGATATGCACGCTAATCTTGGTTGCTATTGTAAGTGACATCCAATACCTAGCTGATTTCTCATATAATCTAGTGATTGGATGTGTGCTCAATCTTATTTTAATGGTAAGACAAGCAATATGCGCTATTTGTCTTTCTAATTAGAATTAGGCTATCCTAGGAATGCAATGTCTAGACTACTACAGTGAGTGATTTAACGTCAGTTAGACCCTCCTGACATTATTTTAGAGTTGTGAGTATATCGAATTTTACGATCGTACACTTCTTATAAGCACAATCAGCTTTCCCAATGAGTAAGTGGATATACAGCCGATGATCCTAATTAATAGGGCAGCTCTAAACTCAACAAGGGCGTTGTAGGTGTTTTATTCGTAGCGGGGTTTTTTCAGAGTGCATGTTTCTTGTGAGTGAAAATCCACCGTAGTCAGTACCCTTACCGGTTCCACCAGTGAGATGCTCTATCACCCATTTATCAACGGTTTCGGAGATCTTAGAGTTTGGAATGATACCAGATGGACTTGGTGGTCTGAGCCTGTTGTCTCGTCGATCATTGCTGTCTTTTGTCAAGCATTCTTCTTGAACAGATGCTGGAAAGTCACAAAATCGTGGATTGTCTTGATTGTTGCGCTTACTGGTATGGTTGCAGCAATTGCTTTTGGTGTTGCATGCACGTACTATTTGGCAAAATTTGTTGACTTCACAAACTCCAACTTCATCGAATCCAAGATCTGCGCAAGCGCCTGGCTAGCTTTCTCGACTGCAACGGATATATGGATTTCAGTCTTCTTGGTTATACATCTTTACCGTGAAAGAAAGAGACATGCTGGATTCTCGACCACAGACCGCATTATCGCATCTGTTTTGGCATACACCCTTAAGACAGCTTCATTAACAAGTATCTGGGTGGTTATCAACTTGATTCTTTATTGCGGTGTTACCACGAATTTTGCGTGGAGTATCTTCCAGTTCAATATGGGTAAGGTTTACAGGTAGGTTGTTGCTGTATCTGACAATTTCTACTAAAACTTCATTACAGTATCTCTGTGCTTTACACATTGCTCTCAAGAATTGATGTTCGTAAGATTCTTTCCGTGCACAATGTTCAAGTCAGTTCATCGAGAGGGAGATCAAACGACGTTGATCACGCAAACTCCGCCATACACATTAGAACAGAGGTCGAGCGTGATTATGAGCTGGACGACAAAACAGTCCCACCTAAACTGCAAATCGCTCCACCATTACAAAGGGAGACTTCGAGATCAACAGCAAGATACTCTGATTCTGAACCAGACGCAGAACTTGGTTTCCATCACAGAGGCCCACAGGATTCAATCGTCGATGACGATCGCTCAACTCGTGCTCTCAGATACAATGCAAATAGTCCATTCTAGAGCAATACCATAACTTATGAACGCAGTAATCCTCTTTACACCAACAGTAGCTTATTTCAGCACTTTCTCGTTACTATTCCACCTTTTTGTAGTTTATCTTTTGTATCATCTTCGTTAAAATCGTATAAATCAAGATTGTTAGTAAACGTCATTTGTTTTCATTTGTTTCGTTTTCATTGCTTGACATCTTATTTGTTTAGCCGCTATCAAATCGGCATCTACATGAGGTCACCATTTTTTGACACCGGCAGGTAATGAAGGACGGATCTTTTGAAATGACCAACCACTCAATTCAAGTGTTCAGCATTTTGCACGTGTGTCAAATGTTATCATCCATAGTGTGAAATTGCTTGAACCAGGTTTACGATACCCCACGCGGACACGCAACATGAGCTAATGATTTAAAGAGACTATAACGTTCTAATACAAGACTGGCTAAAATATCTTGAGTGCATATCGCAGTACGTACCCATTACTCAGATCCTAATGATTCAGGGACCTTTCATGGGAAGGTTTGACATGCCGAAAGGCTGGGATGAGGACGGCGTGAGTAAAGATATCAGCGACAAAAGTGTGTATGTTTGTATCTAGGACTAATCATTTCTTTACCCAATTTAGACATTCTTCTCTGGTGAATCAGGTGGAGACAAGTACCCAGGTAAAAGAACAGTTCGGCTGCGTTTTGTGTAGTTTAAAAAGGTTAGGTTGCTTAATAGTGTTTGTAATCTTCATTTTTGGAAATTTCATTTTGAATTCAGCATTTGAATGCGCAGGAAATATTTGGTATGCATCGATTACCAACGGCCAAAAATCCTTTTTGACAGTTATTCTAATTAATTAGAAGAACTCCGCATAGGTACAAAACTCGTTCAAAGAAGACTTTCAAGACCCTGCTATAGTATATTATGGGTTATCAACCAGATTATGACAATCCCGCATTGCAAGCGTTAGCTAGCGATATGCACGCTAACCTTGGTTGTTATTGTGAGTGTATATTTAAAAGTTTGCAACATTCTTATCTTTTCAGTAATTGGATGTGTACTCAACCTCATCCTGATGGTAAGACAAGCATTATGTGCCATATGTTTTGCTAAATTATTTAGGCTATTCTGGGAATGCAATGTCTAGATTATTACAGTAAGTCTAATTTATCTCGGGAAAACCTTCTTAACATCACCCTAGAGTTGTGAGTATATAAGGTCAAACCGAATTGCCTTCTTATAAGCACACCCAGCTTTCCAAATGAGTAGGTCATTTCCATTGTAAACATAACCCGCTGACGTGAACTAGCTCGCAAATTAACAAAGGTGTCGTCGGTTTCCTCTTCATCACTGGTCTTTTCCAGAGTGCATGTTTCTTGCAAGTATGACGTACTCTGCACACAACACGCTAACAAACCTCGCCAGCGAGATGCTTTATCACCCATTCATCAACGGCTTTGGAGATCTCAGAGTCTGGGACGACACTAGATGGACGTGGTGGTCAGAGCCAGTTGTCTCATCCGTCATTGCTGTCTTGTGTCAAGCATTCTTCTTGAATAGATGTTGGAGAGTCACAAAATCCTGGGCAGTCCTTGTTGTCGCTTTGATCGGTATGACTGCAGCAATCGGTTTCGGTATTGCCTGCACATACTTCCTTTCGGTCTACGTCTACTTTACAAACTCTAACGCTATCGCATCCAAAATCTGCGCAAGTTCATGGCTAGCTTTCTCAACTGCGACAGATATTTGGATTTCCATGTTCTTGGTTATCCATTTGGCTCGTGAAAGAAAACGCCATACTGGATTCTCGACAACAGACCGCATTATCGCATCTGTTCTAGCATACACCCTTAAGACAGCTTCATTAACAAGTATCTGGGTGGTTATCAACTTGATTCTTTATTGTGGTGTTACCACGAATTTTGCGTGGAGTATCTTCCAGTTCAATATGGGTAAGGTTTACAGGTGGGTTATTGCTGTATCTGAAAATTTTCCATTGATCTTCATTACAGTATCTCAGTACTTTACACATTACTCTCCAGAATTGATGTCCGTAAGATTCTCTCCGTGCACAACGTACAAGTTAGTTCCTCAAAAGGCCGTACTGCTGATAATGTGCACACCAGCTCCGCTATCCACATCCGTACGGAAGTTGAACGTGACTATGAACTTGACGACAAAGCGATTTCATCAAGACTTTCACCAATCGCACCACCGCTTCACAGGGATGCATCCTCGTCGAACAATGTTTCGGATTCTGAAGCAGACGCTGAGCTCGGTTTTGGTCACAAAGGACCACAGGATTCTATTGTTGATGACGATCGTTCAACTAGAGCTTTGAGGTTAAACACCAACGCGCCATTTTAAGTAAGACTTTAGCGATGCGCCACCGATAATTTTACAATACCAACGTAAACACGACAATAACCTAAGAAACCCCGTTCCATTGACTTTCTAGTTTTGTACTTGTATTAATTGTAACGCGTCTACTCTTGACGAGAAATTAATGAATTAATTTAATGAATTAGTGAGATTAGGAGGAAAGATATGCTATATATTATTATCATAGTCTGCCCATAAGTTGAAACCAGATTGGCTAAACAGGCTAAACTATCAGCATAATTCACGTCATATATGATGTAGTTTTCGGATTAGAAGTTAACGTCCAAGTGGAAAAATGACAACGCTACCAAACACAAGTGTATTCCAAGCAAGCGAAAGAAGCGATAATGTGCATGATGGTGTGTATCTTCTTCTCCTTTCGCGTGGCTAACAGAAGAAGTTCCGATGAGAGTAATCAACAGACCATTTCCTCCAGAGCTCGATGAAGCCAAGGTAGAACGTTTCATGAGGGACTACGAGGTAAGTAAGGGTGGTATATTATAATGTTTGCTCACATTTCATTCAGGAAGGAGATACATTTACACCAATTGAAATTTGGAGGGCGAGAAACGCCCAAGGACAATCGTTTTATTTCTCTTTTGGTGGATGCCACAGGTGTGTTGAGTTCTATCTAATTGAAAATTCTCACTTCGGATTTAGATACGAAGCAGCTAAACGACTGAAGAGAGAGACGATCAGATCACGTATAGTGGATGTACCAAGTACTACAATACGAGCCCACCTTGGTACTAGCTCTCCTGTATAGATTCTCGATATAATCACAAAATTCACGTGAAATTCGTCTTCAAATTTAAATAGAGAAAATCGTATTTCTATCTTAACCAAAACGAGCGTGATAAATTGTTGAGAATGTGAAGCGGTAGCCGCAAGGCAGCTGCTAATGCTTTCTTTTAACCCAGACACACGCCTATATTAATAAAATACGTGCAATTAAAACAACCGCTTCGAGGACTTTGCTCCCAAGACGAGGGGTCACCTGCTTGACACGCACATTTCAATTTGTAACATTTGTTGTATATTTATATAGATGATTGATTATACCGTATTAAGCACTGCGATGGATGCTCTGCGATGTGGGGTGTGCTTTGAATTGAAGCATACTCTAGATAAACACACCAGACTATATTAAATTAATGAATATACTTTATTAAATACCAACCTCTTCCCTAATTTCTAATTATCTCGACCGGCTTCACTATCAAGCTTATTACCCGAGCACCTTCTACAATCACGGTCACCATCAAAATAGAGATGGACGACTACCAACCAGAAATGCAGGAATTTGAGGATTATAGTTATCAATATACCGAAGATGATAGCAATAGAAAGCGCAGCCAGCATTCAGATATCGATGACGACGCTACAAAGAAACGTAGGACTCAGCAGCCACAACGTAGGCTTAATAAGGACGGTTCAGAAAAACCAAAACTCAGTAGGGGTAGCAGAGCATGTTTGGTTTGTAGGCGGGTAAAAATGCGCTGCATCGGTGCAAGCGAGGGTGTCAAATGCAAGAGATGCTCGAACGGCGGTCATGAATGCATTTTTGAAGAATCTAACCGCGGTAGACGCAGTACAAAGAAATCGGATCAATTGTCTAGTTCCTTAAAGAGTATGGGTGAAACACTCGGCGGTGTCCTCAAGAATATGGCACCAGGTACACCGCCCTCTGAACAATCTCCTTACAGTCAATTTAGCCCAGCGAATTCTGCAGAAGCTAGCACGTCTAGACTTGCAGTACCGCCATATAGTGTGAATAGCATGGACAGCCAGACACAACCATCAATGAGCAACTATGGTCGACCAATGCTAAACCATCAAGCGGTAAAAACACTAGAGAAGTTAATGGGAGGCACACAGGCTCAACAAATTGAAGCAGCCAGCTGGATCATGCAATTTCAAGAATCGGTCGTTCATTTCAACAATCAAATTCTCGATCAGAACCTTAAGATGGAGCGATTGCAGAGCAAGCAGCTCCCACAACCAGGGGGTCATCTCAGCAAAGGAGTTACGCCACTAGATCAGCTCGTCAGTGCATTTCAAGTTAGCTCTCCTAAGCTCGGAAGCACACTTGAAAGACAAGAATCTACGGCAGCACCAATGTCATTCCCAACTCCAGCATATAACAGACAAGCATCTTTCGATAAGCCTTTCGATAGACCGGCTGCAATTGACAAATTAAAACTACCACAAAATGTGCCTCCGCAGTCACCAAAGCTTCATAGCTTACCTGATGATACATTAAATCCGCTTGGTTTACTAGCGGAAGCTAGCCTCAACAATAGGAGATACACTATGCGAAATTCTCAACGACCTGATTTAACTACGATTCTCAACAATAATGAGGAGAAAGATGAAAATGGCACTAAAATAAGTGAGAAAGAGAGAAATGAGCAGGTAGAAGCTTTAGTTAAGGCACAAAATTTAGAGGGAATCGGTGTAGCATCGGAAGAGTATTACAGACCAGGTGAGAGCTTTTAAACGAGCTTTCTTTTTACTTCTACTAACACTCAAATCAGGTCCAATGTCTATGTTACCATTGCGCAGGATTTTCATTGAGCGTCAAGTCAGACCAGAGATTTTGTCATTTTGCACTGAGGACAATATTAAAGATCTGTTTACTATATTTTATAGACATCTAAATAGTAAGCATTTTATCCCCAGGAGATTTAATTACTTACACCTACAATAGTGCATACATATATACTAGATGAGGATTTCCATACTCCATCACTTGTTGCGTCAAGATCACCATTCCTACTTACAGCCATATGTGCGGTTTCTTCGAAATTTTACGATAAGGAACCGGCTTTACAAGCAAAATTAAATGCAGTAGCACGTAAACTTGCATTTGACGTCCCTTCACAAGGTTTTAAGAGTGTAGAGATTGTAATGGCATATCTCATACTTGTATATTGGGGAGTTGGACCATCTCGACGTTTTGAAGAAGATAAAACTTGGTTATTACTTGGTTTGGCGCTGCGCGTTGCCACAGATTTAAACTTACATCGCAAATCATCACTTAGTAGTATGCCAGGTATAAATGATGTCCAAAGAGAACAAGAATTGAGATGTAGAGAAAGAATATGGATTTTATGTTATATCACGGATCGTTCACTTTCATCTCAAATGGGTAAACCTTCTTCTATCAGTTTAAGGGAAGATTATATCATCCGGCACGTATCTGACTGGGCTAGACAATCCTCTGGTAATCCAAGAGACTATTGCGTAGCCGCCTACTGTGAACTTCAGCGAATCGTTTCAAGGTTTATTGACTTTCATTATTCATCCACAGCTACACCATCAGGTTTGGGTACAGATATTAATTACATGCTAATTACGGTAATGTTTGAGAGTCAATTGTTGAGTTGGTACGAATCAGTTATCAATGCAAATGAAACAATAGTATGTTCAGAAGAGCAACACGATTACATTATCAACGTTAGTAAATTTATGTTCAATTATTGGACTCTTGCAATCTTTTCATTTGGATTACAAAGTGCTTTGGAGACCAATAGCGTAGATTTCACATATTTTTTCACTAAATGCTATCATTCTGCTCAAGAATTACTGTTAATAACGAAAGAAGTAATGGCTCCTAGAGGTTGGCTTAAATACTCAGTTGATTCACACTTTGTCTTCATTACCTACGCCACAGTTTCCTTAATGAAATTTATGAGACCACAGTTTAGTCCATATCATTCAGTAATCGGAATTGATAATAGTAAAATTATCAATCAAGTCTCAGAGATAGCTAGTTTATTAGCAAGTGTAGCTGTAGATTCTAAACATACTCCAGCGCTTTATGCTGCATTCTTACAAGCATTGATTGGACCACCGACGACCGGCCATGATGATGATCAATTAAAGAACCGTAACGAAATATTTGACAAACTTATGACAGATGATATTGATAAGGAGACCACCTTAAAGCAATCTAATGACGAAAATCATGGTGAAAGTGCCAACGGTTTGATGGATGAAGGTTCCACATATATGCCGCCGCCAATTACTTCAATGGCATCACAATCAGATGAATATGGCTCAGCAGCCGGATTTGAAGGCACAAATGTGGACTATATTAGTATGGATTTGAATGCCTTAAACGAACAAGCTCAAGCTATGGATGCCTTGTACCAAAATGGGTTTTGGGAAAACGTACTTTTACCGTAAGTTAACATTTCATAATCTAGCAGTACGATTAACAAACATCTCATAGTGGCTTTGGTGGACCATTGGATTCAATTTCAGGTGGTGTTATGAGATCAGGTTATCTCACACCAAAAGGTATTACACCTTCCCAAACACCGCGAAATATCTCACGACCTCAAACACCCGGAACTACTTCACAGCAATATGTGAAACCAAAACACCGTATGAACGGCATGATGCCCTCAAATTTATAATGTTTTCATAGGAATATTTGTACATGATAAACTATTACATAAACAATTAGTTATATTATATTGGCTTTTTGCAATATCTTTTTGCTACCTCTGAGTCCATAAAAGGTATATTGAGATCATCAGATTCACTTTCAGTTTCAGATTGACTGTACTGCCTGAGAATATTATCAAGTCTCTCACTGATAACTTTTGATGTAGACGACTGTGCTTCTAATTTTGATGAAATTTTCTTCTTCCTTCTACCTTTATTGTTTAAGCGTTGAAAATTAATATCGATTGCGTCATCCATGAGGGTTCTATTATGTAGCATATTCTGTAATTTAACTGATACTTGAGTTTTAACATAGTTAATATCGTAATTCAGCTTATAAGAGCAATGTATAAGATGACTACCAATAACTCTATCACACTTTTGTTTACCATTCTTATCATTAAAAGATTTTAAGCAAAACATGCACTTTGTGAGTGGTTGTAAGTTCATGTTAGCGAATACGTCATTTGAGATCTTTTCTGCGTCTTTCATTAGTAAACGCGGTTTTTTCTCAGCTGAAACGTCAATAAGTTGATATACATGTACATATTATACAAACCTTTTTCCTTCTTCTTCTTCTTTGATCTCTTTTTTGGTGAAACTTCCAAGTCTTGGTGTATGAATTCGTTATCATTTTTGTCTTTAACCTCTTGTAACGTATCCATATCAATCATAGTAAGCGTGTAGTCCCTTGAATTAATACTTTTACGTTTATTTGACCGTAGATTCATATCGACGACTTCTTTTTTACGTAAAATTTCTTCATCAATTGATTTATTACGAATGAATGATGAATCACTTTTATTGTATAAGTATTTTTGACGTATATCAGTCATAGATAGACTCGTCGATGTCGTTGGTTGATTTTCTAAGTTATCTACATCATCTAATAGTTTACTAAGCGAATAATTACTATTATTTACTATAAACATACTCATTATTTATCATTCATATGATCGTTGTTCAGTACAACGATGTTAATATCTCAAAATCTAAGAAATCATACCAATTCAACCGCTAGAAGATTTACTAGACAATTTACTTTTCATGTTGGCTGCTCATGGGCTTCAAAACCACGCTTAGATTCTGAGGAAGATTTCAAGAAGAAATCTGCTTATAGCGATAAGCACGAAGTCGCACAATGGAGAACTAAAATGTTAGGCGATAGATACAATTTAATAGGGGATGCAGGTGAAGATTTCTGGTTTATCGAACCACTTAAAAATGATAGCGGTATCGCATTAGGTGTAGCAGATGGCGTAGGAGGTTGGTTCAGCGCAAAAGTAGACCCTTCAAAATTCTCTCAGACATTAATGTGGGCAGCATCAAAGAAAGCTGGTAACCTCATCGCATCGGAAGCTCAACCAAAAGATCTGATTGAAGCCGGTCATCAGGGCGTCCTAAAAATGGAAGAAGTAAAAGCAGGTAGTAGCACCGCCTGTATTGTTACATTAGATGCGAAGACTGGTTTGTTGAAAGGTGCTAATCTAGGTGACAGCACTTTCATTTTGATAAGGGACAATGAGGTTGTAGAGTCAACTAAGCAACAAACACACTTTTTTAACTGTCCATATCAACTAGCAAAGCTCAGAAAAGGTATTGATAAGAATCATATCACTGATTATGCAAATTCAGCTGATTTGTTTGAGACTACTTTACAAGAAGGTGATTGTATTGTCTTGTTTGTGAGTGAGATAAGAATTTCTTTAGCCAACTAACATTCTAAAAGACGGACGGATTAGGTGACAACGTTTTCACCAATGAAATAGTTCAGTATGCCGAGAAACTTTAACCTCCACATAATCTAATCTTATCGATAGATTAAAACAAGCCGTTGAAGGTCATATTCCAGATGGCACAATTACAGAAAAGTCTCAAGCACTGGCCGATACTTTAGTTTCATATGCCCGAATTTGTATGGACGATGAATTCAAGGTAAGGAGCGTGCATACCAACTGACGTAGTTGATAAACCTCAGGTTTCTCCAATAGAATTATCTGCTAGGCAAGAGAAGATTAAGGGATTTATGGGTGTAAGTTTGATTTAGATTATGATCATCAGGGCTGAACAAATTTTTCAGGGCAAAGTCGATGAGTGGGTATTGATGGAGTATAATATAATATCTGACGATTTTATAAAGCGTTACTGTTATCACAGCATTTGTACAGAATTAATTTATTTGAATTTTTTGCACCCATTATAAACTAGAACGAGTCGGCATTGCTCCTTTCTCTCATTCGTGAATGGTAATAACTTCAAAGTAAGTATATTTGAATAACTAATAGAGTTTTTTAACATATTGTCTAGCAACTCCTCACAAAGGCGCACTACACTCATCTTTATTGGACCATTCCTTTTAGACTCAGCAGACAAGCCACCTTGAGAAAATATCATGGTCGCACTCAACTTATACAAATCTATTAGATCACGCCCAAGTTCCCCAGACACCAGACCGAGCACTCATGCCCTCTCTAGGGGCGGCTCAGAACCCACCAAATACCGCTTTAAGCACACAAATTCAGCACCATCACCTTCACCTTCCTTGTCAGCTATTGAACCATCAGCTGGATCAGGAGAATCCACTTACATTGCAATGGTTTCATCCCGTTTATTAGATGGGGTAAATAAAATATTCATGTCCTCAAACACTTCACTTTCAGGTCCATCAGACGGGGTACCATATAAAAATAGAAGATCACCTAAGAAAGCAAATGTTTATGCGCTTGCTAATCAAATAGTACAAGAATTAGAAGTTGCTAAACATGACGTATACCTCTTAAGAGCAGTTGCTAGACAAGTACATCGTTACTTAAGCGTATTTTCATCTCAATTAGATCCACTTCTTGCTATGGTTTGTGCTGATCCAGCGTTTATAAACGTCTGTAATCCAAATCACTCACCTACACAATCTCAAACAGCGAACCTTAACAATCCACAGTCAAATAATACACGGAATAGTCCATCACCACCTCCACCTACACCTTTACCAATGCTACCTCCACAACAAACCATCAACAATGCTCAGCAATTTGCATTCGAGTTGGCTCACACAGCTTGGATTATTAAAAACACTATAATTGGTGCATTTGAAGATGGTATTATACCTTTATTAGCAAAGGATTTAATTAAAGATGGCTTAGAGAAGCTCGATGGACACGTTATTAGAGTTGTTAACCCAACAATAAAATCCCTTCGCTCCTATCTTGGTTTTATTGCTTCGGCTTTACGTGAATCTTATCCAGAGAGTAATACAATTACTCGTAAGAATGGCATCGATTTCAATCCGCTTCCTCAGCACCTTAAAGCCCTTTCTAAGGGTATGGATGCAGCCAAAAAGATATTGATCAAAATGGTAGGACCTTGTAAACCTGAAGGTGAAGCTTGGGTTGCAAGAATAACAGTACACTTAATTTGGTCAGCTATGTTAGCCTTTAGTGTAAAAAAACCGATCAATATACAATTAAATGGCAAGCAAGTTAAGAAATCAGCGACACCTTCATCTGATGGTACAGCAAAATCAAGAAATGGTTCTCCTACACCAATTCATTCAGCTATAGGAAGAGTTGCCGCTGTATCTAAACCACGTACGCCAAGTCCAGATGCAAACCTTCATGAAGCTATTGATCATGGTAACAGTATAATCGTAGCTGAAATGGAAGTGTTTACAAGGTTAATAGAGAAGTTTGTAGACGGTTTAATTGACCTTAGTGAAGTTGAAGCAGATGGCGAACTTGAGCCAAATTCTATTGCACTTGCGAGGAGTGCGCTCAAGGAATCGATCGAGAGTTTGAAATCAATGAAATCATTCACAATGGAACTTACTGATAAGTCTAATTTACCAGAGAAATTAGATTTGCCTATCGAGTTACCAAAAGTACTAGCATTGCACTTGTTGATAGTCAGAAAAGCAGGTCTACCTAAAACGCCGGACAGAATATGGAAGTGGAGTTGGGATGCCTATGCGGATGGTATCGGAGGATTCGGTGGTGCTATTAGATGGCAATCAGCTGTCTTTAAAGTAGTTGAAGCGGCTATCGTCAATGAAGAACGTAACAGCGATAATGATTGCTGGAATAGGCTGATATTTGATTTAATACGTTGTGATTGACTATCTATTTTAATACATTCCTTTTATTTCTTTGTTTCATACCATCATCATGTCATCAGAAAGACTGGTAGAGATACCAGCGTTAAATGAATTTAGATTAGAATTAGATATTAAAGATGAGCTTAGTATAAAGCTAATAAATGGTAGAGCTGAATTGAACGGATTTGAACTCAGTTTAGATAAGTGGACGACCCTCAAAGATGAGTTGAAATGCTCTATATACACCTGGATTGGATGTACATTAGAAATAAAAGGTCAAAGTTTAGTAGAATATATCTCAAATGAGACTCCTTTGATTAGTTACTTGAATCTACACCTTGCGTTCGAGCAGCAGCGTATAAAAGCTAGAACTACGAATAAAGAATATACACCCTCACCTGAGAAACCTAATGAGAGATTACCAGGCTATGTAAATTCTATCGACCAGTCTAGTTCTGGGTATCGTGTTATGGTTATTGGACAGGAAGACAGTGGAAAGTCCACTTTGTCAAAGACACTCTTGAAGTGAGTAATCTTATTCTTATTAATTTAGCTAATTCATTTCAAGCTATACAGCCAGAACAGGTAAAGGATGGACGCCAATATTAGTGAATTTAGATCCATCTGATGTGAGTATTTAATCAACCACTTAACACCTATGTTGCTAAGCACAATACACAGGGTGGTCCATTACCTCCTGGAACTATCTCAGCAACAGCTTATTCAACATCTACACAAACAACTTCACCAGTCAATGCATTCGGTTCAAGTTCGACTTCTGGTGCATCATTAGACAACTCTTCAGCATTGATACCACAGGCTTTGCCATATGCACACGCCTCACCTGCACGCAATTCAAAAGTATACAAATCTATTGTAGAAGCTATTGCAAGAAGATTGGATATGCGTTTAGAGAGAGACTCAAAAGGTAAGTGATAACCCAGTATGAAAGCATTATTGATGCTGATATATCACATTTAGCTAGAGCATCTGGTGTATTTATTGACACACCCGCCGCATTCTCCTTACCAAACATTGGATCCGAGGACAAGAATAACAAGTATGAATTGATTAAACATGCTTTACATGTTTTCAGAGGTGAGCTTTTAGGTCATAAGTTTTGCAAACTAATAAAGCTTAAGTTGATGTACTGCTGGTAATTGGTCACGAGAAGCTCTACATTGAAATGCAAAGACTACAGAAAACATTAGATCCAAAAATTGGTCAAAATCTTAAAGTGTTGAAGGTACCTAAATCAGGAGGTGTAGGTGATTGAGCTTCATCGTCTGCTCTCTCTAATTATATTATCAAAGGCAGTTGAAACGGATGATGCATACAGATCAAGAGTACAAGCAGGTCAAATTAAGTCATTTTTCTATGGAAATCTATCGAATCCATCTGATGAACAATTATCACCACAATCAATGACAATAAAGATAGATAATTTAAAGGTTTTTAGAATTACTGAAGATAAAGTTGCACCTACGTCAGCCTTACCTATTGGTGCAAGTAGGGTACTCGAGAATACTCAACTTGAAAGAGTAAATTTTGAAAGTTCATCACAACTTTTGACACTTGTTCACTCATTATTGTATCTCGTCAAATGGCCAGACGTGAATGATGTTCTGAACAAACACGCGAAGGAATATGAGGGAGATCTTGCTAGTAAAGATCTCATTAGGGCCGATTTGGTTGGATTTTTGATTGTGTGAGTCGATTACAATGTAAAGGAAATAACTGACAGGGTTACAAGTACTGCAATTGATAGTGTTAAACGTACTATCACAGTATTGGCGCCTTCACCTGGAAGATTACCATCGCTTACTGCAGTCTATGGTTCATTTGAATGGCAGGACACTTGATATATTTTGTAAGAGTATAAATTATTACATTTGATCCATAATATTGGTATAAATTAGAATCTAATTTGATAAGATCCTTGTGATTTTGTGAGGTAACGAACCCATTTAACAGACTAGATTATTCGTTAGTTATTTTTGCTTTTATACAAGTAACTGAATTCTCACCTGATAATTTGACTTTTCGAAGACCTTTAAAAATCTTACTGATAAACCAGATGAAGTATACATTAAAACTTGGAAATCAACATTGATTGGTGGGCGTGACCAAGCTTGTCTCGTAGTTGTTGAAGTTAATTCAGCATTAGCAGTGAGTGTGGTTTCAGTTTGGCCTTGCATACGGGGAATCTTCCAAACAATGTGATTCTCGTCTGGTACATACTTTGCTTTACCCATTGGTGCATTACATTTAACCTCAGTTGTATTTAAAGGTGTTGGTATACGAAGGATTACAGTGTTTGCACTTAATTTATTACCAAAGTTTGCTTTTATACGAATCGTATATTCAACTCTAGATCTACCTATTTCGTTTACAACCGCTGAAATTTTGAAAGGTAAATTAACATTATGTGTTGATCTATATCTCATTAATTCGAATTCACCATCAGGTGGGATGAAAGAGATTGTACGATCTGTATCAAATTTACCTAATCTAACACATTGATGAAATTGACAATCGTCCAATTCAACAGCACCACCTAATGCGCTATCATCTACTATACGAGTTCTATCACTTCTTTCGAGTACTAACTTATCGTTTAAACCGAATTTACATTCTGGCATACCAGATAAGTAAGCTCTCATAAGTATTTGACCATCTACGTCTGCTCTTAGGATATTTCCTTGTGCGCTCATCATTAAATTAACATTTTCAACTACGTCAACGAAAGCTTCATTCTTCCTATATTTGACGTCAGCTCTACGCCAAGAAGTTGCGCCTGTAGCTTGTGAAGTAATCTTTGAAGAATCTTCACGTATTGCTTGCTCAGATTTAACGCCTTCTGTTGTGATATACATTTTCAAAGCGTCAATTTCAGAGTTTTGAGGGTAACCAAAGTCTAAGATTTCATCTAAAAGTTCATAAATCAAGACGAAGTTATTCTTCACAGATTCTTCAATGAGATTTCCTAAGTAACTTGTGCATACTTTAATGAACTTGTAAATAAACTCAAAAACAAGAGCAGCTAAGGCGTTGCATCTATGTTGATATAAGAAGATATACTAATAAAAACGCTAATGACTCACTTTGTCACAGCCATTATGTATAAATTGTTATGTCTAACGTGGAAGAAAGAAGTTGAACCAAGTGTTATGATCGGAGAGCGTACATCTGGATTGGAAACAACCTGTACTCTAAATATATCACTGATTGACCGTCTGTATAATGTTAAAAAGATAAGGAAATTGACTGCGTTTTGACTAACTTTATATCTGGTCTGAATAGTCTAGATATGAGTACTTCACCCTTACTATTCATCATATATAAAGCCTTTAAATAGTTTAAAGTTATAATTTTTTATTTATAAGCTAACTTACGGAGATCATGATTGAAATTGTTGAAGAAATACCTTGATAATGAATAACGACAATAATAATTTGAATAGAATTGATAGAAATCCATTAGAAGATCAATTCTCTGCTATACATCAATCAAAAGTTCTACTCCCTTCTCCATTATCACAATCACATACAAATGAAATACCAAATTTAGACTTAGAAGTACAAGAATCTGATGATGATATCGTTGAATATGATAACGATAATGACAATGATATCGATTCTTTATCCACTTCCAATTTACCTTTAAAGAAGGGACGTAAACTAGGTGCAAAGTATTCTCTAATCCCGGATGGCGCACAGAATATAGACATAAATATGCGTAAACGTAAAAGACAAGCTCCTTTACCATTTAATAGTCAGGTCAATAACGCAATTGCATCATCAAGTAAAGCACCTGTCAGGACTAGAGGTTCGTCTATTTTCTTTACAATTGAGTTATTCTAAGAAATACATTCTAGCACCAAAAGCGGATCCTTATAACCCTCAAGTACCTCCACCTGATTTCGCTAAACCTGATTATAAAGTAATCGAACAGCTTTTTGAACCATTCATTAAGAAACAGTTCGAGTTACAAGCACAAGGTCAGACACCACCACCAGTCAGATTTCCAGTAAACAAGAGACCTGATTATATCGTTTCATCTGCACCACGCATACCACAGAATTATATAGTACCTGTTCCTTTAGACACTTACACTAAGGCTGATTATAAAACACGTAAATGGTCAGAACATACAAAGGAAATCAGAAGTATAAGTGGAAGTAAATTACGATTAAAAACTTGGTTAGGTAGTGAAGAGAGCGAATATTCTAAAAGGCCACCGCCACCTGTCAATACTACAAAGAGTGCTAGCAATCAAGGCGAAGATCCATCTACCGCTATTAATCCAGCTAATATAATGACGCCATCAGGTGTACCACTTAGTAAACTTGATAAGCGTACTAGGGAGTATAAAACTATCATGGCACAACATAAAGCACAACTTGAACAAAAGAGATTAGACGAAGAACGTCAAAGGTTAGAAGCTAAAGCAGCTTTTGATGGTATGCTAGAGACGAACAAGTCAGAAGATGATCCCTCTAGAATGTCAATCAATAATATCGTTATGTAACTTATTATTTATTTATTTTTATCTGTCTTCTCTTTATCTTCTACTGTCATCATGAGTGAGTATAATAGATATGAGTGAATGAGCAGAGATATATAATAAAATAATAGTATTCTACTTGGATGACTTACCAGTTGTTTTCCCTTATGATCGTATCTATCCAGGTTTGTAGATCTTCGATATAAATTCCATATCTAATTTACATATAGAGCAATATAGCTACATGAGAGATCTTAAGAAAACATTAGATGCTGGTGGTCACTGCGTACTCGAAATGCCTTCTGGAACAGGTAAAACTGTTTCTCTACTATCACTTATCGTCGCATATCAACAACATTACGATGCAGATAGAAAACTGGTTTATTGTTCACGTACCGTACCAGAAATAGAGAAAGCATTAGCTGAATTAAAAAGGTTAATGGCTTATAGAGCAGATCAAGGTTACGCTGCTAAAGATAGTGGATATATCGGTTTAGGATTGAGTTCACGTAAGAATTTATGTCTACACCCATCTATCAGTCAGGAGAGAAGAGGTAAAGCTGTTGATGCCAGGTGTAGAGACCTCACATCAGCACATGCTGTCCAGAAAGGTAGAAGTGATCCAGGAAGTCACGAATTGTGTAGTTATCATGAAGGTTTATCAGAAGTTGCACCAGGCGAAATTGTGCCCCCTGGTATTTGGACTATAGAGGATGTTAAGAAGTTTGGTCAGCAAAAAGGCTACTGTCCATACTTTAGTGTTAGACGGATGGTAGGTGTTGTCTTCTTAACCATCATTTTAGTTGAAACAATACCTAAGGTACCTTTCTGTAATACAATTATCTACTCGTTTCACTATCTTCTCGATCCAAAAGTCGCTGAAATGGTTTCGAGGGAGATGTCTAAAGATGCAATCGTCGTTTTTGATGAAGCACACAACATTGGTAGGTAAATATATCTGAATTTACTCAATTCTCACTTAATACATAGATAACGTCTGTATTGAATCACTTAGTATCGATTTGACACGCCCGATGCTTGAAAGTGCATCAAGAAGCGTGGACAAACTATCAGAAAAGATAGCGGAAGTTAAAGAGAATGATGCACAACGATTACAAGATGAATATGCCAAACTTGTTGAAGGCATGCAGGATGCAGATCAACCACCACCAGCAGCTAATGATGAAATGGCAATGATAAGGCGGCAGGATGAGGATGTTCTGAGCAATCCAGGTAAGTGGTTATAAACATGACACCGCTGAAGTTAACCACTAGTAGTCCTACCTGCTGACCTGCTCAAAGAGGCTATACCTGGAAATATACGTAAAGCTGAACATTTTGTTTCATTCTTGAAGAGATTCGTGGAGTATCTCAAGGTTTGTTTTCATTATTCCTTCTAATTGATCGTTAACAACATTCATTAGACACGTATGCGTGTATTACATGTTGTTGCAGAGACACCACTTTCTTTTTTGCAGCATCTTAGGGATATTACTTACATTGAACGAAAGCCATTGAGGTGAGTGGACTTTATGTCATTATATTCTACTAACATATTCAAGGTTCTGTTCTGACCGTCTATCCAATTTGATAAAAACACTGGAATTGGAAAGACTTGATGAGTATTCAGCTTTACAATCAGTGGCTGCGTTTGCGACACTCGTATCAACGTACGAAAAAGGTGTGCAATTATAATTTGTATTGATGTCGACTAACTCAACACAAGGGTTTTTGTTGATCTTGGAACCATTTGAAAGTGAAACAGCAACCATCCCTAATCCAATATTTCACTTAACTTGCCAAGATGCAAGTATAGCTATAGCACCAGTTTTTGAAAGATTCTCATCAGTTATTATAACCTCAGGTACAATTTCACCTTTAGATATGTATCCAAAGATGTTAAACTTTAATGCGATAGTACAAGAATCCTATCCAATGACATTATCTAGAAATTGTTTCATTCCAATGGTTATAACCAGAGGTAGTGATCAAGTAGCAGTTAGTTCTAGATTTGAAGTTAGAAATGATCCTGCAGTTGTTAGAAATTATGGTCAAATGTTGATAGAATATAGTAAAGTAATTCCAGATGGAATTGTAGCATTCTTTCCAAGTTATTTATATATGGAAAGTATAGTAAGTGCATGGAATGAAATGCAAATATTGGATGAAGTTTGGAAGCATAAGTTAATATTTGTTGAAACTCCAGATGCACCGGAAACGAGTATAGCATTAGAAAATTTCAGAAAAGCATGTGATAATGGTAGAGGTGCAGTTATGTTATCTGTTGCAAGAGGAAAAGTAAGTGAAGGTATAGATTTTGATCATCACTTTGGTAGAGCTGTCATTATGTTTGGTGTACCATATCAATATACAGAATCAAGAATTTTGAAAGCAAGATTAGAATATTTACGCGATAATCACAGAATAAGAGAATCAGATTTCTTAACATTCGATGCAATGAGACATGCAGCTCAATGTGTAGGAAGAGTTTTGAGAGGTAAATCAGATTATGGTTTAATGATTTTTGCAGATAAAAGATTCGCAAGATCTGATAAAAGAGCTAAATTACCTAGATGGATAAATCAATATATTAGTGAAACTTCATCGAATTTATCAACTGATATGGCAATCAGTTTAGCTAAAAGATTCGTTAGAACTATGGCACAACCATTTGATCACTCTCAAACTGGTGTTAGTTTATGGACTATGGATCATGTACTTGAAAGACAAAGATTAGACAAAGAGAGTGATTTAGCTGCAATTGCCAACAATGAGAATGATTATATACCAATGGAAGTTGACGGTGATGGTAGCGGTGGTGATAGTGATGATGATGATATTGACGGTGGCATAAATGATAATGTGAGTACATTAACTTCTTATGAAATATTATCTTAAGACTAAATAGGCATTGATGGATATACCTATGCCAGTTGCAGCAAATTAAAAGATAAATTATTTGAATAGATTAAAGTTCATCCCTTTTAACTCTTCTGGAGTGTGGAAATTGTAACTCGACAGATTTAACTTGTGAATGTGATTCTAAAGCCTGTCTAACTGATTCCATTACTTGGCTACCAAGTGATTTATCGATGGAGTATAGTTGCGTATTTGGTATATTACCAACTTGACCAATTGAGTTTGCATTTGTTGGACATGAAGGTAAATTAGCACCAGATTCTAATATGATACTAATATAATTGTATTTATTGTAATCAAGTGAATTTGACATGAAAGTTGCTTGTCTTCTTACATTCAAGATGGTCAGATTGATAACGCATAATATTTTAACTTGTGCTGCAAAAGGTTGTATAGATAGTGGAAAGAATTATCCATTGAGTTTCAATGTAAGTATATTTATTATTATATTCTCTTCACAAAACTCACATATATAGAACGTACAAGGAATTGAAATAAGAGAGCAAGAATTTAATGACGAATTTATTAAAAGCTTCTTTCATAAACTTGATTATAACGTTTTAAAGTCCACACTTCAATCCGTGAGTAAATTCGCAAGAGAGAAGACATTCTTGTCTGATAAGAAACCAAGCTTGGTGACGATACGCTCAAAGTAAATGAGATTGATGATATAAATAGCCAATCTGAAGAGTTTTTGAGATCACTCCATAGAGTTTTATTAGAGGTTCGTCAATAACACACTTTATCCATTATCTAACAACAAACAACAACAGATGGATGTCACTCAAGGTGAACTTGTTTGTCCAAATTGTCAACACAAGTATCCAATAAATGAGGGTATTCCAAATATGTTGTTAGCTGCACATGAAATATAGAGTAAAAATTTTTTTATGTATAACTATAAATGAAAAGAAATGATCATAAACTATACTTATTTATCCTCTGGGAGTGCGTTAATGCCTGTGTTTTGTGGTTTTGGTGAATGAGGTGGACTACCACCTGGAGTAACTGAAGGTGTAATTGAAGGTGATTGAGCAGGTGATAAAACACCAACAGCTTGCATGAATCTTTCGGAGTGTGATGATCTTCTAACCATTGGTCTAGCTAATTCTGGCATTGAGGGTAATCCCATTAGTCTGTCTGCCATATCAGCAGCTGATGCACCTTGATATAACAAATCGTAGACTGCTTCCGCAATTGGTGCAGACATTTCCAATCTCTTGAGTAATTCATGAACAGCTTCAGCTGTGAAAACACCTTCAGCTGTTGATCCGAGTGTGTCCAAAATGTGTTGTAATTTTTCACCCTCTCCTAATCTCTTACCAACGGTGAAATTACGTGAGTTCTCAGAAGAGCAAGTTAAGAAAAGATCACCAACACCTGCTAATGATAAGAAAGTGAGTGGATCAGCGTTGAATGCTGCACCAATCTTTTGCATTTCCGCGCTAGCTCTTGTAACCAAACCAGCTCTAGTATTTTGTTGGAAACCTAATCCAGATGCAACACCAGATGCAATTGCATAGACGTTCTTAAGTGCACCTGCTAATTCAACACCTACTGGATCAGTTGATGAGAATGTCAAAAAGTGACCTTGATGGAAAACTTCACAAGCTTGTTCAGCGTGCTGAGATGAGAATGAAGCAATAGTAACTTGTGTAGGCATTCTTTGGACGATTTCTTTTGCAAATGAAGGACCAGATAAGAATGTAGATACTCTGGCGATTTCTTTACCGCATTCTCTTTCAATAATTTCAATTGGAAGGAAGCAACTTCCAGATTCTATACCTTTGTTTGCGAAAACTAATAAAGGTGCTTTGTCCTTCTTGGCTTCAAAGAGAGGGACGAGATTTTTCAAGACGGAGGACATAGACTGTGAAGGGATAGCCATAACAATAACATTGTAGAGCAATAAATCCTCAAAAGAAGGGAATTCTGGTCCGACAGCCTTTAAGTTCTTTGAGAATGTGTGATCAGTAAGGTACTATTGTTCGTTGATGAGTTTTTATGTTAATGCTTAATTAAGTTAAGGTCTTACCTTTGGATTCTTGTGGTTGTTGTTGAATGAATCAACGACATCTTTGTTTCTTGCCCAAATGCGAGTTTGATGTCCAATGTCCGCTAAGTGATCGGCTAAGCAACTACCAAAAGAACCTGAACCTAAAACTAAAACTCTCTTGTATCCAACTGAAGGGATTGATAATTTACGTTTGAAAGATGATGATCTTGAAAGGGAAGGCTTTTCATCACCGCCCACAGGAGTCATTGATTGAAGTGCTTCGAATGGCATCTATATCAATGCATTTGAGCTGTCATTTCATAGGAAGTAATCGGTGAGACTCACAATTTACCTACGTGTGATGATTAGATTCCTTTTCGTTAAAGCAAGTCTGTATACTTACAATTTAGTACTTTATCGTTATAGTTTAAGAGAAACTTTTTTAGATCGTTATGATCGTGATCGATTAAGATCCAATCAGTTTGATTTTTTGTGGTTTGGATATATGACGTCATTATCTCAAAAACAAAGGTACACGTTCATTTTTTTAGATCTTTGAAATCTTCATTAAATTCCAAGTATAATCACATGAATTCCATCGAAGTCCGAGTGTCTTTCTATTTTACCGGATATATCCAATTCTAAGCCGAAATTGATGTTACATATGAATAAGTACAATAAATTAAAAAATTAGAAAGACCAGCTTTTTATAATCTACTACTATATAAAGTTGTGCGTTTACTTAAAATTAAAGCTCCTGAGCTGAGCCCTTCCTTCGAATCAGCCTGTTGAAAAATTTGGCTGAATAAAAGTGAGATGTTTTTGGTATCTTTGTCGAAGGTGATTTGAAATCTAGTGGAGTCTCTGGAGGAGAAGCCAATGATAGTAAGGTTGGAATATTTTGTGATTTATAAGTTGCTATTGATGGTTTAACAGGCGAAATTGAAATATTTCCCCTCTGTCTAAGTGTAGGTTGCGACCTTTGAGTGCGCAATTGTTGTTGTTGTGGACGTGCATAATTTGGTAATAAGTTTTGATAAAATATTGTTGGTGGTAATGGTTGATATTGTTGATATGGATATATCATTCTTTGAGATGGTGCCATGAATGGTTTAAATTCCCTCATAATATCCGCCTCCGAAATATCTAATTCAAAGTTTAAAAACCCAAGTAATTGCCTTTCCATAAGATTGACTTCCGCGACTGAAAATAATCTCGCATGTCTTGCCCAGTGTTTGTTTTTCTAAGTACGCGTTAGAAAGAAATTAAATAAAGAAATTCCAAAACTCACTGGGCTGCTATCATTCAAATATTTTGATGCAGTAATTAATGCAGCCAAGAACACTCTATGTCTTGTGCATGGCATACCTTTGGCGACAGGGGGAAGCTTCACTCTTAGTCTGTCTAAATAAACGAGAGTCGACATTAGAGTAGGGACCTGTACATTTGACTGATCAACCAACGTTGCTATAAAGCATTCTAATGAAGGTAACTGTGGTGATGTACTAAATAAGTCATTCTCTAAAGAAGGTAAATTGATTGTGTCCTTAGTTGGTGTAGTTGGAGGAGTCAACAAATCAACCTGTCTTGGTGGTGGTGGTGTCGAAGTTGACAATAAGCTGTCTGTTGTTTTCTTTGCTAAGTAGCTAATCATTGAAGGTGTGACAGATGAATAAACAAACTCTAATAGTTTATTATCATGTTTGTTAAAACTCAATTGACTGAATGGACACTTTTTGTTAATCTTCATTGGACGTTATATACTAAGAAGTTACTCTTTCTTAATTTGGAAGGTTGGTTTTAGACCTTGTGAGTGGAGGTAGTAACTTTACAAGAAAGAATATTACGATTTTAACCCATTTTGAAATTTTCTAATTAGTACCTTATGATTGATTTCTTGACATCCTTTCAACTTGGCCGTGTAGAACTTTATTAAGACCTAGGGTTATTTTTGAAAATTTTGATCTTTTACTTATCATTTATTAGATTTAACATTACTGAAGGGATATGGACGCGTTACTTTCTTTTAGATCTATTCATAAAACGCGTAAAATTTTGATACAGATTGCATTACATATCACACAAATAATTCACTAAAATCTACTCCACAATGAATTGCGTTATTCAAGCGATAGCTGATATTGGCCATTCATTCACATTTACGTCAATCAACTTTGAAGGCTGTCTGCTTCATACCTTTTGGCCATTCGGGGCTATTTAATAAAACCAAGCTGTCAAATAAATATTTCATCATAGTAGATTATCCTGCTATAATAAATACATAAAATATATTTATATATATAGTCATTTATATCCTTCCCTATGCGTTTTGCTCTGGCTGCGTCTCTTGATCTGCTATCAAAATCAGGCCAATGAAATAAAAATGACAAATTTAAGCGTGAAAGAAAGAATTTTAGCGTTACAACAACAACAAAGACCTTCAACTTCTTTAGGCGTTATGGATGCACAGCGGAGGATTTCCTCGGGCTCTAAAAATGTGAAAGAACGAGCTACAGCATTCCAGCATTCTGATCATAGTTCAAGCAATCCAAGTTCACCTACTGGTAGTTCATTATCTCAATTCACTAGTAACACAGATAAGGATCTAATCACTCCACCTTCAACTAATCCACCTTCTTCGCCTCGGTTACCAAACATACAAACTCCACCTTCATCAGTTAGGGTGGAGAATGGATCAGTATCCTCTAGTTCAGCTCTTACCGATCTCGTGCAGCAAAGTTCAACGCCGACACCTTCATCACCTGCATTCACGGCCACTACGGACGATCAAGTACCTGAACTCGTCGAAACGGATTTACAACACAATCAAGCGATTGTTCAATTGCTTAGAAATGATAAGCAACTTTCTTATCAAGATGACGATCGAGTGGAATCTCCACCTTTGGATGTTTTAGAAGCTACACAAGATTTAGCTAATTTATCAACTTCATTCTCTACTACACCACCTGCACCTATAAGAACTAGCATTTATGATGATATTGACGATGAAAATGATAGTCAAGGTGAAGCTGGTTGGGTTACTGTTATCAATTAATTACTATAGATAGTCTATGCATAGGATACCATTCTAAAATTATTATACACGATAATTTTCTTTTTTTGTTATACATTTATCATATCATTGTTTGATTCCCTCGTCATTGTTATGATGTGATTTCCGAAAGTTCTGGTTTCAAATCCTGCTTCACAATAGGTGAAATAGTAAATCCATTTACGTTTGAATGATTCGACTTCATTGTCTGTTAAGCTGTCTAGTTGATGCTTGATGTTTTGATCAAAGTTGAGCAAAAATGCTTTCTTCCAATCTCTAAATGTTCTTGCGTAGTGCGGCCCAATTTGCATTATGTTATCGATAATTAGTGCACCCTTTGTACCATCGTGTAGTGCATTGAATATTAATGTTAATGAGGGAAGCATTTCCCCGGTATACTTTCTGATGAAATCAACCTTATCAACGTGATCTTTGTAGCGAGCCTCTGGTATAGTTTTAGATTGTATTATCCCAATACCATGATCGTTAAGTGCCCAATCTATACATTCAAAGTATCCAGGGAGCTGTTCTGTCGAAATTGACTCGATCATTTCTATCGATATAACACGATCAAATTGGGATTTCCAACTTAATGGCATATTTTTATAATCACATAGATGTATTCTTATTCGATGAGTATATCCAGCAATCCTAGTTGCCTCTTCGGCCAGCTCTTTTTGAGTAATACTCACTGTCAATGTGTCAATTACCAATGATGGATACTGAGAGCACATTTCAATCGCAAAAGAGCCTCCCCAGCCAATTTCTAAAAGGCGCATATTTGGTAGTATATTAGATTTTCTAATTATTGTGCGCATTTTCCTCAATTGTGCATTGTGTAAGTCATCACCGTCATTGACGGCGTCGCCATTAGCCAGGAAAGAACCCATCTTATTAAGTCTATGCTTGTGTTGCTTCTTGTTGTCAGAGCCAATGAATGAAAATGCAAGTTCTTTATCAGCATACGCGCTTTGATATATTCCACAACTATGTGACATATCCTTAGATAGAAACGTTTGGAAGAATCCACTTGAATCTTCGTATGCTATGGTATTTAGGCTTCTAGTATTTGTGATATTTTGCATAAAACGCGTGTTAATCGCGTAAGAAAGTATACTATGAACTTTCGAAGGTATATATGGCGTTTCATCAAAATTTCGGCGATTTAGAAGGAACACCTAACTAAATGGTTGAATAAAGAGTATCATAATGGCATTAGATGTCTTACCTTGAACACTTCAGTCAAATCGTCGACGTCAATATCACCAAATATAAACGCTTCACTAAACCCCAAATCCTTTGAGAGTAGTAAACGTATCCAAAATGTTGCATTCTTTACTGTTATTTTAGCTGATGGCTTAACTACTTCTGATGCATCGCTTGGGTATACAAATGTGCAGCCATTCTGAACATCAGCTACTAACAACTTCCCTATCGTAATACTTTCAAAGTAGGATAGTATTATATTTCTAGCGACTCCACTTAAACTATATTCTATCAAGCTACTTATGATACTCTCGGATTTCATACGGCCGCTATGACCGCTTTCATGCAGACCAGTTGTGGAATTCCTAATTTAAGATTGTCATTACATGCCTCCGAATTACCTGTTTACCGGCCAACTAGAACGTACATGATCGTCCTCGATTGACAGCTGATAACTAACCGCATACTTTCGCGTAGGTTATGAAATCATCAGTCTACATAAATTAAAATTACAAAAGTGTTGAATATGTTCTATCGCGGCAGGTTTTCAGGAATTTTACCAATGATGTTCCGCCAGTACCCTTAGGCTCAGATGCGCTGTCATCGATTGGTGACGTATCCTTACGTGATTGAGTAACAATATAAAGTGTCGCTATCTTTATATGTTCGCTTCTAAATACTTTCATTGATTCTATAGCTTTGTTGTACGATTCTTTCAATTCATCATTTTCTGATGCTTTCACTACATCTCGACAGCTTGGTTCAACGTTCAACAAATGATCGAGGAAGTTACGATGGTACTCTGGCATATAAAATTGCATTCTACGCATGAAAGTGTCATCATAATTAGCGTCATCATCTACAGGTGCGTGATTGACACCTAGGAAAGCATCAAGTGAGTGTATCAAAGAGGATTGACCTGCTGAGGGACCACCGTAGTCTCTATAAACGCCTGGTGGATCAACACCTTCGTAGTGCCAACTAGATTGACCATTAGGACCATTAAACCAACGTCTTATCTTTCCATAGAAGACCTCTGGGCGACATTCTTTCCGAACGTCAATGAGAATCCTTGTTAGTATGTTTATCTGATTGCTTATATCAGTAAGTTGTTTGGACATGCTCCGATAGGACACATCTGGTGACATATCTGCCATAAATGCTTCATCTAGACATTGTGACATTCTTTCCAAGCATAATCTACCTGCAGCTTCAATATAAGCCGAAGTTAAAAAGAAGTGCTCCTCATCCCGGCTTCTAGTGAAAGTCAAAGGAGCCCTTAAGTTGCCTTCTACAAGACCCTTCGATGGATCAATGTATTCCCAATTCCAAAGAACAGTTGAAGCATAGGTAAGGATTGGAGGTAAACCTAAAGCAGTAGCTGTATGATTCCACGGTACAGCTATAGATGATGGTATTGTAGTTTTATCCTCTGATGATCTACTTGAATGTACGTAAAAGTGTGCAATATATGACAAGACAGTGTAGGCTCTTCTGACGACTCTGATACCATTCGAATTGATAGTAGGCGGTTTAACGTTGAGCATCTAATGTATATTATTAGATTAATTAGGTTATCTGGCTATTGAAACTTACTGAACGTATTGCATCACGCCACTGCTCAGAAACCTCGTTATTAGAACCATCTAATTGTAGAGGCAGTTGTAATGCAGCATCTAACGCTAGTTCCCAAATAGAATATTCACCGTCTAGCCTTTTAAGTGGCTCATCGGGTGGCAAAAACGCAGATCTCGGATCAACGTCGAAATCAGTAGCAGCTAATGTGCTAGTATCTAATGTATCTAAATCCGTGATATGACGCTGTGATAAAAAATGCTCTTTTGGTAAAATTCTACCGCCATTGTATCTCTTTTCTTCGGCATCCATATTGTCGAATCTTGAGAGAGATATTGTCGGGGAGATACACCAAAATACAATAAAAAATATTTACCTTGAATGTATTGGCGGTTAGTTCACTATAATATCTATAGAATACTCTCCTTACCTTGCTATTAGCCTAGGATTTGGCGCTAACAAGGAGATTGATCAGTTATTAGATAAGGAGAACGTTGAATTGGAAGAGATCCTACAAGAAGATTCTATCATACATGAATCAAAATCTCACAACTATAGACTACTCGAGTTCCTCGTCTTACCGCAGAATTTGAGAAAGTTATTAGGCTATTCTAATGGTAAAATAAATGTAGTCGACGATCAGTATAAGCTCAGGTGGGCAGACTGGCTTATTTTCTATTCAGCCATCTAATCAGAATTAGATTTCCTTACGTCGCGACTGAGATCCTGTCAAGTGATATTCCAGCCATCCATGAGGCTCTTGTTGATAAAGAAAAGCGTTCAGACTACTTACAGCCATTCTGGGATTTCATTATCAATAAATCAACCGAAGACTTATCCCAATTGAACCCATTTGTAGGTTATTGGGGAAGGATCGTTGCTCGACTATTAGATAAGAAATCCGACGAGGTGGGTTGATTGCTTTATTACCAAAGCCTCATTAACAGCCTTCATAGATGCTAGATTTCTTGAAATCACAGAATGATCCTATCACATCATTCCTTAAACACATAGAAACTCCAGTCATAGGTGATTTATTATTCAGATTAATAGTTTCAGATCAACAAGATAGCTCAGTTGTTGATTTCTTTACAGAATCTGATTTTATACCAAAATTATCAAACATTTTATCGCCCTCTTTCTCAAATGACGCTCATTTAGCAGTTGCAGACTTACTTAAAACAGTTATTACTTTTAGTGCACCTTCTCCTCCAACCGCAAACCCTGATAATCAAATTTACATTTCAAATAACTTTGCAAGGCAACTGGGTTCCGAAAATGTTATCGAAAAGCTCATCAGTTACATTCTAGATGACATTCCAATTGACAAATCATTGAAAGATGGTGATATTTCCACCAACCATCTACCAGACGTTGAAAATAACGACAAAATTGCATCAGTTACTTCTTCTTTAATATCTATATTATCAGTTTACATAGAATTGATCAGAAAGAATAATGCAGACTTTAGTGAACCTCATTTATTCCATACTTTGAGAAATAAGCTCATAAACATCCAACAATCTCAACAAGACGATATACTTAATAGCGAAAACTTAGATGAAAGTGATGAACAGAAGGAAGAAGAAAACAAGCTTCACTTGGAAGAAGCTATGAATAAAATGTCACAATCTATTGGTATCGTACATCTAGGTTCAATTTTGAAATCCTTCACGAAACGATTGGGAGATTTCCAAACCTTGTTAGCATTTCCACGTAGCTATAAAGGTCCAATACAGTCATCAATGGGACCTATAAAACCACTCACTTTTGAAAGATTTAGAATTTGTGAATTATACGCAGAATTATTGCATTGCTCAAATATGGGGATTTTCAATAGAAATACAACTGTTGGACCGTATTATGACAACTATGGACGGTTGATTGGGGGTCTTGATGCTTTGACGCAATTAGCTAGGGCTTTATCAGATAGCGAAGAAATGGAAGACATACCTGTGAATTCACCTGAAGATCATATTGAACCTCAGCAAGAGCAACTACCTCAGTCAATGTCTAATTTATCACTCAAGGTTGATGAATTAACATTAGGAGACTCACTAAAGAAAGCAATGATTGACAATGGCATACTTAAAACACTCGTAGACCTCTTTTTTGATTACCCTTCAAATCCATTCTTGCATAATGTCGTATATGACGTGATATTACAAATATTAAATGGACAAATGGATCGAGGATTGAGTTTCGATTTAGCATTATCTCTATTTAATGATGCAAACTTAATTCAGAAGTTATTAGATGGTCATGATAAAATCAAACAATCTGAAATAAACAAAACTATAAAACCTGGTTATTCGGGACACGTGATGCTCATAGCGGATGAATGTGTGAAAGCACTAGAGAAGTATGACAACCTTCATCAACATGTAAAGAATAAAATACCTGATGAGTGGAATGAATTTGTACAGGGGCCTTTGAAGACGACACAAGGAATTGAAAAAGAACCACTTGGTGGAATAAAACCACAACAAAGTCAATATGGTCACTTTGGTAAAGTTGAAGGAGATCAAGATGATAGTGATAGTGATGACGATATTGGATTCATGAGTTCAGGATTTGGAAGCACCTATAGAAGTCTGTCTGGACAGTCTCATACCAACATTAACTTTGATGAGGATGAGGATGAGGATGATTCTTTCTTCAACTCGTTTAGCTTTAAGAGTGCATCATTCGGACAACCATCATTCGATGAGGATGAAATTGGCGACGATAGTCAAGTGAGTGTTATTACTTTTCTTCTAATATTGCTAACTAGAAATCTTAGTTATCAAAGTATATGAACAGATCAAGCTTAGATGATGATTCATCAAACGATGAAGACGATTTTGGTGATTTTGCATCAGCAAGTAGTTATCAACACTTCAACGATGATGGTAAAGAAGAAATTGATCCGTTCGGCGTATCGAAAGCTGGTAGCAACACTGAAAATCAATTCTTGGATAACTTTACACCAAAGTTAACGAATCAAAATCTTACACCTGCAGATTGGTGTAGAGAGTTCAAAGATAGCGTTGACGATGAATCCACAATAACAATACCAACTTTAGATGAAGGTGACAGTGAAATTAATGATGCAATTAAAGGATTGAAAATTGATGGTGTCTCAGATGAAAGAAATGCAGCTGATGAATTGAACTTCGACAAGAGTGCTCCTTTAGGGCCTGGATTAAATGGTCCTGCGGAGATCACTGATGGAAGCGTCAAAAGAGAAGTTGAAGGTTCTATTATGGAGGCACCCAAGGATGATCTAGTGTTACTTGCAGAAGAGAAAGCTAAAAGTGAATATTAGAATAATGTAATTGTTGTTTATGAATGTATTATTTTACAAATACGAATTCTTTTTCACTACCGTCATGTTCATATCGGCTGTTTCAACGAGAAGGACGTTGTTTGGATGTAGATTCTACGTAACAAAAGTCAGGGGTGGTAATAAAATATATGATAATGCAAATGACGCTATCAAGGATATAAGATCTAGTGCTGTATATCTCAGTGGTGGGTTTGGATTGTGCGGTGTACCAACAACGCTGCTAAATGCAATCGATAAACGTGATGATATAAAATCTATTACAGCAGTATCTAACAACCCGGTGAGTGCGATTCTGCCTTCACAAGATAGTCTCATTTAATCTGAGAAAAGGGTGTTGGTGATAAAGGTCTCGCTAAGTTACTCAACAAGGAAGGAAAAGTTGAGCGTCTGATTTGTAGTTATCTGGGTAACAATAAGACACTAGAAGGCTACTATCGTAGTGGTAGAATAGCTGTAGAACTCACTCCACAAGGTAACATCGCAGAGAGAGTTTCAGCAGCTGCGCGTGGTATACCTGCATTCTATACCCCTACTGGTTATGGTACTGCTATAGAATCTGGAGAGCTTGTCACTCAATATGACGCAAACTCGAAACCAATTGCTTATCAACAAAAACGTGAGGTTAGAATGTTTAATGGACGTGGTCATATTTTAGAAACATCACTCAAAGCTGACTATGCACTCATACGAGCAAAGTATGCAGACAAGAATGGTAATCTCGTTTTCAACAATTCTGCTCATAATTTCAATGCTGTTTTCGCCAAAGCTGCCGATATTACAATCGTAGAAGCTGAGAATATAGTCAATGTGGGCGATATACCACCAAACGAGATACACGTTCCGGGTATCTACGTTGATAGAATATGTCCAACTGAAACTGAAACTGATATTGAGATACTCAAGACAAGTGATAGTGATGAACTTACAGGTGGAATTCGTGATAAAATCGCCAAAAGAGCTGCAAGGGAATTGCAAGATGGATATTATTGTAACCTCGGAGTTGGTATACCCGGTCGCGTACCAGAATTCATAGAAAAATCTAAGAAGGTTTATATACAATCAGAAAATGGAATATTAGGTGTAGGATCATACCCTCAGTCTAATAACGTTGATCCTGATATCATAAATGCTAGTAAAGAGACTGTTACACTCTTACCAGGTGCATCCTCCTTCGGGAGTGAGGAGAGTTTCGGAATGATCAGAAGTGGAAAGATCGATGTATCCCTATTGGGTGCATTTCAAGTATCTCAGACAGGAGATCTTGCTAATTTTATGATACCCGGCAAACTAATGAAAGGAATGGGAGGCGCTATGGATCTAGTTAGCAACCCACAATCCACAAAAGTCATTATATTGATGGAGCATTGTGATAAATATGGTAAATCGAAAATATTAAAAACATGTGACCTCCCACTTACTGGAAAGGAGTGCGTATCACAAATTATCACTGATCTGGCTGTTTTTCAAATCAACAAGCAAACTGGTAGGTTGCTCCTTACAGATATAGCTGAAGGTGTCACACTTGACCATATAAAACTTAACACTGAAGCTGAATTCGACATTAATGAAAATATTGGTTCATTTTAGTGTGAATGTAAAATTACATATCAATACAAAAAATACAAAGTGAATACAATCAGACGTTAGATCTAATCCTTGATCTTGTAATGTTGTCTTATGAAAAAATACAGAATAATTTGATAATTATTGTAGAAGGAAGTTGAAAAAATATTACCAAGAAAGTTTAAATATTAATGAAGATCAGCAATCAGTTTGAATTGTAGAAAATCTCCTTTATCTCGTTAAAAGTTTCGTCATTATGAGGCATACCTTCGATTAATCCATGTTGATGAACATTGTAAATATCATTTCCCCAAGCATTTTTTGACGCCGAGGAAGCTTTATATTTAGACTTTGTAATAGGAGAGTGATGATCAACCGATCCAGGATGGGATTGTACATTAGTGAAAAAATTGATTGATGGTTTGTCAATTTTATTTTCAAGAACTTCTTGTGACATATTTAGATTGTGATTTTCAAAGTTACTATTGTTTCCAAAGTTTTCAGGTAGAGAAGCCAATTGAGCGGCCTTTTGTGCAGCTTTCTGAAGTTCTTCACTATTATTTCCGTTCGCAAATGGAAAGCACTTATAACAATATTTTCTTCTTCTCCAGTTGACGAAACCACAGCTACAAATCCAATCGCCTGGTTGCATTTGCATCGGACCTTGACTACCTGTATTGAGGATTGGTGGTAATTGTGACTTTGGTGACTGTGGCGATTTCGATAAAGTCTCTAGATCCTGTAAAGGTTCTGGATTCTTTGAATTTACTTTCTGTGTGTACTGATTTGGTGTATGCTTAGGTAATGATGCTAAAACATCGAACAAATTCTGTGGAGGTGATCTTTGAGTTGGTGAAATAGATATTGGTGAAATGGATATCTGAGACGAAGGTAAGGGAATATTTGCAAGTTCTGGTGATATTACGCTATGTGAATTCATTGCAGGTTTCTGTATTGGATTATCATTTTGACCAAGAATGAGGGGGTTAAATAAGCTACCAACAGGAGGACCAGTTGGGGAGTGTTGATTAATATTTGTTGATGTTGCTGATGTTGAAGATGGGGGTGTGACACTATCTTCTTTGTCTCTTGGAAGCAAACAGCGGGGACAGAAAGAGAGCGCGTACGAATTTTGAAACGCGCAATGGTCACAAATCCAAGTCTTAGCAGTCGGGTAAGTGGAGGTGTTTCCGTATAAGGAAAATTATCTCACCTTAGGATAGACTGAATCCAAATTGATAGAGTGAACGCTTAATTTCTTTTTGAAGTCGATCTCTTTTGTTAATTTGAGTGACAAAAAGTTCTTAATGTTTAATTTAAGGGCATCGATTGCCTATATAAGTTATCAGAACGCGTCAAAGCGGGCATCAATGACGAACCGATTGATGTTGTGAGAATTCAAGCCAAAATATAGTAAATTCATTCTTATCGTTCCGTTCTTTAATAGGATACCAAATATTACACGGTAATTCCAGTTGACTCTTGTCTAATATGTTGAGAAGTTGATCAATTGATAGGGAGCCATTCAATACACGTAGTTCAACTAAGCGGGTACTTTATATGGTCAGATAAATTCCTTTGTTTACTGTGCCACTCACTTATTAGAACTGTGTGACATCAATCCTCATTATAAATAATCAAGAGGACGATAAAAGTAATAAATGATAAAAAAATTTATTTATATTTTGAGCGCCTAAAATGACGATATAAATGTCCCTGAAATTCCATTCCAATGTAGACAGACGTCAGAAAGTACGCAAAAAGAGTGAGACAAAAGAACGCAGAATCGCCGGTTTTGTTTGTTTAATCACCGCCTTGAGTCTGGATTTTTTATTTTTTGGTATTCATCAATTTAGAATAATCCTCTGTATTATACGACGAAGAGTAAAGAATGTCAAATCTGTTACGCGTTGACAGCAATCTTGATGCTACATCACAAGTAGATATGGAGGACTACAGAGGTATGTTCATTCTCTATTTGTAACTTCCAACTCTAATTATGACAGACGACGTGCGTATTATTGGCTACGATCCATTGGTACAACCTGCGTTACTCCAGCATGAGATTAGATCCACTGCTGAGAGCCAAAAGTCTATAGCAATGGGTAGAAATGCCGCAGCCAACATTATACACAACAGGGACGACAGAGTGATCGTCGTTATTGGTCCATGCTCCATCCACTCACCTGAACAAGCTATCGAATACGCTAAGATGCTCAAGGAAAAAATTCCTCAATGGCCAGGTTTGCATATCATCATGAGAGCTTACTTTGAGAAGCCACGTACTACTGTTGGTTGGAAGGGTCTCATTAACGATCCAGATATCAACGGTTCATTCAAAATTAACAAGGGTTTGAGAATCGCCAGACAACTCCTTTGCGATATCACTGAACTTGGTCTTCCTGTTGGATGTGAATTGTTGGACACAATTTCACCACAATACCTCGCCGATTTGGTATCATGGGGTGCAATTGGTGCTAGAACAACTGAATCTCAATTACACAGAGAATTAGCTTCAGGTGTTTCCTTCCCAATTGGTAAGTCCTTCAAATATTGAATAACCTTCGTCTGATGACATCATAGGTTTCAAGAACGGTACAGACGGTTCAGTTGGTGTATCCGTTGACGCTATGCGCTCAGCAGCCCACCCACACTCTTTCATGGGTGTCACTGAGCAAGGCTTGGCTGCGATCGTCAAGACTGCAGGTAACGCTGACCTTCACCTTATTTTGAGAGGTGGTACTAAGGGCACAAACTTCGACAAGGACTCCGTACAAGCCGCTGAAGCTGCCATTAAGAAAGCACGCCCAGATAACCACCCAGCTATTATGATTGACTGCTCACACGGTAACAGCTCAAAGAACCACCGTAACCAACCAAAGGTTATTTCAGATATCTCACAACAAATCCGTGCTGGAAACAGATCAATTGTTGGTGTCATGGCTGAATCTAACATCTGTGAAGGTAGACAAGATGTTCCAGCTGAAGGTCCATCTGGATTGAAGCACGGTGTATCAATTACTGATGCATGCGTTGACTTTGAATCAACTGTCAACATGCTCAACGAACTCAATGATGCTGTACTCTTCAGACGCTCACAATCTAGCCAATCAAATGGCGTTCATTGAGTTTAAAATTAACTAGGAACTCTTTTTTCTTTTAATGCAAATAATCAATTATTTCCATACATTTTGCACTTTCTTTTAATCGCTTTTTGGCCTGATGAGGTACACTGAGACTGTCTTATTATTGGAAGAAAATGAACTTACCAGTTCTCTATAAGCCAAGATTCCCTTCTACTGAGATTGCTTTCTCTTTTATTGAGTGTGCTCTCCCACCGGGTGAGTTCTAGTTCACGTAAGACGAGCGATTGATCTGTGATACATTCAGTTTCCTCTTCTTTGACTTCCTCTGGCGGTGGAATAGACTTCCAATAGAGTGCTGTTTCTCTTGAAGCAACTAAAGATTCCCTCTCAGCAACTTTTGCTTCCCTTTCACTCACGCTGGCAGCTTTCTGAGCTTCATTGTTGAGAACGTAGGGTGATACTATAAACAATGAGAGTATAGCTACGGCTATAACGAGTAATATATTTATATCAACGAACTGTTTGACCATGACGATAAGATGCACTCTCACTCAAAGATAGTTTAATTTAGCAAATTTGACGACGAATGTAATAAATAGCGTGTTTATTTTGTTATTCAAATAATTTATACCTTAAAATTATTGTCTTGCTTTGGATAGACTTTGTCGCTTACGCTTTGTCACCTTTTCCGATATCGTCATGGCCTTATATTTAAAAACTGCTCTAGTAGGCGACAGTTCAATAGGTAAAACCAGTTTAATGGTTAAATACGTTGAGTTAGTAACCTTCCACTAATCCACCCTGATATGCGCTTATAACATTCTTCTCAGAGGTTCATTCGATGAGGATTATATCCAAACGCTTGGTAAGTCCTGCTTTCGTATCAAACTACTTTCTTATACATTATCAGGTGTTAATTTTATGGAGAAGACTATTTCAATTCGACAAACTGAGATCACTTTCTCTATATGGGACTTAGGCGGTGAGAAAGCGCGTAGATTTTCAATCTTATAGACTAAAACATCCAAACAGGTCAAAGAGAGTTTGTTAATATGCTTCCACTCGTCTGCAACGATGCAGTAGCCATTTTATTCATGTTTGACTTATCGAGGAAGAGTACCCTCAACTCAATAAAAGAGTGGTACAGACAGGCTAGAGGTTTCAACAAAGTTGGTACTTTAGTTAATAAATTTTACCAATTACTTACTAGAACCCCCAATAGACAGCCATACCGTTCCTAGTCGGCACAAAGTTCGACATTTTCGCTGGTTTGCCAAAGGAAGATCAAGACGAGATTACTAAGCAGGTTAGTTCCTTTGCTAATGTTATATGTCCTTACTTAACGCCCTTCAAAGGCTAAAAGATTCGCAAAAGCTATGCACGCACCACTCATCTTCTGTTCTACATCCCATTCAATACACGTTCAGAAGATCTTCAAGATCGTTCTCTCAAAAGCATTCGATTTGAAGTGTACCATTCCGGAAGTACACGAATCAGGCGAGCCTTTGCTCATTTATAAAGATTAAAATAATCTTTCAAGGATACCTCAGTCAATATCTCTCCCTTACAATTGCATCATAATTTCTGTTTCTAATATTTCACTCTCTTGACTTAAAGTTTTTTTTTTCAACTCATACAAAACGCGTGCATTTGACATATTTGAAGTGTGTTTTTATACTTTTTCCGAGTACTAGATTGGTATCGTGTATCTTTTAAGGAAATGTGTGTATTAAATGACACTTAGGATGCTTTTTCATCAGAAGACGTATGTAAATTTTTCAGCACTAAACGTGCATAGTCAAGTAATGTGATATTATATATTAATATTTGAATACTCCATACACTAAATCATTCAAAGCTCGACCAAATTCTGGTATGTACATTCCTGATTATAGTGCGTTCTTGATTTTAGTGTGGCTTTTACGGATATAAATTGTGAACTAAGTTTCTCCTTTTACCTTACAACTCTCAAGTTACTTCTATTACTACTACAATGATCGCTCAAACTCTCGCTGTCTCCGCTCTCGTCGCTGCTACCTTCGCTGCTCCAGCTGGTGGCTCAGAAACTGGCTCATGTAACACTGGTCTCGTTTCATGTTGTGACACTTCAAAGGATGCTCAAAAGTCAACCGGTGAAGAATCAGGTCTCCTCCACACTGGTGATGTCCTCGACCAAGTCGCCGTCCAATGTACTCAAATTCCATTGCTCATTGGTGTTGCTCTTGAAGATGAGTGCAAGAACACTCCAGTAAGTCTTACATTATCGAAAGTAGCTTCCTCTAACAAAATACCCAGGTCTGTTGTGAAAAGGCTTCAGAAGATGGTCTCCTCGGTATTGACTGCACTCCAATCTCACTCATCTAAGCTAGATAAAATTTGGGCATGTTTGTACTACATAATACATAATTCTCGCATCTACTTTGTTCGCTGAAAATTGTCATTGAGTGACAGTTATAAATGACGCATATTAATTGTATTTGATATTATATATTGCAATCCAGACAACCACTTCTGTCGTCTTGTTACACAGATCTTCGTTTGTACGAAGAAAGTCAGAGCAGAGAGTGAAGTTAAGTAATAAAAGTATAATTTTTCTATTTATCTTCTATTCTATAAAATCATTTATAAAAACCCACTATGTTAATTTTTTCGCCTTACTTAAAAATCTGAATTGGCTTCTTGCTTCAAAACAGCTATCAGCTAAGAACGAAGGACGACATCTCCTTAGATTGACTGACTTAGCAAAGAATCTATAATGGTAAGTAATACGTTTTATTTAATGAAAGCACATAATAACACAACCTTCGCAGTCTGAAAACGGTGAACAAGTCGAAGTCCCACAAGAGGAAGTTGAAGTTGCTGAGGCCGCTCCAGCTGGCAAGATGTCAGTTGAAGAAGCCCTCCAACAAGTTCTCAAGAACGCCCTCTACCACGATGGTTTGGCTCGTGGTTTGAGAGAATGTGCTAAGGCACTCGACCGCAGAGCTGCCCACCTCTGTGTTCTCGTCGAAACCTGCACTGAAGCTGAGTACATCAAGCTCATTGAAGCTCTCTGTGCTGAGCACAAGATCAACCTCATCAAGGTCTCAGACGCTAAGGTTCTCGGTACCTGGGCTGGTCTCTGCAAGATCGACAGAGAGGGTAACCCACGTAAAGTCGTCGGTACCTCATGCGTTGTCGTCCGTGACTTCGGTGTTGAGTCAGAAGGTCTTAACGTCCTCCTCGACTACTTCAAGAGCCGTAACTAAGTGGATTACTGTATGACTACATAGATTCTATGTTGCTCTTTTATTTTAGGCCTTTAGGCTTTTTGACAGATTATTCTAACCTTTTTGAGTCGAGTACGTCATTTTGAATGATGAAGCCATTTAATTGCGATTGTGTAGTATCCTAATTATCTCAGGGGAAGATCCTTTTATTTTCTCTTTTCATTCTTCAGAACACTCCCATTATGAACCCATAATGCCCTTTGATAGTAATACCGATGGAAGCATCCTACTCAGAAATCTTTTCTAAATCCTGAACATTACCTTACTCCCATAATATGGCTTCAATGATATATCTCACGTTTCAATTAGACTATCTTATCCTAATAATGACTTCTTTGGGCGGCTATACGGTCCAAATACAAACTTAAGGAAAGTATACGAATATATCTTATTTTAGCTTTTTTCAAAGAACACGACCGACTGCTGACGGTCGTTACGTAAGTTGAAGATGTATCTTTGACAAAAAGTGAGCCATCCTAACTCAATCTTCATAATCTCAATATTAATTCACACTTGTGAGAATGTGAGAATGTGTGGATATGTAAACCTATATCAAAGTGTTACAGTACCTTAAGGCACTTGAAATTATCAAATAGTGTTTATATGAATGAGTAAATATTAGCAAGTCTGTAGAATCTACTGTCATTGTGAAAGAGCTCCCTTATTTTGATATTGACGAGATTACGTTTATTCTTCTTATATCAAAGGCAATGTCACAGCTGAGCAACTCCTATGTTTCGATCATTTGTCACATTGAGCGTATCTCACGTACATTTGCCTGGCTTTTACTATCCTTCTAAATGACTATTTGTGTGTACTATGGAAGCGCAGATACGGTAGATCTTTTTTTGAACTTTATAATAATTATGGAAGTAATCCTGTTAACAAACACATCTGAGACTCACTCACTGTGAAGCTCAAAAAATACAATCATGATAGAAGAATATAAATAAAATTACCTTGTTAATGGGTAATTAAAGATGTCATGTCTCTGAATATTGTTGTTGCATTCCTAAGAAAACTATCGACTGGGATAGAGTCAGGTGCATTTGTCGTTCCTGTGTATAAAAATCACACGTCGTTATGCCTATTTTTGGATGCCTTATTGGATAATAAATTTCTTAAACTAAATTTTTATACAATTAATAGTGTGTTTATAAAAGTCCAATCAGGCTGTCAGAACAATGACGTCATGTGAGCATACCGTGTTGCTGGTAGAACAAGAGAGAAGCTTGGATCCTTGTCTAGAGAGTGAATATACTGTAAAGTAAGTATACTTTCATTTACACACCACATTTCCGACCAACAAGTAGCTTCTTAGCTGCACTCATTCATGTCAGCCTCACTCGCAAATCTACCTACAGAAATAATACACACTCTTATAAAAGAGCATAAATGTTATAGTTTACGTTGTATTTCAAAAAGACTCTACTCTATCGCAATTGACATTACCTATACGGGAAAACTCTATAGTCCAAAAACACCATCAACCAATGATAGCACACTAATGAGTGTACAATCTTATCTACAATTTCTTCAGAGAACTCCTGGAATGGCTTACGCAGAGTCAATAAAGTGAGTAAACAAACAGGAGAAATCGATTTATCTTATACAAATTGAAGGGAATTATACCTCAACCTTGATCACTTTACAGGTAATGCACGTTTTGAAGAATGTGGTGAGATGTCTGCCTGTATTAAGACATTTCCAAATTTGGAAACAGTTGAGATAACTTACGAGAGAATGTTCGATGAAGAGGATATCCCCAAGCTGGTTGGGTATTCCAATAGCGTTAAAGAACTCACTATTAATATCCACAAAATAGATACACAAGCTATAAAGCCACTCGTGGAAGCCATAGTTGATCAATATCCAAAACTTCAAATACTTAAAGTTCAACGTCCATCATTCGTCCGTCAACCTGGTTTTGATCTTTCTGCTCAAAAGTCTTTTATAACCTACCTCACAAATGCTGCTGTCTCACATAAGAAACTCAAAACTGTCTTGATCAAGAATTACAGAATTGATATCCAAACGGGTTTTAACAGAATTACTGTCAAAACAAATGCAAACTATATTCATATATATAATAAGACAAAGAGAGGCTATGAAGAGAAGACACATACTAAAAGCAAAAAGGTCGCATTAAGAAGGTATTATCCTCAATGTACTGACAATGTTGATACACCTAGTAGAGAATCTCATACTTATGATCCTTTGGATGATTTTTCTTATGAGTCCCTTTGTCCAAAACTTCAAAAATATGCTAGAACTGATGTTCATGCTCGTGATAATCTACGTTCTTTAATTGTAGATGAAGGACGTGCGCGTTCTCAATATCTTCATTACGATTTAGAAGACTACATTGATTGGAATAGCGTTGATAGCTATTTCGATTATTGCTACGGCGGTCGTAACAATTACAATCGTTAAAGTTGCTAAGCTAATTACTAGTAATATTACTTGCTGAAATATATCCGCTTTTTTTTATTCCATGTTTAAATAACGAATTATTCTTGAATTATGTTGTTGTACTAAATAAATTAACGAATTGATACATTAATTGGTTTATATGTTGCAAAAATAATTAAGAAAACCAGTGAAAATAAACAATGCAAGATCACCAAAAATTTTGGAAAAAGAGAAGCAGCCGTAGTCGAATACTCTACCATTGAGCCAGCCGGCCTTGACCGACGCAGGGCTCGAACCTGCAACCTTTCGATATCGAAACGAACCGTTAGTTCTTCCGCTTCTCTGCATTATTTCAATTTTAACTTCGTGTGTATCGCCTTTTTTGCAAATTCTGAAAATTTTCCTCTAGAAATTGTGAAGGTAAGATGGCGCACCCCAGGTTATTCAGTCAGATGTTAGACTTGAAGATATCCACAAGGTCAATATTGGGAAAATATCATGACTAAACAAATCGCAAGTTAGGAAAACGTCCTGGTTGTTCTGCATTTTTGTATTTGCAGTACGAAAGTTTATCCTGTTCATAAAAAATATATTGGTAATTGTTGCAAATCACACTCCCAGTCTCGGTTATAATCCAAAGTCCTTCTAAGAAGCCACTTGTATGGTCACTCCGAAATCGAATCAGTCGTCATGCGGAGAAGCAGGCAGCTATTGAAACGTCTCGTCGGCTTATCCATCTTCTAGTGTATTTTGTTAGATTTCTAATTTTGGGGAACTAACCAATTGTACAGTCTAATAAGAAAGGTCAACACTAAAAATGAATGGACGTCAAAAATTTCTTCATACTTTATGCAGTGTAGGCTCGAAAGGAATTATTTATTTGAACAAAATGAAGTTTCCTGGACTAAATAATTATTAGGGGTATACTAAGGTACCCTTCGATAAACCTTTTATGTCAGGTAATTTATGGGAATGAGTATTGTAACTTGATAACTCACCTAAGTGATAACTTACTCACGAAATAAGACTCTACATAGTCAAAATCACAAAGCATTCCTCGAGAGATTCTACAACACATATTTAAAAGTTAAATATGTTCTAATAAATAAATTACATCTATATGGCATTTTCACCATTAAAATAATCCTTTTGTTTAAGGCAGACTTCATTCGTACATCCTGGACACCTCATTTTAAACTGCGTGGATGTTGGTTTACCAGATTCCCAACCACCTACGTATCCAGTATCTTGAATCTCAGTTGTGCTTTGATTTGATGGATAAACGTTATGTAAGTGTGCAGCAGCGAGATCAGCAATCGCACGTATGAAAGTTGGACTGTCGTTGAGACTTGGAGCTCTCTCCAATCTGAGGCCAATTTCGTGTGCTTCTTCAGCATTCTCCAGATCCAATTCGAAGAGAGTTTCAATATGATCAGATGTGAAAGCTATTGGAACGACTATAGCCTTTTTGTATCCCAATTTACGCAATCCTTGTATTGCGTCTGAAGTTTGCTGACCTAGCCAGGCTGAAGGTCCAACTTGAGATTGCCAAACTAGTCTATGTGGATTAGCGTGTCCTGTTAATTGTGGTAAAAGAGACACGACAGATTGTACAGTTGATGCTACTTCTGCGGGATATGGATCACCTCTATTGACGATTGACATTGGTAGTGAGTGCGCCGAGAATAAGATTGGTACATGCTTGCGTTCATCTTGATCGAAACGTTGAAGAGCTTGGTGGATGTTCTGAGCAAATGCTTTAACTAAACCTGGATGAGTTGGCCACCTATCGATAACAGACCATTGAATGTCAGTATCAGTAGTTTTTATTTGCTTATATAACTCATTGAGACTGCTTCCTGTAGTCGAACAAGAATATTGTGGGTATTGAGTAAATGCTACAGCTCTTTTTACACCATCCTTTTTCATTTGCTCGAGTGTGTCAGCTGTGAGAGGATTGACGTATCTGAAAGCTACGTAAGGCTTATGTGGAGCTGTATGAGGCGACAATTCATCAAGCAACTTCGCCATTCCTTCACCCTGTATTTCTGTCCACTTAAGAATGGGTGAACCACCACCTATAGCAGCGTATTGTTCTTTTATCTTTGGTGTACGCTTACTAGCGATACGTGGAGCTAATAATTTCTGAAAAGGTAAAGGTATGAGATCCTTATCATGAAATAAATTCGATAAGAATGAGTGTACGTCGTTTAATGTAGCAGGACCACCCATATTCATCATAACTATCCCAGTTGGACTAAAATAACGTCAGAATTGTTGATTAATACAAGTATATAATAAACACACCCAGATGAATTCTGATTTATAACATTTTTTAATCTAATAAGAGAAGACTTCATCAGTGATCCAATGAGCAGTTGGTTGTTAGTTAGAACGTTATGAGAGTGACATATCTAAGGAATTATATGAGAAGGATATCGCCATTTGACAAGTTGTCTGCTAGATTGGGTTTAGAGGATGCACACAATGAATTGAGGTGGATCAAGCAATCTTCTTCTAATCCTAGAGAAGTCGATAGAATGATAGAAGAACGTGTTAAAGGGAAGCCATTGCAGTATATCCTAGGTATGACTCTAGTACTACCACGCTTTCACTCAAATACATACAGGTGATCAGCCATTCTTGGACACGACAATAAAAGTAAAGCCACCTGTCGTTAGTTGGATAGTTTATTGGTTATTGTCAACTATTCTAACAATCGACAGCTTATACCACGCCCAGAGACAGAATATTGGACTAATGAGCTCATTCGGCGGCATAAAGATAAGACTAATTTACGTATAATCGATCTATGCACTGGATCTGGTTGTATTGCCATTAACTTAGCCAAGGAGTTACGGAATTCGACCGTTAGAGCGTATGATAAGTCAGACGACGCCTGTGAACTAACAAAAGAGAACGCAAAATTGAATTTAACAGTCGATCAACTATCACGTTTTGAAGTTATAAAAAGAGATATAATGACGCATCAATTTGATGATAAATTTGATATACTAACCATGAATCCACCGTATATCACGAAGACTGACTATCAGGCACTCGATAAGAGCGTCAGAGAATGGGAAGACGTCGATGCATTGTTAGCAAAATCTAATGATGCAGGAATAGAATTTTATATGCGCGTGATTGAACAACTATTGCGTTCAAATCTAAAAGGTGAAATTTGGTTTGAAGTTGGTTATAATCAAGCGGATTTGGTGTCTAAATTGGTAGATAATTGTTCTATTGAGCGTATAAAGGATCCATTTGGTGATTTCGATAGAGCTATAATATTGTATTTATAAATTTGACCAAGCTTCTTGCTTCTTTTGATTGCGTACTTTTGCTTTCTCTTGATTACGCTTCGTTCTATCTATTCTCTCATCTCTGAGGCATTTACCGAGTTGTTTATCAATATCCTGGCAGCCTCCTAGTATTCTGAACATCCAACCACCTTCTTCTCTACACTCGTATAGCTGTCGTATAATATCACCACAGGCTGGTTGCTTATTTAGCGATTTATACATAAATTTTTATTTTAACCTACCAGCTTGCTTCGCATCTGTGTATAAATGTGGATGCATCTTGGTGGTAAATGGAGAAGATGTTAGAAAGCTTTGTATTATTATTATTATATTATTTAGACGCTTCTGAAGGTTAATAAATGGTATTTTTATACAATACAGGCAAACTGAGCTGTTATCAATATCGATGAGGTAATATACACATCCAAAGCATTTGAACTCGATAACGTAGTTTTAGATATCTTTCGCAAAGTACCCATAAAGATCTTATTATTCAAAGAAGGGACATCAGCAAAAAAAGGTAAAGTTGGAATAGGGAAAAACTTGAGACCCATGAAGTAAGAGAAAGGGAAGAGGAAGTATTATTATAGTTACCCACCCACAGCATTGGTAGGAGAATGTCTCTAAAAGGTAATAAAGTGAACTGGATATTGGATGTTCTCATAGATGACGTCATGCCATGTGGTGTGATGTTTGGGATACTTGTGGCGATCAACTTTCTAATCTTTTCTTCTCTTTCTTTACTAACATCAACAGTAAAGTGAGTTTTATTTATTCGACCATTGACTAGCTCACGTAAACGCAAGAAATGTCTTCACCACAAGTGTGTTAATTCCTGCATTCTCTTAGAGACACCTATTGACGATCTGCTAGCCACCAAACACTCAACAAACACAGAAAGGTGCCAGAGATACAGCTAGAACGTTCAATAAATTCGCCAAGCGTGATCCAGCTCTGTATCCTGTAGGTATTGATTATCACTTTTTCAGCAAATTAACAACCAATCCAGCTCGCTGGTATCATCGGAGGTATCGTCGTAGTAGCAGGCTTCTTCCTCACTAGCAAAACGGACACGACGAAAGCAGAGCGCAAATTTGCCAACCAAACATGGGCTGACAGGCTAGCTCAAGAGAAGACGAACTGGAAGACAGAGTTGAACACTCCAGTGAGTAATATACCTGGGTAGGCTACTGTGTCTGCCTTAGTTTTCGATATTGACGTCTCTAGCCATCAAAATAATTCAAAAACAAGTAAATTAGCCCAAATGTACTTCTTTGGAATGCCTTGAAATGATTTTAAATTTTATTTATTTGTAACTGATTAGTTATCTTGCTCTTGACGATCATTGACGATAGCGTGTATAGTAGCACTTCTATAGCCAGAGAAGTGTCGTGTTTTGAAATATACTAGTGTATATTATACACTATATATATACAAGATGGATGGATTGCATTTAGAGATCAAACCCGACAAGTACCATTACTTTGCGGGTGATATTGTCATTTTTAGCATTAAATTTAGTAATATACAATCAAGCACTCCGGTTTATACACATAACAGATCCATATCCGCTATTCCATCAACTAGTTCCAGCATTTCAGCTCCAACAACGTCTACGCTGACGTCTACGTCACAGAATACAGTACCCAAAGATATTCCCCAACGCTGTGGCTTAATAGGTAAACAACCTGAAAACCAAAATCAATCCTCAATTGGTAAAGGTAGACCTTCTCCCTTGCGGCATAATAGAAACGTACATTCAATTGATTACAGCTCACCCTCACCTTCAAAACAACTATCAAAGAGGTTCTCCTCAGATACTCTCAATAGCTCAGCTAATACAGATAGTCAGCAATCACCCCAATCACCTAGTAGATCACCTTCTTTACCCAACAAACATCCACATACGCGTAAAGCATCAACCTCAAGCACACCAATGCCATCATCTAGCACGATGCAAGATAGTCATTCGCAAAAGTTATCGAGGAATCTAAAAACTCCACTTTTACCTAATCATGAGAAAATATTATGGGCGACGGCCCAATTGAATGGCAAAGTAGAATTAAATAATTCTCTCATCAAGAAGAAAACAACCCAATCACACAAATCATCCCAGATTTTAGGTGGTGGTATTATAGACTCAAAAGAGAACAAAAAGACGCATCATAGACGTAGTAGTACATTATTTAATTTCAACCTGAGTAATTGGTTTCATCAGGCTAATCAAAGTAATACTTTAAGTAAAGATAAAGACATTGCTAATAAAAATACATCGTTGTCACTATGGGAAACGAGAAGGGCTGTTTTGATAGTCGACAAGGTGCTTGCACCTAATGAAGAGTTCGTCATCAAATTCCAACATCAACTACCTTCAACTTTACCACCCACTTATGACGGTAAAATTGGCAAAATATCGTACCAATTCGTGCTGGGCACTAACAAACAGAACGGCAGCGCTAGAATTGTTAATATGCCTCTAACAGTATTACCAAACGTAACACTAGATGAAGATCATAGGCGTTTCGATATATTAAAACCCTTAATAGAAACCAAGGAAGAATCTAAAGTCGACATTGGTGATGTGAAGGACTCATCAGACAAGACAAGCCAAGATCAAGCATTATGTTTTGAAAAGGCGTATCGCTATGCCAATAAACTACATTCTTCTGTAAACAAAAGTACGATAAAAAGAAGTAGCAGTACCCATTCATCTGGTTATGATGGTCCATTCGAGCATGTAGACTCCAACGCTAAGGTTGGTGAGCAATGCCGTACCGCTATTGGAATAAATTCAAGGCATAGTCAAAAGGTAACTTACGAAATTGCCAAAGAGGGTCTTAATATTGGTGTTCTTTCACTCGTCAAATCCACTTTCCGTTTGGGTGAAACCGTTTTGGGTAAAATCAGCATAAATAAACCTCACACCGTTAGTGGAAGGGTACTAAAGGTTTGTTGCTTCTATTTATTATTTATTTCGCTAATAAGGATCTTTAGTTCTCAGCAACACTTGAATCACACGAAGTTGCAAATGATGAACATGCAGCACTCAATACGAAGCATACAATCAATGCTACTCGCAAAGTACATTCGGAATTCCACGAACCTCTGACGATTGACTTTTCTGAGCTCGGTTTTGCACTGGATGTGCCCTCACATCAATCGTCTGATTTTCAAACTTCGATATGTAAGTATGAACACTTGTTCTACGATCCTTCTGACATAAACATTCAGTTGAAGTGCGATGGGTGATTAAACTTTCGTTCTTGATACTGTCACCACCAATAATGGTAGAGCCATCACCTCGTCCATCTATATCACCTGGTTCATCTACTAGTTTAAACGATTGGTCACCACTGCCCACACCAACTTTACAACCACTCCCTCGCACGCCCTTCACGTCATCTTCAATGGCGTCTTTCTCGACACCTAGTTCACCGTCACTTAATGTAAGTCTTGGAAATGGAACATATGTCAAGGCTATTAGTCACCTCGTTGGTGTCGATGGAGTGCCAAATTCATACAGACCACAGGACAGACTCGGCGGAGGCGATGGTAAGGGTAAAGAAGAAGTAATTCAATGCCAAATACCAATAAAAATATTACCAAATTCGACAGATTATGAACCCGATTCTTGTACACTTGTAATTTGATTATACACTAATTGATAACGCTCTTGTTGAGACACTACCATGTCGTCATCACTTCCTCCTCTCAAAACTAAGCTTACTGGGCATAATGGACCAGTTAACGTCGTTAAATTTAACAACCAAGCGGGTAGATATTGTCTTAGCGGTGGGCGTGATCGAAGTATACGCCTCTGGAATCCACATTTGGGATCTGAAGTAAAAACCTATCAAGGACACGGTTGGGAGGTCTTAGGATTGTCAATGTGGGTCGTCTTACGAAAATTAGATTAGTTATACTTATCATGATGTTCAGAACACAAGATAATACGCATTTTGCGAGTTGTGGTGGTGATAAGTCCGTCTTCCTTTGGGATGTACAAGCAGGGGCTGTTGTTAGACGGTTTTCAGGGCATAATAGCAAAGTAAATAGCGTAGCATTTAATCACGATGGTTCAGTTTTGGCTAGTGGTAGGTCTATCAAGTATCTTTATCAATGTTTACTGAGATGTATACAGGCTCATACGATTCAGTAGGTGTTTGTCTCTATAGCAAGAATATACACTCAAATGCCTTCCCAGACAGTCAGGCTATGGGACATGCGGGCGCGTCAGAGATTACCACTACAGATACTCGACGATGCTAAAGACAGCGTGGTTGATATTCACATAGCGGGTGATAGAATATTCACTGCGAGCGTAGATGGATATCTACGTACGTATGATCTCCGAGCAGGTCAACTACGTCAGGATTTCCTCGATTGTTTGTCTTCTTTATCTGTTAAGAAGAACCTTTCACTGACTGACATACTCAGATTCGGTCACCTCGGTCACTCCAACTGCTGATAGGTCTGCTGTACTCGTCGCAACGCTCGATAATAAAGTTCGGCTGATTGACTCTGCGACCGGCTCATTATTAGCATTATTTGAAGGACATACAGCAGAGTCCTTCCGTGCACGCTCATGTCTGGGATCTGGAGAAGCTACTGTTCTTTGTACAAGTGAGGATGGTCGCCTCTTCCTCTGGGATTTGCTTGATGTGAGTAAAATATAAGTCTAAAACATCCCTTTTGACAATGACTGCAGGGGAAAGTACTATCAGACAGTAAAGCACATGAGAAAGCTGTCCTATGGGTCGACCATCATCCTTCTAGACCTGAAATTTTAAGCGCTGGTAGTGAGGGTGTAATAAACTTTTATAGTAATTAGGTAGGCTAAATTAGGCGTGTATTATAGATGTATAGGATAGATTACATAATCGTACATGCGTCTCCCTCTGTACGGTTTTCAACTTCGTCAGTCCAGCTAGCGTTGTTAGTTGCACCACCATCACCCTGTCCATCAAGGTAGACGATAAGCTGACCGGCATTACTTGGGTCGACTTTACAACGGAGGTTCTCCTTGCGCATCATTTCCTCGATCGCTGGTTTCATTTTTGAGACGTGGTTCTTAGAGTGTGTACCTCTACCAACGACGACCTTGATTGGGTTTATACCAGATGTACGGGCGTTGGCGATAGCTTGGGTTGTCTTCTCGACAGCTTCACGGACGTACAAACCGTGGAGATCAACTTCATCACGCTTGTTGTCCAAGTTGTTCTTCTCGAAAATCCAATCAGCGGCTTGCATATTTAAATCGTCACGCTTTTGCTTGTGCTTACCACCTTCGGTACTGAGCTCCTTAGCACGCGCACCATCGCCGGACTTATACGCATCCTGCGATTGATCGTAACATTTACGCATCAAGTCACCTTCTTTGTTGGCCTTATCACGAAGTTCTGTGTACTCAGGTCTAGATTGCCAGTATTGTTCGGCTGCTTGTCCTTGTATACGTTTTGGTCCGAGTTCTTCCTTCTCCGGGACAGCCTGTCCGGTTGGCTTCTGTTGTTGTGGTTTCTGCGTTGGCTTATCTTGCTGCTTTTGGTGGTCCTCTATTTCCTTGACGCATATTTTAAACAACTTTTTGAGAATTCCAACCCAATTCATTTTGCTGCGTTTTCCGACGGGAGCAAAAGAAGAAAAAGGTATATAAAAAGGGTAGTATAGTAAATTCTGACATAGAATGCTAAACTTTGTTGACTATCATCTGAGATTTCCTTTGCTAGTTGAACCACTAAAATTGAATATTTCCCCTCATTGGCTGCTCGGGTAATTAGTGAATTTTTATGTTTATATATCTTTTGTATATATTTTTAAATAGTGTTACAAGTCTGGCTAGACCCTCAATTACTCAAATTATCCAAAATATCGTCATTCTTTTAATGCGGGGATAATTACGGGCAAGTGACGTATCAAGTCGTTACACCCGAAGCTAATTTACAGATTACTTTTGTTCGCTGAGAAAATTATTATTCCACGTCAGTCATACACTGCTGGGATGTGAATTTTTTTTATTATTGTATCCACAACATATATAATTGCGTCGTATTTTAGCACCACTCCTTTCATCCAACTATCAACTATCCACAGCAAAGTAAGCAAGTTTGTTACGCTGTATGCTATCTTCAGTAAAGCATACGCGAACATCCACACGTAACATACTAACATCAAGATAGCTTTTTTTGCATTAACTTAAGAACTTAATTAAAGACGACGAACATCTAGAAAGAAAATGTCAGCTACAGAAGGAACACCACAGAACACAAACATACAAACCGTTTCACGTCATATCCTTGAAGACCAACATCAATCACCAGCCGCTTCAGGCGACCTTTCCTTGCTCCTTACATCAGTTACCTTAACATCTAAGTTCATTGCTAACAATGTACGTAAAGCCAGACTTATTAACCTGTTAGTTATATTTTACATTTAAGACTTTCTCTAACAGTACATAGTATCGGTCTCGCAGGTGAGACAAATGTACAAGGTGAAGATCAGAAGAAATTGGATGTTCTCTCTAATGAAATCATGATAAACTCACTTAGAGCATCTGGTAAAACCGCCGTTTTGGTTTCTGAGGAGCTTGATGACCCTGTATTCATCGAGGACGAGAAGAAGGGCAAGTATTGCGTCACTTTCGATCCATTAGACGGTTCATCCAATATCGACGCTGGTGTTAACGTTGGTACTATCTTCGGTATCTACAAGCTCAGAGAGGGATCTAAGGGTGAGATTGAAGACGTTCTTCAAAAGGGTTCCGAAATGGTTGCTGCCGGTTACACTATGTATGGTGCATCAACCAACCTCGTTATCACAACTGGTTCAGGTGTAAATGGTTACACTCTCGACCCGGCACTCGGTGAATTTATCTTGACACACGAGAATATCACACTCCCTGAAAAGGGCTCAATTTACTCTTTCAATGAGGGTAACAGCAAGTTCTTCCACGAACCAGTCAACAAATACCTCGACTCTATAAAGAATCCAGCTGATGGTTCAAAACCATACTCTGCTAGATACATTGGTTCCATGGTTGCTGATGTACACAGAACCCTTCTCTATGGTGGTATCTTCGGTTACCCAGGTGACAAGAAGACAAAGGACGGTAAACTCCGTATCCTTTACGAAGGTTTCCCAATGGCAATGTTGACTGAACAAGCTGGTGGTATCGCTACTACAGGTACAGAGCGTATCCTCGACATCAAGCCAACATCAATTCACCAAAGAGTACCAGTTTTCCTTGGTTCAAAGCATGAAGTGAACCAAGTTATTGAATTCCACAAGAATGCATGAATTAACAATGTTGTAATCTTTTGACTAATAAATTAAATCTTGATCTTAATAATGAATGAATGTAAAACGCGTGTATTGTGCACTTTAAATGATTGAAATAAAAAAATAAAAACCAAAAGAAGAGATAAAAAAATAAAACGCGCAATTTTAAGTTTATTCTTGGCTTTATCGTCTGATCGATGAGGAGAAGTACTCGGCTGCTCCTTGTAATAGTATCAACTTGTTTAATTTTAATGGGAATATTTAAATCAATTAAGAATTCATTTAACAAAATCGATAATCAGGGAGGTAACGCTCCAGCTACTGAGTCTTATCCCACTGGTAATGCAATTGTGCCACCTCGGGTACTCTCCCCAGCGGACGTTTACAGATTCCGTAAGCAAAGGGGTGTCAATCTAGGCAGTTGGTTCGTATTAGAGAAGTGGATAACCTGGTCACCCTACAACCATGCGAAGAGTCCAGCTCAAAGTGATCACGATGTGGCAAGAGGTGGAAATGCACAGCAAATCATGGAGCATCATTACGAGAATTGGATTAAAGAAAGTGATTTCGAATGGCTCAGTCAATTGGGTATAAACACCGTGAGAATACCTATCGGCTATTACCATTTCTCGAAATATTTAGGTGATAACTACCTAGATGGAACTGATTTCGAAGGTTTAGGTCATGTTTATCAAAATACAATCAATTATATTGAAAGAGCAGTCGATTGGGCAGAAAAATATAATCTTGGCGTACACTTTGATCTACATTCAGCCCCAGGAAAGCAAAACCACGATGACCATTCAGGTAGATCAGGTCCTGCTATCAAAATGTGGAAATCACGCAATATCGAAGTACTTAAAGAAGTACTTAGGTTCCTAGTGGGCCATTTCCATCAACGTGATAACGTAGTTGCAATCGAATTAATTAATGAACCTGCAAACAATGATCAATTACAGAGTCTTTATCTTGATCTTTTGGGTCAAATTCGTACAATTACACATCCACATTTCCCAATTGCAATCGGTGATGCTTGGGATACAAATTGGTATGCACAATTAGCTGGTGGTAGAAAAGACTTTGTCATCCTAGACCACCATCTTTACAGATGCTTCACTGAAGACCAAATAAGCTCATCCTCCTATGATCATGCAGGTAGATGCAAAGCTGAATATTTGGAATTCCTCCAAGATGCCAAGATGAAAGCTAGAGATAGTCTTATCATTGGCGAGTGGAGTGCAGGACTCAATCCTCGCAGTATGTTGGGAGGTAATCACGACGAGCAGCGTGCTATGTGGGCCAGAGCTCAACTTGAACTTTACGAAAAGACAGCTGCTGGATGGTTCTGGTGGACTCTCCGTAAGGAGCATGGTGGTGATAGCGGATGGGATTTCAAGGAAGCCATACGCACAAATACTCTCCCACATTGGCTTGGCGGCAAGCAAGGTCTGCCGGCCGAAGGTCTAGCTACACTAGAAGAAAGGGATGCTAAATGTGATGAAGCGACTGGTCAGCATGCCGGATATTGGGAAACACAGAACATTCCAGCCAGAGAACATTGGAGGTTTGTAGATGGTTTCAAGCAAGGATGGGATGATGCTGTAGGTAGCCGTGTAATGATCATATATTAGCTAACACTTCAAAAGGTTATGTTCGCTTATCATCGTCCAGGTACAGGCCACGTCGTTGGTCGTTCTGAGATTGGTTTCTTTGGAAAGTGGATAGAAGCACGCATGGACGAACACTTTGCTTATAGAGGTGGATCTAACAATATCTGGGAATTCGAACATGGTTGGCGTCAAGGGCATGATGCTGCTGTTGCTGCGTTGGGCGATTGAAATTAATATATTTCGCAACCTTATACGAATTAATTATACCCTTCATACATCTAATAAATCAAAGACATTTTGCCGATATTTGTGTCTCATCGCCGTCTTATATGTCATTGTTTGTCTAGACTTCTTGGAGTTTGAGCATGCCGTATAAGTAGTTTGAACTATACAACCAACATGAAAACAAATTTCATTGCTCTCGCATCAACACTTCTTATTGCTACTACAGCTTTCGCTGTGTCCATTCATGATGGTATGTGTGGAATTATAACATAGCTTCATTCTCACGCCCAATTCTAATAGACAAGCGTACGCCAGTATACATCTCCTTAGAAGACCAATATGAAGTTAACCTCGAACAACGTTTAAACAGTAAGATTAAAGTTGAAGATTTTCTCTTTCTAAACGACCAAGTAGAATTTGAAGCAGATAAGAATGAAATTGAAGCCTTAAGTGAGTAAGAATCAATTTAGAGAAGTTTCTGATGAAGTTTAGTCAAGCGACTCGTCATAGCTCTTGAGGATGGAGGTGACAACGAAGCGGATGAAGACGGTAAGTCGACATAGCCTAAACATTGGTTCTCCTAACATCCGACAAAGATAAGCGTGGCTTAGATTTAGATGTAAAGAGTAAGTCATCACATAATAATATCTTTATCTGATATAAGTACAGTCCTTAAAGCTGATAAGGAAGAAATTACTGGTGAGTCCATAAAGACTGTTCTTTTAATATTTCTCATAAATATAAAGGTAAGCACAACTACGGTGCATGGAAATAAGCTACGACGTAATGATACGACATCACTTTACCTTTGTCAACGTTAATGCAGAACAGCTTTTAATGCCAAATATGCAATGTATGAATTAAGTAGTATTTTAATTATGACAGTATAAATTATATAATCCAGATCTAGTATCCTTTTTCTTTCAATTAAGCGGCCGCAACGTCGTAAGCGAGCTCTCTTTTAGGTGCATTCGAATTCTTTCTTGGGTGTTCATTACTAGGGAGCGTAGTTGATGGTAGTCCTCTTTCCACATATGCATCCTCATGGTCTTCTTTAGGTTTTATGTGCAATACAAAATGACCTGGATTACCTATGCGCATTTTAATAAGTTCGGACGACGTTGGCGGCAGTCTAGGAGGCCATCTTCTAATCATAGACTCTTTATCTTCATTAGCAAGTTCATACGGACGCTCATGTCGATGTAAGTCAAGAATTTTTGTATGTTCATGTTTTTCATTTTCACATACTGAAAATTCTGAAGTTGATTGACTCGTATGTGTTCGGAGAGATGAAGTCCCATCATTGTATCTGTTTTGTTCAGTGAATTCTCTCACAACATCTACTGTCGCGCCCAAAGCCTGCTTTGGGTTTATTCTCATGCCTTTGTATTTTGATATGCGCGGCGCTATCAGGTTTATATCCGAGAATGAACCGTGTAATGTCCCACAAATTGTAAATAACCATGATGGTAATCCTTTTTCCTTCTGTCGTAGGTGTAATTCATACACTGAACGGAAGTTATCGTGCCAGACGGTGAATTGCTCAGAATTTATTGTAAGCAATGGCACTTTTATGTCTAAATGTGGTGGTGTAAACACTGGAAAAGATATCGCGTCTCGAGGGAATACTTCCCACCAACTCCACTTAGGTGTTATGTTAGATCATGTAAATACGAAATCAACGATAACACTCACAGGATCTAGGGTGATACATCTGACGAAGCCATCAGACTTTGTTGCTATTCTACATACTGTAGCACCTCCAAATGAGTGACCCATGAAGGTCACATCACGTGACGCATCCATATATTTCTCGAACGAGTCCCAATTGACTTTCCTTGCAGACCCACTGACATTTTTTCTATGATTGATCAATTCACAAGCTGGTCCTTGGCCATCGGCGATACGTTTGAGATGCTTCCACGCCATTTCGAGCTCCCGCAATCGAAAATCAAGCTGTTCATCTCGCAAAGGAACATGACTTTCCTCTTTCGTTGCATCATCAAACTTGAGTTGTTTCCAGTCATACCAAGTGACACTCCGCGGTGTGCCTTGCTCACTTCGTTCGTTTAAGGGGGGATATACCCATGTATTCGGCGCGCTACCATCGCGATGTTCAATTGCGCATACTATATAACCATGACTGGCTAAACTACCGCAGAGATGACTGTACATTCTCCTCTGACCACCTAATCCGTGCGAGAAAATAATGAGGGGCCATTTTCCAGTAGGGCAAGCGGCTAATGGCGCATTAGCGTACGCTGGTATCTTTGTACTCCTCGCCAATGCATGCGCGAATGAAACTGTCCTCCGGTAAGTTACATGCCGAAAAGGAATTTTCACCTTACCTGCAAATGTACGCGATATCTCAGCTAATTTGGCGTAACCATAGGCAGTACTAGCAAATGGACGGGGGAACCACTTTATCAACTTCTTACGCTTATCCAAAGCGTTCTTATCCGTTGGATAGAACAATGTAAAAAGAACAGTTTCTAATTTGAGCGGATTTTCCTCAGAATCGAGTTTAAAGCTAGCAGAAGGTTCTCTATCCGGCTGGTATCGTTAGAATACTCTGATAGAAGTCTAATAGGCTAGATTGCCACTAACTTACCTCATCGACTGGCAACTCTAAATCGAAGGCACCTACACTATATTGACCGTCGTATCCAGGTAGTTTTGAGCTTATGTAAGGTACGTATACCATCTTATCCTTGTTTCCGGTTATATGACGTTTGGCTTCCTTACTGTTAGGAAGCAAGCTTGGTGAATAACAATCATATTCCTAAATTGGGATTTTTGTTCTCGTATACACACAACTTGAGGAACTTATAAATATACGCCAAGAGATGCAGAGCGTGAGCAATTTGGATGACCTCGTACGACTTATTAAGGAAGGAACTTGGTTAGTTCGTTAGACAGCAGCTGATATATTCTTATACCGTTATTAGCTATAGCACACTCTTCAAACACTCACTCATCGTTGCTACACTCGTCGGCGTCATCGTTCTTCTCTCACTGATTATCGTCTCAAAATATACCACACTCAAGCAAACATACCTAGGCAGGAATAGATCAGACTTGTTGTCGTCTCTCTTACGCTCTGCTTTGCTCCTCTCTGCCGGATTTGGTAGTTTGGCATTCAGCATTCAGGATGCGCCTTTAGAGAACCAGATTTTTCTGCTAATTGTGACAAATGTATACGCAGCTATTACTTTCTACTTGGACAGCGCATTTGCTTTACTTAAACACATTCAAGTTCATCTCGGAGTGGTGAAACAACTTAAATTAACGTTTTTGACATCAACTTCGTTGATTGCCATAGCTGTAGGTATAATAAACCAAGTATCCCTTCCCTCCTGATAAAAATATTACAGTCAACCTACTTTGACAAGAGACTCTGGTCACCTTTACTTCTCATTTTAGGCTACAATGTTGTAGAGAGCGGTCACGCAAACCAAGAAGACGTGGATTACTGGCTAGAAAACTGCGCAATTGCTGTCACTATCCCAATCATGCCTGATGCTTGGAACGATGAGACTCGTTACGCGTAAGTAGTGACATTGTAAGACAACAAACAGCTTATTAGTATACAATATAGTCTCATCGGGTCGATAGCTATGTTCTCGGCAATAAGAAGATGGTATGTCAATGGCTTCCATCGAAACGAAGAGGTAGGTTTGCTTCACTCTCGTACGGTCTATCTTACACAAATCTAAGTCACTCCAGCATCTCAGCTATCCCGTAATCTGCTGGATGGTATCAAAAATGAATGGATCACTTGTTAATTACTCTCTAATGTTGTTCGTTGCCTGGATAAGACTTCAGCAACCAACAGACAAGCTGGGGTGGTCTGAAGTATCAACGGCATTACAAGCTTTCGCAATTCTCCAATACGTATTTGCGATGGGATGCAATTCGAGCAGTCTTGTCAATGCTTATGATGTCCTGAAAAGCCATGGATTGAAGCTTCAAAACGTGAATATTGCCCTTAGGACATTTGATGATGGATCTAGTATCAAATATGCGTTCCTTTCCGTCGTAATGATTATCTGCATAGCGAATATGTTCAAAAGGATCGACATACCTTTACTTGCTTTCTTCTTGTTGCAAATCTCGTTTCTGAATGTCGTAGTTTTGCTCATTTATGCGCTTAGCTTCTTCATGGATGTCGGAGGTGAGTTAGAACAATTTCAGATTGAACATATGATTCTGACCCGATCGAAGTTAAATTAGACGCCGCCGTAAGCTTGAACATTGTTATGCCTATCATATTTGCTTGTAGCAGCATTCTATTTAGCCACCTCAAGAATAAGCGCGAAGAAACTATCAAATGGGAAGTAGAAGAAAAGAATAAATGATAATACATTCACGTTATGACTTATCTATACTAGCAACTGCACTGCTTGCGGGAAAGAAAGCAGCCTTCAAATTGTTAATATATAAACCCATAATCTCAATGTGCGCTAAAATTGAGAAATATATTGTTTACAAGCCCGATCACATGCATAGTGCTCCTTCAATGAGTACAGCGCACTTACACATGTTCTCAAGACTTGCAATCTACATTATTTTTACTCGTATTTCTTCTATCTGTGTCTTTAGATTTACTAATGGTATATATATACCACCTTTGACGTATTTATAAGTGACACGAAAACTATCACTTTTTATTTCAAGTCATGTAAGCAACTTACAATATTAAATCTACATAGGAGTAATTTAATATCCCATTTTCAGTTTTCAACCTTAAGGAAGAAGACACTCAGATTTATGATATCCCTTAAAACGCAACACAGCACGTCAAACATAAAAAAAAGTATAACTGTGATAGCAAGCTGTTTCCAGTCCAATTTAGACCGCATTTGTCGTGATTTCTGTCTCACAGACTTATCAATACATAGTACTTTGGTTGATCCAAGTATAGTCATGTTCCCTCTTTATACTTGGTTTGTCTTTGCTGTCCTACCATTTGTTTTGCCCATTCCACCAGTTAAAATCCTCAGTATATCTATCTATCCATCCATCATTGTTTCTGAAAATTTTGTATTTCATGAGCTGAGATGAACGTATTCTATAAGTATAACCACACTTGCTGTACCTAGCTCAAGTCATAGTGAGGAATTGGCGCTAGTGTTTTCTATTCATAGGAAAAAAAATCAATATTCACCGTTGCCATATAAGTGATATATTTAGACAATTTCATAGCATGCTCATTAGTAAACATTGCTAAATAGGTATCCAATTTAAGCGCATGTTTGAGTGTACTCAATACCGTCATAGAAAGTACCTTTGTACCGCGTTTGTTATTTGAATCCATGAGCTTTTTTCTAAAACCATACCATACCTTCAAAGAAGTTTTCTAGTCAGCTTCACAGATTATTTGACGAAATTTCTGCAGAAAATACCCAGCAGAAAATACCCATTGTGCCTATAGCTAAAAGAGAATATCTAACTGATCGAGACATGCCAGATATCTCGTCTAATGCGTAACTACTCAGTTTGTAGAATAACAGAAACCCTAAAGATATTTAACCAGGATGTAAGGACAGTTGCTGCTCAATTCATCCCATTCTTTTGCGTCTTCGTTACCAAGCAAAGTATCTAGAGAGGTGCCATTTGAGTGTTCTGATAAGTGTGCGGTTACAAGACAATGTTTTGATGCTATATAAGGAAGATTTGTGGTCAAACACATAAGTTTTATGAGTATAACGTTTCCAAAAGTTCTGACGTCATTGTTAGGAAAGTAACATATCCGTTGTAGATGTCTGGATGTAAATAAAGGAGAGGGTGCAGTTACCATTCTCACAATCCCATGGGGGCTATCGCTTCTATCTGTAATGCGATAATAGAAAGATAAAATACTATAAAGCTGCTGTTTGGGTTCTAGAGAGATAACATCTCAGTATGTCGTTGTTATTATCTAATAATTTACCAACAGCTACTGAATTATTCGAAACGTTGCTATCTCCACTGATTGTCAACTTGCCTTGCCGTTTCAAGCGCCAGGAAAGCCAATGACTTTGCGTGGAAGATGAGAAAATAACCCACTTACTAATAAATCTATAGGCTACTTGTAAGCTGTATTTTTTATTTCCTCCCTTAGATTCCAAGTCAAACGCGGCTTATCTTTTCTACTCAAACGTTGACGAGATGAAATGATTGAAATAGAGAATCTGAGCTCGCCAGCGACGAACTACCTCAATAAAGTGAATAGCTCACCTAACTATCCACCACCACCACCATCTATCGAACCTGGACTATTCAAACTATACCAACCACCTCTGCCGTTACCGCTGCATAGAGTGCTCAATAAGGACTATGAACTTGCTTGGCAGAACAGTCGTCTTATTATCAGCAAAAATTCGCAAATCCAGCGCATTTTAAACTTCGATGATGATCATCTTAACATTTCATACGCGTCTTTTGGGAATTTACACTTAAGCGATGATACAGATAAGCCAAGAGAGTGTCTTATTGTATTCTTACATTCTAGTCTCAATTCAAACAGCAACGAATACGATCTCGATTTGGCTATTAGCTCAACAGCAAACCTCGCTAGGCTTTTCTTCATGGATCCAGGCTTAGACTATTCACTCCCGCTTCCCTTTAATGTATCGAAAGCTTGGGATTTGGGATTGGGTTGGTTGGTCGAACGTAGTGATGCACGCAGAGCAGGCGAGAAAGTATCCTCATGGGCTGTTCTATCAGGTATTTGGCATCCGTGGAGGCCCATTGGTGGCTGTAAAGGCTACGACGCCTATAGAAGTCCTATCAGGCCTTTCGATTTCACACCGCGTCCAAAGTCAAAAATCATTCTCATCACACCCACGCAGGCCAACAATCAGTCAACAAAAGACAACTGGCCCTTCTTGATATCATTTGACAGTCAAACGAAGACGCTAAGTTTATATCGTTACACTCGATTGAAAAAACCAATTAAGACGAGCCCTCCTTCACCAGACTATGGCGCACCATCTGCTCTCCCTAATGCACCCATCGTATCTTCCAATTTGAGGAAAATTTCGACGCCTCGGCCTCAATCGAGTAGACGCCGAAGCAGTCTGAAATCGAAAGCAAATGTGAACACATTGGAGAATACTTTTGATAATTCTGATATCAGTTTGACAATGGATAGGATGATTTTAGCAGGAGAATCTGCATCTAACCGTACAGCTCCTGGTTCTAAACCAGATGAGAACCAAACACTATCGAATGAATCAGATGTCTTTATTGACTTGTTATGGGAGTGCAAAGCTGCTGACATAGATTCAAGGTAAGATAAATTTGAGTAAATGTTACTTCGCTGACTTGGATACTTAAGTATACCATCTGCCCATGCATTTGCACAATCCGACAGTCAGATATCAATTGCAATTCACTTTCCAGGACTCTCATCTCAGTTGACCATTGTGAACATATCCCGTGATCCCACACTTCCAATAACAAGTCAACTGAAAATAGAGAAAAGAGAAACTGCTGTTACACAAGCCACTGCCGTCTCTAGTTTGAAATGCACACAAGAGAATACAGATGATCTACTCATTTTGGACAATTCAAAAAGGCTACAGATACTCATCAATGATGTGGATGAATTTATACCTATTACCTTGGATTTGGACAACGGAGACCAGCCGAGATCTTTCAAAGATGCCAATGGTAGTTGTCTTAGTGTCGAAACTACCGCCTCAAAGATACATAGATATGATTTCAGCAAATGGCCAAATGATAATCTCACTAAATCATGCGTCGATCTCATTGCCTCATTTTTAAAGGAGAATGAGAAATTGGAATTTGCTTTGAGCATATTCAAGCACTTTACGTCCGTTAGCAAAGGCCTCGATGCTTTAATTGAATCATTAGCTTATTTCCTGAATGTTTCAGATAGTACTCGTAAATCAACTTCAACCGACACTTTGAATAAATTGTTACAAAGCAAAGCTCACCAGCGTGCTTTAAATAGCTCAAGAATCTTTGCCATCCCACCGAAAATTATTAAAGCTCCTCGAGTACGAAATGACGATATAGATATGAATATCAAAGTCCATTCCGCCCTTCCTCAAATATTATTGGCTATACACATTGTGGCTGAGAATTCTCTTTTGGATACAACGAATAGATTCGATAATCTGACTAGTTTAGCCCCTATCCTTGGATGGCTTGGTAGACTTGCTGGTCGTGCAGACTACGTCGGCTGGTGGGAGAGATGGGCAGGTGAATATGCACCATTGTTGTATGACAAGGAAGAATGTGAGTATTTTCTACAATGTTCTATTTAACTAACGAATAGCTAATAGATTCTCCAAATGTGATGGATGCTTTACCACCACCTCCTAGTATCTATGATGATCTGCATTCACGTATGCATCACTCAATATCAAACTATCCAATAATACCACAAAATCAATTACATGGAACAGCAGCTTTGCAGAAGGTGTTCACATTACTGGGAGATAGTAAATGTGAAGAAGCAGTTGACGAATTGATACTGCATGGTTACAATAAAGACAAAATAAGGTGCACGCCATTGCACCTTTCAGTTATACTACAAGAGGTATTGAGAGCCTGTCAAATTAGGCCAAAATTGAGATGGTCTTCTGAAGCTTATCAGTTGATTGGAAGAGAAGATCTTGTAGCAAACGCAGATGCTAGGGAGAGACAAGGCAGAACTGACGAGGCTAAAACTATGCTTTCAATTGAATCGATCAAGGATATCGTCAGGACTAAAAAGGAAGAAGATCAGACAAATTCCACTTCCAAAGGCAAAGTCATTAGTGGTGTCGAGATCGATAATCTTGAAATACCACAGTTAAGATTTTCAGAGGACCATCGTCTGAGAGAGGTAACGAGAATATTGAACAGTAGTGAGCTCACCAAGTTGCGCTTTCTCAATACTAGTGGATTACTGTGGGTGTCCCTTCGACTGAACGTTCTTTACTAAACCACACCAGTGAGCCAGATTTCCTAAAGGAGCAAGAGAATGTGACAAATGCGATGCCAGAGCGCACACTGAGCTTACCCTTTGGTAGAGGCATGTTGACTTATGGCACTAGCGAGAGTGTGCCGGCAGGTCCTCTGAATATACCAGATTTTGACTTCAGGGTGAAGATGATCCCTACAAACGCGACATATGACTTGGACTCCTCACTTAACCCACCAGAATTCAAAGACTGGAGTGAATTTTCAAATGGTGTGGCATCAGCCCTCAAACTAGGTGAACAATTAAACGTCGACGAAAGTTGGATAATGTTGAACAAACCAACAAAGAACGTCATGTCACCAAGGCATTCCGGTTTGATGCTTGGATTAGGCTTAAATGGTCACCTGAAAAGTATGTGGTTGGGTCACATACAAAAGTTCTTAGAACCTAAAAATGAGTTCATGACCATAGGTACAATGTTAGGTGTCTCAATCAGCTACGCTGGTGATCCTCCAGAAAGATTAGTTGGTGCTTTCTCACTTCATATTCCTGCAATTTTACCATCACACCAACTTGAGTTCAACTTGTCTGGCCTTACACAGGCCGCTGGTCTATTCAGTTTGGGTGTTTTACATCTAGGTACGAGACAGAGACGCCAAGCTGAGATGTTATTAGGTGAAATTGGTGGCAGAGATGTGCCGACAAATGACGGTAAAAGCAATGTTCGTGGTAGTTATTCACTATCAGCTGCGCTTGGATTCGGTTTGGTGATGCTTGCAAAAGGCAAAGAGGCTACATCGCCATCCGAAACGCAAATGATAACAAAGTTGAGACATTATATTCATGGAGATAAACATAGATCAAACGAAACAGATGTTGAATATGATGCTCTTGATGTTAATTTTACAAGCCCAGGCGCATCATTAGCATTAGGCATGTGGTTTTTGAAATCTGAAAGGAGTGATGTTGCACCATTGATGGATCTGCCTTGCAATCCTACAGAACTTGACTGGATTAGACCGGACTTCCTGCTTTTCAGAACACTATCGAAGAACCTCATCATGTGGAATACAATTGGTCGAGACAGAGAATGGGTGGAGAGTCAAATACCCCACTTTATCCAAATTGCCCTCGAGAGGAAGAAAGAGAGGTTCGAATCCGTGGATGACAATATCGAATTGGCTTACTATAACATTGTTGCTGGTGCTTGTCTCGCCCAGGGTCTCAAATTCGCTGGTACTGCTGAAGACGACACATTCAAATGTTTGCTACATTACATGGATATATTCACACAGGCAGCATCTATAAAATGTAGGTGCTATTATAATGCTTTAACACACTCTAATAATCCACAGCCATCACTTATGAAGGTAAAGTCAAGCGTGCAGCGATTAGATCGGGTTTGAATACAATCACAGTTGCAATAGCAACTGTTATGGCTGGTACTGGTGAACTGGGAATCCTGAAGCGTCTTAGAATTGCTCACGGTCAATTTGGTCAAGCCAGTGGACGGAATTTCGGTTCTCAAATGGCAGTTCATATGGCACTCGGTATGCTTTTCTTGGGAGGTGGTGAATATACCCTCACCAACTCAAATGAAGCTGTCGGATTCCTCTTGTGCGCACTCTATCCAAAGTGGCCAATGTCGATTAATGACCAATCCAATCATCCATTTGCTTACAGGCACCTGTGGGTGAAAGCAGTACAGAAGAGATGTTTTATCCCACGTGATGTCAAAACCAACGAAGCCGTTTATGTGCCGATCAAGATCAAGGCTGTGGATGAATTGGACAAGCAACCTAAGAGCATGAGAATGATAGCGCCAACTTTGGTACCGAAATACTCTCGTCTGCTTAGCCTTAAAATTGATTCTCCAAGATATTGGCCATTAGTTATTGATTTCAATGACGAGAATAGTTTGCGGAATCTTAAAGCATCACAAACATTCTATGTGAAGAAGAAAGCAGGATATCTAAGTTATGCGTCTGACCCAAAGAATTTAAAGTCAACAGCTAGTAGGAACAAAATAGGGTTAGACTTGGTGGCCATGATGAAGATGGACTTAGTACCTAACCAGCGGTTATTGAGATCAGATAACTATGAAGAAGTTGAAAATAGCTTAGAGTTCAGTGATAGCTTAGCTTCACTTGCACGTTTTGCAAGGTCTGGCGGTAATAACAACCTCATTGATGCGATTTTGCTTGATGCTTTAACGAATGACAAGCCAGTAGGAGTTTGGTATCACTTGTCCCTAAACAGACTATGTAATCTCGCCCAAAAGAATACCTACTCACTAAAGGAGACAATGGAACTAGTTTTGTCGGCCAGGGAGCTGAATCACTTGCAAGTGGCGTACAGTGGCGTACTAAAAAACATCCTTGGAGATCTCCCACCATTATTACAAAGCTCAATGATAGTCTATGCTTTAAAGATTCTTAACAACGTTAACGTTGATGAAAATGTCTTACATGACGTTCTGGCAGGAAGAACACCTGAATGGAAAGCTGGTATTCACCTTTCGGCGTACAACTATCCCGATAGAGGTACTATAATCACTCTTCTTGATAAACTCAGCACATTAGACAGTGATGAAAAGACACTGAGATTGATAGTGCAACTCACGCTTTCACAACTTAGCAATGTGTCTTCAAGTAAACAGGTCGTTGATACTATTTATAATGCATACAAAAGAAAAATCATAACGTAAGAATTCGTAATACATAATTTAAATTATTTACTCAAATGTGTCTCGATCCTGCTTCTAGTGAAGCTAAACGTTTGGAAATGATATCGAATTGTTCCTCGAGTGCTTTGATTTGTAATTCTTTATCGAGAGAACTAGTGAGAATGGCATCTTCTTTTGTGTTTTTTGATGACGAAATTAGATGCGTGTTTATGTTTTGGATACTGTCTTCAAGACTCTTTTTGAGTTTGAGAAGGTTCTCAGTATCCTTCGAGGCTATGTATGCTTTCTCAAGAGCCTGTTCACGCTCTTTCCATTGGTGTGATTGTGCAGTGGCACCATCCTGTGCCATTACATAGTTGCGAGCCGCAAATCTAGCTGCATTTGTGAGTGGAACTTTATTTCTTGCTAAGATCATAGTTGATAGTCGTTGTCAAAGAGATCTTCACACGAATGACGCAGATGTCTTGTGGGATCAATGAAATTTTTATACAAATAAATTACAAATGTCTTGAATATTTCTTCATAGGTCTAGATGAGGTGTACTCCATCCTGAGTAAAGTGCTAGCCATCTGCTCGGTGATTTCATTATCGAACATTTTCATAACATCATTACGAATATCTTCGACCAGCTGCTCAGTTCTACTATCTCTCTTAACACCATTAGTGAGCATTTCTTCTAAGGTATCTTTAACTCCATTCAAATCACCAAATGATTTCCATTTTGTTGCTATCAGCTCATTATATGCTGGAGTTGTACATCCCAAGACGTAATGATATACTCCTTTGCTTTTGACATGTTTGAAAAGTGACAGTGTGAGGTGTGGATTGTTGTAGGTATCCCTGAAGATGGCCATCAAATCAGTGAGTAGATACGGAAGTGTGGGGGTTGTTGAATCAACATCTAATACATTCGTCTTACACCAATTGAAGAGGTCCACATCATTCGCACATGCTAATAAATCCTCCCTCGCCTTATCTAGGAGGAGGTCTGTATCAGACTGCTTAACTTTCGGTCTTCTCGGTAATTTGTCTGGATTTTGATTGCTAGTTGGTGAATGTTGGAATAGAAGGTTAAGAATATCTTCAAAGATCTGTGACTCCTGAGCTGTAATGTTTGTCTTTGTCTTTGAAAGTTGTCGACGTCTATCGATCAGAGGTGGAAAATTGTCCGCGGGTTGTAAGTTTCTAATCTCCTGACGCTGTGATTGAGATGCGTTATTGTCTAGTGTACTGAATATCGTCTTCCAAGTCGCATCAGCTGAACTAAGAGAATCTTCTTGAGCGTCTTCTTTATCGTTTGGCTGAGTGGAATAAGACGTAGATTGTAGCACTTTGTTTCGATTCCTAGGGAGTGCAGATTGTATGTGTCCCAATAAACCGAATCTAAGCCTCATCATCGTCCTTGATCAAGGTATGTCATCTAAGCAGAAACTGAAGGCAGCCAAAGAAGCACTCGATAGTAAAGAATTTGATAAAGCGCGGAATGCAATAGAGAGTATACTCACATTTGAACCAATGAATTATAACGCCAATGTATTTCATGGTTTGGCGTTATTCAATTTGGGAGATGATGCCAGTGCAGAGAAGGTTAGACGACTATTTAAGTAATATACAGTTCCTAACGTTATGTTAGGCCTATAGGCGTGCTATTGAATCAAATCCGACTCTTCCGCTAGCTTGGAGGGTGGGTTTTGTTAGTTAAACACTAAGTTCTGCTGATAAGATACAGGGATTAGCGAATTTCTATGAGAAGAGACAGAACTGGGATAGGTACACTAAGACCCTCTTTGAGTTGCTAGAACTGTTCAATGAAGCGTGCGTTTATATCTTCTCATCTGACGCAACTGAGTTTTATACAGGTCAGACGCAACGAAAGTGGCAGAAACTATACAAAAGATAGTACAGTTTTATAAGGACCAGAATAACATAGAAAAACTAACGGAATGTCTCCATTGGTACCTTCCAAATTCACCTTATTACGATTTGCTTTCGACTTTACCACCACCAGATCATACTCAGCCGCTATTGACCACGACATATGAAGCACAATGCGCTATTTATGACTCTTTACCAATATTGATCCAATTGAAGGACATTCATCAAGCTAACATCAGCAAATGGAGAACAGAAGAGTTTAATAAAAGGAAAACTAGACTTGGAGCACCAAGAAGGGAAATAATAGAGAAGGATTTAATAAACGAGTCATCAAAGGATAGCAAGTTAGAGCCATTATACCTTGAAATTCTCAATCATCAATCAACTTCTGACGAATTGAGGCGTGAAGTTGAAGCCGCATTGTTCAAATTTAAGCATGATCACCTTCTAGCCACCTCCACCAAAGACAAGGACTTGAAGAATCAACTTTTGAATCAAGTTATGGCAATGGCTAACGGTATGGTCACTATCAACGTGCCAAATATCCTTGCTTGGACAGTCGTGCTTGAATGGTGGAACACGGAGTACTTAACGGGATACAACGCGATTCTACTTAGACGTTTCCAGACACTATTTCCTGAGCACATCCTTTGTGGTGTTATCAACGGTCTGTTTGCTTATCTTCCAGCTATCAGGTTAGAGGATGACCCGACACCGATTATGCCAAATGACATGGCTCTTAATGCTGTTATAGATGGTATTGAATCTAATCCAAATTCGCTTTTCACTCACAGAGTTTTGAGTTACATATACGATATTGAAAAGCAATATGACGATGCTATAGCCGTCTCTGAAGCTGGTTCAGAGCTTTGTAAGGTATTTGAAAAGGACAGCGGTTTGCGCTTTGATCTACACAAGCTGTCTTTCGAGAGATCACTCGCAAAATGCTTTACTTACAACTACCCACCAAAGTATCACATGAGAGCAATGGGAAGTATACAGAACGTTTGCAACGAGCGTCCTCAAGACGTAGAAGTCTTGATTGCACAGGGTACGTGCTTGGAGTATGCCAATAAGTGGGACCAAGCGAGAGAAGTATTTGAGCAAGTAATAGCCATAGATGAATCTAACCTTATAGCGAAAGAAGAACGTGGCTGGTGTGATGTCATGAAAGCCGATTACAGTAAAGGTAGAACAGGTCTTCAAGAAGTATTGGATGAGCTATCACAACGGGACGACATCGAAGACGTTGCTACACATCAAGCAAGATGCTACTTTAAGCTTGGTAAATGTTCTTGGGAGCAAGGTGGACAGGAGCAAGTGAATTCTTACACACTCTTTATTCAATCAATCAAGCATGTCAATAAATTTGCACCGTCGTTTACGCATCTTGGTCTTTATTACTTACACGTTGCTCAACCAACCGACATCGTAAGAGCTTCAAAGTGTTTCCAGAAGGCATTTGAATTAGACAGCCGCGAAACTGAGGCAGCCAGATGGCTTGCAGATGGCTTTGCAAATGAGAAGGATTGGGATTTAGTTGAAATTGTCGCAAGAAGAACTGTCGAGGGTGAAGGTAGTACAGTGGAAGAATTAGTGAAGGGTAGATACCTCAGTAGGAATGCCTGGGCATGGAAAGCGATCGGTGTTGTCGAGCTAAACCGTCATAACTACGGTGCAGCTGTTGAAGCGTTCCAGATTGCACTTCGAGCAAATACCACCGACAACTCCAGCTGGCTCCGACTCGGTGAGAGTTACGCTGCTGCTGGAAGACATGCCGCCGCTCTCAAGACTTTCAATAAGAGTAGAGAGCTTGATAGCAGTGAGAGCAACTGGTTGGCACTCTACGCTATAGCTGATGTACTTCGCTTGATGGGCTTCCATGCATCTGCCATTGAGACTTTGAATGGTATATTTGATGAGAACAACCTGGCCGTCGTAATATCGCTCGGTCAATCATACATTTCCCAAGCTCGTTATGAAGTAGTCAGTGGCTTTGTTGGAAGAGCTGTAGAAAGCTACAGGGAATCAATCAAAAATGCACTTATAATAGTTCGTCAAGAGAGATACTTGCGCGTTGCATGGAAAGTTCTCAACGATGCCTTCTATGGATTGGCAAAACTCGCTGCTTTGGATGTCAACGAGGCTCTTACGGAGGCCGTTGAATATGTTGTACAGGTAATGCAAGAAGAGCAACTCATACAGAAAGTACATAGCAAAGAATTAATAGATTTCGGATATATCCTTAACTCAATAAATACACCTGAGGCTGTAAACAGAGCCTGCATCAATGTAGCTATACTAACTAGCGAATTCGCTATTACTCTCGATTTCGGTAGACCCGATAGTGTGGGATCAACATGGTACGACCTGACGCTTGACTTAGAAGAACTCGCAAAACAAACACAGTTGGTATCTCAGACAGAGACAAGGAAACAAGTAGAAAAATTATCAGTAACTGCGATAAGGAATGCTCTCCGCTCTGAACCAGGTAATGACGACTATTGGAATACACTTGGTAATCTCGTTTTCGAGAGTGATGCGAGATTAGCTCAGCACTCCTACATTAAAGCTATCGAATTAGACGGTCGCAATCCAACATATTGGACTAACCTTGGTTTCCTGTACATATCACAGAAAGACCTAGAGTTGGCTATCTACGCATTGAAGAAATCCCAAACAGTTGATCCAGATTACGTTTATGCTTGGGTCGGTCTATCAATAATCGCGTCATTGGAGGGACGCCATAACGATGCCAAGATGTTATACGAGCATTCATTCACAATTTCTGGCGGGGCTGAAGTAAGTTGATTATTACATCATTTAACTAATTTAACAATGACTCAGCTCGAGAGCAACTTCGGTTTTGCATATAATGCAGCCATTACCAAAAAGGATGTTAAGGAATTGCACAGAGAATGCTACGCCATGCAGCGCTTCACAGAGGGAAACCCAGGTGATTATGCTGGTCTGCATCTCTATGCTCTCCTTCGAGAAAACTTAGAACAATATGACGAAGCTGGTAAAGCTATAGAACGCTGTGTTGAACTCCTTGAAGCGGCTTACGAAGATGCTGAGAGCGCTGAAGTAGAATCTCATTACGCCCTCGCGAATGTCACACTCGGTCGAATCCGACTCGCTACTGGATCATATGATGCCGCAACGGAGGCTTTCAGCACGGCGCTAAGTCTCGCGCAGGATGTGCCAACGAAAATTCAGGCACTCCTGGGTGTGGGATTATCAAGCAACCAAAAAGGTAGTCCAGATTTGGACGCTCTCGAGAAAGCATTCAAAGAGGAGCAAGATGTTGATGCTGGTGTGATTATTGCACAAATTCAGTACGAAAATGACACCGAGAGTGCTATATCACGTCTTCTTGAATGTGTAGAAATCGATGGCGGTCATCTCGGAGCTATCTCAACACTTGTTGCTATAGGAATACTGGAAAATGATGATGGATTACTCGATGCGGCTCTCGCAGAGATTAATGCCATGCCTTCAGATAAACGCATCGAAGTGGATAGTCGAAGAAGTGTACATCGTTTAATGATGCAGCATTCACTGATGAGCGTAGGTTCATCTGTAAATTCGCAACATCTGACTGACGCTCCACAGGGAGATACGGAGGCGACAATCCGAATGTTAACCAAGGAAGTAAATCTTCAACCATACGCTCAGGACCTGAAGAGAGATCTTGGGAAGTTGCTACTCGCGACTGGGAAGACCGCACTCGGTGCGAATGTCACACTCGCTGACGATAGCCACGAAAGTAGACTGGACTCAACGTGGATCGCTACTCAAGCTCTCGCAAAAGCCGACAAAGGTATGCTTGATGAAGCGCTCAAAGATATACAACGAGCACTCTACATCGATCCAAGCAGCGAAGACAACTGGAAGACACTCGCACTTATTAAATTGCTCAAGTAAAGAAAATGTATTGTTCAGAATTGTCAAAATTTATATTAAGAAATAGCGAGCGTGGTTATTACTATTTTTTTTTTTCACTTCACCCATATTGAAAGAAATAGGAATATATGAGTAATCTACTCGTTGTGGGATGTCAGTGACCAATCGTCAATTGGGATATCCTTTGGTGTTTGGAAATCATCTGATGACATGCCGTCCCATTGTGGTTCGAAAGAAACTTGTAATCTGTATTGACCTGGTGTGAGGTCAATGGTGAGTACCTAAGTATTTGGTTAGTAAATGATCTGTAAAATTTTGTTCATTAACCACTCACGTTAGTTTGTTGTCTGTTAGGACCAATGTTTTCGATGTCTGCATCTTCACCTTGACCATTATTTGGAAGATCTGGGTTTGGTGTTGGGTCATGTTCTGCCTTTTCTTGACCAAATTTGAGATCAGCCTCTTCTGGATGAACAATTCTGACGGTCATCTTCTCGCCACCAAGTTCCAAATCGGCAGATGCGCCATTAAGTGTGATAGTAGCATTAGTTTGCATTCTCCATTGGAAATTTGCACTATCAGTGTTGATATCATCTTGGAGAAGAACTTGACGACGCTTGTTAAAAAGTCTTAAACCGCGCTTGACGGAGTTGTTATCGTATGTCTTGGTCAAATCGGCGGTGAAGTAACCAGTTGACTCATCATCCAAGTCAATATCAAGTGTTGCACCTTGAGTTGTGTTGGTAGTGTCAAACTTGACAGTTGAGTCAACTGATGCGACAGCATTCTGGTTGTTCATCAACAAGACGTTTTGACCTTCGGTAGCCTTTCTGTACCACTTCCATCTGTTGGAATCTTGATCTTCAGAATTGAAATATTTGTCACCGAGGTAGTTGGCAGAACCTAATTCACCAGCCCAGCGTTGTCCCAGGGCGTCGATAACAAAGTCACCAACGTCGAGATCTCCGTGTGTTTGGTGACCTTCGGTGTTGCCAGCCTTGATGGCAGCGAACAATCCATTGTGGTCAGTCCACGATGAACGGAATGAAGCCCATTGTGATGCTTGAGCTGGGAAGTATCTATCGAGTGGGATTTTATTCCACCAAGCACCTGCTACACGTGGGTTATACCAGAGCATGTTGAATACATCCGCTGCGTCTTCACGATCACGTTGGTAGAGTTGGTATTCTGGCTTGTTGACTTCCCTACCGAGTAACATCAAGGCGTTTGCTGTTGCGGTGAACTTGTTTGGACCGTGGTCACCGTAGTTAAACTTGAATGTGTTACCATAGTTGTAGATGTGGAAATCCGCTGTCTTGTAGAAGTTAGGGTTGCTATCCAACATTCCTTGTGAGTTACCAGTTGAAGAGATCAAAGAGGCTGTTGCTAATGACCAACCGGTAGTACCGAAGTACCAGTAATCTGATGTTTCAGTCCATGTACCATCCTCACGTGCGCCATTTACACAGTTTTGTCTAGCATTGTCAAGTGCTTCATTGAGGATTTGTTCGACGATGCCGGAATGGTCATCTCCCGAGAGTGCGAGTGCAGTGTTGATCATGGCACCGTTACAGACACAGTTCCAGTTACCTTGCTCATTGCGCCACCAGTAGTTATTGGATGCTTTTGACTTTTCAAGACCATATTTGATGACAGTCTCACGAATCCAATCTTTCTCTTCTTGTGACCATGTATCGTAAAGCCAATCATATGCAATAGCGTATGAATTCATGAACTCAGCAGTATCGAGGAAATGATCAGGATTCCAGTTGTTGTTCTCACCGCTTGTTCCTGAACCATACATTTTTGAATCGTCGTCATGACCAGCATCAGTTGGCTTCATACCAGCTACTACTTGAAGACGATCCCAAATATGGTCCTTGTACTTTTGGTCATTTGTAATGCGGAAAGCATATGCGAACGCCTTGACTGCTTGTTGGACTTCACGTGCCTGGTCGAGAACACCTGAGCCAGTGAGACCACCATCAGGGATCCAAGCAGGAGCTGGTGTGTTGAGGAAATGATCAGCTTGTTGGAAGATAGTTTCATTCCAAGATTTCATATATGAGTCCGCGTTTACATAATCGTGTAAGCAGTCCCAACGACCCGGTACACCACCAATACGTGGTCTATCGGTTGTAACTGGTATACCATCGCCAGAAACAGAAGGAGGGTTTTCATTGCAAGCTGGTAAGTTCAATTTGTCATCTTGATCGGTTAAAACGGTAGGAGGAGCGTATAATTTGGTGTCGGTCTTCTATCATCCGGTTAGCGGAGAGGTATAAACTAGCTATAAACTTACTCCAGTACCATAGATCGGTACTTGGTCGCTAAATGTGCCGTCCGCCAATTGATTTGTGTATCTACCAGCTGAGAGCTTAGCAGATGCTGCGTCAGATGCAGATGGTGGAGCGGCATTGCGGGCGTTCTTATTTGATTCACCGCTGTCGCGAGTACCAACTACACCACCTACAACGCACGCGATAATAATTGCTGCTATAACAGCTGGAATACCGAGCTGATTTTTCATCGTTAGTTGACCGTTCGAGTGATAGATAAAAGACCGCAGTATAAAAGACGGAACTCACAAGAAAACGCTTCTTTTTGTACCAAGGTCTGTAGTTGTTTGTAAATTGCTGTGAACCTGCGTTTGCGTACTTGAAACCATCTCCAGAGCCGTAAGGCTGGCTGTTGTTCATCTCAAATCCAGGTTCATCTCTATAAGGAGCGTTCAAACCAGTCTGGCTGGTTTGGTGTGCACTTTCATAATAAGGAGCGGACATCTCCTAATACCGCGTCTTTAGCAGATGGTAGTCAGGAATGAAGGGAGATGAATATGGAAGGTGCGACCTAATAGTTCATTCCTTTAGTTTGCTCTTTTATTCTTTTATTATCTCTATTTTTTGCATCTCTTATATCTCTTGTATTTACGACGACCACCTCGTATATCCAGATGGATGAACCAAAAGTGAGATAAACATTATACTAGTAGATACGTTATAGTTTACACTCATATAGCTACTTACTGAGGCATTAAATGCCGTAAAAGTCTGTATCTCTTTATATCTGAATAGATCACTCATCTAACAACACACAGACAAGCCAAATACAAATGAAGAAATGCTTAGATGCTGATGAACTGATGGACGCTTTTAAATCTGCTTCTTCGATGTTGTCCGAGCTTAGAACGTCATCACTCGGACCAAAAGCTTATTATGAGTTGTATATCGCAGTTTTCGACTCTCTGAGGCATTTGTCTAGCTATTTATACGACGCACATTTATCAGGTAAACACCACTTAGCTGATTTATATGAGTTAGTGCAATACGCCAGTAACATCATACCTAGACTTTACTTGATGATAACAGTCGCATCTGTGTATATGTCCACGCCAGACGCGCCTATAAAGGAGATTATGAAAGATATTCTTGAAATGTCACGAGGTGTACAGCACCCCATCAGAGGTCTATTCTTGAGACACTACCTATCTGGACAAACTCGCGATTACTTACCGATATCCGTAAGTGACAGCGGTAATGGTTCACTCAATGACAGCATTGCTTTCATTCTGACGAATTTCATTGAAATGAACAAGCTTTGGGTTAGGCTGCAACATCAAGGTCACTCTAGAGACAAAGAGAGAAGGGAGTTGGAGAGAAAAGAACTACGTATCCTCGTCGGTACAAATCTAGTTAGATTATCTCAACTCGAAGAAATTGATTTAGCAACCTATCAATCACTCATTTTACCAAACATCTTAGAACAAGTTGTCAATTGTAGAGACGTCATCGCACAAGATTATCTCATGGAAGTTGTTATACAGGTATTCCCAGATGAATTCCAATTAAATACTCTTGGGCCATTCCTAGCTGCAGCAGCACAGCTTAATACCCGCGTCAATATAAAGCAAGTAGTCATATCACTTATTGACAGATTATCGATGTATGCTAAACGAGAATCTGAAATGCAATCAACAGAGGAAATTGCCAAACAGGATGAAGAAACAAATAAGAAACTAGAAGATAAAGTAAAAGCAAGAAGATCTGGTCAAGAGTATGTATCAGAATCACCAACAGATAAAAAAGGCAAAGGACGCGAGGAAGATCCCTCAAAGAAGTACAGGGGTATCCCACAATCTGTTAAACTATTCGAAGTATTCTGGGAACAAATCGTCAATCTCATTGAAACTAGACCAGATCTTTCTATTCAAGATATAACCGCATTGTTGGTATCGTTAGCAAGTCTATCACTTAATTGTTATCCAGATAAACTTGAATACGTTGACCAGGTTTTATCATTCACAAAGGCAAAGTTGGACACTATTCCTCAACATTCACCACAGACAATTAATAACGTTTTAGCACTTTTAAGAGCACCAATTAGTTCTTACAAATCTATGATCACTTTGCTAGCATTGCCATCATATTTGCCGTTAATGCAACTGCAACCATACCAATCGCGCAAATATATCGCAATTGACATATGTAATTCACTTCTCAATAATGCTACAATAATTGAAAGTCCTAATGATGTTAGAGATATATTGGAATTATGTCAAGTCTTAATCAAGGAGGGTTCCTACGAAGACGAAGATATAGCAATTGAACAGGCTTCACTCACTCGTCTCTTACATCTTTTCAAATCTGATGACAAGGATGTTCAATTTGAGGTATGTTTCTCTTGCGCGAGTTGACATATATTAACGACCATTGTAGTTACTCAAAACAGCAAGGGATCAATTAGGTGAAGGAAAGAGACGTGTTCAATTTACCTTCCCAACACTCATTACCTTAGCAATAAAGTTATCAAAGGTCTTAGCGAATGATGATATTTTCAAATTCATCCATCAGTCTATATTCCAACTCCACGTATTGACAGATCATTCGGATGAATGTATGAGACTCTTTTTGTTGGCTACTAGAACAGCAGATGAGGCTAAATTGAAGGAGATGACTTATGAATTCTTCAGTGAAGCTCTCCTCTTGATTGAAGAAGACATCATTAGTAGCAAGTATCAAATGCAGGGTATAGCAAGTGCAACTAAGACGCTCCAAAAACTCACCATATTTGTCAGCAATCCAGATGAGTACCAAGTGCTTGCCAATAAATTGGTGAACATGTCAGCCAAACTCCTCAAAAAGTCACACCAAGCAGAGTCATTAATAATAGCCTCATCAGTATTCTGGCAAGCTGAAGGGGGTATTCGAAATGGTAGCTCAATTAAGGCTGTATTGGAGAGAGCAAGCCGTATCGCATCCACACTAATTGATCCTGTGACAACAACGCAGATATATGTCGACATCCTCGACGCATACCTTATGTACCTTGATATGGAAGTGGAGGAAATAAGTACAAGTGTAGTATCTGACGCCGTTCAACTCATCAGCGGCAACTTGGATAGCATGGAGGAGGCTAACAAGCATCCAATTTCTGTAGCATTGAGAGCGCCATCAGTGGTTGATGTTAAGCTCACATCAGCGAATGTCACATCACAATTCAAACGCTCTATTGCTCACATCCACAGTAAACGTAACTATACACCAAAATGGAATGAAATAGACGTGGCTGGACCTTCCCTTAGATTTGGGATTAATTGATTATTTTTGTAATAAAAAAGATTTCGCGTATGTATCAACCTTCTACATTTCCTTCCTCTTATCAACAACATCATGGCTAATAGTCCAGAGAAGATGTTTAGAAAGTTATCAGGGGATGATGTAAAGGTTATGCGAAGCAGTGTGCCATTGTATTTAGTAACTGCTGGTATAAACGCTTACTTGCAATACTATAATCAAGCCTTTTTGTTAGAACACCAAGTAACTCGCTGGATGCTCGAAATAATAGGATGTGTACTAACAGTAATAATATTCAAAGGTGTAATGAAAGTCTTAGGTGTGTTCAGACCGGAGACTAGTTTAATAAACCCTCTAAGCTGGAGGTTAACTGATGATTACGGTATCAAGAAACCAGCAGAGCCGGGAAAGCCAAAAGAACTCAAGAAAAAGGAATAAGATATTCGTTAGATCGTTACAACATTAATTAATAGTCATTTATTTGCGACGTTCAGGCTGGTTGTGCACTCTGAGCGTTTTGTCGTTGATCACTCCATTTTCGTTAGATAATACATTCAATAAAAAGCTCATACTCACATGCGTATACACCATAACCAGTAGCACCAACAACGGCCAAACCGACTGCTGCAAAGAGTGGCAAAAGCTCGGTTGGGATATCGCTAGGCTTGATTCTGAAGATCAAACGAGCTGTCTTGCCTTCACGTCCCTCGACGGGATGGTAGTCAGTGTGCGGGTGTGATGAGCTTCCTTCTGGCCAGCTTGACGTTGCTTTCTCGTCTGCGCGCGCTGAATTTGGTTTGCGCCATGCAGCTGTATTGTGGATGTGTCTAAACGTTCTAAAAGAAGCAGTCGTCGATGGCAACCTAGTAGTTCTTGCGACGTTGTTTATTAGATTCATTCCTTGTATCATTTTGATGGTTGTAATCCAAACGCCAATTTGGGTCAACTGAACAATATATGTGTGAATCAATAACGTCATATTACAAAGACAGCTTATCAAAATCGATACCAAGCGAGAGTGTGTTATTCTTAAATATTTCATTGTAAGTTCCTTTAAATTCCCTCACTGCATCGTCAAATTCTTCATCTTCCGCTTCGTCGAGAAGATAAACCACTTCATTCCATTGGTCAGTTAATTTGGTTGATAATGCCAAAATACTTTCATGATCTTGCTCTTCTTTGAGGTTTTCTATCAGTTGTAAATAGATTGAAGGCAATTTTTCAGCTAATGATATCATCTCTTTGAAGTTATCCTTATCACAATCGTCTTTGTCTACTTCTTGGTCTATCTCGGATTTAGTGTCCACTAGTAATATGTAATGATCGCGCAGAAGAATTTTCAATGCTTGTAATTCACTTGAGGGTATCTTTTCATTTGTTAATTTGTGAATTATTTCATTGTAATTTATAATTTCTCTATAATTGTATTCTATAATGCTATGAAGTAACCTAATAAAGTATTCAACCGTGTCGTTAAATTTGTTCAACCAGTTGCGTAACAATAAGGAAGAAGACTGAGATTGTATAATGTAGAGTAAGTTATTGAAGTATTTGAGTAAGTCTTTCAAAAGTTTGTTAGCTATTTCCCAATTTATTGGATCTTTTAAACTAATTGTTAACTTATTAGAATTATTGTCAATTAACTTTAAATTTGAGTTATAATCTGTGTATAAAAGTGAATTATCGATCTTGTTGTCTAATTTAACATTTGTTTTAGTTTTCAACTCCTCTAAGATAGCAACTGCCTCTCTAATAAATTCACTCATCTAGACTGTAGAATGACAACAATCAAATCATTCAAATCAACGCATTTGTTAAAAATTAACAAAATTAACCTCGACTATTGGACTGAAACATACTCAATTAGCTTTTATCAAGATTATCTTATTAGGAATCCAAAGTTATGCTTATCTATTAGTCACCCAGATGATAGTCTAATGGGCTATTTATTTGGTAAGATTGAAGGTAGAAATAAGGAACTACATGGTCACGTTACAGCTCTATCAATTTCACCTTTATACCGTAAAATCGGATTAGCGAGTTTATTAATGAAAAAATGTGAAGAATTATCAAACAATCTAGATAAATGCTACTTTGTTGATTTATTCGTTAGATTAACAAACAGTAACGCTATAAAAATGTATACAAAACTCGGTTATAGTGTATTCAGACGTGTGGTAGGATATTACGGTGATAAAGAAGATGCATATGATATGAGGAAGTGCTTAGATATTGATAAAGAAGGTATTTCTATACGTGAGAATGGTCATTTAGTTAGATGTTCACCTGAAGATACAATATTTAATTAATTTGTACAGAATATATACCTCTTTCATTTACACACTATGACAACAAGCTACCCATCATTAAATCGTTCAATAATACCAAATCAAACCTACGATTTTTATAAACGTGGTGCTGTATTTGATGATTGGAAATCTCGTATATTGATTTCTGCATTAAAACTTGGTGGTGTACCACAGCATATTGGATTTATCATGGATGGTAATAGACGTTTTGCACGATTACACAATATGCAAATATCAAAAGGACATGAAGGTGGATTCATTGGTTTACGCCGCGTATTAGAATTCTGTCTTCGGTTGAACGTACGCTGTGTTAGTATATACGCATTCTCAATTGAGAATTTCAGTAGATCCCAAGATGAAGTCAGTTCCTTGATGGATTTAGCGTCAACTAAATTGGATGAGATCTGCCAACATGGTGATCTCATAGAGCAACACAATGTTAGGATTTCCGTATTGGGCGCTAAGCAGCTCTTAAATGATGAAGTACGATCAAAATTGGAAATGATAGAAAAGCGTACGGCTGGTAATGATGGGTTCGTTTCTCTGTTTCGCTTTTATATCATAATCTAACGTCATTTAGTGCGATATTAAATATATGCATGCCTTATACATCAAGAGATGAAATGTCATCAGCTATGCAAGTATCTGGGTAAGTTTCCATGTCTCTATTTAATCTCACTCACGTGTTTTTATCAGGAGTGACAAGAAAGTATACCAAAAGAACCTGATGACGGCTAATTCACCACCTTTGGACATCCTCATACGGACATCAGGAGTGAACAGGTTCAGCGATTACTTAATGTGGCAGGCCTCCCATCAAAACACATTCATACAAGTCGTTGATGCATTCTGGCCAGATATTGGAATATCTGAGCTCGTACCAGTGTTGCTAAACTGGCAACGTCTGAAATGGTCTAATAGTTTGTCAAATTAGATTTATATGAATATTTTTATACCCGTGATTTCATTTTGTCATTTTGTTATCCGAGATTCTCCCTTCAACCGGAACGATAAAATGCTGCGATCGACGATAAGAAATACCCACAGAATAACTCAGCTAAGAACGCTATCAACTGAGCAGCAAAAGCCACGGAAAGTTAGCACGTCTGCTTGGGTAATTGGTGGTGCAATCAGTGCATTCTTAGGAGGATATGCTAGTGGCTCTATGGCACCACCTACGATACTCACATTGTTATATCCACGTCCCTCTCCACCTGCACCACCATCTCATACCCCAGAAGGTGCGGCCTTCACTTCCAACTTGGAATCCCAATTGCAGGAATTGAAACACGTAAAAGAACTACGCAATGATAATGAATACTACGAGTCACGCCCTTATGCTAATTTACCGGATGAGAGACGTGTTAATAGCCTAACTGCAGGTGCGTTACGTGCTCCCGGCAGATTGACATTACCACCTATTGTTTTCTCAAAATGGGACGAAAGTGAGGCAATTATAACACTTCACGTTGGCAGAGGACTTTGTGGACATGATGGTATAACACACGGTGGTCTTATCGCTACACTCTTCGACGAGAGTCTAGCAAGAACTGCTATTTTATCATTGCCCAACAAAATTGGCGTTACTGCAAATCTCAAAGTAAATTACAGGGCACCACTAAAAGCTGATCAATTTGTCGTCATCAAAAGCACGTTAAAGAAGTTGGATGGTAGGAAAGCCTTCGTACAAGCTTCAATAACGGATTTGGAGGGTAAACTCTATGCTGACGCTGATTCACTATTCATTGAACCAAAATATGCATACCTTCTGAAAAATTCAGGCGTAACACAAGCAATTGGCGGTAAACCGGAGAAATTCTCAAATGAGGAGAGGTTTTAACAGGTAGACCACAATTTATTAGACATTTTTACATTTTGTTTTTGCATATATCTTAATCCCAAGGATTTGGTTCTCGATAACTAAACGAATAACTTTCTGGATGATTTTGTGCAATTGTTGTGTCATTCTCGTTGTCATCATCTTCATTATCATCTTCATGCTCCTCATTAACTTCAATATTGGGTATACTTTCATTTATATTACTGAGGCTTTTACGAGTGCGCACTCCCTCCCGACCTCTCTGCTCAGCATCGATATCTCGCGATTGGTTTGGCGATAGAAGCCGACTGGCTGCGCTACTCTTGTTAGCTAAAACTTGATTCTCTATGTCTCTTCGTAGGCGTGTCTCTTCTTCGCGCGATACGTCTATATTTGGATAGTTGTAATCACCGTACGCTGTAAAGACGTTTAGTATTGATAATTTTAACAACAATTAAGACCCACGTAACCTCCTTGATTCAGTGTATAATCTTTCTTCAGCATTGCTTATATCATCAAACTCCAATTTCACTAAATCATCAATAAAATTATACCGCCTATTCATATGTGCTTGTATGGGTGTGTTGCTGTTATCTATCGAATTGTAGTTTACTTGACGAGAAGTTCCTTCTCCATTCGTTCCACCAACCCAATACTTTTGAGTACCTCTCTCGGAGTACCTCAAACCAGCACCTAAACGTCTATCTCTCGCCTTCCCTTGGTGTATCTTATTAGCAGCAACAGGTTCGAACTCTTTATAATCAAATCCAACGCCTTTGAGCGTCTGAATCGAATCGATAAAAACGTCTTTCATAGAGAATGAATCTCTGAACGCATATCCCAGTGGTAACCTCGACGAATGGTACGTCTTCTTGGGAATATAATCATCACTTGAGAATGCAAATAAGTGGAGTAATGCGAAAAATGGCATCTCAAAACATATCAATATATCCCCAATGGCTAGTGAAATGTGCTCTGGGTCTGTATATGGGCCGACTTAAGGTATTGTATTAGAGATAAAATCAACGTTTGGGAGCTTCACTTACGCTTAGAAATTGCACCGATTGCTACCAAGAAAGATACCAAGAGACCTTGCCAGAATGTCGCAAAGAGGATGCCCTTCACTGACAAGAACTTGGGGACAGGACGGAAAGCTTTAAGGTCATCGTTGACAGTAACCCAGAACATGGCGAGACAATAGAGTGCAGTGCATATCGAGGCATTGTATATAAGTTGTACGTAAGTGTAGCCCGTATTCCAAGCTATGAGACCATCATCGTACTTCCCGGTTAACTTGAGCACCAACGTGAGGATTGCTAGCAGAGGTTTCACCCATGCGTATTGCAATATACCACGTTTCAAGAAAAGGAAACTGTATGCTAGGTCGTATGTTAGTCATGAAAGTTAAGAATAGCATACTCACGGTCAGAAACATCCATTGATTCCTGGAATAACGATACAGGCATCATGTGTGCCGTTGATTGTCTACCCATCAAGGAAATGATAAGCTGTCGTTCTCCACCGCTTGTGGATGTTAGTATGGACATATATAATACTCCTCACGTACAGATACTCTACCTATATCGACATTACAGGTGTTCAATATGCTTATCAAATGCTTACCAAAAGGTTGAAAAAACAGTAAATGACGAAAGCCTAATAACATTAATGAGTGATGGATTGATAGATATCGACCCACTTCGTATAGATCCCTGCCGACGTCAATCCAATATGCTGCATCGAGGGAGAATAGTGATATAAGTGAGGCGAGTGAATATACTGGCACCCTATTATGTATCAATGAATATAGAGCTAGTTCATATTGTAATATACGCACATTACGAGTATTCTAACTGTAAATCTTTGCAATAGTGGCATGCGATAGTTACCCAAATGCGTTCTTATACCGACGAAGCTAATAGCTGTAGCTACCAACGCTGATAGACTGGAGAGAAACAACAAAACACCAGGCAGCTGGCTACCAGATCCACCCGACATATCAGTCAGTGATGATCGTCTTTGAACAAAAAGGAATATTTATAAGTTCACAATAAAATGTCTTAATAATCGCTGCCTCTACTAACAACTTCTTTGACTGTTGGTCTAAGTAATATCGTGTGTTCGAATTGTGCGGTCATCGATCCCTTGATATCGTGAAGTGGTGGATAGTCAGTTACGATACCGGCATCTACCAAGTTATTAAGAGCCAACAAATACCTAGATTCACCTAATCTATCGAGGTATCTACGACAGAATGGTAATGTTCCGAAATTTTTATCAATTACCTTCAACAAACTCTTAGCCGATTGGGTGCGAAGTGGAACGTGTGGTGCATCCTTATTACGTGCGTAATGTGAGCAAACACCTTGATCACTGACGTATCCTCTACCAGTTGAACCGAATGTCTCAATAGCATAGTACTCTCCCTCTTCCATCTTGGTAGGATCGCCATTGTTGACGATTGGAACTGACTTACCACCGTGGATTTTGTACTTATCTATAGTGTGACCACAAAGGTTTCTAATAGCCTTAACTGGGTAGGTTGTACCGTTAACGTCAACCTCATAACTTTCCATAACTTCTTGGATTTCACCACCGAGTTCACCAAGACGTACATCAATACCTGCACCTTTAACACCCGCATTAGTGGCAGCCTTGACAGCTTCTAGGAGATTGTTGTATGTTGGTTCAAAGTTGAGTGTGAATGCAGAATCCAATATTCTACCGTTAACGTGTATACCGATATCGATTTTGAGTACATCATTTTGACCGAGAACTTGTAGAGAGTAAATACGAGCAAACCAGTTTAGAAAAAGCTACTTACTTGTCTTATCACCGGCATTTGGTGTGAAATGTGCTGCACAATCGTTGATATTGACACCAGTTGGGAAACCGACACCAGATGACAAGCCATCCTCTTCTACGCACGCTCTTGTACCATCTTCAACCATTTCAGCGATTTCAGTCAAAGACATTCCCGGTTTGATACTACGTTGTACGTATTGTCTAACGTCTCTGTGTGCTTCTGCGGCTCTTCTGATGTCTGAATAGGTCGTCTCTGGATCCTCATGTGTCAGTCTCTCTAATTCTCTCTTCTCAGCCGATGTTGTTCTGTAAGAATTCTCGCCGACGTATTCTTGCTCTTCACCAACGGGATAGATGCCATTAGGGAATCTTTTTGTAATACCAACTCTAGGAGGTTCAGATTGTGGAGCAGCTGTCTTTTTCTTCTTTTTGTTATTGTTTTTCTTCTTTTTCTTCTTTTTTGCTGCACCTTCTCCGTCGAGGGGTGTAGCGGCTGGATTGTTAGTCTCTTCTTCCTCCTCTTCCTCTTCCTCTTGGTTCTCTATTATTTTCTTTGATTCCTCCTCTCCAGTCATCGTTGTACAGTTGCAAGATAACACTCAGGAATAGATTGAACAATCTAACAAAAATTTATATAATTTAACTTTAAAATACATTATCATTACTTTAGCCAAATGACTGGGTTCCACGCTGCGTTCTGAGTGTTTTACTGTCAAGTCGTGTTAGTTGTCTACCTAATCTATGGATCCACACTTACCTAATTCTCCAATCATCTTTACCTTCAAATTTATTGTATAATGGTTCTATCTTCTCATCCCTCTTCCGTTTACTGATCTTGTTATTATCGGCTGTCTTGAAGAATGTAGGCGCAACCTCTGTCAGCCATTTTGGTTCAATTGTGATAATCTCTCTCATATATTCTCTACTAGTAAGAACCAGTTCGTGGTAGATGACCCACTCAGGTGATCTATTAAACAACGCACTTGAAGGATGAATATACACTGGTGTACCTTCAACCAGCGTCTTATAGCCTTCTTGTGGATCCTTCTTTGCGGCATGTCTAAAGAATCCTGCAGTTATAGCCCTTCTCACTCTGTTGTAATTCTTTCCACAGCTGATAATATCGTGATGATATCTATCCATAATTGCAACCAATTGTTTGCGAACATCTGCAGCTCTCTTCATCGTTCTTGCTTGGATGTAATTCTCAAAACACCACGGGTTGCTATATCTACTAGCTTCCCAACCATTGTAAACAGCCAATAACGTCAAATGGTCACCTTCTGGTTGGTGGAATTTCGCTTTCTTCGCATCAGCTTGTTGTTGCTTCTCTTTTGGTCTATAGAATACATTTTGTGCTTCGAGCATCGCAACTATTGTCAATATCTCCTTCGAACATTCCAAATCTACTGAAGCTATCAACATCTTTGCTCTCGAAGGATCCATTGGGAAATCGGCCATCTTTCTACCCAAACGGGTGAGCAATCCTTCATCATCCAATGCTGACAACGCATATAAATTCTCCAAGGCTGTAATCATAGTCTGAGCAGGTGGGGGGTCCATGAAGTCGAAACCAAGAAGATCATTAATACCCATCGCCTTGAGCTGCAAAATTGTATGCGACAGATTCTGCCTTTGTATATCTGGAACTGTATTAGGCAGCATTTCATTCCTGAATGCAGCTTCGGTGTATAACCTATAACATTTACCTGGACCAGTACGTCCTGCTCTACCTGCTCTTTGACGTGCTTGGGCTTGAGATATAGGCGTTACTACCAAACTATCCATACCTAATCTAGGATCATATGCGTTTTGCTTTACGAATCCTGGATCAACAACGTAGTAAATTCCATCAATTGTTATACTAGTTTCAGCAATATTTGTTGCAATTACTACTTTACGTGCACCTGCTGGTGCTGGTTCAAAAATTCTAGATTGCATTTCAGATGGCAAGGAAGAGTATACAGGAAGAATGATCAACTCTGGTACTTGATTACCGAGCGCTTTCATACGCTCGTATAAAATTTCAGCAGCAGTGTCAATCTCCTCCTGACCCGTCAAGAATAGCAAAATATCTCCAGGTGGTTCTGACAAGTGTATTTGCATGACAGTTATAAGCGAGGCTTCCATGTAGTCTGTTTCTGGTTCTTTCGTGTAGAGAATCTCGTATGGGTATGTACGTCCAGGGATGGTGAAAATTGGACATCCACGGAAGTATGTTGAGAACTTCTCAGCGTCTAATGTTGCAGAGGTGACAATAAACTTGAGATCTGGGCGACGCTTCATTGTTTCTATTGGGTGTAAGCTAGCTACCAGGTGTGCAACGAAACTCACTTTTAAGCAATCCAAACAAAACATCAGTAGCAATTGTACGTTCGTGCGCTTCATCTAGAATAATGACAGAGTAATTCCTCATATCTGGGTCAACCAAGCACTCCCTTTGAAGCATACCATCAGTCATGTACTTTATTCTGGTTTCAGGACCAGTGCAATCCTCAAAACGAATGGTGTATCCGACCTCCTGGCCTAACCTACAACCGACTTCTTCTGCAACTCTTTTACTTACACTCATAGCTGCAACACGTCTAGGTTGAGTACAACCGATTTTACCATAATCAGCAAAACCTTCTTCGGCGAGATATTGAGTCATTTGAGTGGTCTTACCTGAACCAGTATCACCAACAACAACCAAAACTTGATTCTCCCGTACTGCCTGTACGAGTTGTTCTCTGAGTTTGTAAATTGGAAGAGATTCTCTCTGTTCTTTGATAGTCTTATCTGTTATTTTACCATAGGTAGTTGCTTTGTTGAAAGTCTTCTGTTTCCATCCAGGTGCGATTGTCGCTTTGACTGGTTGATCCTGACCGTATGATTTACTACCCTCCTGTGCTAATGGGTCTTGCCAATCTGTCTTCTGATTTTTCTCTTCTGCTTCTCTCTCTTCTTGAGCTTCTTGTTGGCGCAATTCTCTGCGCTCCTTAGCTAATCCTGCACCCGAAACGGCTGCTCTATTCATAGACCCATCTGGGGCCTTGACGATACGGACTGGGGAGAGATCCAAACTCATCTTGGTTTGACCTTTCAAGAATGATGGTTCGACGTCTCGAACTTCAATATCGATATCTTCATCAAGTTTGTTCTGATTGCGTATAGTAGCTGGCGCGTCGAAATCTCTATCTAAATCGGGATAGTCGCTAGCTTTTGCCGCGCCCGATGCGATTAATTGTTTAATTTCCCATCTTTCTGGTGAGGTATAGCGTTTGACCGAACCTCTGTAGTTGTCATCTGCGAAGGCTACGCTTGAAGAGCCTGCCTCTCTATCACGATGGAGTCTAGAAGAAGTACGCTCCTTCTCTTTACGGATTTCTTTAGATGATTTTACTCGCAAATGTGGTGACAAATCCTGGCCTGTGTTCTGATCGACATCTTTGAGAGATAAACCAAGTCTCTGGCCTTCTATAGACATGACTTTAACCTTGACTAGTTGATTTCGCCTGAGTAAGTCACGTGGATTGCTAACTCTACTGTTCGACATTGATGAAACGTGTACCAAACCGTCCACTCTAGTTTTGAAGCCATTTAAGCTAATGAATGCGCCGAAATCCTTGATTGAGTTTACTGTACCGTCGTATATGGCGTATAACTCAGGTGTAATTTTCAGTTTAGCCTCCCGCGGCGGCAGGGACGGTGGCGGAGGTGGAGAAGACTTCTTCTTTGCTGGTATAGACTCTAGCTGTGACATCAGGTCTTCTGCAGCTGTCTTATCATAGTCATTGCTAGGTTTCCAATCCTGGTCTGGCTGGGATAATCCCGGAAAGAGCCTTTGTTTCTCTGGCTTAGATTTCGATTTGTGCTTTGGATGCATTGTAAGGATCAACCTATCGATAGTGTTGATAGCGGAGTCGGGGAAACTAGCGCCCATTTCACTTAGCTTATGCTTGAATTCTTTGAGATTGGCAGATTTGTCGTGTATGTTGAGTATGAACTCAGCTAAGACCTATATGATATGAGATACGGGTGTACAGAGAGATAGATAGCGCACCTTATCCTTTATACCTGTATAGTTGAAGAGCTCCTTCGTTATCTTCTGGTTCAGGTTTATTATCTCTAAATTTTCTAATTCGTCCATCGTCGTTCAGGAAAGAGAGTTTCTCTACCGTCTACTTTAATGTACAGCCTCGAATGTCTGAATAGAGACACGAATAGACAGTCTAGCTATTATTTAAAGCCAAATAAATCAACCTCGGTCGGTAGAAAGACTTCCGATATCCGCTTTGATAACAAGTTCATATCGAGAAACAGCCACTTCACTATCGACGCTAGCGCTGTAGATACAAACAAGCGTGACGATATAAACGCTAAATATACTCTCACTCTCAATGCTATCAAGAGAGTTAAACTTATCAATGACGCCGACAACAAAGTACATACCGTCGAGGCCAGATCTACGGAACTGAACGATGGCGACGTTTTACTGATTGGATCGGACGCTATCAAGATGACAGTTAGATGGAATCCTATCTTCTTCAATGTTTCCCCTTTGTTCCCTTCGAAAGCCTCATTTAACGGTGAAACACTCAAATACGCTCAACTCGGCTTGAAACTTGGTAGGGGTTACTGGTCTAACACCTACAATTTCCTCGTGCAACCAACGAGATCCATAAATGCAAAGGTACTAGGCGCATTGACGGACACCAAACCAATCGTCAATGGTAAATACCTTGAGAATGTCTATCAAGCGATCTTATCAGACAACCTGGAACATATTCTCCCAACTGTCACATCAGACTATCTACCAGCCCCCGTTTCTTCAGATAAGCTGCAAAAAGACACTTTTTGGCTGGTTTCTGAAAACAGATTAGCTTTGTTCATCGACACTTGCTTTATTTTACTACTTGATGACAAACAGTCGACTTACATAGATATTCTCTCCTCCTGTGGTGCTACTATACAGTCGCTCAACATTAAATCAACTTCAGCTGATGACCTCGAATTGGGTGTTTCGCAAATACTCGAACAGCAACAGGTGGATAAAACAATCATGCTCCTACCTCCAGACGTAAACGATAGAATGCAAGATAACGCTGAAACTTGGTTGAACAAGATAACGCAGGTGGTCAAAAAACTAGGTATTAGATACGTAGAGCCCGCGTCTCTAGACACGACAATCATGCAAATCGATATGGATTGCTTAAAATTCACGAAACCTACTAAGGAGGAGGAGATACAAGAGACGTCATCATCGCTTCATCCACGCGAAAGTGGCCAACCGCTGGGACCAACATCCGAGCATGCCAATGTTCAATCGTCAATAAGAGAGCCTGACAGGACGCCATTGAGAGAGTCACCACCACAGCCATTGGCAGAGAACAGCCGAAAGCGTAAGGCATCGAAGGATCCAGATGAACCACAGAAGCGTTTAATACGCAGAGCTGGAGGAAAGAGAGCCCAGCGCGTCGATCTAGATGATGATATTGTGGATGTCTCAGTAGAGCCATCGAAACCATCTACAACAATGCAAGATCAACCCCAAGCTGAGCCATCTGAGCCACCTCAACAGCCAGTGGCAGCCACACCTATGAGGAGGCGTACAGGCAATAGGCGATCACGCTCGATCAACATCGACGAATCTGATGATGAGAGACCGCCTGTCCAAGAGACGATACCCGAGGTAATACGAGAGATCCCTGACACTGTATCCCAACAATCTCCAGAGGTGGGTCCTCAGCTCTTTCATTTAGCATGCTCAAGAATCTCAAAGGTATCACCCCCACAGCAGAGAAGCACATTACGTCGAAGGGCGAACACACGCAAGATGCAGACGATAAATATTGACGACTCGGACGAAGAGCCATTCCCTGCACCTCAACCCACGCAAGCTCAACCCGTATCATCAGAAAAACCAGGATCGTCTGCTATGAAACCTGAGCAGAGTCAGGCGGTAAAGCGAACACCAGAACCAGTAGAGAAACGTCGAACGGCACGTGAAAGAGTTGAAGAGCAAATGCAGGCGAAGCTCGAACCAGGGAGGGACTTTCTCGCTGAACACATAGACAAGCGTAAGAAGACACTGCTGGACGAGCGTCAGAAGAACATGGCGGTCCAGGAAATGCGTAAAGCTGAACAAGAGGCTTTGTTGTCCGCACAAAAGGAGGCATCTAAGCAACCAGAAAAGACAAGATCACGACCAATTAAAAGATCATTAAGGGACGACTTTGACGATGATATACCAAACACCAACAATGGTACTAGTAGACCACTCAATGACTGTCTCATCCCAATGAAACTCATCCCGCTTCATCGACGCGATCGACCAGCTATAGGAGAAGAAAGCGGGACGAAGAATGCACCGAATTTCAAGAAATTTAAACGCAAGATTGATCACCGCTATCAGCCTCGCGTAGAAGTCGGGCTTAGAGATAGGCATACCCAGATACGACCACGGCCACGCAAAGAAAGCAAAATGACGATAGAGATGAGCAGCGACGAGGACGAACTCTTCGGAGATGAATACCTAGACGATGAATTTTAAAACGTTGTATAGCAGCTGTAAAATAAATAAATAACTCTCTACTGATGTCGACCATGTCATCACTTTTCAAGAGGCTCGGAATAGTGAGCAAAGACTTAGAGAGCCTATCAAATGGACAGAGTAAAGCCCTAGAAGCTGCTCTTTTGAAGGACAACGCAGCACTCAGCCCAGATGAGCTCAACGATAGATATCTCGAAAGATTCTACGGGATGGACAACCTCGGTAATAGCTGCTATTGTAATTCAGTATTGCAGTCTCTCTACTTTTGTAGACCCCTGCGTGAACTCGTGTTGGCTTTGCCGTCGGATGTGGATAAGAGCATGTATACAGTTTTACGGGGATTGTTCCAGGACATTTCAACACAGCCTAAGCGTACTGGCGTTATACAGACTAAATCTTTTGTCGAAAAACTTCGACAGGAAAACGAGCTCTTTCGAAGTACAACACATCAGGATGCCCACGAATTCTTGAATTACTTACTCAATAGAGTAGCCGAAGACCTCACTAGACTGACAAAATCAAGCCATACCCTCGTACACTCCTTATTTGAAGGTACACTCACTAATGAGACAAAGTGCATGACATGCGAGAATGTAAGGTTAAACTGATCTTTCATTTATCTCAGCTGACAACTCCAGATTACCCACAGAGATGAAAGCTTTCTTGATTTATCCATAAACGTTGAAGAGGACTCAAACGTAACTGAGTGCCTTAGTAACTTCAGTGTCAGGGAAATGCTTTGTCAGAAAAACAAGTTTTTCTGTGACTCTTGTGGTGGTTTACAGGAAGCTGAAAAGTGGATGAGGATAAAGAAGTTGCCTAATATCCTCGCTTTGCATTTGAAAAGATTTAAATATCAGGAAGATCAATCGAGGTACATAAAATTGTCATACAGGGTTGCATTCCCTTTCCTGCTTGAACCTGGCAGCTTGTCAAGCACATGTCAAGGTGCGGAAAACAGCGATAAGATGTATCGTCTCTTTGCTGTCATTATTCATATTGGATCGTGAGCCAAAATTTTGTTCTCAAATATGATGCTGACAATTCGCTTTAGGGGACCGCATCATGGACACTATGTTTCAATTATCAAGTCATACGATCGTTGGGTTTTGTTTGACGATGACAAGGTTTCTGTAGTAGATGAGCACGAACTTAGCAAATTTTTCGGGAATGATCCCGCAGGCGAAGGTTATGTATTTTTCTACGAAACTGTTGACCTCGACAGAACGTCCGTTGGTCTGCCAGCTACACCACCTCCTCAAGTCAGCTTAGCGAAAGAAGAGGAAGAAACACCACCACCAAGCAAAGGATCTTACTTAAAGAAGAAAGGATCGTTTAGTGCACCACCTTCACCAAACCTTACTGCTGTTCAATCGCCGAAAGTCAACAGCTCAACGAAACTCAATCAAGTCGTCAACGCCACTGATGACAACCATGGTAAAACCAAAGATGCAGTAGATGTAAAACGCAGCATGTCACAAAGCTCGCGTAGATCTGCCAGCGCCTCACTTGGCTTAAATGCCGAGAAAATGAGCAGCCGTCGACCAAGCTCCTCAGGAAGTCTCTTCAGTAAAAAGGAAAGAGTGAGCAGCCGACCATCAACAAGCCACGGTGCGAGCCCACTTGAGAAAGAGAAGAGTTGGTTCGGCAGCATAAGCGGAAAGATGAAAACCACGAATGGCTATATACCACCTGAAATACCCTCTCAAAAGCCCCGCGTTAGATCTGATTCGATTCCACACAAGAGGACAAGTGAGGAGGTAAAGAGAAATAGAAGAAGATCAGCAACATACAGTTCCTCCACTAATACACGCTCAACATCGACAACACCACCGTCAAATAGTCAATTCGCTAATGGCATGCCAGCGACGTTCGTTGGTAAGTCATCTTCAACTCATTCTAGTGAACCCGAGAGAAGGAAGCATGTCGTCTCACCACCACCACCGCTTACGAGTGGTAAATTGAGCGCTGCACAGTTGCGTCGTGAAAAAGAACCACTTGGAAAGGAGAAAGTCAAGTCGCCTCCTCCGCCTGCACCAATGCCGCATTTCAATAATGATAGTATAGGTAGTTCGCCTCAGCACTATCACCCATTACCAGCAAAACCAGCTAAGAAGAATATTATTTCAAAATGGATAGATAAAATTAGACATTAAATGCATGTTGTATTTGTATTTTTCTTTCACTATCGTGTTATGATGTCATTGGATTCCCATCCAAAAATTAGCGCTTTTTGGAGGGAAGCTTCAAACAAACAAGATGGAATATGATTATGTGGGTGTGTGAACTGAAGCTATATGCTTCTCTGACACTACAAACTAAGGTAGTGATCGGAGGCGGTACTTCCGGCCTGGTTCTGTCAAGCAGACTAGCAGAACGGGGAGAGAAAGTGCTCGTTATAGAAGCAGGCATTGAGTAGGTACAAATTCTTCAAATTGGAGCTTCTAATGGGGCATATACAGTCCTAAAAATGACGAAAATATCACGTCAGCATCGAACTTTGTCACCAATGTTGGTGGAAGTTATGACTACGGATTTAGCGTAACAGACACGCATGTTCCAATGCCACGCGGGAAGGTTCTTGGTGGAAGCAGTGCGATTAACTACATGTAAAGTTTACCGATATGTTGAGGGACGTCAACAACTCACGAGCAAACAGACTCTGGAATAGACCATCAAAATATGAAATAGAACTGTGGCATAAATTAGGGATAGAAGGCTGGTCTTTTGAAAATGTATGGAAGTACATGAAGAAAGCTGAAACATACATTCCACCTTCCCAAACTCAGCTGGAGAGTTTTGGGATGCAAGCCCCGCATAGTAAACATTACGGTAGTAGTGGACCAATTACACTCTCTTATCAGCGTTATATCTCACCCACGGATAGACGTTGGTTGGAGACAATCAAGAATATTGGTTTACCTATCAACGAGAATCCTCACGATGGGGAGAATCTAGGTGCAAATATCAGTCCAATAACAGCAGATCCTAATAAACATAGACGTACATACGGTTGCACATACCTGGATGCTCTCCCAACGGCCAGTTTGGATATTCTCACTCAAACAATGGTTCATCGTATTGAAACTGTCACAGAAGACGGTCAAATAAGGGCTACTGCCGTTGAATACTGCTCAGAGGGTGTGACTAAGAGTGTCAAAATTCGTAAAGAAGTTGTTTTGACAGCGGGTACCATAAACACGCCTCAGATACTCGAGCTGAGTGGCATAGGCGATACTAACATACTAGCCAGCCATGGAATAAAAGAGGTGCTTAACATACCTACTGTGGGTGAGTATCGAGGTCACTACTATCCTACACTTTGCTACCAATTGAACGACACTGTGAAAAATATGGACGTTCTAAGACAAGAGGAACAAATTCGTCGAGAAGAGGCCGAGAAATACCGCAAAGGGGATCCATCTTTATATCACCAAGCTGCATCTTGCGTTTTGTATTTAAAGCCTGCTCAGATTCTAACCAAGGAGGAGCTTGATAGACTGGAAAGTCTCCTAAGAGAAGCAAGTAGTAACGAGGAGCTCGTCCTAGCTCAATATTTCCTAGATGAGCGCATACCTCAAGTTGAAATAGACATGGTTGGCTTTTTCGCTGACCTCAACAGCGTTCCAGAGGATGGCAAGAAGTATGTTACCTTCATGGTCGGTCTACAGCATCCATTTAGTAAGGGAAGCATACACGTCAGCTCCTCTGATGTGAATGACAAACCGAATATCACGTCTAACTATAACAAGCATCCAATCGATAGACTGTTGTTATCTGCCGCCATTAGGTTCATAAGGGAAAAAATCGTCACTGGGAATCCACTCACGGATATAATTTCAAAAGAGGTCTCACCTGGTAGGGGTGTATCAGTCGAGGAATTCATCGAAAATGCCCCCGCTTGCGATTATCGTGAGTTTGTTTGGAATTACATCATAGAATAAGCTAATATGATCTATATAGACCCAAGTAGTAGCGCGAAAATGGGAAATAATATCGACGATTCTGTGGTTAACTCTGAGCTAAAAGTACACAAAACGCGTAACATTAGGGTATCTGACGCATCTATAATACCACTAGGGTTGTCATCGCATATACAATCAATCGTATACGCTATAGCAGAAAAGGCAGTTGACTTGTTATAATAAATTTAATTAAACGTGCTTATCAGCCTTTCTTGTACCTTAACTGTGATGAGAGTGCTTTTCAAAATAATACTTGTGATCACAACCGTCATCTTGACATCTTTAGCTTTATACAGCTACAATCACAAAACCAGTAAGAATATAGTCATACCTACAGCTCAACAAGTTTCGAAAATGAACGCAGGTGTGTACCCTCTATACCGTTGGATAATCCGAGCTAACTTAAAAATGACAGAACAACACGAAAGATATATCGTAGTATTTAAAGATTCAGCCAGTGACGCTGAGATTAAAAACTACGCTCAAGAAGTTGAATCCGGTGGTGAGTACGCTAAAGTATAAATATGACGTCACTTATCGCCACACTTAGGTGGTAAAATAGTTCACCATTACAATCCAGATGGAATTATGAAATCTTTCGCTGGACACATTCCACAAAATGTATACACATCCTTATCAGCACAATCAGGTCAATCACCAATCGATTTCATTGAGAAAGATAAGGAAATGAAAATTCAATAGGTTGTCTGATGATATTATATGTTTCAATCATCTAAGATTATGTATTAATGATTCATTTGACGATGTAATGGTCACTGTCAATAATAAGACAGTGAGTTTTTAAATAGCGTGAAAAGTGTAATGTATTAGCAATAGTTCCCTCCTAGAGTCATTATATTTGAATTCTAGATTGTGAATGATAAGACCTCGCGTAGTTTACCGACACGTCCTCTACCATGATGTGACTGACACGAGCAATTCTAATGGGAAGTACATTACGATTCCTGTCCGAAAAGAAACCTTGTTCCTGAATCACAAGTAAACCCCTGTGTCACAACGTCGCTATGGTTGTATCATCAGTAATTTTATCACATAACCATTTAATTTTGTACCAATAGTCGAAGAATACTACTATATTTTGTAATATAACTTTAAGCCAGATGTACTTGTGTTAATTAAACTGTCAAATCCTCGTTTAGATCTCCCAAGGACTATGGAGTACCTGAGGTGGAGAAATGTCTTGAAGACATCAATAGTCATCTTATTAATGTCGAGTATGCTGATGTTTGTACAAGCAGTGCCAGATCTAGATGATCATCAAAGAAAGCTCGAAAGTGATTTGGTACAACTTTCTGAGTACCCTAATACTGTCGAGAATGGATATAATGCGGTTCAGTCAGGTCCCTTTAACGTCCAATGGTCTACCATATTTACTTATACTAATTATTTGGTTAGTTGGGGTGGGGCATGCGCAGCCATTTACTCAACTATTTCCAAATTCCAAAGTGATAAAGCTGATAGAATTGCTAAGGAATCCTGTAAAGCAAACAAGTTCAATGCACTTGGTTATGGATTTTGGATTATCCCCGATGCAAGAAAATGTGATCCTGGTACTGCATCAAAAGTACTTGAGACGGCTGTCTCCGATGCTCTACACCCTTTGAGAGGTGTTTCAAATGCTGTAGGGTGTGTCAGAATTAACGATTGGTACGATTATTCTGCCTACGTAGTCGTGCTACCATCACCAGATAACAATAGCTTTTGTGAAGGTAAAGGTATTACACATAGAAGTGCAACTTCCGATTCTAGCAGAGACATTCAATATGAAACTAAACGAAACGGACGCTAAAACTATAAAATGAATTAATATAATGAACTTATTTTCTATGAGATAAACATCTTTATCCTTGCTCAAATGGTAAAAGTTAGTTGAAAAACAACATAAATAAGTCTGTTTACATCCAACGATTTCTCGAGTTTAGTCAATTGGGGTGATTTGAGGCAAAGGTAGATGCATTTGATAGGATTTTGTTTTCTTACTAAAAGGGGTGTTGAGTCTAAAATGAAATACTAAATATGGTCTTGGGTCTTACCATGATACTACAAAATTTTCACTTGAAAAATCTTAGCTAGTATGTGCGTAGTACTATAATCATTCCAATTACCTTAGTCTAAACATCAGTTTATTATCGTCAATGCATGTCTTGTTTTACACATTTGATTGAGCCAAAGTCATGTTTAGTTTACAACAAAGATCGCTAAACTCCATGAATTATTTCAAAATCTCCCAATAGAAGAAGCACATCAGTTGGTGCAACTTTTTCTAATGATTAGCAAGCCAGGTAAAGAGAATCACGCCAAGCAACATACTAGATGGCCAATCATCTTAATCAACTTCTGGCTATCTTCATGGTAATGTCTGATGATTTATACATTTTAGTCAAATACAATAAACAACACATCAAGTGAATTAAATTGAATCAGTAAAATTTGTTAAAATGACAAATAGATATATGCTCTAATCTCTTATGCTCTTGTATTAACGACTCATATATTGTTGATATCTCCTCATCTGGTAGGATATAAGCATCACTGTCTTGATGTTTTTGGCTAGGCAGATGAAATTGTTCATCAACTGATATACTAGGTAATTCGAATTGCTCGTCGACTGGCGTTAACAATTTACTTGTTTGGGTATTCAAAGTCACAGACGGCGGTGTTAAGATTGGTGTCAAAGGCGGAGTTGATTGAGGTGTATTGATGTGATGATTATAGGAATTCCTTCTATACTTGACTAACTCTTCGAATGACCGTTTATTTGAGTGTTTGAAATAGTCAGATAGTCCTATGCCTAATAGAGGTATATATTTATGCTCGATGCTTCTTTCTTGAATGGTGGAATGTGGAAGATAGATAGTTTTATGAAGGATATCAGCTATTAATTTCACTACAGAAGCTAATTGTGTTGTTTCACCTGTTAAATACACTGCTGTGTCCTTATCTATGAAACCATTGTGAATGAAATAGTCTATGTAGCATCTTATTGTCAAGAACTGCGATTCAATAAGACATCGAGGATTCGCTCGTAGATCTCTAAACTCGTCTGTATTGTACCCTAGTTCATATCTGTAATAACCACTGATGTATTTACCATTCAGAGTTTGCTGTCTCTCTGGGTAATAAAAGCTGAACAATTTATTGTCTAAACCAACCGATCCACCGATATTAATAAGATTGACTAAGCTATTGAATGTATTCCAATTACCATTACAGTAAGCATCTCTTATAGATGATCTTGCTTTGCCTTGTTGATTTATTCTGATATAAGCTAATAAATAGTTGCTATCGTACGGATGATCGTATAGTTCTACAGTCGGTGGCAGTTTCTGTCTATCAGCTGACTTTTTAATTTGGAAAACTACATGATTGTCTTCACCTAAGCCAACTATAGTTCCACTGATTGAGGGTGATATAGCTATAAAGTATCCCAGAACTTTATCTATGGATGAGTATATTGTAATATCTCTACCAAAATCTCTATCCAGCTTGTAACTGTCGTCGTCAATTGAGAGTATAGTAATATCTGAATCTTCTAATAGCAAGTTTGTCAATCGACCCTGGCTATAGCTTTCCTTGGTGTCCTCATAATGCACCACTCTTAGGTTGTCATCCAATTTGAGAAACTTATTCTGGTTTTTTATTAAGATCTTCATCGTACGACATTTACATTATAAAATTCAATTCCTCCTCAATTAGCTTTTCGTTTTAGGGGACTTTGTCAATTGCCGGCTGGATGCACCCTTAAAATTTTATACGGGTCTAGATCCTTGTAAGTATTTTCTTGTTAATATTTAATAGCAAGTATATAGATACCCCAATTTCTATTTCTATTTTTCCTTCAGGCGTCATTCTGACGTCGGTAGCTATTAACAAAAACGTTCTAAAAAGGCAACTATAATGAATAAAGTTGTCTCACTTTATTATAACGTATATTGTCTTTATTTTATTGTAAATTCATTAGTTGTACCTGAAAATACACTCGGTGGACCTTAAGTACAAGTGCTTGGCTTAGAGTTTCTTCTTTAGATTTGTTTCCTTTTTATTGAACACAAATGTATATTAATAGCACTTTTGATTTTATTTTATATTATACCCTAGCCAATCTAAGATAGCCGCAGCATGCTTAACGATCAGACCTGGAAGCTGTCTACTGCATTCTTGCTTCTCCACCAAGAACAAACTTACAACACTCTTTAAGAAACCTTTAAAGCAAAAATGCGCTCATTCACTGCATCAGCTTTATTAGCCCTCGCCGCATTCACATCCGCTCAAGATGTCAACTCTTCTATGGAAGGTGTCGTCGCAACTGGTACAATGGGTAAGACCAACCCAGCTGAACCAACCATGCAAGCGGGTAAGGGTGACTCAGAGGCCAGACTCGTTACTGTCAACTCCATTGATGTGAGTCGTCTTGTTTGTCGGAAATTTTTCTTAACACTCTCAGGACTGGTGTATTTTCGGTCCAAAGGATGAAGGCAAGACTATCGGTGAGACCGAAGCTGAGCAAGTTGCTTGGTGTACTCAACCAAGAAACAACGCAAGACTCATTCCAGAAGGTACAATCAAGGCTGCTCACTTCATCAAGACTCCATTCTACGTTCAAGTCGTAGGTTGGGGTGACTTCACCAAGATTGGCCTTAAGGATGGTGACTACGGTGGAGAACTCGACCCACACGGTGCTACTGGTGATGGTAACCCAGTTGGTGGTAACGTTACCTCAAACATCTCAGGCTCTGATGTCCACTACGCCGAATGGATGGAGTTCCTCTCTTACGAGCAAGTCTGTCTCAGAGTTTGCACAGCTGGTAACGAAACTTACCCAGCATCGTAAGTGAAAATGAAGTTTTTCGGAACATTCTAACAATTTCTTAGTGTTATGTGTGAGCACAAGCTCGATGAAATGGGTTGTTCATTCATTATGCCTGGTGACTACGAAGAACAAAACTTCCAAACATGTGATGCCGACCCAGCATACCCACCAGGTATGTTCCCAGTCGGTGAGAACTCATACAGCTCTTTCGCACAAAGATACACTGGTACTCTCACTCAAGAAGGTGGTCAACTCACAACTTACACCATTGGTGACACCGCTACTCCATCTAGCGCAGCTATGACACCTTCCTCATCAAACTGTGTTACTCAATCTAGCTTAAATGTTCCTAAGCAATCCACAAAGTCTACCACCGATTCTAATGGAAAGCCAACTCAAGATGTTACCACAAACGGTGGAGGTGCTAGTAACCAAGATGGTGACTCTGCTGCTCAATCATACAATGGCTTGATCGGCTTGGTCTCCGCATCTTCAATCGCCCTCCTCGCTGGTGCAGCTATCTTCGTTTAAAGTTAGTGTATCTCTCCCGGATGGAGTTACCGTTTTTGTTTTACTTTTACTCGGCTCGACTTTTTTATATGTTAAACCTTCGACAGTATATCAAATTGACTAATCTTTATTGATTGTTCAATCACTTTAATATCACCCATATCTCCAACCACCTTCTGTACGAACATTACAATATATGAGCGCCTTTATCTTCCTAAAAGTATAAATTGATACAAAATACAAAGAAATTAAACAATTATAAAGCGAAAAAATGAAAAGCAAAGAATTGAAGAGAAGGGTATTCCTGTTTTTCCCAGAGTGAAAAAAGAAAGCTGATATATCCCATCTAGGGAATCAGCTTATTTGTCCGTGTGTGTATTATTAAAGGTATTACTCAGGTGTTCCTTCACCCTCTAACTGTTGTGCGATCTCGAGAATGAGACTGATTTCCTCGTGTTTGCTAATATTATGCTCATCAACGAATGACTCTCCATCGAGTATTTGTCTAGATGACATCCTCGATTTAGAATTTGGCACAGCTGTTCTGACGACGAACTCCCTAATAGTGTTTGATGTCTCATGAGGTAAGTCCGGCAAACCTAATGCTAGTTTATTGAAGAGAGCGCCCTCATCGTATTCGGCATATGGCGGCATACCAGTTACCATCTCATACGTCGTCGCAACTAAGCTGGTTAGTTTCATAATAATAATAACTATGACACTCACTTAAACTCCATACGTCAGATTTATGCGTATATTGACCGCCGTCTTGTACTAATTCTGGAGCCATCCAAAATGGTGCACTTATAGTATCGCTCACTGGATAACTTTGAGCTTGTACAGCGTTGGCGAAATCAGTCAATATTGATGTACCATTTTGTGAAATCATGATCGTATCAGATCTGACATCCCTGTGTATAATCTGTTTAAATCTCAAGCATTCTAGTGCTTGTAAGATATCATAGACAATACGTCCAATTTGTCTTTCATTTAGTTGTAAACCACTGTCAATTAGCGAAATTATATCTGTCAGTGATCTTGTCATTAATGGCATTACTAGCGTTGCTACTGGTGATCCATCCCTCATAGTTAAGAACATTTCCTCGATCGGTAGAATATTTGAAGAATTAAGTGATTTTATTATCGATAATTCATTATGTAAATTTGATAACCTTTGACTTTCATTACTCTTCTGGACTATCTTTAAAGCTTTGTTGTGGAATTGGTAGATATGACCACTCATACCCATAGCTATGATAACGCGATCTTGGACTGGATAAAGGGATTCTACGTCACCCTCTGTAGCAAACTTGCTAAGAGCGTTTTCGACCTCACTTGTTGTCTCCTGGGTTGGTGATGGAGGAGGTGGTATTTCTGGTGTTGTTTCATTTGTTGGTATGTCAAACACCATAGAGTTATCTGCAACTTTAGCGGTTGAGGCACTACTTTCGCTCACATTATCGTCATCGTCGTTGTTGCTGTTTTCGGCATTTCCCAGCACATTTATACCCAAGCCAGGTGTATCAATTAATGAGAATTCAGTACCGTCATCATCTTCAACGAGATCATCGAGATTGTTTTGCGGTTGTATGTCTTTAAGGTATTCGCCTGTTAAGTCATCTTCATCAGCTACTGATCCCGGCGTCGATGAAATTGAGGTCTGCCGCCGTGTTCTGTCCATAACGATAAGAGAAGATCTTGATCGTTTGCGAGTCTCGACCTTCTTTTGCAATTCCGATTTTGGTGAGTTTGTGCTATCTATTGAACCGCGATGGAGTGATGGATGAATTTGCGTGTCCGGGGATGTCGTACTTTCTGATAACTCGAAAGTGTGCTGATCAATTTGTAAGGGTGATAATTGAATAGATAAACCAGATGGGCTTTTGATCATATCCCAATGAATACCTTCATCATTTTCGTCGACATCGTGAGGCGAATCTAACTGGGGGTCGAAATTATTATCAACATCTTCGTCATAATTATCCTCCTCCTCTAAACCGCCATAGACATCGTCTTTCTCGCCTTTCACACCATGACGAGCATCAATCTCCTTCCGTATTTTATCATTTGACAGGTATTGGTCTTGAGCTGCAGCAAAAGATCTGGGAACTGTGTAGCGAGGAACTTCCTTAGTGCTCGCGCTGGCACTGCTATTAATGTATTCGTCAATACTACGCGGCTGATGGCTAGACTTGGTTGAGGATCTCAAAGAAGTATCTAAATCAACACCTTCCTCTAGTGTAGGAGGTTCCCATCTCTGTTTTGATGCTGTGCTGGGCGTTTTAGATACTTTCGGCGGTGACCAACGCTGTTGAGAGATTTTTGTTGGAGATTTTTGAGGAAGTAAACTATCACTACGGGTGGATACATCAGAGTCGTTACGTACGAACTTCGGCCGGTTAGTGGTGTTGGTTGTAGTGTGATGGAAAGTGGGTCTAGTGGCCGTATCTGCTGTCGCTGGTCTACGTCCTATCTCCGGTCTTTTTGAGGATGATGTCGGACCAAAGTTAATAACGGAAGAGCGTCTAGTCGCAGCGTTTTGTATCAAATCAGACGATCTTTTTGTACGTTTTTCAGAGGTTGAGGACCGCTCTAGAGCTTTCATTACACCACCACTCCAGTCCTCATCTTCATCCCCGATTCTGAGTTCAGGGATGGAGAGCGTGGATAAAGTAGAGCGGGTGCTATCATTTGAGCGTGACTTGTGCTGGTTGATTGTGGGCGTATCTAGACCAGCTTGATAGCCAAGTTCAGAGAGCTGATTGGCCCAGCTGGGAGGTAGACCAGACATGGTACCGTCTACGTGTATTAAATGCTTAATCGGGGGTCAGATAGAGTACTTGTAAGTGAAAGCAATGAACGCACTTCGATCTTATTAGGGAGAGTGATACCTGCGTCGCCCTGCTGTACGCCATCCTGATAGTAAATATCTGAATAGCTATTGTCGTCCTTCTTTTTCAAAGATTTTGGTATAAACCTCTTCTTTATACTGTCATTCATCCTGACAGTCACCGTCTGAGCGATAAAGTTCAACTAAAAATGTCAGAAATAAAACCTAAGCGGCCATCAAAGATTGGTCAATACGAGGTATTGCAGACGCTTGGTACCGGTTCATTTGGTAAAGTCAAGCGTTAGTCAGCAGTTTAGCTAAGCTTACATACGCTTACATACAACCTCTAGTCGCTGTACACGCACTCACTGGCCATAAGGTGGCTATGAAGATATTGAACAAGCGTAAAATACACAGTTTAGATATAAGTTCGAGGGTTAAGCGTGAGATCCAATATCTGAAGCTACTACGCCATCCTCATATAATCAAGCTGTAGGTAGATTATTTACTCATACGCTTTCTCTTACCTGCTATTTAGATATGAAGTTATTAGTACGCCTACGGATATTATTATGGTCATGGAGGTAGATCATACCTTATACGGAAATACACCTACTAACTGCTTTTAGTATGCTGGGAATGAATTATTCAATTATATAGTAGAGCGCGGCAAAGTGTGTATATTACACTTCCCTATACAGATCCCTAACTCCCCCTTAGATGCCGGAAGATGAAGCACGGAGATTCTTCCAGCAGATCATCTGCGCCGTAGAATACTGCCACAGGCACTCTATAGTACACAGAGATCTCAAACCAGAGAATCTCCTATTGGATGATTTCAATATGGTCAAAATCGCCGATTTCGGTTTATCAAACATCATGACGGACGGTGACTTTTTAAAGACGAGCTGTGGAAGTCCCAATTACGCAGCACCAGAAGTTATCTCTGGAAAGCTCTACGCTGGCCCAGAGATTGATATCTGGAGCTGTGGTGTCATCCTCTACGTCATGCTCTGCGGTCGACTGCCATTTGACGATGAATTCATTCCAAACCTTTTCAAGAAGATTAATGGTATGCTCTATACTTTTATGGCTTCTTTAATAACCCCTCGATAGGCGGTGTATATCACCTACCTAGCTACCTCTCACAGGAGACAAAGAGTCTTCTCTCTCAAATGCTCGTAGTCGACCCTGTCAAGCGTATAACCGTCCCAGAGATCAGGGAACTCCCCTGGTTCAAGGTTGGTCTTCCAAAGTATCTCGAACCTCTCCCACCGGCGACGACGCCTTCAAACGAAGATGAAAAGAAATCACCGGAGGATATTATCGCCGAGGGCGAAGAAATTAGTCCAGATTTAGGCATTATCGACAGAAACATCGTCAACGACTTGGTCGAGAAAATGGGTCCTTTCGATATCGAACAAATCATTGAAGAGTTGAAAGCTGAAAATGAGAATCAATTTAAAGTGGCTTATCAACTCGTGCGTGATCACAAACGTATGGTTCAAACGGCCGGTGATAGGCAAGACCAAGCGATGGATAATTTCCTCTCTAGCTCACCACCTGCTTGGAATGCGGGTTTGGAACACATGACAGGCTCCAGAAGGTCTACATCTATTAAAAGAAAAGCAAGAAATAGCCCACAAGACCAACAACCAGCTGTCGAAGATAATGACGAATATGACGATTTTGATGGCCTCGATGATTACGATTTGGAGGAGCGTTTTACAGTTTTAGATAGCTCATTACCTCAAAACAATGACGAAGATAGTTCTCAGGCATACAAAATGGAGTCGCTCAAGCTTAACGACTCACATAAATCAACTAAAAAAGACCCAACCAAGGTCCTCCAAAGCAGAAGCTCACAGCCAATATCGGTTGAGCCTATGTCAGCGATGCCATCATCGACTGTACCGGAAGAACGGATTGCGAAAGATACCATTAAGCATACCCAACGTGGTGATGCCCCAGTTCCTCAACAAAGCAAGGAGAAATCAACTCAACAGCAATCAACATCCGTGAAGAAATCCAAAGCATCCAAATGGCATTTCGGTATAAGGTCGAGATCACCACCTATGGAAGTCATGCTTGAAATATATCGCACATTAAAATCACTCGGTATGGAATGGAAGAAAAAGGATTTACCTGCGAAACCACCAAATTCAAATGCACATCAAGATGACTTGCAAATTCCACAAGATTTGTTCTTCGTTGAGACAAGATCAAGAATCAAGAATGTGATTATCAGAATGGATTTACAATTATATAGAGTCGATGAGAGTAACTACCTCGTTGACTTTAGACTAGTTGATTATTTCCCTATACCGCCAACATCAGAAGATTACATTCGATTTGACAGTCATGAAAACTCAGCTGAGAGTTCGCCAGGTGTGAAGAGTCCAGGTGAATTTAGCAATAATACATCGGAGGGTCATTCAGCACCGAATGTCGACAGACTTTACGACGCTAATCAGAAATTACAACAATCTCAACAAGCGGGCGACGTTTGCTCGCCATTTTTGTTCTTGGATTGTGCATGTAAGCTTATTGTCGAACTTGCAGGTGCGGGTGGATGAAGATAGTATAATGAGCACCTTAATATCAAGGAAAGACAATAAAGATGATGCTTATGATTTTTCTTTTTTGATTACCACCACGTGTTTGTATAAATTTATGCATTTGATTTACATTAGTTGTTTGATTTGCCTGGTCTGGCGACGATACCTGCTGAGGCTTGGTTGGTTGGGAAGACGAGTGTATTGGCGACCTGTACGTGTGGTGGACGGCTGGTGATCCAGATGATCTCCTCTGCTATGTCTTCTGGTGTAAGAGGGTCTAAGTCCTTGTAAACGTTGTCTGCTTGCTCCTTATCGCCTCTGAATCTAACAACAGAGAATTCAGTTTCAACAAGGCCTGGCTCTACTTCCGAAACGCGTATAGGTGTGCCTACGAGTTCTTTCATGAGTGAGCTCGTAAATGAACGGACAGCATGTTTGGTGCTGCAATAGATTGAACCTCTCTGGTATGGTTCTAAGCCTGCTATACTGCCCAAATTAACGACGTGTCCTGCGTTACGCTCTTTGAAATGATTGACGAAAATTTGTGTCAATTTTATGAGACCGATAACATTTGTATCAAACATGGTATCGACATCATCATCATTTATACTTCCAACCTCTTCCAAGCCCTTAACGAGTCCAGCGTTGTTGACAAGGATGTCAAACGCCTTGAATGACGTGCGTTGGAAGAATTGATTAATTTCTTCCCTTTTTGAGATGTCCAGATTAACAGCCTCGTAGTTTCCACGAGGGTTGAGTTCTCTCGCTTGTTTGACTATCTCCTCTAGTTTTTCGGCTCTCCTAGCCGCAAGAACGACGTTGGCGCCTGCTTTAGCGTAAAGTAGTGATGTAGCAGCTCCTATACCACTCGATGCACCTGTTACCAATACATTCTTACCCTCTATTTGTGATATTAGACACTCTAGTTATAAAGTGAATATTATATACTCACGAAGTCTCTGTGTTGATAAAACTGACATTTTCTTTCTGTTTATGATGAAAGTACTGATAATTGAAGTAATCTCGCTCTTTTCTTGGTCACCATCACGTCAATCGTGCAGTATATTGCATTATGTGAGTATATTAACTATACAATATAGTATTCAAACTCATACTTCCCTTAGGACACATTTGTTACCAGCTAATTTGCTGAAAGTTGGTACAAGTTGTTTAAATATACCTAAAACTGACGACATATCAGCTATTCGCTCCTAGACCCCCGCTACCATATGCTAAACCTCTAGAGAGAGATCCAACACGCTCAAAGTCTAACGCACAATCTGGAATCGGCGAGATTTTGCATTCCCTCAAGGAAGAGCAGGAAGATAGGCGGGCGAAGCAGAATGGAATATTAGACGAGGATATCGAATCAAATGATCTACAAGTTAAGCTTGCAGAAGTCTATCAAGTAGCTATAAGGAAGGCTGAACGACAGAAGAAACGTCAGGAGAACTTCAAAAGAGCTTTAGAGCACTACAAACCAACAGAAGATATTGAAGCTATTGGTGATCCGTTCAAGACACTCTTCATAGCGAGGTTGTCTGTTGAAACTACCGAGAGTGACCTTCGTAAGGAGTTTGAAGTTTACGGTCCTATTGAGAGAGTTAGAATTGTCAGACATAAAGACACAGGAAAGAGTCGTGGCTATGCTTTCCTCATATTCGAGAAAGAGCGCGATATGAAAGGTATGTGATCTTCTGCAGATTGTTGAAAACTTCTCACAATATACAGCCGCATACAAGGATGCAGAAGGCCTTAAGATTCATGGAAAGAGGATATTAGTAGATGTTGAACGTGGGCGTACAGTTAAAGGATGGAAACCACGCAGATTGGGCGGTGGACTGGGTGGTAAACCTAAAGTTGTTATCCCTGACATTGCTCCTCCAAGGGCACCACGGTGAGTGTGCTGCTATTACGATAACTCTCACTAACGTCCAGCTCAGTGGTGGTGGTGGATTCAGAGGTGGTCCACGTAGAAGTGAAGGTGGTGGAAGATTTGGTCCACCAGGGGGCGGTCGATTCGGGTGAGTAATCGAGTGGGAAGATAGAATAAGCTACTAACTAGTCCCGACAGACGGGATCGCGATGGACCGCCGCGATTTGACAGAGACAGAAGCCACGGAGATCGTGATAGATACGGTGATAGAGACCGCGATCGTGACAGAGACCGTCCAATGCGCCAATGGGGTGGTCCACCTAGGGATCCACCGAGAAGGTCATTTGGCGGCTTCAAAAGGGAATATGAAGGTGGAGACGATCGCGATTCAAAGCGTTATAGGTATTAAATTAAAAATTATTGTAACAAACAATGAATTCATTTATATTTCTCAATTTTCTGTCCTTCTTCTCTCCTACGATGGAAAGATTAGATAAAAAGCGGAAACTGAAATCATTCGATGAACTTTTCGCTGGAAATGACGTAAATAAAGTAAAAGAAGCTAAGATAGACGATATTAAGACAGCTGATATACGCTGGTTAGCGCTGGGCGCGAGTGGTACAATAGTAGATAAAGACTCAGATCGCGCCTATTACTGGCCAGTCAAAGCAATAGACGACGATGAAGTTGAACTGTTCGGTGATGATGGGCATGGCTTCCAGTGAGTGCCATTCTCAAACGCACAAACATAGACTAACGCGAGACGATACAGACGTAGGATCAATGTAGACAACAACAAATTAGAGAAATTTAAGAATCTACAAACTAATGCACCAAGGTATACCACGAAATCTACAGATAGTCCATTCTTTTACCCGAGTTTTTCACCGTCATCGACATTGGTAGATGCATTCAAAGCTGCTGTGAAGAGCGCAGAAATCGATGATGATGAGAATGACGATGAGCTTCCAGATGTCAGCATTGCACACCATTTCTCACCGCCGGTTAGCCAGCTGACCACACTCACGGAATCGCCGACCAGTTCCCAGCAGACGCTGCAAGTTGGTGCGGGTGTTAGCTTACCAGATCCAGATATCGATATCCAAGGAAAGGAAGGTGTGCTGGCGAAATACACCAAGTCTTCCGATATACGTTGGCCAGCGAGAGTGATCGCATTCAACGACCCACATTATACCGTAGAATTCAACGACTGCATAAAGAAGAAAATACCACGGGATTGGTTTTACACGTCCGCCGAGAAAGGATTTCGAAGCTGTGAGGTTGGTCAATTGGAAATTATACCACAAAAGAGAAAACGTCTATCACAGAATCACACACTCCCAGAGGTCATTCCCCCTGTGGAAGAGTTTTCTAAACTTGATATTGACATGCAAGTGCGACTTTGTCTACCAATCGTAGATGACATCATAAACGAGAAATATAAACCTGCGCTGAAGAAGCACAATCAATTCATAAAGGGAGGCGAATGTCGTAAGCATATCACCCAAAATGTCTGTTACGGTGTTTTTAGCAGTCATCGGGATGATATAGTTGAATTGATTAGGGATTATTTGAAGGTGTGTGAACTTCCACATTCGTGAGTGATTTCTAATCCATTATACAGCCAGGAGAGCAAAACAGAGAATCTAGGCCCACAGGAGCAGAATCCTATGAACAGCTTTCATCCTCCGAGAGGGTGGCTTATATGCTTGACGTCTTATTTCCAGAGGTACTACTCCAAGTAATCATACACTCTGAAGGGTTAAACAAAGGTAATGAGGAGGATTATAACAAAGCAAATGCCATACTCAGGCGCGAATCAATCGATAGAGATTGGATAGATAGGATATACGCTCAGAGACAGTTTCTTGATGAAACAAAAAAGGTGGAAGAAGAACCAGAACAACTGTACTTTGTATCAGGCAGGCCGCAACGGAATAAATTAGTAAGACGGTGATTTGTTTTTTGTTTACCGATTGTATCACCGTGATTAATCCGGCTTATCTATCCATACCTCGATGATCGAATTTCCTAAGACGCAATCTGTGGATAATATATGCATTCCTAATGACGTAAAAGCAAAGCGAAGGCGTCCACTTAGTTTGCCCTCGTTCGACTTCCGCTTGATTGCAGCAACGTTGAGGTCAAACAAAACGGAAAGTTACAAGGATGTCCTAAACCACAGGAGAATTGAGTTAGGTATAGATACTCTTAAGAGGGCAGTATCTGCCGACAGGGAGAAAGACGATGAATTGGCCTGTATGTACACCCTCAGCCATAAACAAACATTCATAGAACGTTTGAACAGATGAGGCTTACTTCCAAGCAATGGATTCTATATTTAGTTCTCTCAATTCTGATCGCGAGTTTGATAAGGAATACATAGAAAAACGAATAAATTGCCACTTGAACAAGCTCGGTTTAAGGCCAGTAGCTTACGATAACGATAAGGATGTCAGTTGGAGAAGTTTTGTTATCGATAACGCGGTATCAGCTGCGGTATTAGCTAAAAAGTCAAAGGTGGGCTTTTATAACGCAATCTTTGCACTAAATGACGTCTAGATACCGGAGTACATCTACAGAATGATAACTGGTTTATTGGACACATTATATGAACTAAACTCTAAGCTAGAACTTTCTACTAAACTAATAGGGGCTTTTGATAAGACAGTCACGCTTTTTCTTCGCCTGGATGGTAACTTCGATCTCCACCAATGGGCGTCTGAGATTAGCTGGACATTATGGGAGGCGCTGCTGAGAGCTTCTATAGCCTTTGCACAGGCTGACTCAGCTGGTACACATAACTCACGTAGTCGCCCGCGTGACCGGGAGGAAAGTGATTTTAAAGTAGAAACGATAGAGAAGAGTTAATAGAAGGTTTTGCTAATTATAACTTTGTATTTCGTAATATTTCGATACTATTTCATTAAATTACTCTTTATTCTCTTGTTCTCCAACGTCGATGTCGTCGACAACAAACATTGTGCATATAGACAGCAGCGATGAAGAACCGAGCAAACCTGATATCATAGATCTCACTAGCGATACAGAGGATATCACTATAAAGCCAAAACCGAAACCTCCACCACCACCTGCGCCGGTTAGATTCAACCCGCACTCAGCTTCCGCGCCGGTTTGTATTGGTGAAATATCTTGTATGGCCTTGATAATGATCCCCAGCAACTATATACAGACACCACCAAACATCTGGAAGGATGTTCGATTGGCTTATGTACCACAACTCAAACAATCAGCTCAATCATCACCACAAGAGACTATTAGAGTATACCCACCAGCTGAACTGCTTGGCCAGGCTCCAGGTGCATCCGTTGGAGCGGGTCAGATGCGCATACAGGATAGTTTTGCGGTCGTTGATAGACGCACTGCTGGTGTTCTCGGTCCACTGATGTTACAGCGGTGCGTGCGCATTGAGGGTGTCGTTAAAACAAAGGACGGTAGCGTAGGTTCACCTTATTTCATCCAATCTAAACTCACGTTGTTGTAGCCGATGATGTTGCCAATGAGATTGCTTTTATTTACCAGAAGGGATCTTATGGAGAAGATTGCACATGTCATTCTACAATCTGGTATATCAATTGATGCTCCGTTAATGTACGATCCTAAGAAACACTGTAACGCTCAGTATCAATTACCTGCAATAGTATCAGATATAAAGCAGCGGAAGACCTTAAATCGTTTTGGGGATTCACCATTTATACCTCCGCATAGTTTACTCAATAATGGTTCATCCTCTCTAAACTCTTACTCTTATCGTCCTCAATTTTCAGGCAATTCGAAAACAACAGAAATCAATCGCTCTGTCCAAGCAAACGAAATGCTCGGCAAGATTAGTGTTGATAATGAATTACCAGAGACTGAACCTTCAGATGAAGTTAAAACCACTCTTTATCCTCATCAAAAAGCGGCTCTAACATTCTTATTAGAAACGGAACGTGAACCACGCAGGAAAACAGATCTATCTGACAAATTCTCATTTTGGAAGCAAACTAAAGATAAGAAGAAGTATCAACATATTATTACTCATAATTACCTCAATAAGGAACCCCCTGGTTGTCGTGGCGCAATCCTGGCGGACGATATGGGTCTTGGTAAAACCATTTCAGTTGTTGCTTTGATAGCATCCACGAGGGAATCAGCTCATGAGTTTGCTTCTACTGAATTGGAGGTCGATTCCGATACAACACCAAAAAGAGAGGAAATGCCAGCGCCACCTACTTCTCAGTTTAGTAACTTTGCTATACATGGCATGCCTACTAGCAATACAGGTGCTACAGATGCATTACGAATGGAAGATGATGATACACTAGAGGGTAAAACACAGAAGATGCGTCGACAACGCCAAGAGCGTATAATTACAAGAAGTAAGGCAACAGTTATTGTTTGCCCTCTATCCACACTTAGCAATTGGGAAGAACAGTTCTTGGATCATATGGCCGTCCAGCCACGTTTTTATCGTCATGATGAGAGGCCTAAGAAGAAGAACGATGGTGCTTTGCATATTTATATCTACCATGGTAATGGTCGTAAAAGAGAGGCATCGTTTTTGAGAAAATTCGACGTCATTTTGACAGCATTTTCGACTGTCGCGACAGAATTTAGCAAGCAACAAGCAGCTATTGACAAACTAGAAAAAGCCGAAGAACAGTGGGATGAGATGCTTAAAAATGGTACAGCTTATAGTAGTACGGCTGCTACTACTGATGGTTTCAGTGATGACGACGTTACTTTCATCAAATCGGGAAGCTCCTCCATTAAACCTACCAAGTCTACAGCATCGTCAGCATCTAATTCATCGACGACTAAGGGTAAAGGTAAAGGTAAACGTAAGAAAAAGGGTGAAGGTGATGAAATTGAAGGGCTCTGTCCCGAGCTACTAGCAGAGATGCGAGAAAATGTAGTCAATGCTGCCTCACCATTGCAGCAAATTGAATGGTTTAGAGTAGTTCTTGATGAAGCACACTATATTAAGGATCCATCGACGATGATGTCTAAAGCTGCTTCTGAAATGGCCGCTAACAGGCGACTATGCTTGACTGGTACACCGATACAGAACAAAATTGAAGATTTATACGCCTTGTTGAGGTTTTTGCATCTAGAACCATTCGATCAACGAGAAACGTGGAACACGTATATCGGTTTACCTATTAAAAGTAATCTCAACGTTGGATTTGCTAGAATTCAGATCATCATGAGACATATTACAATGCGTCGTACAAAGGAAATGAAGAACATGGATGGCACCCCAATCGTTACGCTACCCGATCGATCAGATGAACTCAGGTCATTAGAATTCAACCCTCGAGAGAGAGCTATTTACGACAATCAGCATGGGAAATCGAAGGGCAAATACGTTGAACTTCGTGATTCCGATGGTCTTTCACGTGGTGGTTTTATAAGCATTTTACAGGTACGTTACGTTAAATTCTGCAATTTAATTTAACATAACGCTATAGGAACTTCTCCGCTTGAGAATGATTTGCGATCATTATTGTTTATGTCCAGATGCTGTCAATGCTTTTGCTGAATCACCTACAGCCCAAGCCCAAGCGATCTTCCAAGTCATGCGCGATTCCGAAACGGCGAATTGCATTGACTGCTATTACGATTTTGTGCAGTCTCAAGCCCCAGGTGCACAAAAAGAGGAGGAAGAAGATAAGCCATTAGTGGAAGATAAAATCTTCAAAAAACCAAAGTTGGAAAGTTCCTCCAACACTCCACAATCAACAGGCTCAGCGATGGTGCTCCCAATAATGAACCTTCAGTGTAATCACTTGATTTGTAGCAGCTGTATCAAGAAACACGTACGCAATTGGCCAGAATTTGAATCATTCCAATGTCCAGATTGTAAAGAAGTCGTTAGCGATGCAACACAAGTAATTCAAATCGACAATTTCAACGAAACATTCGCAAGTGTTGAAAATGATCTATCCGTGTTTGAAAATGAAGTATCAACATCAAAACGTAAGAAGAAAATCGAAAAACCAGAAGAGTTTTCAACAAAAATAGAAGCATTATTGCATGATTTAGCAGAAATTTCAACAACTAATCCACATTCATCTAACTTTAACACCCTGAACTTTGATGCGGATATCAAGGCAGTACCTAATAAGACTATCGTATTTAGTCAATGGACTAGTATGTTAGATCTCATTGAATTTGGCTTAAGGGAATGTCAAATTGGTTTTAGTAGACTTGATGGTTCCATGCAACGTGATCAGCGTGCTCATTCACTTGAAAGACTTAAGAATGATCCTAAATGTGAAGTCATGCTTATTTCCCTTAGAGCTGGTGGTGTTGGATTGAATTTAGTAGGTGAACTATATTTTCTAACGACAATTACTAATGATTTTTCTAGACAACAGCCAATAGGGTCTATATGATGGATAGCTGGTGGAACGTAGCTGTTGAAAATCAAGCAGTCGACAGAGTCTGTCGTATCGGCCAAAAGAGACCAGTACAGGTAGTCAGATATATAATTCAGAACACTATTGAAGAACACATTCTTGAGATTCAAGAACGAAAGACAAGACTTTTCAAAGGTGTTCTTGGTTCAGGTCGTCAACGCTCTAAGGAAGAGGAGCGTAAGGAAATGTTGGAAAACATAGCTATTATGTTTGGTGACTCACCCGACTCAGTTCATAAGCCTAATTGAGTCATCTATTGTTGTATTTCTTTTACACTTAGCTGTAAAGTTCATCCCTCACATATAAGCATGTATAATTATAATTATCTATTTTAAACGTGAAATTTATTTATTTGTATCAAGTATAAATATTAAAGTACATTATTTGTAGATTATCACTTTACCACTGCCATTTCCACCAGCAATGCTAATGTTATCTAAATCAGTAGCAGGTTTAGCGGACACTACGGCTGGTACAGCTGTTATTGAATTAGAATCAATATATTCTACTATAGGTTTGGATTTATCTCGCTTTGTCCAGACCTCAATGGACCTTTTCATTGATGGAGATATAAATGTTATAGGTATGCCAGCATTTGGAAGTGGATTGATCCATTGCATTCTGAAAACAGAAAGCCATCTACCCGTTTCATTGTTATGCTTAATGGAGTATGATTGCTTGAGCGTATTATCGAACACTCTGATCGTGTTATCAAACGATGTGGAAAGTATACTATTACCCGTCGGAGAGTAATAAGCTGAAGTTACAGCTTTGCCCAGGGTAAAATCCTTCACGAGACCCTTATCTTCGATTTCATCATAGTAAGGCAAATCACCTTTTTCTTCCACGACAGGTTTTAGTTTTTTCGTATAGTCTTTAACTACCCGTAGATCCCATATACTGACAGAACGATCGTTTGATGCTGTACATATCTCATGATGATTTGCAGGGTTGATAGAAACGGAGCCCAACTTATGACTAGAGAGGATATACCTCACACCTCTGTCTTTTGTTCTGGTGTCTTTGAGAGATAGACCGCCGCCATTATCAGCTATGTGCAACAGGTTTGGACATTGATTGGACATGTCAAGATGGGTGACGAGTCGATTGGTCTCTTGGTCGTAGCTATCGTTACAGCGGAAAACTTGACTAGATATACCGCTTTCAAAGTCCAATTGACGTATGGAACAGTCGTAGCTGCATGTGAAAGCATTCCGGGAATTCTGGACATCAAATCTTATGCACGAGAGTGCGTATTTGTTGGCGTGTGGCTGTAATCTCCAAATCTGCGATGTATCTTCCTCCGTATCGTAGCGAAGTATACCAAGTTGACCGTATTTGTCACCCGCAAATACTAACTCGGATTCTTTGTCAGGATGGTATTGCATGGAATGTATGCGATTCGCAGTAACACTCTGGATTGTTCTCAATTGAAGTGATTCCATTCGTTCTTTGAATTTGTCTATTGTTTCATCGCTGTTGGTATTATCTTCTTCATCAGCTATATGTGTTGGACGCATTACAGGTGCCCGTGACTGGAGATAGGCTGAGAGTTGTTCTGCATCATGCGCATCTGTCTCTTCGTCGTTCTCATCATTATCATCATCATTGTCGCCCTCTTCTTTTTTCACTTTGGGATTTCTGTCACCATTGATTATATAATCGACCGGATCACTCTTTATGAGTTCTAATAGAGACATATCCTTCTCTCTTGTCTTAAACTCAAGCTCACGCCTTTGTTGTTTCAAACGCGCTTCTCTTTCCATGTCATATTCAAGTTGCTCACGAGTTGCTTTCTTATCTTCTTCTGTCGTCGGTACACGTCTCGATGAGCGTCGTGGTGGCTCAGTTGGTGCATTCTCCTTCTTTACTTTCTTCGCAGGCTTCTCCTTTGGTTTCTCGTCACGCTGTCTCTTACCGAAGACCTCAGTAGAGGCTTGGCCTAATCCCAGTTCCTCAAGCAGTTTATTATTTTCCTCAATATTCTTCAAGCGCTGTCTCTCACTGTTCGTACACTCGTCAAATAAAGTCAAAGATAAGAAAACAATGCATACTATTCTGAGCTCATTCTTTTGGTATATTTCCTCTTTGGATATTCTTTACTGTTTGTCTGTGTGATCGTTAAATTCGTTCTGCAAGGTGCGTTTAAACTAACAACTTTTGCTTTCTAATTTCAGTTAATTGTTCGATAAGTAGCAATTGATCGTTCTTTGTCAAATTTCCACCTTTTACGTTCTTCACTCTTTCGTAAGACTTGTCTATGTTAAGTTTGAGTTCTTTTGCCTGGATTTGTGAGATAACCTCGCACTAAGAGCCGCTCACTTACTGCTTTTGATGCTTCTTGTGTATTACCGCTGCTGAGCTTCTCTGTAGTCTCTGCTATAAGTGGAAGTAAAGATGAGAAACTATCGTCAGCCATGAGGAATGAAGGAGTGAATAACGGAATTTTATGAGAGAAAGTTTTTATTATAAGGGTTGCTGTTGTAAAGAGTATGTAATAGATATATTTGAATGTTATAGTACTCTCAGACTAGTTGCTTCTACGGCTGTCACATCACCACAGCAGCTAAACAGCAGAACCATCGTGAGGGCAGCTATGAGACTGCGTCTGTAACCAGGTAGCGTCCTACTCATCGTCAGAAAAAGCTTCAGAAAAACTTCACTATGTAAATCCGGACATGATGAATTTGATTGATTTATAATAGAAAAATGTAATCTCGCATTTAATCTACAATTTAATTAATAAATAATTTCCATTTATTTTGTCCATAATTTTTTTATTTGGCGGCCACTTTCAAAAGATTTGAGAGCAGCCTTCTTGCACGATACGAGCGTGAATTAAGGTATTCCTAAATTCAATAAATAGTACAGCAAACTAACTAAATAAAGTGCAGACAATGGTCAACCTCAGATCACAGAAGCGCATTGCTGCTGCCGTCCTCGGATGTGGTAAACGTAAGGTTTGGCTCGACCCAGCAGAGCAAAAAGAAATTGCTCAAGCTAACAGCCGTGCCAACATCCGCAAGCTCGCCAAGGTTTGTACCACTCTCGTTTTCTAGCCAAATTATCTAACTTGCAACTTTTCAGGACGGTCATGTCATCCGCAAGCCAGCTCTCATGCACTCACGCTCACGTGTCCGTGAGACCCACGCTGCTAAGCGTGCTGGTCGCCACACTGGCTACGGTAAGCGTAAGGGTACTGCTGAAGCAAGAATGCCAACAAAGGTTATCTGGATGCGTCGTCAAAGAGTTCTCCGTCGCTTGTTAAGAAGATACAGAGAATCTGGCAAGATCGACAAGCACCTCTACCACTCACTTTACCTCAAGTCTAAGGGTAACACTTTCAAGAACAAGCGTGTCTTGATGGAGCACATCCACAAGGCTAAGGCTGAAGTTATCCGTACTCAACGTCTTAACGACTCCGCTGAAGCTCGTCGTGCCGCTAACAAGGCTCTCCGTCTCCGTCGTGCTGCTAGAGTCGCTGAGAAGCGTTCAGGTATCACTCAAGTTGAGCACACTGACAACGTCGCTGCTACTCAAGCTTAATTTGGGTTTAAGTCTCACACATGTATATTGTTATCATTTACGCTCAAAATGGTGAAATTTTTCGGTTTGCGAAGCCTGTTGAAAGTTTTTCTTCAGGTATTCAGGGGGATTCTTATGTGATACTGTGATTGTCTGTTTTCTTTGATGTTGCTGATTGGTCTCTTCTGGTAGTAAACTCACTATCTCTGTTCATTTTCGTTACTAGCAATAATGGTGGTCGCTAGAAGTTGTCCATATAAGTTAAATTACTACCTACTGTGATTGCTCAGGTTGATAACCGCACAAACGACAACTTTGCAACCCACCTCCAGACTTATGACAAAGGAGAAGTCTCTAGTAGAACGCAATATTAGTAGCAGTGATAAATCTGAAGTTAGTATTGCATTGCCTCAATGAATAATTTACAAACGGAGGAAAAGTAGGAGAAAGCATAAAAGACATTTCTTCCAGACCACTGGAAAATGTATATAAATGAGAGCCAAGAGAGAAATCTACCTATAGAAAGTGCGATTTACAAGCAACTTGATCTTTTAAAACACATTTATCTAGATCGGTATAATAATTTATGAATTCTCATTTGATATACCCTCTGATAACTTTGACGATGCCAATTCATGATAGCAAATCATCTATCCTTGAATAACTTTCAATGGTTGCAAATTCAGATAAAATCCTCCACGATTTATAACTCAGATACTAAATAAATGCTTGTCACACGGCGAATCAATATATATCTTCATTCATTTCCTTTGATATTAAATAATTCGTCGCAACAGTATTACATTAATTGGAGCAAAGTATCTGCATACAAGATACTATGCGAGCCTAGAAACATAGTAGACATTTAAAACATCTTACAATTATACACAACGCTCAAAACAGTGGGGTTTAGGTACCCGAAGAAATTTTCATTTTCTGTTTGAAATAAAATGTTATTTTTAGAAAGTACATTGTAGTATAACTTATTTCGTTGTTATAATACATACTGATAGCTTAAATGACTCATGCTTTATCTGGAATAAGTTGAGTCATTAGGGCGTATATTTCTATCGTCACTTTGAACCATACAATTAAGAAGTCAATAAGTGTAGCTAGACACTCATAACGTGTCTGTAGATATTTTTAGACCTTCGGCCATATTACGTCGGACAATCGGTGTACTTCGCTCAATAACCTGGGATTGATTAGTTAAGCCTGCACCTTACTGGTCAGACATAATGAACAAAACAACAGACGAAGAAACAATACATAGCAATAGAATTTCCTCACACCCTGAAGACCTCGAGAAATCGAAGTCTGAGGAAATTCCCAAAACTGATAACATCAAAGAGGAGCGAACGGATGGACTCGATGAGTACGATATATTTTATAAACTCTACAATTACTAACCAATTATCTAGTCAAACCAATCTACTTCCAACTAAACAGGTGAGTGGCGTTTTTTGATAAGGCGGTTATCTCATTTCGCTTTAGGTAATATTAGTCTTTCTAGGACTCAGTGCAGCGCTTTTTTGTAGTCTTTTGGACCAGACAATCGTTAGTACTATATTGCCTAGTATCAATCACGAATTCAATGCTGCAAATGAGGGAAGTTGGTGAGTGTTTATCTGCAAAACTTCTTGGTCAAACATGAAGTCCAGGAAGTTTCGTTTCAGAATTTTGAGATATCTAATGAGTCTATAGGGTTGCAACTTCTTATTTGCTCACAAGTACGGCTTTTATGCCAATACATTCACGATTGTCGGATTTAATAGGGCGTAAGACTGTATTGCAGGTCTGCTTGGCTCTGTTCTTTATAGGATCTTTAGCATGCGCCGTTTCTAAGACGATAGAGGAGGTATGTTTATCCAATTCAGCATTGGGGTATTTTAGCTGAAAATTTATTTTAGTTGATCGTTTTTCGAGCAATAGCAGGTGTAGGAGGTGGAGGTATACTGAATAATGTTATGGTATCCATAAGTGACATAGTCTCCTTACGTGAACGTGGAAAATATCAAGGTATACTTGGTGTTGTTGTTAGTGTAGCTAATTCACTCGGACCTCTGCTTGGAGGTGTTTTCACTGAGACTATTGGGTGGCGCTGGGCGTTCTGGATTAATCTCCCGCTGACTGGCGTTGCTATTTTGATAGTGCAATTTTTCTTACCTTTTAAGCGAGTTGGCGGTAACTGGAGAGAGAAAGCCAGGAGGATTGATTATGCAGGGTCTATCATAATCCTCGCTTCAACGATATTGATCCTACTTCCGCTAAACTGGGGTGGAAACAAGTATGCTTGGGATTCAGCAGTAGTTCTCGCGTTACTCATTATAGGATTACTCTTGATCGTCGTTTTCATACTTGTAGAGAATTGCAAGAAGATTGTTGATCTACCCATTCTTCCAATGCATCTGTTCAAAAACAGATCGGTTTCTGCATCATACACATGCACCTTCTTCTCTGGGTAGATAACGCTATAAGACAGGCTTATAATTGTTAACAAAACCTTCAGGTGTATCTTTTATGGTGCTCTCTACTATTTGCCCCAATACTTACAAGTAGTTGCTGGCTACAGTCCGCTGAAGTCTGGTGTCATCTTGCTATGTGAGTTTACCATTTTATGTTATTACGTTTGATTTAATAAGCATCTAGCACTTATATTAAGTCAAAGTGAGTATCCAGAGCTCATCAGTGGTGAAATCCCTCTATGAGACACTGTTTTAAGATTATGTTCAAGATATTAACAAATAACAGCACTGTTTTCATTCACAGCTGGTTTAATAGTCAGTAAGACAGGAAATTATATGTGGAATATTTGGACTGGCTTTATGCTTTGGACGATTGGAATAGGACTGCTTACTACCTTAAGACCTGATACCAAATTAGCGAACTTCATAGGATACTGTGTGATCGCAGGTGTAGGAGCTGGTAACACCTTTCAAACGACACTTCTAAGGTATGTGGTATTTGTTTAAACATTTTACCGGCCTCACCATTACTAGTGTTCAAGCAGCAGTTAGTAGACAAGATATGGCAGTTGCGACGGGAGGTACGTGGATGTCTTTTCGGATCCAAGGATTTAACGCAGACGACAGGGCGTAACTTCATTCGGATGTTGGGAGGAACAATATCGCTTGCATTATGTGATACTATAGTGAGAAAGTGAGCTCATTATCTTTAATAAACGGAAATGTTTAACCAGGTAATAGTACTTTAATAAAAGGACTGCGAAGTAGATCACTAGATGAAACAAAGATCGATGAAATTACAACTGACCCTACTTCTATTGGGATGATAGAAGGAATCAATACGTCGGAAGTTTTACAAACCTATTGCAACGGAATACGTAATGTTTTTATTCTTTTTACGGCTTGCTCCGGTGCGTTTCCTTGCATGCGTCGGTAAAACTATTAAATTAGAAACAGGTGCATCATTTTTAATTAGCTTGCTAATCAAGCAATGTGAGTGTACCCAAGCAGTCATTGCCGATGGGATGATGAGTTGATATGACGTATACTGACACCCAATAGATCAGTTAGAGAGACCCGATGACAAAGTATTGAAGGAGGAAGGAAAAGCGTGGGCAGAGGAGCACAAAGCTAAAAAGCGGGCAAAAAAAGGTGCAGATGTTGGAAACAATTCAACTTAATAAGGTTGTCTCACGGCACGCTTAAGGTCTCTTATAGTTAGAATTGGAGAAGTGTAAATCAGAGTATAGAAATAACAAATTGTACGATAAATATTAATCTAAACACTATCATTTAAAATACCACTTTTTGTTACTTTTAAGAAATATCCTATTAACTTTAGCGAGGAAATATGGATAAACCCTTAAACGAGACAAGATTTCGTCAATTTAATAGACGTGATCAAGATAAAAAATACTTCTTAGAGCTGCTCTATCATTTGTAGTATTAATCGCTATAAACTCCCCACCGGCCAAGTATTGGAAAGAACCCCTCAAATTCTCACTTGGTAACTTGATCGATAAACCCTGAGAAATTCTCTATCAAAGACGGCCATCAGTATCTTCTAAGAACCACACACTCGTTTATAACACCGAAATGGATATCGTCAATTTAGTAAACAACGCAGATACCCGGAAAAGCTCGAAGAATGCGTCCACACAACCCCGGCCTTTTGCTTGTACATACGGTAACTGCACCAAGGCTTTCGCTCGAAGATCGGATTTACAAAGGCATTTGCGCATTCACTTGAATGAGAGGTTAGTCGGGTAGTTTTACTATTCACTTGTTTAACCATCCACCTAGACCTTTTGCTTGTCCGATAGATGGCTGTTCAAAAACGTTCATTCAAAGATCGGCTTTGACTGTTCATATAAGAGTACACACTGGTGAACGTCCACACACGTGTGAGCAATGCGGGAAGGCATTCAGCGATTCCAGTTCACTCGCCCGTCACCGTAGGATCCACACTGGAAAGAGACCATACAAGTGCCCAGTCGAAGGCTGTAACAAAACGTTCTGCAGGAAAACAACGCTCACCAAACACACTAAGCGTAATCATCAATCGCAATCATCATTATCAAACTCTCCGTCTCCTTCTCCCTCACCGGAGGCTCAGCAATCAAACGTTCCAGCGTTGACGATACCTCAACCCCTCACTCAACAGCTCAGCCAGTCACCCTTACAGTGTTTGCCAATTACACAGCCCTCATTATATGCTTTATCACAGGAAGAAAAGCCACAATTTATGGATAACTCTCAATTCCGTTTACAATCACCAATCTGTATGTCGTCATATCAATCACAGGAATCTCCAAGTAATTCCACGGTGTTCTCTTCACCAACTACCCCAACTTACGCTACAGAGGCTCAGTTTTTATATCAACATCCACCACCTCCACAGGGCGCATTCAGCTATTATGAATCCACATCTCCATTCTTATACGTAGACACATCGAATCAAAAATCACAGATGGGTTTGAATAATCAATCTCAGTTATTGACCCCACCTCAATCGGCTGATCCAAATAACTTTGGTCCTTTCGCATACGTACCACCTCCATTGGCAGTAACCGACGATTATAACACATACCCATTCGTCCCACCTTCACCACCGCTCACAGGTAATTGTGAGACGTCGTACTCTAATCAGTCGTTGATTGATGAAAGTCACTACCACCATGAAACATACCCACACCCAAATGTCTTAACAGGTTTAGGACTTGATTTGGTACAAGATGGTGAGTAGATGGATACAAAAATAACTCTGATTGGGATTATCGGAGCTTATCCCATCTATTCGGGTCCTTTTTATTACGATCGTTTTTAGTCTTTCGCTTAGATATATAGTTACAATCAATTTTTAATATACAAAAGTCTTATCTTTCTCTTTTTCTTTCATATTCTTGATTCTTGATTTTACTGACAAAATACCCGTCTCAATAAACTATTAACTAGCAGTAAATTGTATATACAAAAGATATATATGTGTCACTATTACTTTCGTTTATTCATACAGTCTGAAAACTAGATAAGTGGTTCAGAGCGCTCTTATCTCGAAGCGCAGTTGAGGTGAAGTTTCGATACGGACAGCAGCTGTGCACTCATATTACCATGTGATCTGATAGTAACTACTACCCTTGACTATATGAGTGTTCAGAGCTAATTGAAATGCGTAAAAAGTATATGAATTACTCTTTCTGATTGATTAACGTTCCTAGTGGGCGGGCTTGAACGTTCTTCCGGTATTTTCTAACTGTACTTCCACTAGATAATCGTAATCGTCAAATCGAAAAGGAAAGGTAGTGTTTACTTATAGATCCCAGACTAAAATTGAGTATTAGTTTATGCTTATTGGTTGCAAATTTTCATAAATATTATTCAAAAATCAATCTAATTGAAATATTATAGAAATCAATGGGTATATTATGTGATAAGCTTTTTGTAACTCTTGTTATTTCATGAGAAGAAATTGATTACTACGTCGTGATGAGTAAACCCGCTCACCGGGGCATTCGTTAATAAAAGACCAGCTTTTAAGGGAGAGAGAGAGAGAGAGAGAGCAAGAGTATGTATACGATGTCTATCAACAGTGCATCTTACTACCACCTATCGTGTTGAAATTCAAACAAATTCACATATGTCTATGAGCTAATACTTCACAACGTTACGCAATGTGACGTAACACTATTTCGTGAGCTATACTGTGATAGGTCATATTTTTTCAGATAAATATCAATAATTTTTCTTGTTCTCTCGCGACAATCTAGGTACAGTGGTGGTGTTAGGTTTTGTTGGACGTTGCGATATTACTCCATAGTGAATCCATTAATTTATATCTTCCTCGCTGTTGATACCAATAAAGAACTAGGAGAAACACCAAGAAAGTTGTATAAAATTAAATAGTAACTTTGTTTGGATGTTATTCTAAGATATACCAAGCAGGTGCATTCTCATGGCGTATTATTATTACTTATTAGATGAACGTAAAAATTTCATTGCTAACAAGTACATAACTTAAGCGCCATCGCAATGTTATTGGGTTATTTTTAAAATACTGACAAATCAGACGAGTGAAATTTATTAAGTATGACAGACTGATCGATTGTGAAGGTAAGCTTTTATGTATATTATTATTTCATGGAAATTTTTGACTGGTGCACAACGAAAGTGTACGATCCATCTAGATGGAAAAAAATGACTCTAAATAGAATTACCGCCAGAATTGAAAAGTCTAGTTTCCGGACCAGCTACGTATGAACCGTCTTCGCTTCTGCTCAAAGCACAGGCTGTTGAACCACCAGGACTGGTGAAAGTAACGTTATGACCAATATCTATTAAGTATTGTGCAGTGCTATTACTGTATCCTCTGGTAAATTCACCAGCATATTCCAATACTGTTTTTGCTGGTAACAACTGATTGTGTAGTCTTGGAGCACCAATAGCTTCTTCTACAGGCAGACCCTTCTTGATGAAGTTGACAACAGTTTGAATGTTAGCAGTAGGTATTTGACTGCCTCCAGCACTTCCAAATACCAAGACAACATTGCCGTCTTTGTCTTCCACTATGCCCGGAGAAATTGAACTTTGTGGTCTGAAAGGGATAATTTAGCTGTGAGCACATAATTAACATTTAGCCATACCTTTTACCAGGTTCCGGGAAATTTACCGATGAAGCTGTAAGACCAAAGCTGTTTGATTCTCCCTTGGTGCTAAAATCATCCATCTCATTGTTCAAAACCAAACCATTTTCGGTCATAACATGACTTGCAAATATTGTGTTTACCGTAGTAGTTAAAGAAATTACGAGACCAGTGCCGTCAATTGCCAGAAGATGCGATGTACCTGCTTCAACCAATTCCTGGGGCTCCACGGTGTAATAGTCAGGCTCGTGGGTCTTGTCCAAGCTAATTCTATTGTAGAATGCTTCTCCGGCTTCTTTGGTAATTGCTGATGCTTGTATATCTGAAACATTCTTCACGTAGTTTGGATCGGCCAATTGACCACGGATACCATAGGCAAACTATCACGCCCATTAAGCTAACAACCCTCGACCGAGCTTATACGTACCTTCATACTTTCTACCAGAGCTTGTGCTGTGTGGTTGTCATTTCGCCAAATTTCCTCGTCGAAATGTTGCAGTGTATTGAGAGCAGATAGTACGACAGCACCCGATGAAGGCGCTGAAGTACTATATACAGTGTATGCATCAAAGTCTGCACTGAGTACGTCGCGCTCGAGGATTTCGTAGTTCTTTAAGTCATCGTGTGTCATAATACCACCAGAATTTTGAATAGCTTTGATGATATTGTCTGCAATTTCACCAGTATAGAAGGTATCGGGGCCTTCATTACCGATTTTACGGTAGGTATCTACTAACTTCTTGTTTGAGACAGTGTCTCCCAAGGAGAGAACCTTGCCTTCAGGCGCATAGACCTCACTCCAGAGAGGATCTTCACGTAGGAAGCCATAAGAAGCATCGCTCGACTTGATTTTAGCCGAAAGGTCTTGCTCGATGGTGAAGCCTTCTGCAACTTCAGCAGCGATCTCGAATGGACGGCTCCAGGGCAATCTACCATAATTAGAATGCAAATATTCCAAACCACGGATTTCACCTGGTACACCGACAGCCAAACCACCAATTGTGCTGTAATAAAGTTAAATAATAACTACTGAAGCATATTAAAACCATACCTGTTGTGTGGATTATCAATAAACATCGTCTTATTAGAAGCTGCAGGCGCAGTCTCTCTAAAATCTAAGAACTTGTAGTCACCAGATTCTTCTTTAATAAGCGCAAAACCACCACCACCGATACCTGCGATTGTTAGCTACCGTCATAATGTCTCTGAAAATCTGCGTACCACTGTGATAAGCGGAGATCGTGTTCACACACAAGATTGTGCTAAACGGAGGGGTTAGCTATGGTGCTAAAGTCTAGTTTTACATACCCGATAATTGCATCAGCTGCACTACCACCTGTGGTAGTTAGTTAAATAAGGTATGGCATGCAAAAGGTATGCGCACCTTCTCCTAAGAGTTGTAATCCCACATTAGAGCAGTGGTTGTTTTCTGAAACGATGGCACCAGACTACGCGTCATTGTTAGCTCTGTACGAGTTGATAATTTTTGACTTCTTGATACGTCTTTAGAGATCAAACGCGTATGATTGCTCTAGTACAGCACCAAGGAGTCATAGCTACTCACCTTGCCTGCCTCAAACCACGGAAGTGGTGATTTAGGCGATGGGGATGCACCAGCAGCAGCCAATAAGGCTACCAAAGAGAGTCTTAATCTATTTTCTAACATGATCGATAGGGAAAAAACAACAAGTTCTACCTATAAATACTTCCCGATATCATTGCAAATTGATTAATCACGCTTTACACCCGCCTGATAAGCAATAGTTGTACCTGCATATTCGAAGCGAAGTTTCAGAAAACAATAGTAGTGATAATCATACATGAAATACAGGACATTTAAGATTTCTGCTTCTTTGATTTAGATGATTTAGATGATTTCTTTAACTTCTCTTGAGCTTTCTGAAATTCTTCTTCCGTTGGCTCTTCTTCGTCGCTTTCACTTGCTATACGTTTCTTCATATTAGTCACTTCCTTTCCTTTGCCTTTGTTCTTCTTTGGTTTGGCGTACTTCTCCTCAAGTGCACTCACAAGACCATCGAGTCCGGTCTGTCGTTTGTCACCACGTGCGGAAATGAGCTTCGCTAGCGCGCTATCATCTTCGTCTTCGCCTTCCACTTCTTCAAAATCGCTTCCTAGTTCGAGTTCGCGTCTGAGTTGCTCAGCTTCGTCCGCTTCTTTCTCAGCCTTCTTCGTACGTGATTTGCGAGCGACGCCCGTAATACTTTTATCGAATTTCTTGTTCTTAGGGAGTGCTCCTTTGTCTATTTCAGCTTTAATAATGTCAATAAAACGATCTTCATCGTCAAGGATGCTGGAGTGTGGAATTTGACTGAATATCTGATCAAGATCTCCGTCGCATTCTTCATAAGCGCGTTTTAAATCATTGAGTTCATCCTCTGAGCCTGTATATAGATGTCAAATGGGTTTCACGCGATGGGACGCGTACGAGGCGTACGACGCGTAATTTATCACTCACCTTGATACCTCTTCCTGTCTTCCGCTAATGCTTCCCAAGTAACACGTTCAAACTGCTCATTAAAGTAATCATCCCATGTGAAATCCTCGTTTATCTCAATACCCAAGTCAGACGTTCTGCCCGTCTTGTCATACTTGCTTCTCTTGCCTTCATCTGAGAGTACAGCATAGGCGAAACTAACCTTCTGAAAACGCTCTGAGGCGTCAGCTGACGGATCCTTATCTGGGTGATGCTGTAATGCTAACTTGTGGTAAGACTTTTTTATATCAAAAGTAGAAGGTTTATCATCTTGTTTGAGTCCTAAAACTGTGTACAAATTTGGTGGATTCTCTCCAAATATTGTGTTTATTGGATCGTCCATGGTTGTTAAGTGAGAAGACACGCGTTTTTTCATTAAATGAAATAGATCAAAATTAAAAAGGATTCATTACATTAATTTCTATATTAAACTAAATCGCAGAGACCCATGCTTGGTTTGGTAGAACTTGTCTCATGACATCCCAGTGATGCATTGCTGAATTTTGCTGAACGCTGTTTAACTTCTTAGCATTTGAATCCCAGAGGAGGTGTTCATTTGTTCCCTTGTATTCAGACAAGTCAATTTCGTGGTTCAAGAAACCAGTCAATACTCTCGTGCGGAGGATCGAATTCAAAGTATCCTGACTAGTAGCTGGTCTAAAGTCCAATTGAGGTGTGTCAAACTTAGTACAGAAGATGACCATGTTGATGAACTCCTCAGCTGATTCTGGTACTTGACGATCAGAGAAGGCTCTACATTGAGGGAAGTTGTTGAGAAGTGTACCGATGACCATCTTTGAGGCCTCAGAAGAGGCGATACCAGCGAAGTTGACTGCCAAAACACCAGATTCTTTCATACCGTACTTAATTTGTTCCCATGTTTCGGTGGTAAACAAGCGACCTGGTACACCACCACCGGTGAAGACATCGTGAATGACATAATCGAATTTATCCTTTTCGCCTTCCATATCGATAATCCAGTCGATGACTGCACGGCGAGCGTCAGTTAACTTAAGATGAGCTGGTTCCGGTGCGCCAAAGTAATCGACTGCGTATTTGTAAACAGCTGGGTCAATTTCAGCGACGGAGAGTTCAATACCGTGTTTGTCGAAAGCACTAGCGGTGACACCAATACCCAAACCAATAATGAGTGCCTTCTCATCGAGATCAGATTGTGGTCTTTCTACAAGTCTGACAGCTTCCTGGAGGAGGAAAGTAGTGTAGATGCTCTCACTGTTCTTTACAACGAGTTCATCGTTCAAGTCGGCATCCTGTCCGTATTGGTTGAGTAAAGCATCCTTCGATGGGCCAACCCATAAACCACCCAATAAGCTATGATCTGCGCGCATATATCTGAAACCTTGGTTGAGATCTTCACCAACGATGATTTGACCAGTAACTGATTGTGTTCTGTCGAGGATAGGGTGACCAGGGACCGCCTCTCTTGGTGCAAAGTTGGCGAGGGTTAAAGCGACGAGAATAACAGGAATGACAAGTAAGTTACGTGACTTGCTGCTAGTAAAGATGCTGTCTTTTTCTGCCTTACCCATACCGAGTGCGATAACGACTGAAATGAGAGCAGCTGGGAGAGAAATCAACTTCAAGAAAGCAGTTGGATCTGATGGCATGTAAGAACTGAGGAAACCACGTGTGAGCATTCTAGTGAGACTAGCTTCAACACTAGGGATAGTAAATGAACCAAGTAAAGGCAAACCATATTGAAGAGCTTCTGGACACAATTTGAGTAGGTGTTCGTAAAGGTTTGTGACAGCGAAAATCCATGCAGGAGCTTGCAATACGGCCCAGGCTACTCTAGGGCCCCAGACGATGCCATATTCTGATGACTTCTCGGCAATGATGCGAACAGTGAATGGATTCGAGAGTGCGCAAATGAGAACAACGGCGAATGGCTTGATAGTGTTTCTGATACCGCGTAAGTTGTCCTTCTGCATAGCCAATGGCAAGGGGAGGACAGATAAGACACCGGTGAGTACTCTATGGGGAATTTCAGTGTTGAAGGCACCGAAGACGGGATTGAGGGATGATTTGATGAGGTAGGATTGGAATGCTAGTAAGTAAGCAGTGAGTGCTACAAGAGAGGCTAAAAGGAAGACGGTTAAATATAGACTTACGTGCGAGAATGATTACTCACCGAGTTTGAACATTCTCTTGAGCGTGAACTCCTGGACGTACTCAATATTCCTAGCTGAGTTCTGATTAGCCTGGTGGAGGGCATCCATCAGGGTCGTTGGCTTCTCCGCCTTTTTGTCGCCGTCTGACATCGTCGTTACTAACAAAGAATGGAGAAATACTAATAAAATACCAGACAAAACAAACAAAAGAGATTGAGAAAGAAAATTAAATCAATTTTATTTGGTTTTATTATCGTCGTTTTAAATACATCTTCTAATCTATTGGCCAGCAGATTCACGAGCGAGGGCTTCACCCTTAGCTTGTGCTTCTTCGATGGTACCAACCATGTAGAAAGATGATTCAACGAGGTGATCATACTTTCCAGTAAGGATTTCCTTGAATGAGCGAATGGTGTCTGCGAGTGAGACAAGCTTTCCTTCGAAACCAGTGAAAACTTGTGCGACAGCGAATGGTTGTGACATGAAACGTTGGATCTTACGTGCACGTTCGACGGTCAACTTGTCTTCTTCAGAAAGTTCATCCATACCGAGAATGGCAATGATATCTTGAAGGGACTTGTAGTCTTGAAGGATACGTTGGACTTGGGTTGCAACGTTGTAGTGTTCTTCACCAATGATACGTGGGTCAAGCATACGTGACTTTGAGTCGAGTGGGTCGACAGCTGGGTAAATACCTAATTCGGCAATACCACGTGACAAGACAGTGGTGGCATCCAAGTGCGCGAAAGTGGTAGCTGGAGCTGGATCAGTCAAGTCATCAGCTGGGACGTAAACGGCTTGGACAGAGGTGATAGAACCCTTCTTGGTGGTAGTGATACGTTCTTGCATAGCACCCATATCAGTTGAGAGGGTTGGTTGGTAACCGACGGCAGATGGGATACGACCGAGAAGGGCAGAGACCTCAGAACCTGCTTGAGTGAAACGGAAAATGTTGTCAATGAAGAGCAAGACATCTTGACCTTCGTCATCACGGAAGTATTCAGCGATGGTGAGACCAGTGAGGGCAACACGGGCACGAGCACCAGGTGGTTCGTTCATTTGACCGAAAACGAGAGCGACCTTTGAGTCACCTTCGAGGTTAATAACACCAGTTTCAATCATTTCGTGGTAAAGATCGTTACCTTCACGGGTACGTTCACCGACACCACAGAAGACTGTAAAGTTGTGAGACATTAATTTTTTTAATTCAAAACTCGACTAACCGGAGTAACCACCGTGAGCCTTAGCAACGTTGTTGATAAGTTCTTGAATCAAGACAGTTTTACCGACACCGGCACCACCGAAAAGACCGATCTTACCACCACGAGCGTATGGGGCGAGCAAGTCGACGACCTTGATACCGGTCTCGAGGACTTCGGCAGCGGTGGATTGTTCAGTGAATGCAGGTGGTTCAGCGTGGATTGGTGATCTCTTGACACCCTCGACTGGACCTCTCTCATCGATTGGATCACCGGTGACGTTGATGATACGACCGAGGGTCTTTGGACCGACTGGGATGGAGATTGGAGCGCCGGTGTCGACGACCTTTGTGCCTCTGACGAGACCGTCGGTACCCTCCATAGAAATTGCACGGACGGTGTTTTCACCAAGGTGTTGTGCAACCTCGAGGACGACCTTTGGACCGTTGTGTTGAACTTCCAAGGCGTTGAAGATCGCTGGGAGGTCTTCGGTGTCGAATTGAACGTCAACGACGGCACCTGGGGAGCGTGGGTGAGTAAAGCGAATAGTGCCGAAAAAAAGCAAAACGCACCAATGACTTGCTTGATGTTACCGACTTGGGCGGTTTCGGTAGCGTATCCACGGGTAGCCTTTAATTGGACTTTTGAGATCGTTGGCTTAGCCATAGCTGGGGCGAATCTCGCGGTGGAGAACGCAGCTGCGTTGGCTCTGCGAACGCTGGCAGCCGCAGTGGACCTAGCGACTCTGGAGAGTATGTTGCGGCTCAACATTATTTTTTTACTTAGTTTGGAGGCAAGAGGTGCTTTCGAATACGCTATTGAGTGAGCGTCCAAAAAAAAATTAATTTCAAATCCGAAGGGCGAAAATATAAAAATGGCTTCAAAGAATATAAAATGCGTTGTGTAGGTCTAGCGCTTTATTTATTAATTAACTAAGCCGTTCTAGTGTCGGCGACGGTGCGGTCGGGAAGACCTGCCTACTGATTAGCTACACCACGAATCAATTCCCAGTGGGTCGTTAATAAACTCGCTCTTTTGTTCTCATGCGCGCCGTAGAGCGACTATGTCCCGACCGTCTTCGACAACTACCAGGCGACCGTCCTCCTCGACGGAAAGCCGGTCTTATTGGGACTGTAAGCGTATTTCTATTACGTCTGCACTCTAACGCCTTCCAGCTGGGATACCGCCGGTCAGGAAGACTACGACAGGTTGAGACCGCTTTCATACCCCCAGACTGACATCTTCCTCTGCTGTTTCTCCATCCACTCGCCGGCATCGTTCGAAAACGTTAAATATAAAGTACGTAGCTCTCACTTCTTTCCCAGTTTTTAACAGCCCCAGTGGTGGCCAGAAATCTCGCATCACGCCCCGGGCGTTCCAATCATCCTCGTAGGCACAAAGCTCGATCTTAGATCTGATCCTCAGGCTGTAAACGCCTTGAGAGCCCGTAGGATGGAACCGATCAACTACTCCCAGGGTGTCGAACTCTCGAAGGACATTAACGCTATCAAGTACCTCGAATGTTCGGCCCTCACCCAGAAGGGTCTCAAGGGTGTATTCGACGAAGCAATCAGAGCTGTCTTGGTTCCACAGGGACGTAAATCAAAGCGGAAGCAAAAGGGCTGTGTGTTGGTTTAAAACACATTCCTTTAGCCATTATACCTACATTCTCACGATTTGGTTGCACAAAAATCTCAATATTTGTAAAATACACACATATGCAAGGAATGATGATATTTTAGACTCTTTACTTTTTGCGTTTCTTCGGTGCGTCATCCACCGCTTGCGGCCCTGGGATCCTTCCCTCGGCTTGTTCGCTCAGGAGGAAGGCCTCACATTCAGCTTCTCCTCCGGTCGGATGCCTCAACTGCCAGAGGATCACCTTCTCGTTGATTTCCTGTATCTGTGGACCAGGTTTCAGGTGCAGCACTGAAATGATACGCTTCCCATCCAGTATTGGCCTCGACTCTAGTTCTCTTGGGATATCAAGAGTCGTCACTGCAGACTCGACGAATGTGTTGTAAAGACCAACAACAGAGGTGATGTCATCTGATCTGAATGCGTCTATCTATACGTTAATGGGTACTTTGAAAAGCGCTTACTTACCATCGTTACATCCACTCCTGTAGTACACCTCGAGGAGCTCCTGAAGGAGTGTGAAGAGTACTGTCGCGGCCCAGTCTGTCCCTTGTGCAGACCTATGTACATTCACATGTCTCAGAGCCGACGCAAGCGCAACCCTGTCATTCAGATCAATACCCCTGATATTTTCACGAATGAAGTTGCAACCGAGGACGAGATTGTCGATGTGTGCCCGCTCAGCATTGCCATACTGAAGTCGATTGAGTTTAGGTATTTATCAATAATATTGTAACTTACTTTCAAACAGTTGCTAGCAATAAATGCAGGTGCGGTGACGATCTTCTTCTTCTCCTTCACTTGCATGTTAAAGTAGGGTATAAGAGCGACACCCAACCATAGTCTCCTAATAAGCAGCTTGTCTTGTGTGACGAACTGTGACAGCCTCTCAGTGATACCCAATTTGGCAGGCTCATAAAGTGCGTACTGGAGGAGGTGTCCTGCAGCGAGCGCATAACTGGCCTCGAGTGCATCACCCTCTACGCCATCTCCAGAGACACCGAAGACAATATCATGCAGCTTTGTTTTCGAGAGGTTCGTGAGTGCCTCGAGAGGCTGTTGTGCTAGTGATGTAAGTAAATGATAAAACTTAGAATACTTTAACCTACAGTTAAGCATCTTGTCAATCTCCGTACCAATACGCTCCTTCGAGACATTCTCGCAGACGCCCCTCCGAATTGCATCTCTCTGAGCAGCCTCTATGATTGTGTTGTCTAGTGTGAAACCGTACCTCGTCGCAAACCTAATGCAACGAAGTACTCTAAGTGGATCGTCGCTAAATGTCTGGAATGGCTCCAAGGGTGTCCTAACCAGGCCATTCTTGAGGTCCTCCAAACCCTTTCCTGTGAAATCTTCAACCTGTCGTGTATGTATATTGTAAAAAAGCGAATTTATGGTTATGTCTCGCCTGAGTGCATCCTCGAGTGGTGTCCCCAAGCTCATTTGTGGTATACGTGAGCCAGTTGCATACGTCTCAGAACGCAAGTTAACAAAATCGACTTCGTATCCGGATACTTTCATGCGAGCAGTTTCTAAATGCTTGCTTTGATTAGGGTTAGCATCTATTCTTGCTATCGATATCTTCTGCTGTGGCTCAATTGATTGGAGGTATTCCGCGAGTGCTTCAGCGAATGGTAAACCAGTTAGGGGTGTTATAGCCACATCTATATCATCTGAAGGCTTCCCAAGTAACTTATCGCGCACCCATCCACCCGCTATTCTCAACTCGAGTGCTGCCAAACTGGCGTCTTCACGGCGTAGTTTAGCTGTACATCCAGATAAAATCTCACATAAATGATTTTCACTATTCGTCAGGCTTATCATTTTATTCACCCGCGTAGCTCTCAGAAGACGGTCTAATATGATGATGGTTCTACTCAAGAAATTGTAGTAATGTATTATAAATATATACAAGTCCTTAGACCCGTTGAATGCAGAAAATATAAAAGGTTTCCGTATCTTATAAGAAAATTAGACGTATTAATGAGTGTTTTATGGGTATATATCAGTTATCTAATCGTTCCATTATTGTCATCACGGCGTCCATATCTAAATCTTTATCAGCGATTACATAGCTATAGTGACGCTTTACTCACCTTTATAGTCGTGTCAGAACTGGCCGAAGCAATGACGTTCAATGGTCGTGATATACTCTGGGCCTGCTGTTGAACACTTCTGAGAACATCGCCACCACTCATCGAGCGCAGAGGTGGTTGTGGCATGCTAAACCTCCTATTCAAATTGGCGTTATCGGGCATCGTTTGTCGTCCCCATGTTAAGCTATTTATGAAATTCTTATGCGCGTCCTCGATAGTACGAGTGCATCTTCCTGTAGTTAGATCCCAAATCTTGATTGATTTGTCTTCGGATGACGACAGCAGGTGTGTACCAGCAGGGTGAAACATTATGCTCTTTACCCAACTATCGTGTCCGTTAAAGGTATAAACGCATTGGTTTGTGCTAGCGTCCCAAAGTTTTATTGTTTTATCACGTGATCCAGTAGCCAAAAACCTGTTGCTGTCATTTGAATCACTTTTATCAATTGCGCTGCTGTTTTCTGATATAAGTTGAGAAATGTTCTGGTATGAAGATGTTGGCGCCCATGCGACGCATTCAATTACATGCTCGTGTCCTCTCAGTTCACCGATTGTGTTACCTGTAGGTATGTCAACGATCACGGAGGTCTGATCAGAAGAGGCCGTAGCCAAGGTTTTCCCGTCATCCGTCGGTATAATCCCTCTGATCCAATCTGAATGCGGGTTGAGTGTTCTGGTGCAGTATCCACTAGAAATTTCCCAAAACCTAATAGATTGGTCTCTGCTCGAGGATATGAGAGTGTTAGTGTTGGCCAAGAACCTCACACAGCTAACACTATCGTCATGTCCGTAAAGTGTTTTGATATTCGCGTAATCGCCAGCAGCATCCCAGAGCTTAATAGACGTGTCTGAAGAGGCACTAGCGAGAAGATTTCCACTTTGATCGTAATCTAAACTAAGAACGGCCTTGGTGTGCCCCCTGAGTGTGCGCTCGCACTCTGCGCTATCCCAGTCCCAGACCTTTATAGACGCGTCGTCGGATCCTGAAGCAATGAGGGTGAACTTTGGGTGGAAGGATATTGAAACGACGGCCGATCTGTGTCCAGATAGTGTGTGCTTTGGTGCAGAAGGTAAAAAGTGTACAGACTTGGGCCTTTTAGTTGCCATAGCGGGCGATGAGAGTTCTGCATTTAGTTGTGCGTTTCTAGATTCAAGTTCAACCACCTAGAGATGCTCGTTAGACAGGTAACGAGGGCAGGGAGCGTATAGAGTACCTTCCTCTGTAATCTAATGACAGACGTCCACTTCTTCTCAAGCAGGCCTGCGTATTTGGCTTTCGAGTCTAGGACTATATCCTCGAGCTGTAGATCACGCCTGAGAGCGCGTGCGCTGTCTGCGTAACCGGAAGATTCCAAGTAATCGAGAAGAGACTTGTGTCTGAGTGAGGCGTTAGCTGCGGCCTTGGTAAAGACTGGACATACAGCTCTTCCCTCTGCCGATCTGATAACAAAGACATTTATTTTGCTGTTTTAGGTTCTAAATGATGGAAGTTGCTCTCCAGCGCGTCATTAGAGGGTGACTTGACTAGGAGGATATCAGAGTAAATCTGAGGGAGGATACAAGGAGTAGACAGTATATTTAAGCTAATTTATTAGCGATTTAATAGAAATATTCATAAAATTTGCTTGGAATGTTTAAAGCTCATTTTTAGTCTCGCGCATTGGTCTCTCTACTTTGAATAGAGACCATAGAGAGCGTTATGGCAGCAGCAGCAGCAACTTCACCGGTGATAAACAATCTCAACCCTGGTCAATACGTTGGTTTCGACTCGTCCGTCTCTTTTTATAAGCTCGAAGAACACTTCTGACAGCGCATATACAGCATTACTCGTCAAATCGAGACCAAACTCCTCAAGCGCGGTTTCCAATTCAATGTTATGGTCTGTCTAGTCTACTGGCTCTTTACTATTCTCTAACACCGCCCCGCAGGTCGTCGGCCAAACTGGTCTCGGAAAGTCTACCTTGGTAAACACCTTATTTGCGAGCCAATTGATCGATTCAAAAGGTCGCTTCCAGCCAGACGAACAATCACGCTCTACTACTGAAATTCAAACCGTCTCCCACGTTATTCAAGAAAATGGCGTCAGACTTCGCTTGAATATCGTAGACACTCCTGGATTCGGTGACCTTGTTAACAACGACGGCTGCTGGGAACCTATCGTTAAGTACATCAAGGATCAGCACTCCGCCTACCTCCGTAAGGAGTTGACCGCCATGCGTGACAAATACATCGTCGACACAAGAGTACACGCTTGTGTTTACTTTATCAACCCTTCAGGACACGGTTTACGTCCAATTGATGTCATCGTCATGAAGAAATTGGCTGAAGTCGTTAACGTTATACCTGTTATCGCCAAATCAGACTCTTTAACACTCACCGAGCGCGAATCTTTCAAGGCTAGAATCGCCTCAGAGTTGGCATACCATCAAATAAAGATGTACCCATTCGATGCTGAAGATGACGAGAGAGATGAAAGAGAGATTAACGAAGGTGTCCGTGAGACACTCCCATTCGCTATCATCGGTTCACAAAAGACACTCAACGTCAACGGTAACCAAGTTAGAGGTCGTAAAACTCGCTGGGGTGTTATCGACGTTGAAAATGAGGATCACTGTGAATTTGTCAAGTTGCGCAACTTCCTTACAAGAACTCACTTACAGGATTTGATTGAAACCACCGCTCAAATTCACTACGAAGCTTTCAGATCTAAGCAATTGTTGGCTCTCAAGAACCAAGCTAATAATGCAAAGCCACAAGAAGCTGCTTCTCCATAAATATACAAGTGATATACCCCAGAATATAAGAAAATTTTTGTCTTCTTTTTTTATTTACATATGATAATGTTGGTTATTGATTTACTATCATGTCTTATTTTAGCAAGGGTGCTGGTAATATTTTGTATAAACTTGACAATGAGAGGCTAATCAGAGTGAGGATTGATAAGGCTGAAGAGGCTATAGACAATGAGGAGAGTTATTATGACGTTTTGAGACAACTAATACCGCATATCAACCATGTTGATTTTGTAACAACTGAAGGCTTTCTGAATAACAGGGAAGCCTTAGGTCTATCAAATCACGCTCAGATTACCGAAAATCTTATCAAAGATTATGATTTGGTCGTAGAACTAAAAGTAAGTGGTATTCCTACCTAAATTGCACTCTTAATTGTATTACAATAGCCGAAATGGGCCTCCATAGCGAATCCCTTGACAGTTGGCGTCAACGAACCCCGTATGAAGCTGAAATGTGGATTTGACAGTACTAGATTGTTTTCTCAGGATAGAAGTGAACAGTATGGGGAAATAATCCATTTGATGACAACAAATAGCAAATTTCTAAAGGTTTTTAGTAAAGGCGAACGTATTCAGGTATTTAACCGTGACGAAGTTGCGAATGCACTGATAGACGTACTAAATGATAGCAATGTATTACCTAAGCTCAAGTATTATCAACTCTACAGCGATCCATTAGATATCAAGCACATTTACCCCCGACTAGAGTATCTCAATGTCAAATCACCGTCTAGCGCCAAAATGAAGCAAGCAATAGGAAAGATACCAGAAGGAAATATTATACCAACATGGAAAGTTATAAAACAATTCGGTGACTCGCTCACACTAGAAGAACTCGCATATCTGTATTCCTTCTCTATGACGTTGAGAGATGTGTCAATATTCATACGCTTATCGCCAGACAAAGATATTAAACTGGTAGACGCAGACTATAAGCCACTATCTAGATTGTCTAAGTGGTATAAAACCGATTGTAATATGCACTCTTTTCATCCATCCGGTTCACACCGCTAATCAAAATGACCGTCATATGACTGACAGACACTTCTTGCACTGATACAGCCATGAGCGTAGCATTAAATCAGAAACTAGATAACACGCTTGAGTTATTGAAATATACTAACGGAAGAGATAAAGTAGGTGTATTTCCTTCGTCATAGTCTTTTCTAACAGCACACGAGCTTTACCGTACAGTACAATACGCAGCCCGCCTTTTGGCTTGGTTCTACACCCGCTATGGTATCCCGCAGGGTACGTTCGCAGGTGTCAGCCTCGACGCTATCAAGCAGGTATTGAGCACATCCAGAAAGCGTGAGTGGGGGTTACACACAACCAGGGTTCCTTTCTAATACAACACTAGTCATGCGTCTTGGTAAACCAATGGAGACTCTCAAGGCGGCTATCAAGGCGTTTAGCAATCAATCTAACGATATTGTTGTAAAGTCGTTGTCTATCTCTAGACATTTGAACTACACACTGTTCCTCTCCTTCGACGCTCTTCTTTGGGTGAGTTATGACTTTTTGCGCGTTTTATGCGTATTTACTTTGTTGTTTTTTTCCTAACAATTTTCAGTTGCACCTCACAAAGATCCGTCCTGTTTCAAAGGCCACAAGTGAGAAATTCACAAAGAATGCATACAGGTTCTGGGCATTAGGTTTACTCTCTGGTGTAATCACAGGTATCTACAAAGAACAAATGCTCTCACGCACACTCGTCAAAGCTCGCAGACAAGCATTGAGTGACGAAAAAGAGGGTGACGCCAATGTTGAGAAAGTTATAACGTGGGTTTTATCTACTCCTAAGAAAACAACGACTAAAAGACCTCCTAGCGAACGTGTAGCCAGCCGCAAAGCATTAGCTGAAGACGGACTCAACTTACTCATCCCATTCAAGGGCTTAGATATGTTCAATCTCAACGAGGGCGTCGTCAGTGCAGCAGGTTTGATTACGTCAGTTATAGGATTAGAATCTCAATGGCTATTGGCAACTAACTGAGGCTTGAGGTTCTACCAAACTGTACCATTTTCTTGATAAATGTAATTTCCCTAATTGATTTCACTCTTGTTTCTTTTCAATCGTAGGAATGTCACGAGAGGGTGTGGAAACACCACCTCTGCCACCGCTGACAGCTAACATAATAGTACAATGTCTGGAACAAGATCAGTGGTTAGTGAGGATTGGCGAGGGTTTGTTGGACGCTTTCCTGGTGAGTCGGAACAGCGGCTATAGCTACAGCAGAAGCTCATTTTGTTAGATAGAGTACATCAGTAGCAACTACAAAAACGCGAAGATCTGTTTAGTAGTCGATAAGATAACTTCTATAGCTACATTAGCGAGTTTTATAGATAACCTCGATATAAGCGCGATAAAAACACCACATCAGAAAAGACGCTCGTTGTTGGCGTTCATCGGAGCGATTAATAGGGAGCTTAACCATGAAACTTTAACAGATTGGTTAGAGAAGCTCTTCACTGGTCTTATCGAGTCTACAATGAAAGAAATACAAGCGAATAATCCGAAAGACATTATCTCCATCGACGATAGTGATGATGAGAATATCGACACTGCAGAGACATCTTTGATGAGTTTATCAATATGTGATGATCTCGATCAGAGTTTTGATATTACGGTAGATGAGGTAGTAGATGAAGATAACGACCCTACACCACTTGGTCGTGTTGAACTCCCGAACAGCGTTTTAGTACCCACATTAGCCAACACGAACAAACAACTCGAGAATGACGATGAAGATATCCACAAACTAGATAGAATGAACTATCTCAACAAATTGAAGAAGACTAGTATAAATAGGATCGTCAAGGGTAGGCCAATGTCTGAGTATGGTTTAGATTTGGGTGTGGTATACCCCTCACATCCTTCTATACATCAAATGCCAACACTTCCTTCAGATTTCCCACCTCCGTTGCCCTGGTTGTCTGATAAGGGTTTATACGAAACGCTTACACCGAGGGGAGTATACACTCCCTTTCATAGACTTAAAGGAAATCGCCTTCAAAAAAGCTGTTTCATATACGATAACGAGCGACTCGAATTCCTCGGGGATACCGTCTTAGAGACTGTTGTGGTGGGTATATTATAGCGAATGGTGTGTATCTTCTAACAAACACTCAAGACAGATGCTATATACGATAAATTTCCCTTATATCAACCAAACGAGCTGACGAAACTGAGAAGCAAGTTAATCAATAATAACTTCCTCAGTTATTTCAGCGATCTATATGGCCTTTCTGACAAATTGCAGAAGGTTCCACACGCTAGCACACTCTCTAACAAGAAGAAAGCAGACACATTTGAAGCATACATTGGTGCCCTATATCGGGAATCAGGGCATAGTCATACCAATAGGTGGTTAATTGAACTGCTGGAGCCGTTCATTTTCAAGCATGCTCAGCATTTCTAGCACCACTGACGACATTGATAGCATAGATATACCACAGCTTATGCAGTTTCTTTTATTTTCTGAATGAGGAATTCTAAAATTACATTGTCTATACATAAATTATATCAACAATCTAGTTATTTTGTGACCTAATGGGCGTAAGTTTAGTCGTGAAATTTTGCACTCTCTTGCTCACCATTTGTATTCACATTTTGTGCAAGTGTAGAAGACGGTAGAACTGTTGTGTTGTTAGAAGGTATTTTTGGAGGTTGCAATACAGGTAGGCAGCGATATCGCAATATCAACCATGAGAAAACTCTCCATTGCAACCAGAAAGAGGAGACTAACCCTTCATCAGCAGAACCTGTATGTCGTTAGTTACATTTCTCCGGAAATCATCTAGTAAACTCACGTAATTGTAAAGTTTGGAAAGTAGCCTTGTCATTTCCACAGCTAGGACACTTCTCGTCGATCTGATGAACTTGTTAGAATATATCCTAGCAAAATATCTTCTATATACCTCTGCTCCAGCTGCTTTCGCACCATCAGCGATAGTATTCACAACTAAGGATTTCTTAAGGTGCAGCGAAGAAGGGAATGCGTTTGGATGCGAGCGTGTTTCTATATTCAAATTCTCATATGCTATATTTCTAGTAAGATAATGCTAAAATCTACTGAGAAGAAGACACACCAGCTGCATGTTCTACGAGGCCACACTCCTCGCAATTAATTGAGTCATCATCCGCTGGTGGATTGAGTAAACTACCGCAACGCTGGCAGAATAGCAAACTTCCAATTCTATTGCTCATCAGTTGTCTTCTCGTCGTTTTAGTGAGAGAATAAGTTGAATGATAAAAAGATGCAAAAAATATATAATATATAATTCTATAAAATGTTTACAAGTAATTTACACTCTCTGCTCTGCTTTCTGTTGCTGTTCTGGCATTTTGAACATCGGGATAGTACGTATGTCCCCAGTGACTTCTTGGGATATATGCTTAGCTTTATTTCCGATAGCCATCTTCGCTGTACCCTTCTCAAGCCCTTGTAGGAGTACACATGCTTTACAGAGCTCATTTGAGGATATGTAGCCGCATCGCTTGCATTTCTGCTGTTTTGGTAAGGCATCCTGGACAACATCCGATATCCGTATATTTTCGGCTGAATGTATAATGTCTATAATAGTTGACGGCCTGAGTGCTTCAAGATCTTTGATGTATGTCCTGGCGAAACCTCTATATGCTTCAGGAGAGTATATACACTCCGTCGAGAAATAATCCAACTTTTTGAAGTAGGCATACATAACAATCTCCTTCTCGTAAGTGTATTTAAATGGCTTGGAGCGCTTGATGGTGTCTTCACCGCGCGTCGTTATCTCGACACATCTACCGAGTCTGCTCACATCACCTCTGAGGATATTCATGAGGACGGTCTCTGCAACATCATCTGCATTGTGCCCAGTAACGATATGGCTAATATTCAGACTCGATGCACCTCTGTCAAGTGCCTGACGACGGAAAACACCACAGAAAGTGCAGTTGTTCTTCTTTCCAACCGCTTCGACTATACGATCCATAGTCCAACCATAGAGTTCATTGTAACTCAATATTTTAAGTGGCAATTGGTATTGTTCTTTGTTTCGTTTGACTGTCTCCAGACTATCGTCTCTGTAGCCAGTTATACCCTCATCTATGGATAAAAGAAAGAGGTTCAAACCATAGTCATGTCTATCATTGAGTGTTTTCATAACATGTGCCAAAACGGTTGAATCTGGGACGTATCTTGTTAGAAATGGATAAAATGGTAAATAAAGACTCACCTTTACCACCGGATGCACCAATAGCTACCCTCTCACCTCTCTTGAATGTTCCAGCGTCTGTGATAGTCTTGTGAATCTCCTCTTCAAATGCGAAGAAGAAGCAATCTTTGCAAACTTGCTGACCAGTTTTTGGACGCTTTATCATCGCCCTATTGTTGCTGCACAATTGACAGGGCCTTGGTGGCATATTTATTCGAAGTTGTTGGTTGAAATTTAGAAAGAAGGAACTTCCGGCTGAACTGTCATGTTACGCAGTCTAGTTAGATACACCAAGAGCGCACTGGATAAGCTTCCCAACAAAGTTGACTTCGAATTGAAGCCCCTAGGAAGGTTTGTCGTCTTATCAAAGTGTGCAGACACTCAATGACGCCCTTGCAGGTTGAACAAGCAGGTTACTAGCAAGAGGGTACCGCACGTTACACAATCCGTGGGATCGATGTTTGGGTGCGTCTAATGTCTTCTCGTTTGTGACGCACTAACACATCCATACAGCGGAAACCACAGCTTGAAATGGACTTCACAGCCACGGAATGTGCTGATAGTTAAAAAGTCAGATAGCGAATGCTCTACGAGAGCGATGGAAGAAGTTATAGCACACCTACGGACAAACTACTGTGATACGAACATTATAGTCGAAAATGGGGTAAAAGAGGAGCTCAAAGCTTCCAGAGAGCTTTATACAACAACGGAGACAGATGAATTCACACTCTCTTCGAAAGTTGATTTCGCTATCACTTTGGGCGGTGATGGTACAGCTTTACACACAGCATCACTCTTCCCAACTGGTCCAGTACCACCTGTTTTGTCGTTTAGTACGGGTACGCTTGGTTTCTTACTACCTTTTCGTGGGTTTACACTTTCTGCATGTCTCATACTTATCGCAACTAGATATCAACTCCTATAAAAGCGCGATTGATGATGTGTTGAATTCTAATGTATCAGTTATCAAGCGTATGAGACTGATGTGTACACTCCACGACGCATCTGGTGGTCTGATTGACGACCTAGATGGTAAGTAGAGCTAGCATATGAAGGATACTCCTAATAGCATCGCTAGTTACGCATGTTCTCAATGAAGTTGCCCTCCACCGCGGTAGATACCCACACCTCGTACAGATCGAGATATATGTAGATGGTATGCCACTTACTGAGACAGTTGCAGACGGTCTGATTGTCTCAACGCCAACTGGTTCGTCTGCCTACTCCGTGAGTAGATTATATAAAATAGTAAACATTACTCAAACTCTCTCAGTTATCAGCTGGTGGTCCACTCGTACACCCTTGCGTCCAATCTATCGTACTCACACCTATATGCCCACGTAGTCTGAGTTTCAGGCCTGTTATTCTGCCATCTGACTCGACTGTACAGTTGAGGGTACGTAGTATCTATATAGAGGACTGCCGTGATATTAACAGCCCTATCAGATGTCAACAAAGGCGAGAAGCAAACCAGATGTCTCATTAGATGGGCGTGAAGTGATGCAACTTGACAGCGACAACTATATTCAGATTTCTATGTCTCCATTTCGTACGTGGGGTTCATTTCAATGACAAATGACTGACAAATTTTTAGCTTTACCATCCATTAATAGAGCAGCAATATACGACCCCGAAAGTCGACAAGGCACACCGCGTCTGCCATCTGAGAAACAGCTAGCGCAGAGCGCATTGGATAGATTAGGTAGAGCGCAAGATGATTGGGTTAGAGATATAAACGACCTTCTCAACGTAAGTGATGCATCAACTAGAGGCACTCATTGCTGACATATATCTATAGTTCAACAGCCGCTTTGAATCGAAAGGCCAGGAGATCTACCACGGCGGACAAGACGACTAAAGGTGACAATACATCCATCTGCAGTCAATCTCTTATTCATTGCAATATAAAATATCATCGTTGTTGTACTAATAATCATAAATTAATCTATATTCACTCCCCAATACTGAATTGGGAACTAGGTCCACCTGGCAAATCCCTCAATACGAAGGTGGCAGCGTCACTACGAAGAATAGCAACATCAAGCAATTCAATTATATGTTTCAGCTCTTCCAATCTGTCTTTATCAGATTTTGCAAGCAAAGACGAGTCTTCACGGACATCTTTCCTGTCAGCTCTTGCTAGCACGTCTGCTCTGATCTTCCTCTCCCGTTGCTTTCTTTCGATGAGATTTGCGATTGTCTTGTAAAGCTTGGCTGATAATCCTAAGTATGCCTTGGGGAGGTCAACATACCAGAGGTAGAAAGTACGATGAACGGCTCTATCTGCTGATTTTGGCACTTCTTGTAACTGAAGTAAGCCACTGGTTTGTAATTTACCAATAGTTTCTCTCGTTTCTTTCATAGAAAGGAGACCGATTGTTGATATGTGTTTCTCTTCTAGTTTGCCCTTTTCAAGAACAATGTTGATAATTCGGGCTGCTTCGTCTCCGAATTGCTCTTTAACCAGACTATCGACGAGGGATCTCTTTATGCGGGCGCATACTGTTTCATAACAGACGTGGTATTCCTTGCTACTGCCCGCTTTCTGGAGGAACCTCGTGGATGCACCAGCGGGACCTGGAAAATCCTGTGACGAGAGTATTTGACAGTATTCTGCTACTAACTTCTGTACATTATTCTCTTTATTGCTCAAGACTATGCCCTTTTTTAATGTGTTTTCTTGCGGTATGTATTTTGCAACTTGGTGAATTGCAACCAATTCAGAGATTGTGTCATGGACGTGATTTTGGGTGTCTTTTCTTGTCTCCTCAGTTGCACGAAGGAAGGCTTCCATGATAAACCCTGATTGTTCGTTCCAGCGTTTGGCTGCTTCTGCGGCGATAAGCTGATGAGAAGTTAGAGTTAGACATTTGTTGTATAAATAACCTACTCTATTCCTCAGTCTAACGTTATAATGTTCGTAGTTTACACGAAAGTAAGCATTTTCCTTAGAGCGGGTGAGCTAACAGCGTGATATGAAGACAATGACGCACGTCGAATGTAATAACGTCTTCTCCACGTTTGCTTGATGATTTCTTACGCTTCATACCAGCGCGAGTACCATCTTCGAGGACTTCACCGCGTTCTACCTGCAATTCCTGGAGAAGTCTAGCCTGTGCAAGCTCCTTAATCTTTTTTATATCTTTGGGACCAAGAATGTCAGATTTCTTGTATGTGGTGTCTTTTATTTCCTTCTCATAGAGCAATGTTTTGTCTCTAGGGCTAACATGCATGATTGGCGTTGATTTGGTGAATGCAGCGGTGTTAAGGAACTGTACAAGGACCTTTTTCATCGTAGTCTCATCGATATCTGCTGGCATCCTCTCGAAGATGTCGCCAGATCGGAGTTTTCCATTGAGCAAGACGGTTGTAATCATCTCACCGGCGCATCTACTTTCTAGCTTATCTTTATAGCTGTCTATAGCGTATCTAATGTATCTCCCAAATCTAATCCTTGCCAGTATTTCGTCTGCGTTCGTTTCAAAGAACTCATCGTTATCAGTTTGACAATGCCACATGCAGTTATGTTGAATTAGAATAAGCAATGCAGCTCTAACTTGTTTAGCTTTAATTTCTGCATATCGCGATATCAACGGTAGCGGTAGTCTACCATATTCTAATACAGTTTGACCAACTTTCTACGGTCTCTTAGTCTGTTTATAAGACATAAAATAAAAACTTACGGCCACTACAGCTCCAAAATCATTCTCTAAAATTATCCCACACAACCGCGATGCTTCCTTTGTCACCATTCTCTCTTGGTTGAGGGAAGTCAAGAAGTTTATAGGAAAATGTCTTCAATTTATCAGGTAATCTTCTCTATACAAGCTAGTACGTTCTAATAGTCTATATAGCCTTCTCTTGCAGATGTACGCTCTCTCATTTTAGAGCAAAAGAAGGGAAACTGTGTACCTGTCTATACGAGTATACAGGCCGATTTATTAACACCAGTTATCGCTTATTTGAAGATATCTCAGAATTCTAAGTACAATTTCTTATTGGAGAGTGTCGCTGCAAATGAGCGCTCTAGATACTCTTTCATAGGTGCATGTGAGTCATATAGCAAGAATGAAGATATCTTATAACTCACACACTCCTTATAGCACCTCTTAAAGTTATAAAATCAGGTCCAAATGAGGAAATCACAGGCGATCCTCTCCCAGCTTTAGAGGCTGAACTCGAGAAGTACAAGTACGTGAAGGTAGACGGTTTAGATACTTTCACCGGTGGTGCAGTTGGCTATGTTGCCTACGATTGTGTTCATCACTTTGAACCTAAAACAAAGAGAGAACTGAAGGATCCATTGGGCATTCCAGAATCTATGTTCATGATTTGCGATACTATCTTGGTATTTGACCACATCTTCCAGAAGGTACAAGTAGTCAGCCATGTTAATGTACCAGACAACTGCAATGAAGTGACAATCCAGGCGAGGTACAACGTCGCTATTGATAAGATTAGACAGACAATTGAATTGTTAGAAGATCAACAAATCCCTAGCGTTCCTCACCAACCGTTGATCGGACAATCCAGTGAAGCATACAGCAACGTCGGTAAGGAGGGCTACGAAGGTTTCGTTACATCCCTCAAAGAACACATCAATAAGGGTGACATCATCCAGGCTGTCCCATCTCAGCGCCTGGCTAGACCGACAAATCTCCATCCATTCAACGTTTACAGACACCTTCGTACGGTTAACCCATCACCACATATGTTCTATCTCGATTTCGACGGTGACACGCCGGAAGGTGTAAGATTCGTTGGTGCCTCCCCAGAGACACTCTGCAGAGTCGAGAACAACAAGGTATTCAACCACGCTATCGCAGGTACAGTCAAGAGGGGTAAATCGAAAGATGAAGACGATAAACTCGGTGCTGAGCTCGCAAAATCTGAGAAAGATCGTGCTGAACATATCATGTTGGTTGATCTTGCAAGGAACGATGTCAATAGAGTTTGTAAACCTGAAACCGTCAATGTCGATGAGCTCATGAAAATTGAGAAATTCTCTCACGTCATTCACCTTACTTCACAGATTTCTGGTCAACTTCGCGAGGGGAAGACGCGCTTTGATGCATTCAGATCAATCTTCCCAGCTGGTACAGTCTCTGGTGCTCCAAAAGTCAAAGCGATGGAACTTATTGGAGAACTCGAGGGTGAGCGTAGGGGTATATACGCTGGTGCAGCTGGCAGATTTGACTTTGCAGACAATGAGATGGACACTTGCATCGCTATCCGCACGATGACATTCAAGAATGGCGTCGCATACTTGCAAGCTGGTGGTGGTATCGTCTACGATAGCGTTGAGGAGGATGAGTATATTGAGACAATCAACAAGCTCATGGGTAATGTCAAATGCATTGACCAGGCTGAGGGTGAGTAAGGAAGCACGCGTGAGATTCTATCTAAACGTCACACAGACTACTACAGAATGCTCAATAACGAAATTTAAAATGGAAACCAATGTAATTAATGTATATATACACATAAAGAAGTAAATAACGTGTATTTAAGAATGCATATAGAGAAACGTATAGTGAAGACTTCCTGAGCGTCATTAACGTTTCAATTACGACTTTCTCATCTGCCCAACAATTGAGCAGCTTTTCCTATGATTCCCTTCCTCTCCAAAACGCGCTCGACAGCACGCTCAACGAAGCCTTCCAAAGCGATGCGCTTGCCGTGAGGCGTCTGCTTGCCCACGCCGTCGACATCCTCTGCCTCTTCGAAAAGTGCTTCTACTGCATTCTCGACATACTTTCCAACCATATCGACTTCAAGGTTGACGGAGTCGCCTACCTTCTTTGATGAGAGCGTTATCTGAGATTGTGTATATGGGATAAGCATAACGCCGAATGTTTTCTCGCGTGCGTCGACGAAAGTGACTGTGAGTGATGCACCATCGAGGGTTATGTAGCCCTTCGGTATGATGTACGGACCGACATTGTCCCTATCGTGCTGCTTTGGGGGGATATCAAACTTATAACGAATTGAAGAACCGTCGTTCGTGATATCCTTTATGCGTGTCGTGGTATCGACGTGTCCTTGTACAATGTGTCCTCCCAAGCGTGTGCCAACCTGCATCGCTCTCTCGAGGTTGACCCTGTCTCCTACTCTAAGTTCACCAAGGTTTGTGCGCTGCAGAGTTTCGGGTGCGAGACCAACTTTAAAGGAGGTTTTGTCGAACGTTACAACGGTGAGGCATGTACCGTTTACTGCTATACTGTCTCCATTCTGGCAGTCACTCAAAAGATTCTCAGAAGTGGTGAGTGTGACGCTCCAGCCGCCATTCTCAGATTCATCGATCTGCTCGATCCGGGAGACCCTACCAACTGCTTCAATCTCGTCATTCGTTAGTCTATAGCCTTTTAGAGATGAATTACTCACAAGTCCTGTGAACACCATATCAGCGTAGAGGAAGAAGAAAGGGGAGTACGCTTAATGTGTTTTATTAGCTTGTCTTCTTTTTCTCTCCTTGTATTTTTAGTCATCTATTCAGTAACTAGATCACTGCAGCTGTCAACGAGATCTGCAGCGGTTGCGTCACTCTAGAAGATCGCTGCGTATGTTCTATATCTCTATTTGGTCTGTCTCCTAAGATATCTGTACAATACTCTCTTTATTATCTACTACCATGAAATCTCACGTTCCACCAAAAACGACACCTGATGAAGCTACCCAGAGCAACTACGAGGATATATCATCTACACATCTCTCATTAGATTGGCATATCAACTGGAAATCTTCCAAGATTATCGGTAGCGTCACTCATGCACTCATCTCTCACAAAGATGTCGTCAAAGAGCTACATTTAGACGCTAGCTACTTGGAGATACATCGAGTACATATTAACGATAAGAAATTGTCTTACAAGCTGCACGATAGACATCCCGTCATGGGTAACAAGCTGGTGATCAGCTTACCAACGACACTCAAGAAAGATGACACCGTTAGCCTCACGGTGGAATACTCTACTACCACCTCCTGTACCGCTCTAGCCTGGCTCGACAAAGCCCAAACCACTGGAGGTGATTTCCCTTATGTCTACAGTCAATGCGAAGCTATTCACGCGAGGTCGCTGGTACCTTGCCAGGACACCCCTGCGAGAAAGTTTACTTACGATGCAAAAGTCAGAAGCACCCTCCCAGCTCTTATGTCGGCCTTACGCGTGTCTCCACCAAAAGACACACCCCTTGAGGACGTTGTAGGAAAGGAAACAGTATACGAATACAATCAACCAATCCCTATGCCTTCATACTTACTCGCAATTGCATCTGGTAAGCTCATCTTCAAGCCTTTCGAAGTGCCAACTGGCGTCAAGTGGAATGCCGGTGTCTGGACAGAGCCAGAGTGGGTAGAGAAGTAGTGAAAGAGCCTAACTAACCGCATATAGACTCATGGATGCCTCCTTTTGGGAGTTCAAGGAGGACACAAGCAGGTATGTTCACCAAGCGGAGCAACTCGCAGGTATCGACTACGAGTGGACGACGTATGATATTCTCATTCAACCAAAGAGGTGAGCTACTCCTGTTAATGGATGTCTTAATTAAAGTCGCATCCCAGTGCACCATTTGGTGGAATGGAAAACATCTGTGGGTATCCCAAAAGCGTTAGTTAGTATTTTAAAAACCTTTAGGTCTCACATTTGCAACTCCTACACTACTCGCCGGTGATAGAAGTCTCACAGACGTCATCGCACACGAAATCTCCCACTCGTGGTTTGGAAATCTGATTACATGCGCTAATTGGAACAGTTTCTGGACTAATGAAGGATTCACTACCTACATGGAGAGACTCATCCTTCAATTCCTCCACGGTAAGGCTGACCGTGACTTTTCTTACATCATTGGCAGGAAAGCTCTTCAGGAAAGCCTGGAGGAAATGAGTAGTGAACCTAGATACCAAAAGCTCGTAATTCCATACCATGTGGGCGAAGATCCTGATGAAGGCTTCTCGAGTGTGCCTTACGACAAAGGAGCTAATTTCCTTTACTATTTGGAGAAGACTGTCGGAGGTTTGGACGTGTTCTTGCCATTTGTGAAAAGCTACGTGAAGGAGTTCCGCGGGAAGAGTATTGCAACAGCAGATTTCCACAACCACCTTTTCAACTTCTTCGCTGATAATCAAAACGCCCTAGATGCACTCAAGAAGGTAGACTTCGATGCATGGTACAATGGCTCTGGATTGGTGAGTTTGAGATGTGTTCTACATCGCCAGTCTAATAATCGCATAGTCTCTTCCTGTCGAACTTGACTACGACACTTCACTCGCGGACGTCGCCTACTCCTTGGCTGAAAAATGGAACAATCAACGTGATTCTGAGGTAGATCACCTCAAAGAGGTCTTCAGTGAGGGTGATATCCACTCATTTAATTCCAACCAGAAAGTCGTTTTCCTCGAGAAACTACAATCATATCCAACATTCAAAAAGACCATCCCTGAGGCACTTGCTACGGTTTATGGATTTGATAAAGCCCAGAATGCTGAAATACGCTTCAGATTCTACATGCTTGCACTCACAACGGGTAGCACCTACGTGCATCCAGCTGCAGAGTGGGTATCTAGACAGGGAAGGATGAAATTCTGTCGTCCCCTCTTCAGATCACTCAATAAAGTCGATAGCGATACAGCTAAGAAGACCTTCTTAGATAACCAATCTTTCTACCATCCAATCGCCGCTAAACAGATACGTAGGGATTTGAAACTAGATGAGGCTGTACCAGCTTCTACTTGCTCTATTGTCTAGCACTGTAGTTGATCTCTGGATTTTTAACAAGAGACTATGCATATATTACTACTATTCATGCCCAGCTAAATAGTTTCTTTTCTTTTTGAAGAAAACACACAAACGAACACTACATTCATCTGATACATAAATGATATCAGATCATAATTTATAGTATACAGGGAACGAATGAGAAACAACGCATGTTATTATCTGCTTGCTTTTTCTTAATCTTCCTGAGGGCATGTGTGATAGATTGTTTTAATAATTTGTGCAAAATATCAATAGAATAGGGCATATCATACTAATATCATAATAATAATATTGTGAAAGAAAAAATACATTCAATAAGAAACAAGTTTGAGTGATTGTAGATGTTAGTTTACTTTAATTAATGCGTGACCTGAAATATTCATTGAGCTGCTTAAGCTTTACCTGCAGCCTTGGCTTGCTCCTTCATGAGGTTCAATGCTGAACCAGCACGGTGCCATGCAATTTGCTCTTGGTCTGTCGTATGTTAGAAAAGCTGGTATGGAAATATTAATCACTTACTGTATGAGTGAGTCAATGGGAATTCGTCAACTGAGCCATCCTTGTGCTTGCAAATCATAGTGATTTCAGAACCTGGGTAAAAGTTGTCCTTAACACCCTTTAAGCTGATCTTATCGGTTGGTTGGACCTTGTCGTAGTCGGCTTCATTCTTGAAGTTGAGAGGAAGCAATCCTTGTTTTTTACAGTTGGTTTCGTGAATACGTGCAAATGACTTGGTAATAATAGCTGCACCACCCAAGTATCTTGGTTCAAGGGCAGCGTGTTCTCTAGATGAACCTTCACCGTAGTTGTGGTCACCGACAACGACCCATTTGAGGCCGTGGTCACGGTACCAAGCACCAACAGTTGGGACTGGACCCCATTCACCGGTCTCTTGGTTCTCTACTGAGTTGGCCTTGCCGTTGGCGTCGTTGATGGCACCAATAAGACAGTTTTGGGAGATGTTTTGCAAGTGACCTCTGTATTTCAACCATGGACCAGCAGCAGAGATGTGATCAGTGGTACATTTACCGCGGGTCTTGATCAAGACTGGGAGGTCTTCTGGATCCTTACCGTCCCACTTGTCGAATGGTTCGAGGAGTTGCAAACGTTGTGAGTTAGGGTCAACGGCGACTGAGACTTCTTGTGCGTTTTCCGCTGGAGCTTGGAAGGTGTTCTCACCGGCATCGTAACCTTTTGGTGGAAGCTCGTAACCAGCTGGGTCGGAGAATTTGAAGTCCTTGCCGTCATCAGTCTTAAGGCTATCAGTCATTGGGTTGAAGGTGAGGTCACCGGCGAAAGCCATGGCAGTGACAAGGTCTGGGGAGGCAACGAATGCGTGGGTGGCTGGGTTAGCATCGTTACGACCAGTGAAGTTACGGTTGTATGAGGTGATGATAGAGTTGGCTTCACCCTTCTTGACGTCTTGACGGTCCCATTGACCAATACATGGACCACAGGCGTTTGCGAGGACAATACCACCAACGTTTTCGAAGTTTTCGATGACACCGTCTCTGGCGATGGTAGCACGAATTTGCTCTGAACCAGGGGTGATAGTGAACTTGGACTTAGCGACGAGACCAGCATCGTATGCCTCCTTGGCAATGGCAGCTGAACGAGTCATATCTTCGTAGGAAGAGTTGGTACATGAACCAATCAAGGAAACCTTTAATTCACTTGGCCAGTTGTTCTTCTTGACTTCATCAGCGAACTTTGAAAGTGGGGTAGCAAGATCCGGGGTGAATGGACCGTTGATGTGTGGTTCCAACTCATCTAAGTTGATGGTGATGGTTTGGTCGTATTCTGCGTCTGAATCACGGACAAGGTTTGGTGCGAATTGCTTAGCATAGTCGGCTTGAGCTTGACGACCGGTGGCAGTCAAGTATGAGGCCATACGGTCATTGAATTGGAAGAGGGAGGTGGTAGCACCGATTTCAGCACCCATGTTACAGATGGTAGCCATACCGGTACAGGAGAGAGAGTCGACACCTGGACCGAAGTACTCGATGATAGCACCGGTACCACCCTTGACAGTGAGGATACCAGCGACCTTCAAGATGATGTCCTTTGGAGTGGTCCATCCACTCATCTTACCCTCGAGCTTGACACCAATAACCTTTGGACATTTGAGTTCCCATGGGAGATCAGCCATGACGTCAACGGCGTCGGCACCACCAACACCACATGCAACCATACCGAGACCACCAGCATTTGGAGTGTGTGAGTCTGTACCGATCATAAGGAGACCTGGAAGAGCATAGTTCTCAAGAACGATTTGGTGGATGATACCTGAACCAGGCTTCCAGAAACCGATACCGTACTTTGATGTAGCGGTTGACAAGAAGTCGAAAACTTCCTTGTTGAGATCGTTTGCACGGGCGAGATCAGCAACACCACCAACTTGTGCTTCGATCAAGTGATCACAGTGGACGGTAGTTGGGACGGCAGTTGTAGGAAGACCAGCTGACATGAACTGAAGGAGAGCCATTTGGGCGGTAGCATCTTGACAAGCAACGCGCTAGAAGATGTTAGTAAAAAGTGATATATTATTCGTCGAGACCCACGTCTGGACGGAGCTTGAGGTAAGTCTTTCCTCTCTCGATATCTTGCTCTTCTGGGTTATCCAAGTGACCGTAGACGATCTTCTCGGAGAGTGTGAGAGGACGGTTGAGACTGTGTGAGATGTTAGAACAATCTGAGAGAAGATGCTGTAACATACCGTGAACGAACAATGTTGAGGTTATCTTCAATACGCTGGGAGGGATGTTAGACATGCTAGCAGCGAGCTAGGTGTGCTCCTCACTTGGTAGTTGACGTACTTTCCTTGACCGGCTTCGCTGGTATGGAGTGAGAACAAAATCGTCGAATAAAGCAGAACTCACATCAAGGACATATCTACTTTCTTGTCGCCTATACGTGAGGCTTGGGTGGCGAATTGCCGCAAGTTTCTAACACCGCGGGTGAACATCTTGGATGTAAAGTTGAAAGAAGTGTTTTCGCTCACGAATCAAATTTCAGTAGTATGTAAGATAATCGGAAAGATGCGGATTTTGATTATTTAGTAATAATTAATGCACCTTAGCCGCTTAGTTGCTCTCTTTTTACCTTATACGCGTGCTATTTCATTGCAATGACCTTGTGTAACGTCATCGGGAGAATCATTTGACGAGCATATTACGCATAATTGGATAACCAGTCTATGATATAATGCATAATAAGTATACGTACCACTTTCTGGGTCTCTACATTGCCAATATACCAGCGTTCCTTAACTAAATGCGAGCATCTCCGAACAAAGTTTTCGACAATATTCGGATCTCAAAAATAGACTATACGAACGAGTTTTATCTATGAATATGTATACGTTTCTCATAAAAATGCACTCCAATTAACTACTACTTCCGTTCCGCACCGTCCAATTCCGGCTGTAGTTAGGGTTATCGAGGAGATAGATGAGTTTAGCAGATATCTCCGATTTCGCCTATTGTTATCGTTTTGGCTGTGTCACACTTTAGTACTCCTCAGACCTTCAAACTGATGTCTCATTATTCGTCAGAAATATGACACAAGATTTTTCCGATGATGGTTGTATGACAGTTCTATGAAGAGTGTATCTTGAGTCTTGCTATGACGCTACTTTACGTAGAGATATACATACAACATTATTAGCCCCCAGAAATGGTCGTATGACAACATCTTCTGATAAGCAAGAGATGAGCTTAGGAGATACGTCACTGAGACGTAGAATGCAGACGTAGAATACCACTCCTATCGGCTAGTATCTTTGCATTTTGCACTCTTCCTATTTTGCTTCTCTACTATCATCATCAACTTGTTCATCAAGTAGAGATGGTGCGTGTAAATCACAATTTGTATATTAAATAACTCACATATCTTTAGTCACTTGCACAAGAGCTTATAGACGATCTCGATGGTCTATCGGATGACGAGATCACAGAGGGAAATCAAACAGAGCAAACAGAACAGCGAGACGATTTCAATGAGAACGGTAAACGTCCTGCTAGTGAAAATCCATTAGAAGAATCATCTGAAAATGTTATGGACACCTCCGAAGAGCCCTCCATTGAGCTACAAGAAGGCCAGCTTTATATACCCACAGGTGGCGTACGCCCAGCTGATGAGCTCGATGCTGAGGCTGTTGAGGGCTATAAATTGGAAAAGATCCTAGACGTTAGGAAAGTTGCGCCATTAACTTCTTCAAGGCGTATGAAGGAAGTGCTTGAGGTGAGTGTATACCCTTTAGTGTTTGGTAATTAGCTCATTAGCAACTCAGGGGATTGACGAATTCTTAGCCTCTCCAAAGCTTGTTAAGGGTGGCTCAATAGTCGACAATCCGGAGTATGACATTATCGTAAAAGCGAACAACCTGGCTGTAGAAGTGGACAACGAACTGCTCATAGTACACAAATTCGTTAGAGATCATTATCACGCAAAATTCCCAGGTTTAGACACTTTGGTACCTGAACCAACAGTGTACTTGCGTGTCGTGCAAGCAATTGGTAACATCGAAGATATTTCACAGGCACCCCTCAAGGACGTTGTCAAGGGTCATACTATTATGGTCATCACTGTCAGTGCTACTACTGCCGATGGCCGCCAATTGACGCGGGAGGAATGGGAGCGTGTAGATGCTGCCTGTGAAGTTCACAAGGAGCTTGAAGAGGCTAAACATAAGGTTAGTAGGACCGTTAAATTCAGTGATATTTTTGACACTTTTAAAGATATTCGAATACGTTCAATCACGTATGAACATCCTTTCTCCAAATGTATCTGCTATTGTAGGGACTACCACAGCTGCAAAGCTGATAGGTGTTGCAGGAGGTTTACAGGCGCTTGCAAAAATGCCGTCATGCAATGTTTACCTCCTTGGTGCCATGAAGAAAACACCAACTGGACAGTCGACAGCTACTATGAACCGTCATACTGGATTCATCTACCAGTCTGACCTCGTTCAGTCATGTGAACCGGAGCACAAACTGAAAGCTCAAAGAACAGTCTCTGCTAAAGTAGTTCTTGCCGCTCGTGTCGATCTCGAAGGTGGCAGCAAGGAGGGTAACTATGGTGATCTCCTTCGCACGAAATTAGAAAAGCATTTCGAAAAGATGGCTGAACCGCCTCCACTTAAAGTCACAAAGGCACTTCCTGTGCCATCAGAAGACGGAAAGAAGAAGAGGAGAGGTGGAAGAAGAGCGCGTAAAGCCAAGGAGGCTTATGCCATGACGGAGCTCCGTCAGCTCAGTAATAGGGTGAAGTTTGGCGAGCAGGAAGCCGAGACGGATGCATTCGGCGGTGAGACTCGTGGACTCGGTATGATTGGTAAAGAATCGGGCAAGTTACGCGCAAGTGCTATCGATTCAAAGAGTCGCGCAAAGATGAGTAAGCAGAACAAGATCCGTACACAGCTTCTGGGTGGTCCTTCACGAGCTACCTCTGGAACGGCCACAAGCGGTACGGCATCTAGTTTGTCTATCACTCCATTCCAAGGTATAGAATTAGCAAATCCAAACCAGACAGCAGAAAACGAACGCAAATTGAAGGCCGCGAATGATAAGTGGTTCGCTAAGGGTGCCTTCAGTCATATTCCTCAGCAGGGTGACAAGCTACCTGGCAGTAAATAATTGTAACATATAGTCAATGCATAATGGTATATTTATAGAGATTAGCTGGGTTCTTATAGATCCGTGATACTAATTCTAACACCCAACATTTTCTAAAGTCTCCCCTTGATCTAACACCTTTGAGAGCTTGCTGACGCGTTCTTTCAAGGAGATATGCCGCTGACCAAGGACCTTTTCAATTGCTGATAAGTGGTATTTGAGTTTATGCGATGCTGTCACTTTAATCGTTATGCTTGCCGCTGACAGCCCCTCTACGAATGTCTTGTAACATCTGTCATCCCGAGCGAATACGTAGGTCTAAAAAGTATTTATGTGCGATAACATTATTAAATCTTCCACTTACCGGTATCGGTTCACCTTGCTGGTAGAACCTCAGGACTTGCAACCAGGCAGCCATCATAACCTGTAATTTTGTAAGACAAAGTTTTATTTTCGAGTCTCACGCACTAAATCTGCAATTCCATTACTCAGATAATCATCCAAACTAGCAATCGTAGAGGCACTTCTGTCTAACCTCCAGGTCGCGAACTTGCGCAACTCGGACGCAGCTGTCTGGACGGGTTTGTTCGTGATAGGATTTGTGAGTGCCAGTGAAACCAACTGTGTGGCGTCATTGATAAACTTATCACCCTCTATGTAACGTCAGATGTATGTTTAGTAGAAAAATAAACCGCGTACCACTCATGACTAGCGTTTGCAAATACGAGGCCAATAAATCTGTCTGTCCAGTCGACAAACCATGATCTATTGCCAATTTCAAATTCGTCCTTAGACTCTTGAGTATTTCGCGATTCGATGCACTTTTGAGGGTGTGTTCGTCCATCGAGTTCACCCACTTTGACATCGCACCGACTAGGACGATAGCAATCCCATCGTATTCCTTTCCTAAACGCATCGCGTGTACTAGTGGAGTGCTATCGCCCACTTTTCGTAAGAGCAAGTCGAAACTATGATCTCTACAGGTCATTATAAACATTATATCCTTCTTCTCGATAGCTTTGAAAAGTTCCCAGGGTTGTATTGGCCGTTTTGGTTTTGGACGCTTATCGAGATCCCTACTAAGCTTTTTACCCAACTGGCCCGGTTTGTAGTCTAATGGTTCAGATAGCGCATCATTTATCTTGGCCGTACGCTCGCTGACCTTCTGCCGTGTGCTGGATTCCGCTTCGGCAGTGAGCTGGGCAAGTGTGGGCAGTGTTTTTGGTAGTACGAGTAGACTAGGGATATGCTGGTTTTCAATTTCAGGGTAAGGGTCTATTAATGTGTTACCATCATCGTCTTTGCGCGCTTTATGAAACAGATGCTCAAAGTTGTGCATCAAGGTGTCTTTTATGCCTAGAAGTGACTTTACTTCGAGAGTGTATCTAAACCTATGAATGTGTATGCGTATATTATATCTAATGTCTCGATTGCAGAATTACATACAGGTTTAATCACGTCAGCCAACATCAAATCAAAGAAACTAACTTTGGAACGATTGAATATGAAAGATATCTAAATCTATTACTACAATAGACAGGGTCCTCCAATCAGAAGTATCATCATTTGTCGGGAGATTCACTACTATGACGTATATCATTAGGCAGATTTAGATTAGCAAAACATGTAGCACTCTCAACCTAAACCCAACCACATTACTTATCAAGTAGAGTCTCTATATTTGATTCGAATATTCACATTCATAGATAGTACACGTTTTAGAGAGACACTACTCAGAAGACACCGTAGTTGTGACTGAAGACATTCATTCCAGTCGATATCATAATCCTTCCCATGTTTAATCCAATATTCTCATATTGACGGTAGTCAGGCGGAAGTGGTGCGTTATCGACCACTTTTTCACGAGAGGTTTCGATGATAACCTTGCCATCCTTATCTAATCCCTCTGCCTTGACTTCCTTATAGTCATGTTTGACATGGTTCAATTCTAACCTTGCCTCGAAGCCATTTCTCTCGACTTCACCGAGTTGCTTGAGAGGTCCACCCTTCTTGGTAGCACCGTAGTATCTCCAACTTGCAACTTCGGTGTCACCATTCCAGGAGCTGGCCAGTATGAGCTTTCCGAGGTGCCCGTACACATAACCAACCAGGGCTGCATCTTCTGATGGTTTAACTGACTGCCAGTCGTTTTTGAATGCACGATAATTCTGGGCACCATGTCCCTTCTCGAAGTAGGCATGATATATCGCTTTGCCGTCGCTAGTGAACTCGGTGACAGCTCCCTCGCTACCCCAGTTTACGAGTACGTTGCCATTGTCGAGCAGTTGTGTAGAACCTTGAGACTTACTAATGAGTCCATCTGGTGGGTAAAATGCCTGGCGTGTCTCAACTGTCCACTTGTTCTTACCGCCTGCGGTGTTAACTAGTAGGACTTTTCCAGAGGAAGTTGGGGCGTCGAATACAGCATGGCCTATATCAGTTTCAGTTCCATGAGCGGAATTGTCATATAGGGATATAATCTCGCGTCCTGTCATGCCAATTAGCAAAATTTCACGCAACTGTAAGACATCCACTCACCCTCCTCATCGACGCCTTGGAAACGTGCGTGATGCTGATAAGAGAAATGTGACGCTTTGTCTAGATGCTTAAAGTCATCGTTGACGTTCCTACCACCGAGTGTCCAGATAATTTCACCAGTCTTTCCACTAATTTTGTACACAGAGTTGACATCTCTTGCAGAAATCAAGTAGTCACCATCATGGTTCTTATCGACGGAATTGATGTGGAAGTAATCCCAGGCTTCGACACTGCCAATACCGTTGCCTGCTTGACCGCTCGTGAGTGTAATGTTGCTATGTGAAGGTGGAACGTGGTCGAGAGACTTCCATTCGAAGATGACCTCACCTGAACGAGTGTCAACCTCCTGGAACTGTGAGTCAACAATCCATTCGCGTTGTGGATCGCCTCCATTGAAGGAACTCAAATCGCGTGGAACGGGATGGTAAATTTGAAACAAGGCAGATTTACCATCGTGAATGAGCTGACCTTCATGCTTGTCGATCAACTTCGCATGGCCAGCTTTAATGGATGTGATGTGATTGTATGATTTGTCCAAAACCTTCAGCAACCCATGTCCATGACCATGGGCACTGTTGTGCTTACCCTCAAAAGCGAGAAGAACATCTTGACCTTGATATTCAGCCTTCTGAAAATTTGCAAGCCATCCTGAGTAGTAGCTAGCGAAACCAGACCAGACGAGGTCACCATCTTCTCTTAAAATGTAAGCAGAAGGTTGCTAACTTGTGTGAGAGGTGTATGCAAATACAACTAGGAACTCACATGCGGTGGATGTTCTTCATCCTCAACTGGTGATCCTGTGAACGGTGCTACAAACAACAAACCATCTGCCGTCTTCCCGGTATTCTGGGTTACTTCCAAGCGAGGAATGTGGAGATCTGGTCGACTGAGGTATCGCCATTCAGCTGCAGTTAATCCGATTGTCGAGAGTAACGCAGCGAGTTTGAGAAATCCGGTAGATATTTGCATCCTTTACGTGTCTAATTAGGGACAAACAAGCGGGCTTTTAAGCGCGTTGCTTGCATAATAGTTGTTGCTAATGACGTGGTTAAATTGTGTGCTCGATAGACTAGAAAGATGTTGTGATAATTCTGTCATCGCACAGTGCAAAAAAGCTTAATATTACTTCAATAGCTATTAGGCATCTTTCATGCGTTTAATTGAAACAAGTGAAAACTTTCACATCTCAAGTTACCGATTTTGAAGAAATTTATCATATGTAAAATGTGTAATACATGTTTACCTTGTATATAAAGAAATGGTTAACTACCGCTTATATTATTGTTATCAGCGAGTTTTGACTTTTCAGGAGTGTGTACGTAATTAAATTCCATCGTACGAATAAGATATCATATCATACCATCTAATACCCTCATCGTGATCAGTATGTACTCTCCAATGTAATACTCTCTATACATTTCGACGTACCCTGTTCATATCGCAGCATAACGCTCTTTGACCCACTCATCCATCAAGATGAGTTTCGTACATGACAAATTAAGATTGTGGGATGATATACAACTAGAGATACCCCTCTAATACACTCCTAGGATCACATCCTCCGAGGCTTACACTTTGGAGCCCGTCAGCAATGACAACAGCACCAACAAAAGCAAATCTCTGGCTATTGACAGAGTAACAAGAGAAATAAAGATGGTTGGTAAGTGTACACCTATCTATTAGAATGCATCTCATGTAATGTAGACTCTCCAAAAGATATCCAGCAGAACGCAGATAGTGTCATAACGGTATATGGTGTATTAGGTATAATAAACTTAACAACTAGTACGTAATAAACTATATAGAGTCACTTCGCAATAACACCTCCTTAGCTCCCTTCCTTGTTGTCATTAGCGATAGAGAGCACGCCGGTGAAATCAACAATGCGGCGATTTATAGAGCGACAGACTTCAAAATGTACCCAATTGACAGAACGTCTACACTTTCACAAATATTGAAGCACCCTGTAGACGGCGTTCTCCTCGGTTTACTCAAGAATCACTTCAACGATGGCAACTTCTACTTCTCGCCTGCTTATGACCTCACAAGCAGCCAACAGAGATCACAGTCAGCATCTGAGGGTGCACCAATGCACGAGAGAACTGATGATAGATTCTACTGGAACAAATTCCTCCAAAAGCCGCTCTTGGAATCTAATTTAGACACCTCTGGACCACTTGCCAGCTTCTTATTGCCAGTAATTTACGGTTTCTTGGAAATTAAACCAACAAGTATATTTGGACAACCAGTCACAATCGCACTTATAGCTAGAAGAAGCAGATTCAGAGCGGGTACACGCTACTTTAGTAGGGGAATTGACGAATCTGGCAATGTTTCAAACTTTAATGAAACTGAACAAATTGTTGTTGCTCAGAATAAGACATACTCACATGTACAATGTCGTGGTTCAGTACCAATTTACTGGTCAGAGATCAACACCCTGAGGTACAAGCCAGATCTCCAAATAATGGACATTCCGCAATCAGTAGAATCACTAAGATTACATCTCGCTTTACTTGTCGAGAATTACGGTAAGGCAACCTGTATCAACCTCGTCAACCAGAAAGGATACGAAAAGCCAGTGAAAGATTGGTTCGAGAATGCTCTCGGAAAGCTTAACCATCCTAATATTCACTACGAATACTTTGATTTCCACAGCGAATGTAGCAAAATGCGCTGGGATCGTATACATATACTCCTCGACCGACTCGAAGAAGAGCTTAAAGCACAGCAATATTTCAAAAAGGAGGATACTACAACCGTCAACAAACAAAGTGGCGTTTTCAGAACCAACTGTATGGATTGCTTAGACAGAACAAACGTCGTACAGAGCGCAGTTGCCAGAGTTGTTCTTACTGCCCAATTGATGGATGCTGGTTTGCTCGGTCCTGGGGATAGTGTATCAGATGACCTTGGATTTATCTATCTCTTTAGAAATATTTGGGCAGACCACGCCGACGCTGTTTCTGTCACTTACTCAGGTACAGGCGCTCTCAAGACCGACTTCACACGTACAGGAAAGCGTACAGTTGAAGGTGCTTTCTGGGATTTGATTAACAGTATCACGAGATATGTTAAGAACAATTACTACGATGGTAGTCGACAAGACGCCTTCGATCTCGTTCTTGGTGGTTGGACACCACAAGCTGGTGCATCATTTAGAGACAACCGTCCTATTTTGACGCGGGCGGCTCCATACGTCCTCACATACTCACTCCTTATGCTACTCTCTGGTATCGTACTTCCAAGAGATAAAAGCAAATCAGTTATGACGTTCTACCTCTTCTTCACCAATTTGGTTGCTCTTTCTTCAGTCTACATTGCCAAAAATGGTATTGATTATGTCGCCTGGCCACGTCTGAGAAAGCTCGACAATGTTATTAACTATCAAGGTCCAGGATACAGATCACCAGCTCATGGTAGAGGTTTCGCTTGGGGTGTTGGTAGTGGTGGTATCTTTGCACAACCACAATCACGCATTGAGGAAATCGAATTGGGCAAGAAAGCCAGCTAATCTGGGCTCATTATACATATCATTTTCAAGTTGTTTATTAGAATACATTTATAATTTAAATTCATTAGTGGTATTATATTATCCCGTCGAGTTCATTGGCGAAATCGTCAAAGTCATCGCTCGATTTATCACTATCGGCTTTATGTCGTTTTGGTGAGTTGATTGATGATGCTGATTCTGGACTATCCCGCGAACGTTTTCTGGTGGTACCTTCATTCGTAACATCTTCATTCTCAACTCCTTCGCTGTCTTCCTCATTCAGAAAATCCTCTAACTCTTGATCAGCAGTGTCCCAATCAACGTGGTCAAACTTCGAGGGGCTCTCTTGGACGACCTGCTTAGGGTTATTCGGTGGTCCATCCAAATAATAATTCTCTTCAGGCATTTTCTCCCATTTAGCGCAACTATCGAGCAACCATTCCGACCAGACTACGTGGGCACTATCACCTTTCTTAGCATCTTCTACCTTTGCAGTGCCTTTCTTTGCTGCTACGACATGGGTAACCTTTTCATTATAATTGTGATCAATTGTGGCGCCAAACTTGCTGGCGAGGTTGTATATACCGCTTATCTCTAGTGGCATACCAAGTGGGATGACACTACTAAAGACTAATTTCAAACCATGCAAAACTTTACGCTTTAATGTTGGTATAATCTCCTTGGTATCTGGATCATCGCCCGCATTTTTGAAATTGTAGAAATTTGAGTGAATTTGAGTTAGTATTTTAGATAATCTTGGTAATTCTTCATCTATTGTTTCACTAAGGATTTGCTGATGCTCTTTCTGTCGCTTAGCTAGAGGTCTCTGATCGGCTTGCTTCGATAGACTCTCATTGCTATCCTGTTCTTGCTCCTCTTGATCTCCATCTCCATCTCCATTTTGATTGCTCCGTAGTTTTTTACGTTTATTAAGTGCATTAATATCACCTATACCGACAAAGAACTCAAATGGGATTACTTTCACGAGGTTCGGACTATCACCCCATACGTCAGCTCTGTCATCAATGATAACACACATTGAGGTATCCGTTGGAAATAACCTTTGTAAAGATTTTTGTGTAAATGAACCTGATTCATCACGTGAAAGAATTCTTTCACCAAAATACTTCCCGGATGGATCTATAAGTTGACAAATAGCTAAAGCATAAGAACGTGTACCCATAGTGTATACGTGCATTTCGAATAATTTGTTCATATTATCAAGAAATTCCATCAAACCTGGTCTAAATTTAACGAAATACCAACTACCAAATTCGTGATGGTTTACTAGACCGAAATCGCCCAATTTGAACTTATGTACATCGTTAAGTGCACCTTTATAGACTAAAGTTGGATCTTGTAATAGTTCATTAACCGTTGGATCAACGGTTGCATGTATAATCGTCTGATCGAGGTCTACGATTAGTGCAAGTTTGCTAGACTTTAATAGAGTATGTTTGCTAGTTTTTCCAATCCTCTGCGCTTCATCATAGCTAACAGTTAGATTTGCTGTAGAGTGTGATATATGATAACTTTCAGATTGTTGTCTAGGGGAGTATTTTATAAGAGTAGAATAGTATGAGAAGGCTATACGCACTCTTGTGATACATCTTTACCGCAAATTGCACAAAGTCCAGATAATTGGACAGGATGTGTACAATCAGAGGCACTTCCCATGGTTGTTCACTTTCTACGATGAATAAGAGCGAAAATAAACTAGAAGTGATAGAGCAAGAGGATAAAGTGGGTGGGTGGTCTATTAACCACACTACAATTTACTAATTCATCCAATAGAACAACTTATAAAGGGTTTAGATAAGGATAAAAAGTTTGAAGAGTACAGAAAGGGTAGCGATCTCCCAGAAGGTTCAGCCATCAACAGAGTCAGAGATTTCCTTCCAAAGATAAAGCAAGCTAACGAGGATGTGTCTTCGATGTCCTCTATAGAAGAAACGAAAGGTAGCAAGGGCGAGCAGATTGAAATGAATTTATATGAAGCAGTTTAATAAATATTTGGACTTTATTAGATTGTAATATAGCTTGTTTATTGGTGACTGTATTTCTAGATCGCTCGCTATGTCAGATATGAAACCATTGAGAAAATTTATATCTGGATATCGATTCTGTTTTATTTGAAGATCAAGGTGGTTATGAGCATGTTTGTTAGTGAAAATGTTAGGATTTTGTAGCCTATGGTTGATGGAGGAGAGTAGACAGGGAGATAGTAACTTTGAAGGGAATTGCTGGTTTCTTTGCTGATAATAAGCGTGGAATATTTCAGAGGACTCCTCTACTAATTGCTTTAATAATAGCGTCGACGGTATTGACTTTGATAGTAGCGGTAGCTTACAGCCTATCAGAGTGGAAAGAGATTGAATAGCAGATTGTATAATGATATTCTCTATAGAAATGCTCTCGAGCTTTTGCACCTCCATCGAAGACATCGGCAGTTGTAACTTGTCTACACCATGGATGAGCGTCAGTGTGTCGTTGTATTCGACGTATAAGTTGTACTCGATTGGCCTGCTCTTCAGGAGATTGTAGTACAAACCGAGATAATTTATATTGTTAATAACGACGCTGTCTTCTCTCGTCAAGTCTTTCGACGACAAACTATTGTAGATCCTGTTGAGATTGCTGTTGTAGTAGTAATTGTTAACCCTCTCATAGCGTAATAGACTATTCCCAGTCGTCTCTACGCCTAAATTTTTAAATTTATTCGACAGCCGCCCAACTTTGTTCAATTTTAGCCTTGACATTCAACAATCAAGATGTCGACTGTAGAAGATTTCATGAATAAGGAGAGATTGGAGGCTATACAGTCTGGCAGGTCGATAGACCACCCTCACCAGCAGAACAAGCCTGGTATCAGCCTCATCTCTGATACACTCAATTCATTGAGAATACAATCAGCTAGGAAATTACCGACAAAATTTATTTCCTCGCCCTCTTCTACAATAACGCCCTCTGTCGATGGCAAGTACGTCTTCGTTGCAAACCAATCCTCGATTGAAATTCACAATCATTCACATTTGATACATACGATCAACAACGCACACAACGCGAAAATTACTTCGATACAGACCCTTCATTATGACAAGCATAAGATTATCACCGCTGCCTTAGACGGCGCTATCATTCTCTGGGATACTCTCGATTTTAGCCCTATTAAGCACATCACTTACTACTCACCTATTTCTCACCTTTTAGTACAACAATCACAGTCTGACAGAAACCAGACAATTTTGTTCATTGCTTTGAATAAGATCGCTCAGCGTAGTAGGGCTGCCGACGGTTCTGACCGTCCACCAGTCATAAACACTGTTTACTACAAGTACACCTGGTCGCACAACAAGTCAGTCAAGAAACAATCCCTTTTACTCGGTCAAACGCGCCCACCGACCTCAGTCAACTTGAACGATGACATCCTTACCGCTCAATGTGGTAAGAAGTTGAACGTTTCACAACATAATCTCGTTGATAAGCGTTCATTCGTTAAATGGGTAAACCCAGAGAAGCAAATGCAAGCTGCTTTAGACCCTCTTAACGAGTTCTACGTTACCTCTGAACTCAGCTCTGGTAAAATTCACCTCTGGCCATACTCTGTTATCGCGTCTGAATTACCAGCTAAACCACAAGTTTACTCATTCAATCACCCAGGTTTCCAAAACAACTGTCCAACAGAGGTACTCCATTGGCACTCACATCCTATCAAAGCACTCACTTTCACTCCAAATGGTTCCTTCCTCCTCAGTGGTGGTGATGAAGGTGTCCTAGTTAGATGGCACGTCCGCCAAACAAATGGTCGTCTCGCAAAGAAGGATTTCTTGCCAAGACTCGGTGCTGGAATTTCCTACATCGTTTGCAATGATGAAACCAATTGGATTGTTGGTCTAGTTGATGGATCAAAGGTTTACGTCGATGGCGCACAATGGAGAGTTGACCATGTCGTTCGTGGCTTGGTTATCCCATCTGTACCTAACCACCACGAGAGAATACCAATCACAAACACTCACGATGGCAAGCTTATTTTCCCATCTTCCCATCCATCTGTTTTGCAGATTTACGATATCAACAACAACACATCGGAAGAGCTGGAGGTCTCACCAAACAACAGAATCGTCAATAAGGGTGATTTCCATGATAATAGCCAATTCAACATTCAAGGAAGAGTGGAGGATGTCTCCTCATGTCGTGACTGGTTGGCTACCGTTGACAGTGCATCTGTAAAAATTTGGCAAATTGATCAAGAAAGTGGTAAATATCAACTCAACACTCGTATCGATAAGCCACATGGCGATTCGGCAGTCACTCAAGTTTCCTGGTCGAACTCCTCAAAAGGCGTGCCAGTGTTGGCTACTATTGGAGAAGATCGCAAGTGTCGTCTCTGGAGAGCCGAGCCGTTGGACTACAGGCCAAAGGCTTTAGGAAAGATCAAGAGTATTATTCGTGAAGGTCAAGGTGAGTTGGAGTCCTCACTGTTTTCTATTTCGCTAACAATAGTAGTCTCATTTAGCTTGTTCGCTACACTCAATTACAAAGATGAAGAGATGAACAACGTTTTCTTCTCTCCAGATTCATCACTCCTTGTCATGGTTCACCCAAGCACCATCTCATTGTGGAATCCAACAGCCGTCTACACTGGAAAGAACGCACCATCATTACTTAGAGTCCTCAGCGGAGAGGGTGTCACATTAAACGAGGGTGTATTTGTGGGCAGCAGCTATATAGCTGTTAGAGCGACAGCCGGAGCAGGTGAAGCATGCCATGGTGTTTGTTTAGTATACAATCTCACCAATTGTAAATGTGAGTGTTGCAAAGGTTCTTTTATGATTAATTAACACAACTACTAGGCATTTACACACACTCATTCGCGTACACAACTCCTCAAATTTTGGCGCACTCGAGTGCTAACAAGTTTGCCCTTTTCTCTGGCGCTACGAGACCACGTATGAACACTCAAGACAACGAGAAGGAAGCTGAGCGTGAGAAGGTTTTAAGTAAGAGTGCTATCGCAACCCAGATGACAACTTTCACTATCACCAACGAGGGTCTCATTGAGCGTGAGGAAGTTACTGAATTTGACAATAGTTATTTCAAATTCGCGTTCATGCCACTTTCAGAGGGATTCAATTTGGTTGGTTTGGCCACAACACACGAAAACCGTGTGCGTAATTTCGCACACTCCCAAACGTATGTTATGGGCAGCGCTGGTGCGGTCTTAATTGGCGACCAAGCATCCAAGTTCGATCTCAGGAGAGATGAGATTAAGCAGGACCAATCGGGTAACATGTTTGAAGAGATCTTTGGTAAATTTGACGACCATTTGGCGCTCTTTAGGGATAACGAGATGGAGAAGGATAATGCATTCATTAATGCGAATGAAGCGGGATCTAAACGTACGATTAAGAACCTCTTTGATGGACCATCACATTTGCTTCCTGGACCAGAAATGCTCTACGGGGACTTCCTTGAAGGCTTCCTGCCTAAGAGGGTCAACAACGTCGATGATTCAAAGACGACGTCTATTATTTATGAGGATACACCTAACGGTGATATTAAAATGCAAGAGGATGATATCTCAGGCGCTGAAATCCAACGTAATCGCCATATAGATAGCAGCGAAGTTAAATTGATGACACAGTTATTTAGAGAGATAATATAACTTTTTGTTAAAATTTAAATTATTTTATAGAATTTATGAAACTTCTTGGTTTGCTATCATAATGGCGAAAACATCAACAAATGAGGATCTTGCTACAAAATTACTGACGATGATAAACGTCTCAGCGAGCAAATCAACACAGCCAAAGCGGATACGATTTGATAACCCAGAGCTCCAGAAGACATCCAAGAAGAAGAAGCTCTCAGAGGATACCGAGAAGACTGAGAAGACTGAGAGAACTGAGAAGAAGAGCCCTACGAAAAAGAAGAAGAATGCTCAAGAGGTACAAGATAACACAGAGGAAAAGCCAGAGGAAATTGCCCCCCAGGAAGACGACGATGAAGAAGGTCTTGATACTCTCTCCTCACATTTTGGTCCAACGCCCACAAATCTCACAGACGAGCTGCTTGCTAGAGTTGTTGATCACAGGTGGGATTCTCTACCCTCAAATGGTCCACTAGGAAGATGCACAGAAGTCGGTTTGGGTGCTAGTCCAAACGAGAATGTATATATAAGTCCACGCTTTACACAAGCAAAGCACAATAAGGATCTTCTCAAACTTCTTGGAAGCTACAAGGATGTACTTTCCAGTCACCTCACAGAAGCTGAGCATGCGAAGATGCGTAAGAACTTGTCGTTACACATCCACAACCATCTTTTCCGGTGTGTCAAGTCGCCTTTCTTATGTATTATCAACTAACCTTCCCGACTTAGCACACGCCGTCGTGTTTTAAAGAACAACGAGAAACTTGCACACTTCCACGCTGACGACGAGAATAAAGGGAAGGAAGCTCCAGAATGCACAGATCAAGGTTTTACACGCCCGAAAGTACTTATATTGACGCCATTCCGCCATAACGCCCTTGAATGGTTGAAGGATCTCATCGACAATGCACCAACATCCCAAACAGACAATAAAGGAAGACTCTTCCAAGAATTTAGCTTACCAAAAGGTGCAATCGATAAGATTGCAAGTAGCCCTCCAGGTACTTACCCTCCAGACCATGTCTCGACATTTGTGGGAAACATCGATGATAATTTCAAACTGGGTGTCAAATTAACAAGAAAGTCTTTCAAACCATATGCAGAATTTTACTCCTCTGATATTATTTTGGCTTCTCCATTGGGTTTGAAGCTTGCAATGGAAAAATCGAAGGATACGGATTATTTATCCTCGATTGAGATTGTCGTTGGTGATAAACTAGATGTCATCACTATGCAGAATTGGCAACACTTAACAGAAATATTCGAAAACCTCAACAACATTCCAAAAGAAGGACACGGATGTGATTTCGCGAGAGTTAAGCCATGGTATCTTGACAACAAAGCTAGATATCTACGCCAATCTGTTCTCATGGCAGGTTATGAAACTCCAGAGATGCGCAATTTGTTCAATAAACACTGCAATAATGTTGATGGAAAGATACGCACGGAGACACGTTTCAATGGTGTTCTTGGAGATGTTGCAGAGGGTGTGAAATCAAGCTTTTATAGATTCGATGCTGATAACCTCCTCGATGAACCTGATGCACGTTTCGCATACTTCAAAGAAAAGACACTCCCATCGTTGAAGAAGTCCGCGGTTTCTTCTTCTTCTACTATCATATTCGTTAGCTCATACTTTGATTTCGTTCGCTTGAGAAACTACCTCAAAGCGTCTGATGTCAAGTTCGCAGGTCTCAGTGAATATTCAACTAATAAAGAAATATCGAGAGTTCGTACAGCGTTCTTTAAAAACGAGGTGAACTTCTTACTAGTTAGTGAACGTTTCCACTTCTTTAGAAGATATAGACTTAGAGGTGGCTTAACTTTCCTCTTTTATAGTTTACCGGACCACGCGGTCTTTTATCCAGAATTTGTGAATATGGGTATAGACAATAATGTTGAGGCATCAGACATTAGTGCAATTTCACTCTATTCACGCGCTGATGTACTCAAATTACAGCGTATTGTTGGTACAACAGATGCTAAGATGATGGTTAAGCAGGGTACAGATGATAGATTTTCGTATAACTAATTTATTCTTATATATTCGTCTAATTGTTGGGATATCTTATCGTATAGACTGCCATTTCTTAGTTCGTCGAGCTGACTAGTGTTCATCTTAGATAGCACGTAATCGGGTACTTTGCTTTTGTCTTCTGGTCGACCAATACCTATTCGCAATCTGTCGAAATCTGTCCCCATGTGCTTTGCTATTGATTTCAGTCCATTATGTCCATTAGCAGATCCAGCTGCTTTGAAGGATATCTGATAGAGTTATTGAGTGCATGTTGTTATATAAAACACCCACTTTCATCCAGTCTCGCTGCAAATCATCATGCAGGACAAGCAACTTCTCAGCGCGTATTTGGGAGTAATAACTAGATATACTCTTACCACTAACATTCATGAGATGATGACTATAACAAATGTGAACTCTATCGTCTATTTGTGCGGATGATATAGCGCCCTTCTTCTGCCAAAGTAGATTGTGTTTGCGAGCATACTCTATAAGAAATAATTGTCCGATTGAGTGATATGTTGTTGGATATGGCAGATTTCCTAATCCTGCTATCAGAATTTTGTTCTGCATTCTCTTGTTTGTGATCAACGATGACGGCGGGACTCGAAGCTGATTTTATAAAGTTTGACGAGCCAGACGCCATAGACAAAGGAAAGAAGAGAGCCTATGAAGCTGCTGAGCCATCGACTAGCAAACCTACAAAGAAAGGTGAAAATGGCAAATCCCGTAAGGAAATAGAGAAGCAACGCTCGAAGAAGGCACCCTGGATGGCAGATGTTGATTTTGATAACCTACGGACAGCCTCTGAATTGTGAGTGACTCTTAATTCTTCACTAAAACTAACAAAGGAAGACTTCATAGGGAGGTCAACGCATTTACAAAGTTTATCAGCCCCTCTTTGACTGAACACAAGACGAGGGAGTACACAATAGAGTGTATACGTCGCTGTATAACTTCACGCTGGGCGGATGCTGAAGTCTTTGCATTTGGTAGTTTCGAAACGAGGTTGTACCTCCCCGATGGAGACATAGACCTCGTCGTTATGCGTAAAAGTGTTAATCAATACAACAAGCAGTCGATGCTACATACTATGGCCTCAATGCTACGCCAGGCGAACCTCGCACAGAGTATACAGGTGATATCAAAAGCACGCGTACCAATTATAAAGTTCACATCATCCTTTGGTGGTTATCCAATTGATATTTCACTCAATCAGACGAACGGTGTTGATGCAGGTAGAATGGTGAACGAAATTTTGGACAGATACCCCGCTGCAAGGCCACTTTCGATGTTACTCAAGTGTTTCCTCTCACAGAGGAGCATGAATGAGGTCTATACTGGTGGTGTGAGCTCCTATTCTGTTATCTGTCTCGTCGTGTCATTCTTGCAGATGCATCCTAAAGTCCGGAGAGGCGATATCAACCCACTTGATAATCTCGGAGTGCTACTTGTCGATTTGCTGGAGCTCTACGGCAGGAATTTTAACTACGACGTCACTGGTATATCGATCGAAGGTGCTGGCTACTACTTCAGCAAATCGAGTCGAGGATGGCACCAATATGGTCAACCGTATTTGCTATCCATACAAGACCCACAGGATGCAGAGAACGATATCAGTAAAGGTTCTTTCAACATTCTCAACGTTAGGAAAGTCATAGCAGGTGCTTATGACATGCTAACGAATAAGCTCTATGCACAAGCATCAGAGATTGAGGCGAAAAAGTCGAATAGACATCTCAGCCTCCGTGATGAGGTTCCAGATGAGGAGAGAAGTCTTTTGTTGAGCTTTATGGGTATCTCTCAAATTGTTCTCAATAAACGTAGAGTTACTATTGAACTTTATCAGAAGGGAATACTTCAGCGTTATTTAGGTCTACCACCACCAGAGAAGGAACTTAATTTAGATATCAAGAGCGTCCCCGAGAAGATTGTTAAAAGCACCGTTGAGGATAATAAGAGACACAAATTCTTTGATGAAGATGAAGAGGAAGATAACAGCGTTATTACCATATTAGATAATGATGCAGAAGAGGATGACTCGAGGTACTTGCATATACAAAACAAAGGGACAAAGAGAAGCAGAGGCGATGCAAATTTGACTTTCGTTGATTCATCCGAAGATTCAGATGTTGAGATCGTAGAGAAGAAGCAAACTAAAGCGCCACCTCAGAAACGGCCAAAAAAGCAGAAAAGAGAATCCGATGAGCAAAGGAACTCGAGGTATGACTACTGGAGCAAGAAGGGCAAGTCAATTGAAATATTAGACTCAGATTAGCAAAATAGCATTTATTTAGACTTTAGTTTTTTGTATGTTGTAAAAAATATAATTTGATTCGTCTTCTCGCTTATCTACCAAGAACTGAGCAATTGCATGCTCAGTCGGCTGACGAGAAGTCTAGGATTTAGAATAATGTCGTCGCCAGTTCACAAGAAAGCTAAGTTAGAAGTCTCTATTGAGCAGCCAGTAGTACAGAAGAAACCTCAGCAACCAAAAAAAGACAAAGCACAGAAACAAGCAGAAAAATACGCAAAGTTACAGAAGAAGTCTAAATTACAATCCGTAGAACGTGGTGGTCCAGAGGAGAACATCTTCCTCGACGTTAGACACCTACTGGGTGATGCCGTCGTAGACACACACATAAAAGAGGAAAGCTGCTTTGCTGCGAAGTATGACTTTGGTACTGAATTGGAATTGGAAATATCACAAATGTCGAGCTCAGGTGATGGTTTAGCAATCACTGAGTGCAAATCCTGGGTCGTAGCCGTACCGTTCTGTCTTCCTGGCGAAAGAATCCTTGCGAGGGTCTATAGGAACTCTTACTGTCACTCCTACGCTGATCTCGTCAAGGTCCTTGACAAACGCGACAGCTGGAGAGACGACGAGCAAATCAAATGTCGCTACTTTGGTAGTTGCTCCGGTTGCCAATATCAAATGATTCCATACGAAAGACAGCTCCTGCTCAAGCAACGCGTCGTCGAGAAAGCCTATGAGAGGTTCTCACATCTCGCTCCTGAGCTTATACCATCTATTTTGCCAACCATTGCGTCACCAAAGCAGTACAACTATAGAACAAAAATAACACCACACTTCCAAGCCGCCCCTAAAAATGCAGGTGACGACTACGATGCAAAAATTGGTTTCGACATGAAGGGTAGACGTAGCACTATCGATATCGAGGAATGCCCGATTGCGACTGAGACGCTCAATGTCGGTATGAAGCCAGCGAGGGCTAACGTTAAAGCCACAATAAAGAATTATAAGAGGGGTGCTACACTCCTGCTTCGTGATTCGATGGTCAGACCAGCTGACGCCGCGAGCGCGACAAGTGTCGACATCCCACCGGTCGATTTGTCAACGATCAAGCCAGATGAAAGAACATGCATAACCGATCATAAGCAGATTACTAGAGAAATTGTCGGTGACAAGCTCTTTGAATTCACGGCAGGATCTTTCTTCCAAAATAATTCGAGTATTCTTGTTCCTCTCACACAATATGTTTTGGAGGCCCTGCCAGAGAAAAAGAAGGACCCTATGTACCTTGTCGATACTTACTGTGGGGCTGGCCTCTTCTCAATCTGTCTTCAAGAGCGTTTCGATAAGGTTGCCGGAATCGAGATCTCAGAGCAATCGATCTCGTATGCCAAGCATAATGTCAAATTGAATGGTCTTGATGATAGCAAAATTAGCTTCAGAGTTGGTAGATCAGAGGCTATCTTCGATGTCGTGAAGGATTTCCCAGCTGAGAACACCTCTGTTATTATCGATCCACCACGTAAAGGTTGCGATGAGCCTTTCATATCACAGCTCAAACAGTTTAGACCTCACAGAGTTGTCTATGTTTCCTGTAATGTACACACACAGGCGAGGGATGTCGGCATGCTCTGTGGTGAGGATGGTCCATATTCTATAGAGAGTCTTAGAGGGTAGGTTAACTCATATGATCTTTATTTTTGTTAACTTTATACCCCACAGATTCGACCTCTTCCCTCAAACAAGTCACGTCGAAGGCGTTGCCGTCTTGAAATTGAAATAGATGTATTTTATTATTAATTATGTTCCTAACATCTATTGTGCTGTGTCTCTTATAATCCTCTTCATTCGGATCTGGTACTAGATTAAGAGGGCTTAATATGAAACAACAGTAAGACTAATTGGTTGTGAATTATAGCAGGTTATCATAGATAGCGTTTGATTTTTTTTTTTGAGATCGTCATAATGAAACAACATCAACAAATTGCACCATAGTAAATATACTATTGTATAACAAATTAGTGAATACAGAAACAAGGAAATAATACTACGAGTTTAATAGATGCATTTTCTTACCTGATTAGCACATACTCTCACAACATCCGACATAATGTTTCGGATGTAGCCTGCCGCATTAAACATGAAACGAACGATTAAGCATGCAATTGTAAGATTAGTTTGTAATTATTTAGCATATTATCTATTTAATTCACCCTTTCTCCGCTATTACTATCACACTTTGCTATTGCTCTAATTATATGACTTGTTTATAGGAGGGATATCATTAATTCACTTCTAAGTCATATCTTGTTATGTTATTTTAGGAAGATAGTGAAAACACCACCAACTGCATCTTGCATGTGTAATTAAGCGACTGTGGTCCATCATATCTAGCTGTTTTGTTGTGGATTATGTAGTGATGCGACTGTGGTCCATCATATCTAGCTGTTTTGTTGTGGATTATGTAGTGATGCAGACAAATGCTACTTTTGACACATAAAGGCACTTCTAACGATTTCAAGCTTATTATTTTTATATTTTGTGTATTTAAATGTATTTTAATGTGTTACACGATGAATAATTGTCCAATATCAAGATTCATTTTTGAGACACTCTAGATGAGTGGAATAGGAGTGCAGTTGACGTTGACAAGACCATTTTGTGTGGTACCATCACAACAAGCAGCAGTGTTCTTACACATGTCTTGAATAGCAACTGTTCGTTTATCGTTAGTTGATAATGTTCTTATCGGAAATTTTTCACTTACCACCAAGGATAGGAACTTGATCACATTGGAGACCAACTTGTCCGAGGAGTTCTGGAATGTCGATGAGGGAAGCAGTACCTTCGTCGAGGTCCTTAACATCCTTAACTTGGTCACAACACTTGACGTTGTTGATTGAGCAATCACCAACTGATTCAGTAGCGAAAGCAGCGCCAGCGAGGGAAGCAATGAGAGCGATTGAAGTAGCACGAGTCATCTTGATTATTCTTTAACGAAAGTAGTGGTGATTGATGAAGAATGTTAAGGCCATTCACTGCGATTCTTATTATGCCTGGACGGCGAGACCTGCGAACAAATTAAATTGTTCCGCTTTCCGTATTTGGGAATTATTATTCCGTTAAACAACTTTAGTTATCCTGTTTCACTTTCTGAGACTGAACGACCCGGATATGGCAGTTATCAATTTGAAAAGGCTATTCTTGACTCAATTTGTGTAAATTAAAAGCTATTAAAAGAACTAGCTTAGCTTCCGGAGACAATGCATGACAGCATATGTGTCGCCGGTCGCTACTTATAGCTATTAATTACATTCGAAGATGCCCGAGGATAGAAAGATACATATGCACTGATAGAAAGTTGGAATTGACATGCCTAATAGGAGAATACGAATTTTTTGCTTCCTTAGGGTAATAATTTGATAGGGTGCCTTCCCTTCGCAAGTGACAGCATGATAAGAGGTTTCTTAGGGATAGCAAGACCGCAGAAATGCTATAGAAGTAGCTTGCTGCAGAATAGCAATGTACTCCTAAATCTGAGGTTTAACACGACGTCAACAACTGCTCCTGCTTCTGCTCCTGCTGCTCTTCCGAAAGAGTCATTCGTACTTCGTAATTTACCGGCCAAATGGAAGCCTTATTTTCTTCTCACGAGAGCTGATAGACCTATTGGAACATTTTTACTCTTTTGGCCTTGCGGTGTGTTCTACTTTCTTCAACTTAACTCGTGCTGATAATGTCTTCCAAGCATGGTCAATCACCTTAGCATCTAGTGCAGTACAAGCTACGCCGACAGAAATGCTTAAATATCTCGCACTATTTGGTACTGGATCGCTCATTATGAGAGGTGCGGGATGTGTTATCAATGATTTATGGGATCGCAGGCTGGATGCTGCTGTCGAGCGCACGAAAACAAGGCCGCTGGCAGCAGGCGATGTGACACCAGCGAACGCTATTGGATTCCTTGGATTGCAACTCTCCGCCGGGTTGGGTATTCTTACTCAACTCAATTTATACAGGTGAGTATCAACATCTCTGAAGTAGACTACTCTGATAGCCGACAGTATCTTATTAGGTGCTTCTTCACTCTCATTGGTCACTATTTACCCCTTCATGAAACGGATAACGTATTGGCCGCAAGCAGTTCTCGGATTGGCTTTCAACTGGGGTGCACTCCTCGGATATTCTGCAATTGCAGGATCTTGCGCTTGGCAGACTGTCCTGCCACTTTACACGGGCGCTTTCTGCTGGACGATTGTCTATGATACTATCTACGCACATCAAGACAAAACTGATGATGTACACGCTGGTATCAAGTCAACAGCGCTACTCTTTGGCGAACAAACTAAGCCAGTTTTAACAGCCTTCTCAGGTGGATTTGTCGGCCTTTTGAGCGCAGCCGGATATGCTGCTGATGCCACTCTGCCATTTTACTTACTTGCACCTGGAGGAGCTGCTGCTCACCTCGCTTGGCAACTCAAAACTGTTAATCTTGATAGTCCTTCAGATTGTTGGTTGAAGTTTGTCAGCAATTCCAAACTCGGTGGTTTCATTTGGTTGGGTACTGTCGCAGATTATGTCAATAGAATGGGTTTCTTGGGTAGCCTTTTTTGATTATGCATTTTAGATTATTTACATTACTCGTACGCATTAAGTTATTATTACAAAGAAATCAGAGTACGCTATAACGACCTGTTGTCTGGTTCTTGGCATCAAATTCAAGCGCTGCTTGGGTTGCTTCAATGAGAATAAACTTGATTGAGCGTACTGCTTTCTCAACCTGAATATCGTTAGACTTAGGTATTCTTTTTTTAAATAGTCCACTCACCCTTTCTATCTCATTTGATTCAACAAGCAAGTGCAACTTTGGTTGGTCTGCCAAAGAAGGCTCTTTTCCAGGCTCGTAATAGATACCTTTATTGGTGATAGAACATCCAGTGGTTTCGTTCAGATAGACAATGGTCTCCTTATTGGTAATCTTCCACCTAGCACGTTGGTGGTAATCGTTGATTGGAATAATCGCATGGTAGTCTGTTGCATCGGGATCTTTGTTCTTGATTGGACCACCTAGAGTTGCAGATACAGCTGCTCCACGTTGCATACTAAGCTTGGCAGCGACAGCAGCAGCTTTAGCGACTGCCGAAGTTGCATTCTCTGGTTTGATATCGCTTGAATCGGTAGATGCTCCAAGATTGAGTGGTTTATAATCAGCAGGTGCTGGTCCTTTTTGAATTTTGATCTCGCCAAACATATCTTCAGTCTCCTTTGATACCTTCTCGTTAGTGGCAGCACTAGCGGCACCATCCTTTTTGACTTCTTCGTCTTCACCGTAAGCACTCCTTTGTGCCTTTTCGAGATCTTGACGTTCTTTTTCAAATCTGTCCAAACCCTTACCTCCGAATCCTGATCCTGCAACTGTAGCCTTACCTTCTTTGACCTTCTGGAGGAATGCTTCGGACATAGCTTTAAGCTCACTAGGAACGCTTGCACCAGAGGCGGTTAAGGCTTTTTCTATATCAACAGAATATTTGTCTTGCTCAGGTGTGATGAAGGTGATGCAGGTTCCTTTGTTACCTGCTCTACCTGTTCTACCTGCTCTATGTACGTAATCTTCCAAGTGGTTAGGTGCGTCATAGTTCAAAACCAACTTGAGGAGCTTGACGTCTAACCCTCTTGCTGCAACTGATGTAGCTATGACAATTGGTATAACACCATTTTTGAAATCCGTTATAGCCTGGTCTCTATCTACTTGGTCTTTTCCTCCATGTAAACTCATAGCGACGTAACCTTTTATGCGCAAGTTGAAGAGCAAATTATCAGCAGCTTCCTGTCTATCTACGAAAATGAGCGTTCTTGCTTCATCATCTTCATTATAAGTTTGTCCAAGTATTTCTAACAAGCGATTGAATTTACTAGATTCCTCTCTCACTTCAACTTGTTGGTCAATTTCAGGGGCAACAACTGATCTACCACCAACAGTTATCTCTAGTGGCTTTTGAAGTATCTTTCTAGCCAGCGATTCCATTTGTTTAGGGAAAGTGGCCGAAAACAATACAGTTTGGCGATCAGGCCGCACGTTATTGATAATTTTCATTACTTGTGGTTCAAAACCCATGTCAAACATTCTATCAGCTTCATCGAGAACAAGATAGGTAGTTCTACGGAGGTTTGTGACTCTGCCGGAGTTTGCAGCCAACAAATCTATCATCCGTCCTGGTGTACATACGACAATTTCTGCACCTTTCTTCATCTCGGCAATTTGCTCACTTATTGGTGATCCACCGTAAGCTGCGATAGCTCTCAATCCTAAAGCCTTTAAAAATGGCTTACATTCACGGTGAATTTGGACAGCTAACTCTCTAGTTGGCGTCATAATCACACCAATTGGACCCTCGAGATTCTCAAGTGGACGTTGATCTTTTATATGTCTAAAGAGTGGTAGCAAAAAGGCTATTGTCTTTCCGGAACCTGTTTTTGCGACACCAATAACATCTCTACCACTCATTATAGCAGGTAATGCTTGTGCTTGGATAGACGACGGTTGATCATACTGTAAATATTTGATAACTTCAAGACAAGAGGATGGTAAACCCAACAGTGACCACTTTGTCACTGGTTTTGGGCAATCAATACCTCTGATCTTGATACCATCGAGTAGCAAGCGTTGGTTCTCCGCGTCCTCTTCGGATAGGTTCTGGATTTCAGACGGTGGATTGTAGAAAGACTTTCTGAAAGGTTCATAGTCGACTTTCGAGTGATCAGTGACAGCAACTTCTTTCCTTTTCACTCTACTGGCTGCCAATGCTAAAATATCTTCTGCTGACATCTTTGAAACGTCTTCCTCTTTCTGCTCCTCTTCTTCATCGTCGTCATCGTCATCTAGTCGAGCAGCTGTGACTGTGTTGGGTTTAGTACCCATACGCTTTTTATCTGATTCGTTAACGCGGGTGACTTCTTCTTTAACACCACTCATGAAGGCGTCAAGAGGGTCTTCCTCTTCCTCTTCCTCCTCCTGTGGCTGTTCGCTTGGTTCATCCACTGCCATCTTATCACCCTGGTCTTCAGTTGATTCTATATCTCCGCCAATGCTATTTGTTGGAATCGACGATTGCACGGGTGGTAAAGTATGCATAGCCAGACTGTTCGACTCCTCATCATAATCCATTGTTGCAGCTTTTGTTGTTATATTTCTATTAGAGAATGCTTTAAGACCTAAAGAGATAGGCTTCTGTTGTGCGCTCTGGTTGTTCGATGGTGCTGCTGGCGTGGCTGGTGATTGAGACTGGCTCGGAGCAGGGCTCTCTTTCGCTTTTGCAGCTTTACGAGCAGCTAAGAAAGCCTCCATACGCTTTTTCCTATCCTCTGTCTTCTCCTTTTGTGGCGTGCTCTCGGCTGGCTTCTCAGTTGGCTTCTGATCTCTCTCATTTCTGTCGTTTCTGTCATTTCTCGCTGGTGGTGACCTTAGAGCTGATGAATGGCTATTACAACATTCTATATGTATTGCTCACCTAGATCTCCGTCTATATCTGTCCCTGTTACGTCTATCTCTGTCTCTGTCTCTCTCTCGCTCACGTTCACGTCTATCTCTCTCACGGCCAGATCTGTGGTAATCTACTTCATCTTCTCTGTCACGATGGTATCTTTTTGAAGATTCAGGCGATGAAGTACGAGCTGGCATTGATTTACCTGTGATGGTTGCTAATAAAGAGATGTAGGGGTGGTGTAATTCTGTAAAGTTAAATATATGCATTTATAACTGTATATGTATCTATACTGTATAGTACTCAACGACGACGATGGCCGTTCCTCTTTTTGCTGATATGGGAGATCCCACCAAAGTAAAAGTAATGCAGGAAGGTTAATATGCTAATATATAGACTCGTTAGTGTTTATTCCGCCATACCTCATTCTAGGCTCTCCTATTCTCTATCTGCTTGACTTGTCGCGGTAGCCACATCTCTGATGCTATAGCCCTGAAAGCGCTCTTAAACTTGACCTTAGAGGTCCACATGATAAATAAGCTTTAATAACCCTCATGGCAGCCTCAAAAACTAAAAGTTCTGTGGTTGTTTTTCATCTAAATTTTCATTGTTTACGCACATCTGCAAAATTTTGTTTGAATGTTTTAAACACGCTTTTATGACAGTAAGAAACTATCTATCAAGTGGCAATGTTCTTTAGGATGTATAGTATTACCATTTGCAGTTTTCACAATTGTAAACCTTTTATAGAGGCTCCCAAGGGGCTCCTTTTGATCATGTTATTACATTATATTGTGGTAAGGCCTCTTTTAGATGTTTGCCTTTGCCACACGCTCGCCCAATGTAGCCAGTCTGTCTGCCAACCGAGTCAATTAAAATTTATCCAACAAATTTTGCAAACTATTTTTCTATGTATGTGAATCTGTGACATCAGTTTGGTATAATATAGCACTATTAGTCAGAATATCTGATTTTACAATTTTCATGAAATCTCGCGGCTACAAAAAAATTCATCACTTGATCTTGAACATCGAAATTAAATCTGAATGGAGGATCAGTTGCAATATTTAGATCAGCTTGGTCAATTTAATGTCCCAGGTTCACGCTGTCATTCCTGCTCAAAGGTTTTCCTCGTTGATAGCGATCTCAGAAATCATTTGGCAACTTCCGACGAATGCTCAAAGGAAATTCCTCTAAGTGAAATTGATTACCTCAGGGGTGCGTTTTCGTAATTTTTCAAAAACTTCGGTCGCTGACTATTACGTAGCTGCCAGCAACGACATCGCATCGTCCAACAATCTCATTAATTGGTACGGTGAAGATTTAAAGCGCTACCCCGAAGACAAGAAGCCAGTAAATACCTTTAGTGTACATACTTCACCTTCCCATCACTTGCTCAATGAAGTCACTGACTTGAATGGTTCAGAAGAGGACGCAGCGTATGACGAGGATGGCGCCGGTGACGATAGCATGTCTGCACTTCCACCAGCTATGAGACCTACAGCTGCTCCTATGTTCCAGGACCAGACCTTGGGTTTCAGAAAAATTGAATCACCAGACAGCCATATGAAGGGAGAATCTTTGATGGCCAGAAGGGCAAATTATCCTGCATACGACGAAACAAAGTACAACACAGCAGAGGAGGCCATGGCCCATGCCCTCTCACAGGTCCCTGACCAATCCGATCCTCGCCCATTCAAGTGTCCAAACCCAGAATGCTCAAAGACATGGAAGAACAGAAACGGTTTGAAGTATCACATTAATCACGGTAACTGTAATGGGGTTCTCAAAACTCTCAGTCGTGATGAAGCTGCTGTCTCAGAAAGACCATACGCATGCCCTGTTCCAGGATGCAACAAGCGCTGGAAAAATGCCAATGGTTTCAGATACCACATGGATCACTCAGGTGCCCATGGTAGATCTGCAAGAAGATTACACGAAGCATCTGGCGGTTTCGCTGGTAAATCAAATCTGCAATCAATCACATCTCCACAAACAACGACAAAAACACCAAAGGGTACACGTCGCTCATCTAGACGCTCTTCAAGACGTATACAGTATGACGAAGATGAAGAAGATGGTGATGCTGAATTAGAAGAAGAAGACGATTATGGTGATGAAGAAGACGATGATGATGATGATGATGATGTTGAAGAGGAAGATGACGCATATGGCGATGTCGACGATGCAGCTGCATTACACCCAACAGGCGGATCAACATCAGCCTTACCAGCTGCTGCGACCGATCAATTACAGTTCTCGGTACAAGGAAGTCAATTTCCAACTGGTCCGAATGGCAAGTCATTTGAAATCAACGATGGTAGATCATTTGAGGTAAACCCGGTAAATTCCGTAGACCCAATTGATCCAATAAATCCAGTAGACTCTGCTCAACCGCCCGTTATCGGTCAGACCGAGCCACTTGAATTCACAAAAATCGAGCATAATGACAGCATAACAGATCCACCACAAGAGCAGATAAATTAATAACGCGAACCTCTCAACCTAATTTAATTCATTTTTGTATCACAATGTATTCTTGTTGTATGGCATTGCTATAATCGTGTTTGTCTTGCATATTCTACAATGTCAACCGTCGCATTCGATAGAATTTCATCGACGTCCAACTTTGTTGAATCATAGACATGTAAATCCCTAATATGCGGGGTTGGTATACCAGCTTCTGGATCTCCATTTACAAAAACATCCTTATGCGCTTTGATGCTGGGAACAGTGAGAGAAGTAAAAGTGCCTACATAGTACCTACTAAGCAGGCCATACGATATCGTCAAAATAGAATGGTGGATCAATCCATACATCTCCTTCTTAAGTCAGTTAGGACAAGAAGCTTGTGTGTGTGATTGTCTCACCTGCAGTAGCATAACCTTCTCTTTGTGCACGTCGTTTTTTTAGTGTCTCCCTGTCCGCATTGAGGAATATCCGCACGTCTAGCATGTTCCTAACTGTTTCGTTATAAAAACACAAGAAACCATCGAGAAGAGCGTATATGACACCATCAGGTGAACGTTCTTTTGATTTCTTCTGCAATGCTAATTCTTTAGCGTTTAAGTCCTTCGATATGAGATTCGATTGTGAGGGTGGATGAAGATGATCGTGTGATTTATGCGATGATGGCAGTTTTCCTTCCGTTTTAACATAATCCAATACCTTTATTAGTCTATCCCACTCTATTGAATAGTCAGGATCATCCCAATTTTGCACGTTGTGTATTGGATCTAACGGTATTTTGTCATTCGGTGGAGCGAAATCATCCTGATGTATAATGAACGAATTTGGTAGTATATTTAACAGCTTCTTCGAGAGTGTAGTCTTGCCTGAAGATGAGCTACCGCCTACACCGATTAATATCACTTTCATGACGTGGTTGCAGAGCAGAAAGAGTGGGAGTGCAATGATAACGGTATATTTTATATTAACTCATTAGCGCTCTCGTTATCATACTTTAATTTGATGCATCACATTTGCGCGTCTTGTTATCACGATGAAAGTAATCGGACCGCTTATAGCACTACTAGTGGGAATAGTTTATGTACGCTATAGAGCCACTTCAATGACACCATCATTCGAATACGTGGGTATTTATCCGGTCGCGTTAATTTGATTTCTTAACGAACAAGGTTATCGTCGGCGGGGGAACCTCCGGTTTAGTTGCAGCGAATAGGTTAGTCCAAAGGGGCGCGTCCGTGCTTGTTATTGAAGCTGGACCGGACTCAGATCGCGAAGATGGCGTCAATATTTCAGGAATGTACGGAAGTATGCTCAATTCTCACATTGACTGGAAATACGACGTTGGATTGAAACAGCCTATGCCTAGAGGACGCACACTTGGTGGAAGTAGTGCCATTAATTTCCTGTAAGTTTTTGTTTATATCACATCACGTCACTCAATGAGTAAGATTGTGGAATAGACCTGCCGAAGTTGAAATTAACGCTTGGAATGACCTTGGGGTGAACGGATGGGATTGGGATAGTCTTATTGAAGCGTGGGTGTGCTCCGTACGTGGTATTATGCATCTAACGATCCTCACAGGATGAAAGAAGTTGAGACATTCAATCCACCTTCTGAAATCACCAACAAGTTGTTTGGTCTAGATGAGCCTGTAGATACCTCTAACTATGGCCACAACGGTGAGATACAACTATCGTATCCTCGCTACGCTACCAAAATGGATGAAGCATGGTTGGAAACTCTAAGAAGATTACACATAGCTTCAAACGTCAACGTAGGTAGCTTCAGAAGTATTTTGCTTTTCTCATACTCTCCTATAAGCCAGCAGATGGTAACAACGTCGGTGCGAATGTCTCACCGATAACAATGAACCCATCGAACTTTACACGGTCGTATTCTGCTTCAGCCTTTCTAAAGCCTGTTAGGGACAGTTCAAAGCTGACAATCATAGATAATGCCACTGTGTCTCGTGTTGTCACAGAAAAAGACTCAAGAGGAATTTTAAATGCCGTTGGTGTGGAATACATAAGAAATGGCAAGAAGCACAGTGTTGCGGTATTAAACAAAGTGGTTATGGCAGCAGGTGCAATCTCCACACCGCATATTCTCGAGTTGAGTGGGATCGGAGATGAGGAGATATTGAAGAAGTGAGTGATGTGAGATATAGGTTGAATCCATCTGATAGCACCCAGGTATGGCATTGAGACCATTCTTCATCAGCCAAACATAGGAAAGAACTTTCAGGATCACACTTATGTAGCTTCTGTGTTTGAGGTGGACAGTTCGGTTCGTAACTTGGACCCCGTGTGAGTGTGTCTTTCAGCTATTTGTTCTACTAACATGTCAAGACATTTCAATCCGTCTATCGCTCTAGAGGAGCTAGCAAAGTACCGCTCTCAATCAGTCTCTCTACTTGAGCAAGCAAATGTGTGCGTTGCATACCTCACCAAAGATCAATTGTTGGACAAAGAAGATCAATCGGAGCTTGCAGAGCTGATAAAAGAAGTATATCTCTATGAAGGGGAGTACAAAGACCAATATCTCAAGCAGCTAGAGTTTCTGGAAAGTGATAGCGTTACACAATCAGAATTCATCAATGTTGGTTTCTTCGCTGACGTCTTCAATCCTCCCGATGTCAACAAAACATACTTGACGCTACTAGCTGCGAATCAGCACCCATTTGCAAGGGGAGAAGTACATATACGGAGTAGTAATCCGCTTGCACACCCGCGCATACAGCCTAATTATCTTTCACATCCTATTGACGTTCTTTTCCAAAAGGCAGCATCGAAGTATACACGTAGGATAGCGTGGCAACAGCCCCTTAGCGCTGTTGTTGAGCGTGAGGTGATCCCCGGCGCTCACGTACAGAGTGAGGATGACTGGGAGGATCTCGTCAAAAAGAGAATATTCGGAGAGTACCACGGGATTGGTACTGCGAGAATTGGGAAGGTTGATCGCGGCGGAGTCGTCGACGATAAGCTCAGATTACATGGTGCAAATAATATACATATTGTGAGTACCTTACCGCACAACCGATATATCTGATTTGATAACAGATCGATGCATCGGTAATCCCGCTTCATGTGTCGGCGCACATACAGTCACTGGTATACGCCATTGCCAACAAAAGCTTATTGTATCTTTAATTAAAAATGTCATCTGTATGTATTGAATGCATGCACTTGAGCCATCTGACGCAGCAAATTTTTTCGGCATGAAACAATCGCTGATAACAATCTAACCCAAAAAGGAAAGTGTCGGATGATACTTATCAGAAGGTAGTGTAGGGACGGTATATAAATATACTCCGATTTTTGGGTCAGACCGACAGAATCCTCTCGTCATAAGCGAAGGCTAATGGGTTGAAATCACTTGAGTAAAAAATTTCGGCAAATTCTATACGTATGACTAGCCTATAATTATCAGCAGGATTCAAATAATATTTTAGACTATTTAAAGTTAGCTAAAGTGCAGAATTTTTTCGACCGTAGATTGTACCTTACTCCCTTCAAAAACTGCTCTTATCAGTTCACTTTGAAGAGATACGACCAAAAGAGGTATCCTAAAATAATCTACGCATAAACATACACCTAACCATATATAACAACGGATGCTAAACGACGAAGAGAAGATAGTCGGCTTGTCCAGTGCAAGCCCGAAAATAGAGGACAAGAAAGAAGGCTCCTATACTCCAGATGTGAGCAATGCACCTGAAGTGTACGATCCATCCCAAGAGTCCTTCCTCACTAGACTTGGTTTGACTTTCGAGTCATTCAAAACAGCACCAGCAACTCCAGCGAGAGTAGCAGTAGCAACAGATTCAGGTGAAATCGCTCAAGAAGAAATTGAAGGCGCTGCCTCTGATGGTGTCTTACATAAAAATATCCCGGGAAGGTCGCTTCAGATGATTGCAGTCGGTGGTTCGATCGGAACAGGATTATTTATCAGCACAGGTGGTGCACTCTCAGATGGTGGACCTGTCTCCATGATCATAGGATGGCTTATTCTGGCCGTCACACTCTTCTGCGTTATTAACGCTATCGGTGAACTAGCAATTTTATACCCTGCTGAGGGTGGTTTCTATGCGATGGCAAATCGTTTCATTGACGAGAATGTCGGTTATGCGATGGGTATGCTTTACGCTCTCCAATGGGTTGTCGTGTTGCCCACGGAATTAACGGCTATTGCACAAACTATACAGTATTGGGATGGTGAAATTTTTGATATAAAAACATCTAACGCTGGTATGTGGGAATAACAACCGGAATAGCACATCTAACAAACTCTTTAGTTTGGATATCAGTTTTCTTCGTTATCGTTATCTTGATCAATGTTTTTGGTAATAAAGCATACGCCGAAGAAGAATTCTGGTCGGCTATAGTTAAAGTAGCCATTATAATATTATTCATCGTTGCTGGTGTTGTTTTCAATTGCGGTGGAGGTCCTAGCTCTGGTGATTATGGTCAATATGTTGGTGGCGAATATTACAGAGCTGATGGACTACACAATGGTATCGTAAACGGATTCAAAGGTGTTTGTAGTGTATTTGTAGCTGCAGCTTTCTCTTTTGCTGGTTCTGAACTCGTTGGTATCGCTGTATCTGAAGTAAAAGATCCAGTAAAGGTTATGCCTAGTGCTATCAAGGCAGTTGTTTGGAGAATTTTCATCGTTTTCTTCGTATCTATAATTATCATCGGAGTCAATGTACCATACGATGATGCAAGGCTCATGAGTGATGACAATCCATCTGCAACTTCACCATTCGTCATTATGATGAACAAATCAAATGTCTTGGGGTGAGTGCTTTTTGATCAGTTTATTATAATTACTAACCAAGAAAATTCAGCTTGGATCACTTGATGAACGTAATCATTCTATTATCGTGCCTTTCCATCGCTCTTGCATCTGTTTATGGTGGTAGTCGTACCATTCAAGCAATGGCAATGCAGAAGTTCTTACCTAGATGGTGTGCTAAGGTTGATAAGGCTGGTAGACCAATTAACGCGGTTTTCGTCTCATTGCTTTTCGGACCACTTGCATATCTTGCTCTTGCTAGTAATGGATCAACAGTCTTAGACTGGCTGATTGCAGTCAGTGCATTGTCAACACTTTTCACTTGGTTATCAATTTGCGCTTGTCACATTCGTTTCCGTAGCGCGTGGTACAAACAAGGTCACACAAAGGATGAGATACCATATAGAAGTAGTGCGGGTATCATTGGAAGTTGGTTCGCAGGATTTGTAATTATTTTAATCCTCATAGCTCAATTTTACATCGCAGTATTCCCTATAGGTGAAGGTGGAATGGACGGACAGGAGAGAGCTTCTAGTTTCTTCCAGGCATACATGGCATTACCAGCTGGAATATTATTCTATGCGCAATCATTCCTCATAAAGAAGACATTCCCTAAGAGCAGTAAAGATATTGATCTTGATACCGGAAGAAAAGTTTTCTTAACTGCCGATTATCTCAATGCCCAAAGACAAGCTCGTAAGAATGCTCCAATACCTAAACGTATTTGGCAAACCTTATTCAATTGATTTCTCCGACCACCTCAAGAAGATTTCGATAATCTTCTAACTACTCCTTGCTTTCAACAATCTTACAATCTTACAACTCTGCATCAGTTATTTTTAATATAACGTATAGACTGGATATAATATTTCATTAATCACTTCTCACTCTACTTGTACACAAAGATACTACATGTCTCGCATTTCTCTTTACATGATCTTTATGCCAATCGGTTTTGATAAGTTTGATAATAGAATAAGTTCATAATTTACAGAAGTATGGTATAAAAAACTTATGAAGAAGCATCTACAACCATTGGTTCAGTTGAATTATCTTCTGATAGTTGTAATGATCTTTCAAAGTACCTATTTGGATGGTTTACACTTTCACCATTACCCAATCCATCACCTTTGGTGACTCCCTTATTTGCATGAGTAATTTCAAATACCCTTGTACATGCAACGTGGAAATGCTGAGCTTTAACTGCGCCTGTTATCTCGTTGAGGTCATTTGCGTCGGTTATACCATAAGTTGCTCGCAAGGAAGGTACAAGATTGTCAAGTGAGAAATGTCTAAATGGACAACCGTGATTGTCTTGTGGACCTGGTTGATCTTGTGTGATAATTTTTTGACATGATCGTGGTGGATACGCACGTCTGCTACCTTCTAAACCATAATTATGGCGTATATTGTAACGATACTCTTTGTTAAATTTATCATCTGATATGCTAGCACCGTAACTTTTGCGCCAAAATACTATGGCTTCGTCAACACTTAAACCAATACCTTTTAAGAAAAGTGAGTATTGTAATCTGCCGAAATGTTTCAAATGGTGATTTGATTGGAGGTTGCCATGAAGATTACGCATACACATTGGGAAATGCTTCTTTGCGAGTATATCGATAGATTCTGCTGATATCTTCCTATCTGAGCTATATGTTGCAGGGTCGAAGGCTTCGGATGATAAACCAGCGAGGAATGACATAGAGAGGTGAGACAAAACTGGTAAAAGTCTGCTATCTTCGTCGAGACGTGGGAGTGCTTTAGCTGTGTACTAAATAGTGTGAGTTCAAGAACCATTTTAACAATAATACGTACTTCTAAAGCTTGCGTTAACTGTGATGAAAAGGAGTTCATAATAAGCGATGTTTGATCGCGCATTGGTACGTATGCGTAGCCTTCTTTCAAAAACACGCGACGTCTTTCGACCAATTCTGGTACTTGTGTCCACTTCACCTAAAGATGTTGTTAGAGGGTTTTGTGTCGACAATGATGCTTTGAGTACCTTGTAGTATGTCTCCTTGTCAAACTCATTTCCTGACTTTGAAATAGCGATAGCAGGATTTGAGTTTGTTAGTAAATCCTTCAAGCTCTCTTTTTCGATAGAATCCACCTGTATGTGTTAAGAAGATAGTAGAAGCGTGCTCGAACCACCCACTTCTTCCCAATCTATTCTACTTGATTGGCTGTTTTTCAAAGACTGCAGAAACGCGTTTCGTTCACTCGTACTGGCGTCATCGAAGCGTATCCTAAAGAGCGTTGTTTCTGCTTTGACAAACCGCCGTCTGAGTTCTTCTGATCTACAGAAGGCCAGTCTGAGAACGTAATGGCTGACATGATCCTTCTTCCTCTCAGCGTCGAGGGTAGATGAGCGCATAGTATTGCTTGAAAGGTTCAATAGCTTCTTGCATTGTGTTTGAATGACAGTTCGCATATCCTGGAACGATCTGTTTCTCACTTGAGAAGCTTCGATTTCAGCGAGAACTGAGATGTATTAGTCTGTAAAAAGATCAGTAAAGTTGTATACATACCCTTCAGTCTATCTATAGCCCAACTTTCAAATTCCTCCAAGCTAACCTCTAATAAAGGTGCATCTTGATAACTAAAACGCGACGCGTTAGTTGACAATCAAAGAGGGCGTAGGATAGCCTACAAATTCAGTCTATGTTTATATAAACCGTTATAATTCTCTACTTCTAAATTATTTCTTATATTCGTAGCGCCATTGAGTGAGTTCATGATAGTGTAGCAAGAAGCAGCGCGTCACTCTTTGAAGTTAACAACGAGGAGGATGGACAGCGAAACAATAGAAGTTGGCAGTACATTCCCCGCACCACCTTCACAATACAAGTACTTTAGTCAGGATAATTTAGATTTACTAGAGGGTCTTCCTACCGACATACCAGCTACTAAGGAAGCATTCGTGGAGTGGTATAACAAAACCAAGGGTGAAGATATAGACGTTGATTTACGCACTACACTCGTTAAACCCCGCGTTGATTGGATTCTAGAGGATGGTTATTATAGCGCATACGGTGAACTTTGGCCGGTTAGTAGATATTACCGTATGTACAACCTCTCATCGGCGTTTATAGCTCAAAGAGAGTCTCCCATCGTTGAAAGAGAGCGGTGTAGAGCAACTATACCCAGATGACTTGCCAGGTTCGTTGAATTATCATCAAGATAATAGCTTATAGTCTACTTAGATAAGAAACCAGTCTTGCATTCTCTCCTGCGGACTATTTTGATGACACACTTTGATATTACACGGGAATTGACTGCTGCCCCACCACCACTCAATGCCGATCCGCTGTCGAGAGTGAGGGATAAGGTAGGAAGGACCAGTATCTGTGCACCTTCAAGCTAACTATTCCCAGATTGAGCATATTAGATTGACGGGCATCAATATGCATCATATCATTAACGAGCTACGCCCGATGCAGGTGCGTAGTCTTCCTTTTTGATAAAGCACTAACTTATCATAACTCTTCCACAGGCGAAAGAAACCCTCAACTACCTCCAGCAACAACAGCAAGACAAACGGAAAACAAAGATAGAAGAAATCAAAGCCAAGCATGAAGAGATAAGGCAAAATATAGCCACACTACAGCAAGCATCGGCTCAGACTATAGAGAGGGTCACGAAGAAGGAGAATTCCCTCAATGCTGAGCAAACTGACACGACAATCGAAACTACGAACAAATCAAATGCATCGAATATAAACCAGCTACTAGAACTCATAAATGATTTGTAATTGCAATTTACTGTATTATTGTTAGAAAAGGAGTCTTACAGAAGCCATAGAATGCGACGAGTATCAGTAAAAAAAGGCATATGTTGTCGTCAATTTATATTCAGACGCAACTTACTTAAGAGTACCATCATTTTGTTTCTTTTCGCATTCTATGGTATATATTTTTCTACTCACAACTTGGTCGTTCGTCTTCAAGTTGCGAGCAGCCCGTCCCTAGTCTTCTCGCTTGAGAGGAATTCAAAAAAAAATTTCATGCATTATATTTAATTCATACTGATACAAGTGGGTCCTTATCGGCGACACAAGCTGATACAGAGTAGTCAGCTGCTGGTATACCTGCTTCTTCTCGCTCGAGGTTCATAACATTCATGAGGGCGTCCTTTAGACTGGTTTGAAGGTACATCCGCTCCGAGTTGCTATGGTTTAGCAGTATGACGGATATGCCTTGTGCTACGGCTGCTAAGACGTCGTGCTGTTCTTACTTAGTGGTGGAAATATACGAGAAAAACAACTCACGTGTCCCATCTCGCCAGTAACATATAAATCAACAGATGGTGCCTTACTGAGTATGGACGAGCCAGATCCAGCACATACAGCTACTGAATTGAAGGACTTCTTACCACCATCTGCAAACTGAAGTGAATCCACCTTAAAATGCTCCTTGACGCGATTGATAATATCACTTGATGATACTGCATTCTCAAAGTTACCGTATCTACCCATGCCTGCATCTTGATGGTTTGCTAATGTTGTGTTTGACGGGATTATCGGCTGCGATGTGGAATGGCCGGTGATTGCAGAGAACATCCAGTCATTTACACCGCCTCTGACAGCATCGCAAGCTGTATGTGGCGAGTAGATACTAATACCATTAGCAATACACTTCAAAACAGTTCTTTGGATTGAGTTATCCATTGTGATCGTCTTGAGAGCTCTGAAGATTGGTGGGTGATAACTGACAATGACAGAAGTGCTAGGGTGGTCAGCCAAAACCTTATTGAAGACTCTCTCTGTCAAATCGTTGACGATAACGACGTCGTTGTTTCCTGGCTTCTCGAAAGGTGCTTCTACGAGCAAACCAACATTATCCCAGGCTCTCTCTGCTAGCTCTAATGGTGCAATCTTCTGCATAGCATTTGATACTATTTTCGCGTTTGAAATCGACATTTTGGTTGTAAAGGTGAAAGCTTCTCTCTTCAACTCCGACGATGAGCAGTCTGCAGGACCAAATAGCTCAGCTCGCGAGCTACGACGCAGATAAGATAAATAAGCCGTCAAAAAGAGATTCTTATCTCTTCCAGCCAGATCAAGCTGCAGATCTCGACGTTGGTGATGTACATCTCCTCGCCATTGGAGGATTTGACCAGTTGAAAGAGCTCGATAAGTCTTTTGAAGATTTCGATACACCTCTCTTTGGAGAACCAACAAAGGATCTCGATAGAACATCGCTCAATCAATCAGAAGTTGATCATCTGAATACAACTCTCAATAGATTCCTAGTAAAACTTAGCCCGCACTTGCCTACTAGAGCAGCTGCCAAGGTTTTAGAATGGTTGATTAGAAAATTTAGGTGAGAATTCCTTCCTCATGTGAGTTTTTGCTGATTAGGACCCAGAGTACACGAGTTTAATATAGACGCAACATTAATTGCATTCCTTCCTTATCATGATTCAAGCAGCTTCGCAAAGATTTTGCAGCTCCTCAAGATCCCAGCTGCAGCAAACAACAACAAGTATTCGTTCTTGCTCCCAGTCAAGAAGTCACAGCAATCACTCCAGAGAACCATCCTTATTAGAGCAATTAGATCCGATTTAGAAGTACTCAAGCTTGTTTGCCAGTCTTTACCATCCGCACTCGAGGTTGTCTCAACTCATAGACCATTGTCTTCTTTCTGGACAGTCACTTTGTTAGAGTACATCCAACAATCGAGACAAATTGCAGATGGTGAATTGACAACCCTTTATTCCTCTATTAGGGCCACTCTTCGTAACAAAACGAGCAAGGATGCACAATACGCTGCAAGGATGGTCTTCGTTGTTTTAGCACAGAAGATGGCTCTTGGAGATAAGCTTCTCGCGTCACTCATGGTTGCCATGCTCAAGACCGTTGACGATGGTAAGACTACTGACAGCGAAGCTGATCAAGTTTTGCTCACCGTCTTTGCAATCATCGACGCCCAAGGTGTTCAAGTTGCACAAGAAGACTACGCAAAACGCATTTTGTCAATCTCGTAAGTGTTTCTCTACTGACATAGTTACTTTCTAAACAAATCCCAAAGTGATCTCGGTAATCGTCTTTTAGGCTACCTTGATAACTACAGCGTCGACAAAGGCATAGCAAGTCTCATCCCAGCATTCATGGTTAAGGCTAAAGACAACGAATCTGCTAGATCCACACTCACTACTCTTTTGGAATCACCAAAATTGTCCAAGATTGTGGGTCAAGCGATCTGTGATGCACTTGTCCATCATGCAGCTTCAGAAGAGTACAGCTCATTGATCAGTCTTGCTTACCAAAGATGGGGAGAGACTTTCGACAATTCCATCCAAAAGTATCAAATTTCTCTTAATGATAATCAACGCAAGGAATTGTTTGCTGCACTTACATCTGCTAACTCAGGTGGTATGCATGCGACAGTAAACACTGGTGATAACGCTACAACACTATTCTTGTCAACAAATGCAGCAGATAACACAACCCGTGCATTGGCCGTATCACACCTCCTTGATCAAATCAAATCCAAGCAGATTGATGATATGAAGTTTGTTCAAGACACCTTGGTTGCTAGACTTATGGATGATGTCCCAAGTATCGTTTTGAGTGTCTACTCACATCCTTCTATTGTACTTGATAATGTTCCTGCTGAAACAATCTTGGAGACGATTGATCAATCACTCAAAAGTCAGTATGTACAAACGGATGTTATACTAGCACATGTGGGATTCCTCGCCAAACATTTTGCCCGTCGTCACAAAGACACGTCAATTCTTCCTGTCATTTGGAAGCATCTTTTGGTTACCTCGAAGAACCTTCCAATTAGCGAGAAGGTATGGCGTCTCATTAAGGAGTCAAACATTAAGGAGGGTGCCCTCAAGGGAACTGCGGACGCTGTCGTTAAAAGACTTGATGAGAAGGATCACAAGAATGTCAATCACGTCATTGCTCAATCATTATCTAAAAACTTGTTAAAGGATCATGACATCCTCGTTGACTTTATAAGCAAGGGTCAAGCTCACAACACTCGTGCACTTGGTTTGTTAGTTGCATCACACGTTCTTCAACAAGTCTCTCGCGAGTCTAAACTCAAATTAGCAGCTAAGATTCTTGACAACGCAACTATTGCTACACTTGAGAACCCATTAGTTAATGATACTCCTGTTATCACCTCCGAGAATGTTTCTTCGATGTTATTCAAGAAACCAAACTCAGACACCACGGAGCACTTCGTTGTAGCTTTGGCAGTATCTACTGGTATTGCGGATATCGCTTTACCAGAGATATCATGGCTCAGTAGATCATCAAGAGATGCAAACAAAGCTGAAACTGAATTTAGCTATGCTGTGTACAAACTTGGTAATGCACCATATGTATTGACAAACTTGGCAACTATCTTACTCAGATCATTATTTGTTGCTTTGAGAGAGACAACTCTTAGTTTCCTCGCTTCAATATACACCAACAGGCAATACAGTGACCATATCAGAAATGCGGCTATCAAACACACTGACGCCTTTTTGAAGGTCTCCGCAACGGCTGAAGCAAAAGTTGATTTCCAAACTATTCTTCCATCAGTTTTGATTGCACTTCAAGATCCAATCAAGGATGTACGTCTTGGAGCCATCCACTGTTTAAGAACGCTGTCAAAATCCAATTGTACAACTGGCGAAATCTACGCTTTCGATAAGATCTACGGTTCTAACTCTAAGCATATCCAATACCTTGGTTCAGATGAGGTGCAGGAATACTGCAAGAGTATCTACGATGAGAATGACAGTTTCGTTACTGATGAGACATACCTGAAGACTTTCCATTCATCCCTACTTGGTAAGAACAAGAGTGAAAAGAAGATCTCAAAGAAACTTAAAGTTAGTGTCATATGCTATCTCTTTTCACATGTAGTTGGATGGCAAGATATCGACGCAAGATGTGTGTTATTAGATTCACTTGTGGATATTTGGGATTCAAACAGATTGGTCACCTTGATGCCACTCATTAAGTCACTTCTACAAGCCAAAGAAAATGATACTGAATTGGTCCTTTTGAATTCATCAAATGACGTATCCAAAGAGAAGGTTATCGATGCTGTCTTCTCTTCATTCAGTAAGAGCGCAGCAAAGAGCTTGCTGAACGAAAACGTAGAACTTTATGGCTTGTTCAGAAACTCACTTCGTAAGATTGAGTACTCTACGTATGTTTTGAGACGTCTCCAAGACGGTGTCTTTGCTGCACTCGGCGACACAATCAAACTCGAAGTATCAAAGGATTTGATGGATATCGTCGAAGGATCTGATATACGTCTTGCGCAAAGAACAAGTGACTCTCTTAAGCGTATTGCATTGGATGAGGTTACCTACACTTCCCTCCTTCAATCCACTAGAGCAGAGTTTGGAAATGGCGCCGAAGAAGTTGAACCACCAACATCCAAGCGCATTCGTACAGAAAAGTAAGTTTGACACACGTGTCAGTATTTTTGTTAACACACTTAGGACATCTAATGAAACCTCACATACTGGTCTCCTTGCTCGCTTAACCAGCATCTTCGATTGGGTCGGTTCCTTATCAGCTGAAGACTCACCAGAGCCTTCTGTACAAGCTTTAGTTACTACTTTCGAAACACTTGCTCAAGTTACAGAGATCCACGCAACCGTTGCTGGTTCAAACGACAGCAGTGAAGTCGATTATGTTGAACAAATGTGCTTGAGTCAATTGAAAGAATGGAGTGAATCTATTGAGGATTGGACCAACCTTGCACAGGCTATCCGCATTGACACTGTTGTTAATGTCATCAGAGGTAAATTTGTCTTCCGAATTCTTTGGGTTATTCTAACATAACTATAGTTTCGAAGAACCCACAAACATTCCAACAAGCATTGTTACTCATTTCTGCTCTTGCCAAATTGGCACCAGATAATGTGCTTCATAATGTCATGCCAATCTTTACTTTCATGGGTGCTAATATCCTTCAACGTGATGATAGCTTCTCCTTTAACGTCGTTCAAAAGACAATTGAAGGTGTCGTACCAGTCGTAGTAAATTCACTTAACAGTCAAGCTAAGGATCAAGAATCTCTCATGCATGCTTCAAAACCATTCTTGATGACCTTCACAGATGCGGCAAACCATATACCAAAGCATAGAAGGTTGGTTCTCTTCAGTTTCTTAGTGGAAGTCCTCGATCCAATCAAGTATTTATCCACTATCTTGATGTTGCTCGTTGATAAAGTTGCCAACAAAGTTGTTAAATCAACCAGCGAAAGACAAGCACCAATTGTCCTCCCATTGGGTATTTTAACTGCATTCGGTCCACAAGAACAGTTGACTTCGCTTGAGAGGATTCTTACGGAGATTTCATCATTCGAGAAACGCCTCAGTGGTGCTCAAAATGAAAAGGTCTTCTTGGATAGATCAGTTGATGATAAGACAAAAGATAAGGCTACATTATGGAAACGTCAGTCACTCGCTTTGTTATACTTCGTTGAACAGGCTTTCCAAATTAATAAAATCAAGAGTGGTGTCGTAAAGTCAATTTTGAGCGATAACGTTATCGAAAATAAGTTGGTGTCTATCATTAGACAGCTCCTCTTACTCGGTTCTGATGAGTGTAGCAATGACGAAATGAGAAACCTTGCGAAAGGTACACTCATTAGTGTTCTTAATGTCATTCCAGTTGCATCATTTACTAGAATCGTTAAGGAGTTACTCAGTTCATCCAATGAGAATGTCCAACATGGTGCTCTCCATGTTCTCAGCATTCGCTTGAAAGGTGTAAAAGATTCACACCGCCAACAAGTCTCAGAAGCTGTTGTTTCAGCTGCTCATCTTGCACTTAACTTGCTCAAGGCTAAGAACGCAAAATCCGGAGATAAGGACCTCGCTTTGAGCGCACTTAAGACCATTGCTGATACAGCTGTCAACGCTGAGCTCTCTGTCTTGTCGAAATCTGTGTCATCAGTTTTAGAATTCGCCGAAGGTACTCAAAATCCTGTTTCTGCGTTCTCATTACTCGAGTCACTTACTCCAAAGTTGCAAACAAGATTGATTCCACATCTTAAGCAGATCATCGAGGTTTCTAAGAGAGCTATCGAAAATGACCGTAGCGTTGAAGCTGCTCTCAACTGCATCAGAAGTGTCGTAAACAATTTGCCTACATTCGTCGGTGTTTACCTGAAGGATATATTCAATGTTGTCTTCAACAACATAGTCATTGAGAAGCAAGCTGATGAAATTCAGACTTTGTTGAATGCACTTAGCAGACGTGTACCAAGCAAAGACCTCATTGTTGCTTTGAAGGACGAATGGGAAAGTGTCCTACAGACCTCTAGCCAGGATTCTGTTGAGGCGTTCCTTTACCTCTTCAAACGTGGTCTCCACGCAGCTGATAGAAGCTACATTATGGAGAACCACAAAAAGCTTTTCAAAATGTTCTTGGAAGTATTTACTGTTAGGACCTACGCGAATGAGAAGCAGATGGATAGCGTTCTTGTTGAGGATTCCGCCATAGAGGCCTTCGCTGAGATTGTCGTTAAGATTAATGAATCTACTTTCAGACCTATCTTCAAACGTTTCTACGATTGGGCAGTTGTTGATCTTTCTGAGGAAGTCAACAAGAAGGATACTTTCAACGATCGTCGTATTACCTTCTATAGAGTTTTCAACTCACTCCTTGATAACCTTAAGGTGGGTTTTTATATCTATTGTCATACAAAACTAACACAGGACTAGGCTATTATTGCACCATATACTGCAATTTGCTACGACCATACTCTCGCCCTTTTGAATGAGTACACATCAAAGTCATCATCATCAGCATATCTATGGGAAGCTGCCATCAGCACAATTGCAAAATCAGTAAAAATGGACAGAGGTACATTCTGGACTGAAGAGCGTATAGTTAAGGTGTCAGATATCCTTGTTGCGCAAATTAAGGTCCAACCATCAATGACTAAATCTGGTATACGTAGAGATGTAACCTCGAATGCCATCGTTGAGACTGCAAACTCATCAAGAACTGATTCAACATTGAGAAGAATCAATGGTGGCGTCTTACTCAACATGAGAGACGATAGTGCAATTGTCAAGGTCGTCGCACTGGAGATCACGCAAGATTTGTGGAGAGCTATACCAGACAGGATGATAGGCTTTATTGCTGAAACCGTTTCATCTTTCCTTACTGAATGTCTCGAAGATAGTGATGAAAGGGTCGTCGACAACGCTAAGAAGTTGCTCAAACAAATCGAAGAAGAGACCGGTGAATCACTTGAATCTTATTTAATTTAGATTGTAAAAAGGAATTATTATTTATTTTATATTTTTTATCTGTCAATTGTGTTCTCTTTCTTCGCGAACGTCATGGCATCCTATCAGTTGCTAGATAAACTAAGGTTTCAGCATGGTTTAAAGCTCAATAGTTATAGTATATGTCCTAAGATGGATTTGCTCGTGTTGTTCAACAAGCAGTCAACGAAGTTGTACAGAGTTAACGGATCTTTGATATGGGAGAGGGATCTCGCAATAGACCAGTTAAGATGGAGTTTCGATGGTAAATTTATAGTGGTCTTAGATAAAATTAACAACATTCACCTCCTTGACGTCAAAGATGGTAGTACATTTTATCAATTTGCTGGTGGTGATATATGCAGCATAGACGCGTTTAAAGTTGAATCTCCAACACGTAATAAATCTAGATTTACTTTTCTTCCAACCCTGAACGCCCTTCCTGATGTCAGCAAATCCATTAACCAGCTTTTGCCATTTAGGTTGCCAAAGATGGAAAAAAAGGACGGAGATTATGTTAAGACGTTGATTGATAAAGGTTTTCCGTACATTCCCATTGATTCAACAAGCGTAGCTATGAATGTACGTGAAGAAACATTAATTGATAGTTCAGAATCTATCATCGTTTGTCGATATAACAAACAAATACAAATTTACTTACAGTGCACTCTAAAATTACCCCTTATACCCTTACCAAAGTTGTTACAGTACGATAATATGGTCATCACGCCTCAGTTAGACATCTATACGTTGACACATTATGGTAAAATTGCTATTCCACGAGATATACACCATTTGGGGGCACTATCTAGTCAATTATCTATGGTATTAAGTTATGCGCTGGAGGGTGTTACGCGTCTCACAAAGTTGTACGCTGATAATGGTGGACCCCGCTCTGAGTCGCTTAAATGGAGCGATAAGATTGGAGAATTCATGAGACCTCATTGTGAGTGAATCTTATATGTTCCTTATGTTGACTCAACCCATCTCCCAGGCCCTGACACACCAGAATTGGGTCTTATACAATTACTCTTAATGGGCACTACAAGTAAAGGATTACGTGAGTTTATCAGTGAAAGTTTGACAGATAGGACATTGGAGAAGTGGTCAACAACTGTTTTAACGTCGCTCAATCAAATGCAGTCGTTAATATTCTATAACATTGTTCCATCACTCGAGAGATTGCTCGTTATGCTCGAAGAACTACAATCAATAACTTCAGCGTGAGTGCTTTGTTTACGATTTATTGTAATTAACGACCACCGTAGACCAGATCGTTATCAGGACATCCCAATCAATCACACGACTTTAGATCAAATCATACGGATTACAATTAGTCTATGTAATAGATTATGGGACATCACAGTAATTATATCCAATAAAGTTATAAACTTTAGCGAATTCACGAAGTTCCTCAAATACCAAATGGCAAAATACGCATATTTTAATCAAGATGAAATCGATGAGGTAGTCAGTATGCCGAAACCTGAATTTGATATTATGGCAGTCTTGCAATACCTTCAGTCTGGATTCGCGATGATTGAATTGGACGAGTATCTCATCAAGAACGACCATCCAGTAGCTTTCAACGATGAGAATATGGATGTCAAAGTTGACATCAATAAAGTTCTTGAGAAGGCCCAGAGAAACCTCAAGGATGCTAGCCGACTTGTGGAAGGCAAGGAGACGAACGACAGGCGTGTTTCTGGTTCGGGTTTGCCAATCAAGGGACGTCATAGCAGAGGAAGACATTCTGAATCGCCAACTAACACGAAAAGACAGAGTGACTTGTTGTCTACAGTCAATTGGCTGAGCGAGCAGCTTCAGTTGTTACTCTGCAATGCTGTTGATAAATGTGATGTGAGAATAGAATTAAATGAGCGTCCTCAGATATCATTACCTGATACTATACACATTTTTAGAGATTCTATAGTGAAGGTGCGTAAACTAATTTTAAGAAGACTCTGGTTTACGTTTTAGTAGGCTGAAAATGGAGAATTATACCAAAACATTGCATACTCGCTCCCACTGAGTGAAGAACAAAACGATTCAGAGAGTAAGAATACTTATCTTGCACTGTTTCAACTGACATCCATAGTTACGCTTTTGAGGTGCAAACTCGACAATCATTCTGACTGGCAAGTACAGCAGTTACATTTACCTACCACCCGTGTAGTTGATTATGGTTACTTTGACGATGAAATACTCGTCGTTCTCGTATTTGACAGAGAAAGTAGCGATTATGTTCTCGCAAACGTGCCATTTAACAATTTAAGTTACGATGGAAGCAGGGTGGTTGCACCATTAGACAAACAAAGAACGCTATCTAAAGCTGATGAACCAGTTAGTAGGCTAGCACTTAATGGATTACCTGGTCGTAGAATATCTGCACTTTCGTCTAACGACGGTTATGGCTGTCTTGTTTTCGATATGGACGGCGACGAAATGGAATCTGAAGGAGAAGGGGACGAAGAAGAAATGGAAGAATAAAATGCTTGTACTATATATTAATAATAATATTTATAAAACAGTCATCTCGTCACATTCCACTCTTGACTTCTGACATCGATGTTGGCTTATCACTATGGGTGATTTTTTTGACGAGGATAATCAAGATATTTACCGTAATACATTACCACCAGGTTCACCTTCTAGGCATTCCACTCGATCCAGTCTCGGTGTCGGTAGACAACTCGTTGAAGGTGTTCTCAATTTGTTAGGCCACTCAGATTCAGACGATAGTGACACTTCCGGATCCTCAGACTCTTCAAATTTTTCATTTCCACGTAGAAGACGTAAACGCAGTCGCAAAGCCTCGGTATCGTCAGATTCTAGTAATGATTCCTCTTCATCATCGACCGTATCACCAAGAAGATCGATTTCTATTCTTAGTAAATCGAGATCTAAAAAACTTAAGAAGAGGTCTAGGCGTTCCAGGCTTAGAGAACCTGATATCAGCCAGGATTTTATGCTGATCACGCTTAAAAGCTTACACAAACCCGTTATTGAGAGGCACACACAGTTGTCCCCTATCTATCAATCAATAAAGAGTGCCTCTCAACCGAGTACAACCGACGATGGCGTCTGGTGGCTTGATATCAAGTCACCGACGTGGGATGATATGCGGTCACTTTGCAAAGTACGTGAAATATTTAATCTATAAACAAGTAATTAACATTAAACAGGTGTTTCCTTTGCATCCCTTAACACAAGAGGATATATTACAGCAAGACACTCGCGAAAAGTTAGAAACTTTCCCCGCATTAGGATATACTCTGATTGTTTTCCGTGGTGTTGATGAAAGATATTTCCGTTTATCAGATCCATCGTCCGGTTTATCGAGGAAAGCCGACGATGTATCGCTTGAACACCTTTCACCTGATATTCACCTCAATGATGTCGCTGATGATAACATTGGCAAAAAGCGTATGCGTATTGTTGAAGGTGTAGGTGGTAAAGAGGGTGTTGAAGGTGTTGGTGTTGGTGGTATCAACGTTTATCTACTCATATTTGAGAAAGGTGTCATATCATTTCACTTTGATAACATAGCAACACACACTGATCGTATTATAAGAAGAATGTTCGCTGAACATTCCAAAGTCTCTTTAGTTGCGCCTGAATGGATAGCTCACGGCTTGTTGGATTCACTAGTTGACGCCTTCTTACCTTTAATCGAATATGTCGAAAGGGAGACAGATGAAATCGATGATCTTGTTGTTGACCCAAGGGGACTGTCAACCAAAGATAACACTGGTGCTGATCATCCAGAGAGACACTCTGAAGATACTTTCGTCAATAGCGAGAAAGATAAGTATGACCAGTCGCCGGATTCATTGGCATATGCAAAGAAATTTGAGTTGCCGCCTCCTCCGACGACACCTAAACGCGCGCAAAGTAAGATGGGACCATTGGCTCCACTTTTGAGTGGTATTATGGATGGTTCACAATTATCTGAATGGCGGGAAAAGAGAAAAGCTAAGAAAGCTGAACAAGATAGGAGGACAAAAATAAGGAGGTATAATACGGATGAAACTTTATCAAAAAGTGTCGTTATAGATGTTCCACCGACGCCATCGCCACCAGTAGAAGAACAACCGAAAGAGGAAGGAATATTGACGAAGATACTCAAGTTATCATTTCTTAGACGTTCAGGAAATAGTCCGAAGTCGCTCATACCGGAGGAGATCAGATTTCTGTCCTTCTTCCCCAACTCTCAATCACACCTTTTGCAACGTACAACAGATACTCGCAGATTAGTTACAGGTTTAGGTAGATTATTAAGTGCAAAGTCGGATGTGATTAGGCAACTAAGAGCCAGGATGATTGAGAAGCGCAAATCACTTAAAGATCCTAATCAATCTGAGGCACTTCGAGAGATGATCGTTCATTTTGGTGATATTGAAGACCACGTTGTTTCGTCAACGCAGACATTAATGCACGATGAACGTGTTCTTAGTTCTTTACATTTGGCATATCTCGCACAACTTAAACTGGGTCATGCAGTATCAAAATCAGGATCTGATAATACAATTTTGGCACTATCTGTTATCACGGTTTGTTCTTTACCTATGATGGTTATCACACAGGCATTTAGTATGAATGTAGGTTTCCTTATTAATGTATAACTATCTGATGACAATTGAATAGGTGACTACACCCAGAAATGGTGTGCCGGAAGATCCTGAAGAAAATGGACCACCAATGGTAAATTCAGATGGTAGTGAGCCCTCGTATGTCATCTTCGGATGTATTGTTGTCGGCTTGGCTTGCGTCTTTTTATTCGTCGGCTTGTTAGTCAGGTATTGGATTCTTCAAGCTAGAAAAGAGGGTAACGAACGTCGTCGTAGACGTATTGGAGAATAATAGTTTTTGTGTTTTACCTTATGTACATTATTAAAGCAGGATAGCTTTCATTATTGATAAAATAATAGAAATGAATAAAGATGGACAATTTAAAGGCTAATCAAACAACCTCGTTTACACGACTCAATCCACCAGCTTCCGACTCTGGATCTGTAGGTTGAAGGATAGTTTCATTTGTATCCTGTCTAGCAAAGCGCTTCTTCTTTTCCCTTTCGACAGCCATTGACGCCTGCATCATATGCCCCGGAGGGTTTGTAGGGTTGTAATCGAGATGTACGAAACCACGTTCTATACCTTCGAGTGACTCAATTACATATTGGATAGTTTCACCCCAATCGTGGGCGACTGGTAAGCTGACACTAGGTGGTAGAACGACGTCAACTTCAACAATAACGTTGTCACCGACATGATAACATTCAATATAACTGACTGATTGTACGGGGGTGAATCTCGTAACGCAATAGAGAACTTTTGATAGTTCAACTGGGTCAGCTACACGTCCACTCAGACGACTAAAATTGTCTATCAGGGTTCCCGTCCATTCAATTATAATCTATGTGGAGATAGGTTTAGCTAAACGATTAACCAAGTTTATTACTCACGTATAAAGAGAGGATAACACCACCAATTGGGTCAAGTGAGGGTATATTGAAAGTTTGTCCAATATATGGAAAACTGAGTGATATGATATTAAAAACTACATCATTCAAACTGTCCTGTGCGATCGCTTGTACACCTGAGGACTTTATCTTTACGCAGAATACCCAAACGATCGCTTTAACAATTACTGTAATTGCCATACTGAGTATACCCGCGAATGGTAAGTTCGCTGGTGTTGGCTCATGCTGTAATCTAGAGAGAGATTCGAAGAGTACTTGAAGGAATGAGCCTGTGATATGTTAGTGATTTGCTATCAGATTGTAGGATCGACATGCCAATCATGAATACACTGAAAATGATAACTCCAAGCGGTTCAAACCTTTGCTTTCCGACTGGGTATTTGAATTTTGTGCTTTCGTCTCTATGTCCTGCGCATTGTGTGGTACCAAAAATGATCAATGAGGAGAGCAAATCGAGAACAGATTCGACAAGAGAAGCAAATAAGGAGACACTGTCAGATAGTAAAACTGCAGCACCTTTTGTACCCAGAAGGAGTATATTTATAAGTAGGTTAACTATAATATGATGTCAGACGGGTTTGATTGTATACGCCAATTATACCAACCATTCAGAACTAAGTTAACCGTTCTGTTGTGGGATTTGTCTGCTTTCTCATTTGGGAAGTGTAGCAAAGGTGTTTGCTCATCACCAGCTGCTATACCATGTAGTCGCGCAAGTACATCTTGTGGATAGCTACTCTCCAGTAGATCATCTACAGATGCATAAGCATCTAACAAATTGTTCTGTTGCTGATAAAAATCTTTAAGTCTTCTTGGCAGCTGCTTCAACTCATAAGGAGACTTTCTAGCGTACTCGAACTGCCTTAAGGTTGGAGAGACTATTCTATGGACATTGTGCTGGTGTACAGTTCTCCGTCGTTCAGAAAATGGCGACGATGGTCGGGAAGAAGCCATGGTAGAAGACAAAGAACGTTCATTTCGGAAGATTAAACCAGAAGTTTACACTGAAAGATCTAGATAACGATTTAAATGAATGGTAATAGCCAGCGGGTATGTATACACTCTCTTCTGGTTCCAATATCGCTGTGTGTACTATAAAATCACCTTCTTTAGGATATTCCGCTGACTGCTTGCTAAAATTGCGTAAAGGCGAGTTGCTCGGGTGTAGATCTAACAGATTGCTGTACATGGGATCTATGATATTCACCCTTTTCTGTCCTACGAGCTGTAAAAGTATATTGGAATCGCTGATGGCGTCTCTATGTAATGGCGTGAGTGTACCCTCAGGACCCAACCAGGAGCTTGATTTTGCGTAAAGATCTCTTAAATGTGGTATAACAGGCAGCAAATTAGATAGATAGGGGCTATTCGATAGCAGATCATACTGGGCGAGATAGCCTTTCTTGTCTTTTTGCTCATTCTGTATGAATAACTTGTAGAACAAGCCTAATCAGCTGTTTAGAACGGGTACGTCGGCAGCTATGTATACCCACCAAATGGCACTTCAAACCTCTGGTCTGTGGAGAGCGCTACACCGGGCTGTTGTATCTCTATCGGCACTATCAAATTAGCCGTGTACTCATCTCTTATCAATAAATCGAAATCGTCTTGTAATCCCCGACTGGCTGATAGCCACGGGTGAGTAAATAAATTAGTTACTATAACAGGATTTTTAGGTATTTTATTAAAGAACTTATCAGCTGATAGTCTAGATATATCTTTGAATTTCATTTACTCCACTTTAAATTGTACCTGCAGATCTCTCCTAATGAAACCCGCATTCTTCTCTCTTTATTACAACCAACTTCAAGAAATAAAATGAATTTACCTTCAATAAACAGCGCATCTTTCACACATTTACGCTTATTTCAATCCCAGCAATCGTCTCCTGCAGTACCACAGCAGTCCCCAGCGACAGCTACCGCACAACAACACACAAAGAAGGATGGCAATGAGTCATCTGGCAGATTCCCGGATAAGCTATTCCAGTGGGTTACTCTCCATCAGTTACTGCTCATTCTCACACTACCACCCCCAGCCTTCTAGAGAACCCTGATCTCCACAACGTTATATCCTGGTCAGAAGACGGCAAATACGTTCTTATACATGATGTGAGTTTATGTACGGCTGTTTGGCATATAGAGTACCCCAACGCGTCTTCTTCCTAATCCGTCATTCGGTCTTCTCTTTTCGCCAAACAGCCAAATAATAACAATAAAAAGAATATTTACTAACAACTCTTTCCAGCCAGTCGAGGTTAGTCTAGATTCAATATATGCATGCATCACACCTTCAGCCCGTCATCATATCAGCTAAGGCACGCCTTTGTGACGTGATCCCGGGAAAGAAGGCGATGCACTTTTCATGAAATTATTTACTAACAAAGATATTAGTTAGAGAAAGTCATGGGAACTATGTGGAGATCATCCGCTTACCCTACTTTCCAACGACAGATGAATGTGAGTTCGGAACTAGTTATATTTTATCGCTCAATTTTACTTTTAGATTTATGGTTTTAGCCGCACTTCTACTATAAAACGTAATAAACCAGGTCAAGCTAATCGTATGATGCCTTCTACTTGGTCTCATCCTACAATTTCGAGAGGATCGACGGCAGGTGACCTCGCCAAGATCGAAAGAAACGCACCTCGTAGAGATCGCAAATCGAAAAAGAGCGATTATAGTAGATCATACGATGATGATGATGAGGATACTATCAAACAAAGATCACGCAACTCAACAACCTTAACACCAGCACTCCATAACGTCTCTTTACCAGCGATCGAATCTGAGACACCATTAGATACTCGTAAACATTTACAAAATGACGATGGCGATCATCCACCTGCAAAACGCGCACGTAGACCATCCGCTACGCTCTCTAGAAGCGCACCTTCTGCAACAGCTATGACTCGTAATTTGTCAATGACATCAAACTATTCAAACAGTGTCGGTGTACGTAGCTCACGTAGATTAGCATCATCTGTTCCACGCGAGAAGAGTAACTCAAATGCATTCTCTCAGATGCGCTCACCAAACAAGTCAGATATTTTCAGTGATGATGAACCTGAAATGGCTGTTTTACTACCACAAATTGAGGATGAAATCGAAGAAGAAGATGACGTTGTTCATGGTAAATACAACAAGAATGATTCAGCATCTGGTGAAGAACTCTCAAGTGATGAGAGTGATGATGAGGATGAACCAAGACGCCAATTTAGCTCATCTTTAGGATTGAGAACACCATTTGGTACAAATTCATCAAAGGTATCTTCAAATTCGTTGGATATACTCGCAGCTGCAGCTGCTACACGTAATCCAATACCATCAATTAGTCGTCGTTCATCAAACTTCCTCTCAATGAATCCAATTGGAGTTGGTGCAAGGAGACAGTTCAACAATCTTCATGAACAGGAACCATCATCATTTGATTCTGATTATTCTATATTTAGTCAACGTAAATCATCATATAAGGATTCATTCTTACGTTCACAACCAACTACGAACGTAGCACCGGATTCAAGCGATGGTGAAAGCCTCGATGAGGAGGCTTTGTTTACACCACCAAATGTTGCAGCTGCAAACTATCGTCCACCAGCTTTGGACACCTTGAGCAACGTCGCTGCTAATAACCTCAAAAAGGAGACTGATAAGACACGTAAACTATCATTCTTGCCTTCATTCAACTTTTTCAGTACTGCTAGCTAACAAAGTTATGGCTATCTTAATTCATTCTATCACCTTTTCGTCAACTTTTACCCTCTTTCGATCATATGACCACGTGTAGTAATAGTACGACAGTTTCTCATTTCTAGTAAGATAGTTTGGGTATCTCGACCGGACATTCAAATACGCATTCGAGGTATTCTTTCACCAAATACACGCATTCTTCAATCTTTCAAACATTTACGCTTGATGATAACAACATTTGGAATCTCGTTGTTGTACTATCACTTTCCTTTTGTCTTAAACATGCAATGACTTGTTAAGCGATAACAATTGTACTCTTTTTTTCTTTTTCTCATAAATGAATTGACTTTTACAAGTAAAAATACAAATGTGTACGTTCTTTAGCTCTTTTATTGAGATATAGTCAAGAGCTTGTGTAGATGGTATGGTAAGTTGTCTTCATTTCTTGGATGTTTTTTGTATTTCGTTATGAATGATAAGTTATGCAATGACTGAATGTAATTTTCAAAATTATGATTGATAGTCGTTGAATGGTTTGTTATTTTTAATACCCTGTTACATCCTGAATTAATTGTGGCATAATTTAGATTATCCTCCCAACCATAGTCCGCTTTATTGGCATCGTGTTTACCTTCTAGTGTGTTGAATGTATAAAAATGTAAATCTAGGTCGTCTGCATTAGTGGCTTTCCAATCTATAGAAGTTATTAGAATGACGTATTTGTATAAACTATAACCGTACCTCCTAATTCATCATCATTTGGAATAGCAGAAGGCGTTATAACCCTCACACTCCATCTTATGGATGTCTCTAATTCGAACACCTTGAAGTATTCCAATATTGTTTGTTTAGAAGTTCGTCCAACCTTGTCGACTAATTGCACATCATGGAAATGGGAATACTCATCTATGGAAACAATGAGTAGCCTGTTTGAGGATAGATGGATATATGCTATATGTAGCTTCCGATGATAGTTGAATGCGCTGGCAATACCGGCTGCGATAGCTATTTGATCCCGCGATATACCATTACGCGCAATAACGAATGCAGGGAAGTCGAACGACTGAGCCTCTACAGACTGATGCAGTTGTTGGCTCTTCGGTGCCCACTTCTGAACAACTAGTTTGATCCTATCATAGATCCGTATCGCCAAACCGCGAGCGGCATCGCGGGATGATATAACCTCTTGTATTTCTTGACTAGAAAGTAATTGGAATGTATGACCTTCTTGACTCGCCTGTCGAGCACGTGGAAGGTGTGTACTAAAATCAACGTCTGTGATTTCAAACACAACAGTGTGTTCATCAGGTAAGGTCGCCTGCCTATGTAGGACGCTGACAGTACCAAAATTGCATATGGTGTACATATCACGGAAAGTATCAAAGAAAGCTTCCCGAAGTTCTGTACGCTGTCCTTCAATAGACACTGTTATGTTTTTCTTTCCACCAAATGGTGTGAACCCTGCTTTCTCCCAGTACTGCATGCCATGCGGGAGTGTGTGGATAACTTGATTGTCGTAGCCTAGTGCCAGCTTAGGCTGTGTGAGGTATTGTGATGTAATGTCTTGAGGTGTGAACTTTATGTTATAACCTTTAGGAGCGCTAGACCAGCTAATGTTCGATAGTAATACACGATCTTCGTCACTGAGTTGTATAACAATCTCTGGCGCACCTTCCGATAGCCTACTACCGTTTGAATGTAAGGTCATCGGAGTTGGTGGTACTGAAAGATTCGTATCGATGTCGAAATCATCATCCGATGAGTTTATAAATGCATCCTCGTCTATCTCGTATTCGGAAGAAGATGACGGTGTTGCTGAACGATCATGTATAACCTTCGTAAACGTCATCCGACTATCTTTCTCTTTCTCTTTCTTCTTGCGTCTTGTTAAATGCGGCCGCGATAAAGATTCGTACCAATGTGGTGGATAACTCGCTCTTGATTGTATGCCCTCTTCGACCGCATACTTTCCGTTCGCGCTATAATTAACCAAACTGATAGCCCTATTGAAGGCAAGTTGTTGATAACCATTGGGTATAACACCATTCGTAGGTTGCATTTGAAATTCCTCTAATGTATGATCAACGAATGAGTAGTGTATTGAAGGTGTAGCAGGTGTGAATGGCGTAATCGGAGTTTGCTGAGTAGTTGCAGTTTTCGGTGATTCATCAAAGAAATCGAAATCGTCGTCATTTACGATAGCGTTATCGTCTACTAACATTGACCAATCCTGGTCATCCTCGTTGGTCGCCTTGTAGAATGGTACGCTCTCGGCTTTACTTTCATTGTTTATAGTGAGAGATTGAACTTTCTGTACATATTTTATACTCTCCTCTAGAGCTGATTGCATTTAAGCAGTTTAACCGTCTATTTATCGTTGATCTTGGTTGTTTAAATCTAAGGTTCTATTTTCAGCCTTAATAAAGTAATTAAGAAAAATGTATGGCATATATATATATATATATTTCTATACTTAGATCGCTATGTTGACTTCTCTTATTAGCACTCCCTCGGTAAAGTAACTGTCATTATTTTAGTAAGAGATATACATTTATAATCTTATTTGTTGTACATTTATTTTATTATTCTTTTAATTCATTCAAACTCGGAGAATTATCGCCGATCATTCCATTGTTAGGTGACAGATTCCTCATTGACAGTCGATAGTATATTGGTTTTCCTACAATAAACACATTACAATGAAATATTATGCTAATTATTAGTAAACTGCCGATCACGGCACTCTTCTCTTATCTTCCAACAGGCACAGTCCCTAATCGAGGGGTCCTCCGTCCTCAATTGTCCTCACGTCAAAGCGATCCGGTCAAGTAAATGACTATTCTTCGTCCTCTCAGTTACAATTCTAGAATTCTGACTATTTAAGTCGCCCATTCTCTTTTCACTTGCCAACCAAGAACTAATTTTCACACTCTACCAACTCTAACACTCATTTATATTCACTCATTATGAAACTCTCCATGCTCCTCTTGGCTGGAACAGCATCCGCTGTCCTCGCGCACGACTCCCTCTTTAAGCGCGGTCAATCACTCGAAGTGAGACAGTTGTCTTGGTTATCATACACCCACTAACGATTGAACAGCATGCTATTCGCCAATCACCTGAGCTCGCAGCTAAGATGATCAGACGCCATTACGATGAAGATGGCAATGCTCGCTGTGAATGTCCAAGCGACGGCGACGACGATGGCGACGATGGTAGCTGGGGTGAATCCAGCTCATGGTATGCCTCTTCCACCTGGACACAAGTGAGTATTATTTCAATCTTTTTTCAAGGTTCCTAAACAAAGATTTTAGCCAGCAGGTGGTCAACCAACTACTAGTGCTACCTCATACTCAACCGCTACTACATGGACACCAGCACCAACTCCAACTGGTGACAATGGTAATGGTGGAAATGGTGGTAACGGCGGTAACGGTGGTGACAATGGTAACAATGGCGACAACGGCAATGGTGGTAATGGTGGTAACGGTGGTGACAACGGCAACAAAGGTGACAACGAGGACTGTCCAGACCCAGAGCCATCCAGCACCCAAGAACCAGCACCAGAGCCAACACCGGAACCAACAACCTCACAAGAGCCAACACCAGAACCAACAACTTCTCAAGAGCCAGCACCTGAACCAACTGAGGACTGCTCAACTACCGAGGAGCCAGCTCCACCTGCAACCTCAACAGCACCAACTTCAACAACACCATCACCAACAGCTACACCAACTGGCGGAAACGGCGGCTCAGGTGGTAGCGGTGGTAATGGCGGCAACATCGTTACATTCACAACCTCCGGCACTGTAACATCAGCATCTGTCTCAGGTACTGCAACTGGTGGTGGTGACGATGGCAACTGTGGTGACTCAACTGCCCTTATTGATCTTGACACTGGTCTTTCAATTGGTGATGGATCACTACTCGATGCCGGTCTCTGTCTCCAAATCGGTCACTTGCTCAGCGTCGACGCTGGTATCAAACTCGGTAAGCGTTACGCAATTGTACGTAACGATGCCGTCAAAACGTTCAAGCGTGACGGTCTCATCGATCTCGACCTCGTAGCTAGCATTCTCAGCGGTGGTAACAACAAGCGTAGCTTGATTGATATTGACGCCTTGATCAACATTCTCAGCAACAGCAGCCAACACAAGCGCGATGAAGCTGGTCTCAAGATCGTCAGACGTAGAGATCACAACAAGAAGATGCGTCGTGTGCGTAACTTTGCCTAAACGTGTCAATCTAGCGGATCAAATGGAGTTTTACACTAACTGATTAGGACTAATTGGGAATTTAACTTTTTTTTTCTCTTATCTCTTTTTGGACAATCTTATTTATATTCTAATCTAATTATTTGATAATGAAATGTATGGAATGTTTTTAAGTTTCTAAAGAACTGTGCCAAAACTGATATGTGTGAGCTAAATCGCGGTGATAAGACGTAAAACTCACAGTAATTTCAATGGCTTGATGTAGTACTGTTCTAGACTTGGTTGCACGTCTTCTTCGAGTCCGATTGGTACACCATTCAAGATGAATTCTGCTGTGGTTGAGTCATCACCTTGGTTGAGGCTGATTGTCAATGAAGCGTTATGTCCTAGGATATATTAGATTATGCAATACACACTACCAAGAAACCCACCTTCTGGCCACTTTCCGCCTGTTAATGACCAATCCATTGTGATCTTCTTGCCAGGTACAACATCTGTGACTTTACCTTTAACACCACCACCGAAAAGAACGACATTTGCGCCAACTTTAGGTTCAATCTCAGCTGGTGCACGTGTCCACATAGGTACGCGTTGCTTGTTGGTGAGCACATCGAAGAATTCGTCCGCTGAAATCTGATAACGTTCTTCAAGTCTGACAGTTGAGGTGTTGAGTGAACCCTTCTGGGATACTTTCTGTTGTGGAACTTCAACCTTTTCAGTTTTCTTAACCGCTGGAGCTGCTTCTGGTGCTGGTGATGGTGTTGGTGTGTTCGATTGTGAAATCTGGACGTGAGCGCCATATTTCTCTCGAAGATCAACTGGGAATTGATCAAATATTGGTTTGAGTGTTTGTGGAATAACTTCTTTGCGGATGTGGTCGAATTGTCCATCAGCTTGACCTTTAATGAGAGTTGTCTCGAATACATATTCATCCAATCCGTCGATAGCCTCATGTGAGACTTCTGGTACATGAGTGCGTCCTCTTTGTTCTCCTACTGACCATTCAACGACGATCTTTAAGTCGTAGATCGTCACTAATCTGTGTATTTGATTAGAAAGACGTATTTTCTATATAAAAAAGCGTACTTTGACTTGCGCTGTCCAAGTGTAACGTCGCCATCACATTCCTTTAGTTCTTCGATTGTAAGCTCATCATTGACCTTCAAACCGACGAGCTTCTCTTTGAAGTATTCCTTAGCGAATTTGCTACAGTCAAGTTGCTTCCTGAGAGCTTGTTTAGACTAGCTGCAATAATTTATTGTGTTATTCACCCACCAATGCCAGTTTGCTGATGACATTCTACTATCAACGAATCTCTTCTAGGAATTTTACTAGAAATAAAAGAGAAAAAACTATTTTGAGTTTTTCTATGGATATATAAAAGATATATTATATGTAAACTACACAGCTAGGAGGAATCTAATAGCTGTTTTGCTATGTCAACAATCGATTGCAAGAAACATTAAACATTTGATATATGGAAAACTAAATAGACAGGTCTCACATGCAATTCCACTACTACGAAGAACCACTTAAAATTTGACACCTAGACATAGAATATTCTAGCATAAAAATGATAATAAATTAGTGAAAAAATTATACAATCAGGCTAGCAATCTTGCTTGTGACTGCTAGTGGATACATCCTTTCCTCCATGCGGGCAATAAGTTTTTGGGCATTCTCTGTTGACTTTGCTTCTAACTCAGCCTTGATCATCTCCGACCAGGTTGATGGCTCGCGATACACGACATTGATTGCTTGCGAATCACCTGCGTGATTCCCACTAGCGGCAGCTCCCATCGGTGGGTCAACCATCGATTCGAAAACTTCGCGAGATCTGGCTATATCTCCACTTTGTGCATATCCCCTAATGAGCAGATTCGAAATGTAAGCTGTTTGGTGTACTTTTGATGCTTTGATAGAATCTAAAAGCTTTGGTATAAGATCTTGACGTTGGTTTTCGACGAATACGTTGAGGAGCGCTGTGGTTATGTTAGATCAAGATTCCATGATATAGCTAACGTACCTTCGTATACTATAGCATCTGGAAGTACTTTATTTCTATTCGATGGGTGTGTTTCTATGCTTTCGAATATTTTGACAGCAGCTTCGACATCTTTCTCGACATATCCAGCTGAGTGAATGAGAGATGCCCAGTGAGTACCACTAACAGCGGCGCGTGGATCATTTACGATGGTTTCAAATACCTTATTCAAGCTATCTTTGTCCACTGGTGCAATTGATCCGTAAGCATCCAAAAGCAACTTGTAGGTGTGAGCAGATGGGGCGACCTTAGCAGACAACATTTCACCGTAATAATACAACGCGCGTTCTCTATTTGGCTTAGTGTGGGTGTAAAACTGTATCATACTGTATTTCGTCAGCTATAATCACTTAAGATGTGGTCAACTTACGTGTTAAATGGTGGAACTCTTAATTGGAATTTATTCTGTTGGACCATCTTGTTGAAGAATGTGACAGCGGATGCCTCATCGCCGATACGTGTGCATGCGTTAATAATAGCACCATAAGTGACACTAGAAGGTCTAACACGCTCAGCGATCATAAGGTCGAGTATCTCGAGTGCTGCATGGGCTTTACGAGCCTTGCTTAACTTGGAAATAATAGAATTGAACAAGAAAGTGTTACCCTTCACGCCCAATGATCTAGATTCATCCCAGAGTTCTTGTGCAAATGTAACGTCATCAGTAGTTTCCTTTACGTTATTGATGCAAGCTGCGTAAGCGTCTGCAGATGGCGCACCACCAGCTTGTATAATACGCAGACGATGTTGGGTGGCACCTTCGATGTCACCGCCGTGACCGAGACCGGAGATCATGGCATCTTCAAGTTTGAACCAAGCCATTGAGCGTTCTTCGAGAGATGAAAGATTTTGGATGACGTCGTAGGCATGCGTGTATACCTTCTTGGCTTTGCTGATTTCACTCTTTCTTCCTAGCGCGTTGGCAAGGTTTGCAAGCGAACTTACATTACCAGTTAAGCCATTGGTTATACCGTCCATTAAGACTGCATAGCATTCTTCAGGAGATACACCGAGATTCTTGCGGTAGTCGTGTCTACTGATCATCTCGGAGAGTCCTTCGTCAATTGTAAAGTTTGCTTCAGTTGTTTCAGGTGTCGTTGGCGGAGTTTGCTCTGACGAAGCGTCACTGGAGTCAAAAGATGGGTAACCCATTGGCGCTGATTGGTCAGAGTTTACTCTGTCAAGTGGAACATAACCGCTTGTGTAGCATTCCATACCATTGAAACGATAGCCGATACGTGCAAGCTGCTCAGTTGCGAAATCATAATCTATCAACTTCGACAAGACAAAGCCAAGGTCATTAACGTGGAGAACTTTTGCAATATCCCCAGAGTTTTGGCCGAATGTGTTGCGAATATCTGAAACGAAATCAACAGCCGTTGCTGAAGTGAGTGGAACGCTGCGATTGGAGTCTTCCAAGTTTACCTGGCTCTTCGCAAGTTGTAAGAAAACATTGGTGTATAATTTCCATTGCTCTAATGTAAGGTTAATCAACTTGAAATCGCCTTCACAGTCTTTACGAGCTTGGTCAACCTTCTGAATTATCGAGATGAGTGTCTTGAATGAACAGATAACATTGTTCTCATAAGCGATACGGTAAGCGTCAAATGTTTGTTGAAGTGATATACCAGGTGTATTGACAAGAGTTTCTGTAGCTGTGACAACAAATTTGTGCCAGATATTTCTCTCTGCGTAAAGACCTTGATCGATGAATTGAATCTTGCCAGCTTGAGCCCACTGAATATAGAGTCCCATAGCCAAATCAAAGCGACCGCTTACTGAAGCAATGTAAATAAGATCGTTGATTGGTGGGTAGAAGACACCCTTAGATGACTTCTCAATCATCTGATGACGGAAGATTTCGCTTGCAAGAGCAACAACTTGTTCTACATTTTCAATGTTTTTGATAAGTGATCCAATAACATTCTCGCTGAAAGTACTCAATTCTGCGCCAGTTGGTTCCATTGTAAACTTATTTTGACATTCCTTGAGAAGCTCAAAGACAGACTGGGCTTCATCAATCTTTGACTCCCTCAATAAAGATGTAATGACAAAGTAGAATGATGACACTGGTGGATGTGGGACTTGTGAACCTTCGGCTGATGCAGCTGCAGTACGCTTAAGCCATTCCAAAGCACTGGAAACATCACCATTACGAACGAAACCTTCAATTACGGCAGCAACAGTATCTGGACGCAGTTTCATTGGTGCTTCGAGGATCTGTTGGAAGAGTTCTACACCACCAAGAGCCTCATTACAGTTGAAGTTAGCCGTTATCATGGAGTTGTAAACAGTAGTTGCCTTGTTCGCAGGAAGAGTAGCGAAAGCTGGGTCGCTATCGATCATCTTCTTTTTAGCTGCATTGACGTAGTCTTCAAAGATGACGGTAGCACCTTCTAAATCACCAACAGAACCGTAGAGATCAATCATAACCGAGTATGTTGCATGTTGTGCCTTAACCTGTGGAAGGGATTCCAAAACCGAGAAAACATTAATAGCCGAGTCGACATCCTTATGAAATTTGCAAGACATAAGAAGCCAATTATAAGTATAGACATCAGTTGGAAGAACATTGAGTCTAATCGCCAAATTGAATATCGACATAGCAATTCTGAAATTTTGCTCAGATTCCAATTCTTGTGCTTTCGATTCAAGTGATGGATCCCAAACCTTACGAGTGTTTACCGATTGAAGAGACTTTTGTACGTAGTTATCCCTGAGACATAAGATTGTTATCAAATTTGAGTATGTTTTTGCAGTTGGCTTGAGATCCCTTGCAATCATATCATTGTAGAATGAGACGGCGTCCTCGACAGTGAAAGAATCAGGACGAGTAACACAGAGTGCTTCGAGTGCTGTATCCCATAATTCGACAGATGGATCAGTGATAGTATATACCGAGTGAACAATTCTTTTAACCGCTTGGAAGTCGTTAGAGTCTTTAGCAGCGCTTATGCGTGCTATGAGTTCATTACCGTGATCAGATTCTTTATTACCGAGTTGAGTGTTATGACTCGCCTGTGGCGGGGGTTTATCGGGGCTCTCTACTTCGTCTGAAAGTTCTTCTACGTTTGATTTTCCATTATCTATCGAGGCTGTAGAGTTGCTTCTTGGGCGGCCGGTGTGATTCTTCTCTGATTTAGCTACAGTATTTATACGTCTACGTTGATCGCGGATAGCTTTTACAACTTCACTCCTAGATGAATTGCTAACGCTCTGGCGCCTAGATAAGTAAGCTTTTGATGGACTCCGGCCATCCTCGTCGTCTGGGTTGTTGTTATTGTTTGCTTGCGTAAATGCACGCCCGTAGCCCTATAAAGGAGTTAAAAGGGAAAATATATTCAAATTATCTACTAACATGGTATCCTTGGTAGAAATTCCTGCCTGGATGGAAACCTGCGCCAGCACCACCAGCAGAATATGAGCTACCAGATGCGGCAGAAGGTCCTTGAGCTACTATGGACCTAAACTGATGCTGAAATGAACGAAAAAATGTCTTCATATCAGCTTTCTATAGTATTTCTATCGTTTACTCTATTTAGATCTTGGTTGTTTCGAACAGTCATATAATAAAATGCCAAATCGTGAAGAAGTTGTAAATTTCGGTGCAGGTCCATCTACATTACCAACTGCAGTACTTGAAAAGGCTGCACGCGGTCTTTTAAACTACAATGATCTCGGTATGGGTATCGCTGAGATTTCACATCGTTCAAAGGACTTTAAAGCTGTTTATGAAAAGACAATAAGTGATTTTAAGACCCTCATGGAGGTACCAGATACCCACGAAGTCGTTCTCATGCAAGGTGGTGGTATGGGTGCATTCTCCACCGTTGTTCTCAATCTTCTCGCTGCTTGGAGACTCAAGAACCCAGAAAGCGATGCGAAAACTACGATCGATTACATCGTTACAGGTAGCTGGTCTAACAAAGCAGCTGGCGAGGCTAAAAGGTTGACTACTGATACTAACGTCTCCGTCAACGTCGCTTTAGACGCTCGCAAGCACAGCCAAGATGGAAAATCGTTTTCGACTATCCCACCAGCAAATCAATGGAATTATTCTGCTGATCCGGCTTTGGTTTACTACTGCGATAATGAGACCGTCAACGGTGTTGAGTTTGATAAGAGCTTCCCATATGAGTCACTCCCACCAGACGCCAATCTTGTAGCTGATGTTTCATCAAACATCCTTTCACGCAAGATTGACATTAGCAAGCATGCTGTTGTTTACGGTGGTGCTCAAAAGAATGCAGGTATTGCTGGTGTTACACTCGTTATTGTCCGCAAGGATCTCCTCGTTGACACTGACGCTGCATTCAAGTTGGGTGGTATTCCTCAAGTTCCACATTTATGTGATTACAAGCGTCATGCTGATAATGAGAGTATGTACAACACACCACCAATGTTTGCAATTTACGTCTCTGGATTGACATTTGAACATATCAAGAGCCATGGTGGTTTAGATGAATACTCTAAGCTCAGTGATAGGAAGAGCAAGAAGGTGTATGATGTTATTGACAACTCTAATGGTTTGTATAACCCTAAGGTCTCGGTGGAAAGCAGAAGTCGTATGAATGTTGTCTTTACACTGCCAGATGAAGACACAGAGAAGAGATTCCTCGCTGAGGCAGACAAGTTGGGATTGAAGAACTTGAAAGGACACAGGTGTGTAAACCTTGAGATTGTAAGAACTTACTAACGGGGTGTAGATCTGTTGGAGGAATCAGAGTGTCACTTTACAATGGAATCACAGAGGAGGACACCGATAAGCTTATAGGATTTATGAGATTGTTTAAGTAGATTGTATAGAATAATGTAATTATTCATCTTACATATGAGATAAGTAGATAGACTGTCTATGAATTTAGTGCATCTTTTATAGCTGTCTTATAAAATCACTACGCACTAGAAGATAGCAAGCTTAGTGGAGGGGACTAGAGGAAGGAAGGCAAAGGCTGGCAAATAAATAATAATACGCTATGTTAGGAATTTATAATAAATAAATAATTAAAATAAATAAATATACAATTAAAATCAAAATTTGTGTTGATGAGAGAAGGACTCGCAAATTTCAATTCAACCGTTGCGTTCGAGCTATTAGCAGCGAAAATGGTAAATGCTTCAAATAAAAAAAATACTCTATTAACAATTAGCAGGATCCAACCGGTGCCATTACTTTGAGAACTCGCAAGTTCACCGCTAACCCATTGCTGCAAAGACGTCAATTCGTCTTGGACGTTCTCCACCCAACCCGTCCAAACGTCTCAAAGCAAGAGCTCCGTGAGAACCTTGCTCAAATGTACAAGGCTCAAGTTGAAGCCGTACGTATATCCCTACTAGGAAGTTTTCACATTTTCTGACCACACGACAGGTTGCTGTCTTCGGTTTCCGTACTCACTTTGGTGGTGGTAAATCAACCGGTTTCGGTTTAGTCTACGACTCTGCAGATGCCGCTAAGCAATTCGAACCAAAATACAGATTGGTCAGATTCGGTCTCGCTGAGAAGGTCACTAAGCCATCAAGAAAGCTCAGAAAGGAGAGAAAGAACAAGAGCAAGAAGGTTCGCGGTACCGCCAAGAGCAAGGCATCATCAGACAAGAAGAAGTAAACTGCTCTTCCAAGTACTTGATTCGTCGATGTATGCATTTTCTCAACGTATTGATATATGGGTCACTTATCTATTAAAACTGTGCATTTATTCTACTACAATTATTCTTCTTGGTAAACATATCCACCTTGGCGTTGGACTACCTTCAACTCCAGTCTATCGAGTTCTTCTTTTCCTTGAGTTAATCCTGCAGTGACTGTTTGTCCTGGAGAGAGTGGACCAACGCCTGATGGTGTACCCGTGAGCAAAACATCACCTTCCTTGAAAGTGAAATTTTAGTGACGATCAGCTGACAACAACTCTTTACCCACCTCAAGACGCATGATAGATGATACGTGTTGAATGAGTCTTGGAATACGGAAGATCATGTCTGATGTTGTTCCCATCTGTCTGATAGTCTCGTCGGCCTATCGATTGTTAGCTAAATAGTATTCAACTGTTTACACCCACTTTTAACCATAATCCAAGTTGATGTGGGTCTACGACCTTATCCTTTGGAATGAAGTCTCTATGGGGCTGTAAGATTATTGATAAGCCTGCTATCAAGCTATACGGACCCAATTGGGGTGAAAGTGTCGAAACCCTTCAAAGTTGACCAAGGTAAACCTTTCTTCTTGATAACGTCTTGGATGTTTCTAGCTGTCATATCGATACCGAGTGCTTAAAGCTTATTTAGATCTAGCTAGTTGTGGTAGGTTAACATACAGTAACCAGCGATATGTGAGAGCGCGTCATTTTGGCTAATGTCTCTTCCAGTTTGTCCGATAACAACACCAAGTTCGACTATCCATTTCGTTAGATTCGTAACAATTGATAAGAGAAGCTAACCTTCATGATGAGCTATTACACCGTTTGGTATCTCAATATTACCCCCGGTGCGTACAAATGAGCTTGTAGGCTTTAAGAAGAAGAATGGCTCTTTTGGTATAGCATTTTGAAGCTCTATATCCTATTAGATGGCAGACATTTCAGCTGTGGTAAATACCTTTAGCATGCTCAGAGTAGTTGCGCCCTATAGCTACAATCTTGCGTGCGGTTGAATGGAATCTAGATGCCATATTTTGATTGTATATAAAGAAGATATCTTCTGACTTATATCCGCATCTCAGCGGTATTAATCGGTAAATAAGAGATCATAAGAGATTGTAGTGATGTTAAATATAATACAGACGTCTAGAAGTTATATCTCCGCTCTAAACTGCTCATATAGAGCACATCGCTAGTACAAATTTTAGCTGGCGATCTATCCAATCGGATCGATAGCGATAAATAATAGTATAAGAATACTTTCAAAGGTATAAAATAAAGTATATATTTCTATAATTTAGTCGGTTAGATATCATTTTTGCGAGTCGTTGGAGCGATTGAAATTTTCAGACTTTGATCTGCGTCTTTAGCATCGACTACCATCTCCATATCCCAGCCAGGAGATAAAGAGTGTTAGTATATGCTTTATCTCCGTTATAAATATCTAATATATCCCACAGCGCTTTAGAGACACAGTCAACCAATTCAGACACACACTTTTGACTCTAGTTTTTGAGTCAATACAGCAAAACTCTTAGTTTATCTCCACTTAGTCGGAATTCGATCTCCCTCGCCACACGCTTTAGGCCTCACGGTATGTTCTATACTCTTCCTTGTGCCACATCCGCTCATGCGCCCTCGATAGTTCACTGGCTGGGTATCTTTTAAACCTCCTTGATTTCCCTGTCAACAGAGCTCAAGTAGATTAACTTTCGACTACTTTTTGCTGCCGCCTCACACACTCAAGCGTCAGCACTCAGTTTTACACAAAAAAAACCCTTGATTTGAAATCCTCGCTAAAAGGGAGCGGGGATATATTACACGACTGACGGCCACTATTAGCGAGAGGCCAACTAGGCACTTCTCGCGTTCAACGGCTATTTCTTCAAAGTCAAAGAGCGATTCAATGCAATTCTTCGAAACTACCAAATCTCAATCGAACATCATTATGCACAGCAACCTTCCAACCCCTCCACCATCACACTCTACTAGTCCAGCACCATCAGATAGACAAAAATGCGTTTACGAATGCTTACCAAATCTTTATCACGGTTCAACTGAATCTCAACTAGCTAAAAACGTCAAAATTTTTAACAGCCAACCTGATTTCGCAGAGGAACACCCCTTCTTCGTCGCTGATCTTTCCTCGGTTTATAAGCAACATATTAGATGGAAGACAGAGTTACCACGTATCGAGCCTTTCTTTGCAGTGAAGTGCAACCCAGATCCCTACGTAATTAGGTTATTAGCTGGTTTGGGTTTGGGTTTCGATTGCGCATCACAAACGGAAATCAACACCATCCTCTCCTTACCTACAAATTGTCCTGCTACAGAAAACCCATCAAATAATATCATTTTCGCAAACCCATGTAAAGCTGCCTCAATGATTAAGTTTGCGCGTGGTAATCAAGTTAAAATGATGACATTTGACAACACCGATGAACTTCACAAGATCGCAAGACTTTATCCAGATGCTCAGTTAATCATTAGAATCTTAACGGATGATTCAAAGAGTGTATGTAGATTCGGTATCAAATTTGGTGCCCCACTTGATGCGGTTCCACATCTCTTGAAGACCGCGAAAGATCTCTGTTTGAATGTTATCGGTGTTAGCTTCCACGTTGGTTCTGGCTGTTATGATCCTCAATCTTACGTAGATGCAATTGAGCGTTCTAAGAAGACATTCGAGGTTGGCGAATCTCTCGGCTTCAAGTTTAATTTACTTGACGTTGGCGGTGGATTCGGTCATGACAACTTTGAACTTCTTGCAAGATCATTAGGACCTGCAGTTGATGCACACTTCCCAGTTGAAACTGGCGTTCGTGTCATTGCTGAACCTGGTAGATTCTACGTTCATGACGCTTTCACTTTAGCGACCAATATAATTGCGAAGAGAGGATCAGATGATGATATCAATCAGGATTTGGATGATCAATCACCAAAAGTTATGTTTTATCAAAATGATGGTGTTTACGGTGCATTCAATTGCGTTATGTTTGATCATGCTGAACCAAAGGCGAGAACATTAACAGTTCAATCAGAGTTAACTTTAGATGATCCGTTATTAAATGAAAAGATGGTTAAAAATGAGGAAATCTCATGCTCAATTTGGGGACCAACATGCGATAGCTTAGATTGCGTTATGAAGAACCACAAATTATCGAAAGGGTTACAAGTTGGTGATTGGTTGAGATGGGATCAAATGGGGGCTTACACAATTTGTGCTGCGTCAACATTCAATGGTTTCAGAAAAGCTGACGTCCATTATACCTCTGGAGCTGATTCAGAGGAATCACATCAAGTTAGAAAACTTTTACAACAAACTGCACCTGATTTACGAGGATTAATTATGTACCCATAAATTGATTTAATATCTTAATAAATTGTTTCTGTTATCTTAAAACTCTACTATGAGGAGGTCTGTAACAGACGGACCTCAAAAGCAACAGAAACGTACTAGCATTTTAACTAAAAGGCTAACTTTCAATAATCCAAAAGCAGCTAGGGACGCCGTCGATGATTGGTCGAGTGTGAAGAGACCGGCTCTCAAAGATGATGACAAAACTGAGAAAGATGATTGGATTTCTATAGATACGAAGAGGAATATAATTAAATGCGCTATCGCTTACACTATCGCAACTTTATTCACTTTTAATCCAACTTTGAATAGCTTCATAAGTGCATTAGAGTTTAAGCAAAAATCTCAGCTATGGAAAGTAGCGGTTAACACCCATACTATAGCATCAGTCACTGTTTGGTTTAATCCTGCACGTAGCCGTGGATCAATGTTGCAAGCTATCGCTTTCGCTGCAGTATCACTCGTTTTCGTCACTTGCGTATCTTCATTAGTTACTCTTATATTGACGCTTATCGATTTTAACCCGGATGATACGAATTGGAAAGCTGACCTCGACGGTTTCATCGTCGCCTTCATTTTTATAGGTGTAGTTTCATCTATTGCTGCATTCTCGAGATTGAAAATGGCTAATCAAACGTTCAATTCAGCAGCCACAATGTCTTGTATTGTTTTCTATTCTGTCGTTTTACGCAATGGTGGTATAGCCAGATTAGTGCAGTATTTGGCTATGGCTATAATTGGGATAATTATAACTTCATCAGTTTGTTTACTCATCTGGCCAAAAAGTTCAACCAGTGCATTAAGGAAAGATCTCAGTAGTAGTTTGAATAGTTTCGGTATGCTGCTTGAGACACTCTACTGTAACTTTACGCTAGAGCACGATAAGATTTTAGACAAGGATTCATTCGATAGAGCTGTCAAAGACCATGACGAGGCTTTCGTTACTCTCCAAGCTGAACTCCCGAATGCTCTCCGCGAGAGGTGGTTAAGAGATAAACGCGTTAATAATAGCCAAATAAGGCAGACATACAAGCATACCGTCGAGGCTATTGAACGCTTAGCCCAACATTTAACGGGGTCAGTTGTTCTTTTATTGGTTGATTATCTAACACAGCATCAGATTGAGAAGTTGTCTTAATATGCGCGATGATATGATACTCAAGGATGATTCTTTCAAGAAGGCATTTCAAATGAGTGTAGATATAGCAAGCAAACCGATGTATGAGTTAACAGTAGGTTTTATTCAAGATTTTATTGGTTTTATTTTAACAACTCACCAGGAAACAATCGTGCATGTTCTCAGGGAATCTAGTTTGGTTTTTGAAAGAGATTCAGATCCAACCTTGCTCACTGAAACTCGCCGATCGATGTTGATTGCAAGCGAAAGACTGCAGAGAGCGATTAGAAAGTTTGACATCTCCTCAGGGATTGTCTTAGAATCCTCCCAACCGGATGCACGGATTGATGCCAAGTCATTTCAAGAACCATCACTTATTACGCAATTCTACTTGTTTAATTTGCGTGAACTTGCTAGTGAACTCTACCATTTGATTTTACTAGTGGATGAAATCAGTGAGCATGATCTAAAGCACGTCTTTAATAGCAGCTCAAGGAATTCCAACATCCTTGATGAAGATTATCAAAATAACGCTGAAGATGATTTATTCGACGAGAGTAGTTCTTACTTTAGTAGCAAACCACGCCGTCCACCTTTATTACGTAGGAGAATGAAGAAGACTCTGTCAAAGCTAATCCCAATTGATCCAAGCGAGTATAAAGTTAATGACCAAGCAAGACGGTGGAGAGCTAGTAAAATTATTGAAGAAGAACATCAGTTTACGGTATATGAGAGGTTTAGTCAGATTCTTTGGGAGGTTCTTACATTTTTCGAGAGGAAGGATGTAAAATTTGCTATTAGGACTGGTGGAGCGTTGGCTATACTCTCTATGCCATCCTATATTTCATACCTTAGACCACTAGCTTTGAATTTGAAGTTAGAGTGGGCGCTCATAAGTTGCTTTGCTTCTTTGTCCCCTACAGTGGGTCAAACTAACTTTATGAGGTGAGATAGTGTCAATTTCAAAGGTAATACAAATACTGACACTACTTAAGTATCCAACGTATACTTGGTACGATAGTCGGTGCAGCAGTAGCCGTAGTAGCGTTTGCAGGTTTAGGCCATTCGTTATTTGGTGCTATTGGATTCCCAATATTAGGCTTCTTCTTCTCGCTTCCTTGCTTCTACATTGTTGTTGGTTCGACAAGGTACTCCTCCAGTGGGAGGTTTGTTCTTCAGTCGTATAACCTCGTCGCACTCTATGCTTTCAATCTGAGGGACCAGGATATACATTCATTCACAATCGCAGTCAAGCGCTCCACGGCAGTAACATGCGGTATTACGTTTAGTATGATTGTTTCGAGACTATGGTGGCCTCAAGAAGCCCGTAAAGAGCTGAGACGCGGACTAGGTGACCTCATTCTTGACCTTGGATATCTATACAATCGACACACATTAGCACAATCAGTGCCGCCTCTTCCAACAACACTCAGTCCCGTTTCTGTTGATTCGTTTGATGCTGCATCTGACGTAGAAAGGGCGTCCGAAACCACACACTTGCTGAGTCCTCAGAGGACACTTATGGGCGAACAAAGAGAGGAACAGTTGAGTAAGGAATTTATGTCAATGTGAGTGTTCTTACTTGAAAAATTGATTTGCTAATTGGTAAATAGGGAGTTACACATCCAAATACACCTCATTAAACTCCGTAATTTACTCTCCCAAACAAAAAATGAGCCAAGGATGAGAGGACCCTTCCCTGTGAAGAAGTATGCCGATTTACTAGGTAGTTGTCAGCGTATACTCGAAGTAATGCACATTTTAGGCATGGTCAGTCAACCTCAAAACACTTATGCTAGACAATTCATTGATCAGTTTAAAGTCGAAAGGAGGGAATTGGTTGGTAATGTTTTGCTATTTTTTAGCGTAATTGCTAGTTCATTCCATTCGAAATCACCACTTCCACCATATTTACCGCCAGCTAATAAAGCTAGACAGAACCTTATGGATAAAATACAGTCGGTTAGTTGTACTGACACTAGACCTTCAACTTCCACAAAAGATACAAATTATTTGGAAATGCAATCAAGTACTTCTCATCTATTAGTTTTCGCGTATGCATTATGTATGCGTTCATTGATCAATGAATTGGAAACATTAGGTGTACAATTGCAAGCTACTTTTGGTGTTATTGGAAACACTGACTCGGGTGTTGTAGAGTTTGGTAGGTTATAACTAGAAAGAAAGTATCAAATTCTAACAATTTTACCAGAGAGGATGTTTGCTGATTAAAATAGTTAAGAATTACTTCAATATTAATACAACTCTAAGAGTAATATACCCCTTGCATTAATAATGTACGAATTTCAACCTTAATTTAAGCAAAATCACGCACAAGAATAAGCATTTCAAATTTAAAATATTTTTATCATTAATTCATTAGTTATTGGATAGAGCCCAATCAACTGCTTTTAAAACATTATCTACGATTATACTAGGTTCATGTTTTGGTATACCATGAGTATATACACCCGTTCTCACGAGTGCTGACTGCCAACCGAATAAATTTGCACCTTGAATATCTGAATCAGGGTTATCACCAACCATTATAACTCTTGGTTTCTCAGTTATGTTTGTCTTACTCTTTAACAACTGTTGAAGTAAATTATCTGCATATTCATAGGTTATAGCATGTGGTTTTCCATATTGATAATATTTGAGCTCAATTTCAGGGCTTCTAATCATGTGTACTGTCTTGAGAGCTTCTATGAACATACCTTGACCGTGTCTCGGTTGAGGGTATTCCCTGTATTATTCATTATGAGTTATATGATGAATGAGATAAACGATAACTAACGTAGTCCAAATTAAATCAGGATTCGAAAAGTGTAGTTCGACGCCTTGCTTCCCTTGATTGTTTTCTGTACCAAGCAATCCATCCTTACTGCGAAGAAGATCACAAATGATCTATTATTTTATTAAAACAGTGATGTGTAATACATTATGCTACTTACTTGAATATCAAGACCATGGTCAGCGCTATCTTTGAATACTAAGACTGCTGAGAATGGTACTTTCGCAAAGTCAACATGCTTGCGTTGATAAGTGTGAGGTTGTGCCATTGCATCCTGTGGTGCAGGTGGAGAAGCAAATGGGTAGATACTAAACAACGTTAGGGACTTTTCAATGAGGGGTAATGAAGTCAGCCTTACAACTTATTCCAGCTGAGTATGTCTGCTGGTACGTATACATTCTTGAATCCGTATGATTCGGCGATTTCACGACACTTTTGGCCATGCTCATCACCACCAATGACAAGAATATTGTCATTTTTTAAACGTTCAGAGAGTGGTTTCATCACCGTGTGAGAAAGCACTATCTGTGATTCGTCTACGTGTATATCGAAATCCTTTGATAAAGCTTTACATCTATCACTTTCTTTTGTACCACCGCCATTTGTAATAAAAATATAAGGAATATTAAGTGAATCTAATTTCTTTAATGCGTGTTTTGCCTCCGGGATAGCGAAAGAACCATGTTTGAGAACACCATCAATGTCAAACGCAAAAGCGAGTGGACGTGCGGCTGATTACATATTAGATGGAGAATATGAGAGCATTTTCTACTTACTGGAGTATAATCTTATGCTGTTACTTATTCTTAACGCCCTCGTGAACATCATCGTGGGAGATAAAGAGTGAAGTATGATGTAATAAGGAGATGAATATAATTTATATATAAATAACTTTAAATGAATTCATACAAATGGGCATAACGTCTAAATAAGAATCGTTCAGTCAAGTCAGACAGCGGTGTGGTAACTCACCGTTAGTTCAAAACCAAGCAGATAATAAATAGTTGATATAATATTAGAAGCATCTTCAAGAGATCTAAATCTAGGGTCAGCACAACTCTTAACGACGAGCAGTAAAACAGCGCTCGCCCTAAGTAAACAAAAGATTGACCTCTTGTAGAACATCTTCCTCAAGTGGCATTTGCTTTAATTTGAGTTTAGCCGTTGCAGCGTACTTCTTCTCAATCTTAAATGAAATTTATTAGAAATCGTTAATTACGTCATAATATAAGCATAGCCAGGCTTTATTCAGATCTGAAAAAAGATCTAGGAGGTGTAGGAGGTGCGAATGCTTTATAGACCTCCGAAGGATCCGCAGGTCCAGAAGGTCTACGCGCATGAGAACGTGCGGCTATAGCAGATGCTATCGCGTTCTCTTTCTCCCTCCTTCTTGCTTCCTCCTTTGCGAACTGAGCGTTGGATGCTTCATCGGAACGTACCTGTTCCTTTAAAGAATCTTTGATACCAAAGTTCTTTCCTTGTGGCATGAACGACTTTTCTGCCTTCTTCTCTGGTCCTAGTCTGTTTGTTAGTATTCGGGGAAATGGTCAAGCGTAGAGTGACTAACTGTTTAATGCAAATGCCACTACACCAGTTGCCATGAGTAGCATGCCAATAGCCAATCCCTGTTAATTTACAGCGTGAGAACTACATTCCTAAAGTGGCACTAAACACTTACTGGTGAGTTTTGGCCATTCTTGAGATTCTTTGGTTGAAAGCTTGCCATTTTTATTATCTTGTTCGTTGTTATTTTAGAAGCTGCCGTCTCGATTAAGAATCCGAAAGTGTATCAGATGACGATATCACATGAGCATTGTCTCATCCAATCAAGAAATTTATTAAAAGAGAACAATTAAAGTGTAAATTTAGACTTTTGATATTTAGTTTTCTTTGAAGCTGCGTCATCAACGAACCAGTAGACCTTTCCTGGTGGTGCTGGTCTAACTCTAGCGCAAGGTAAATCACCGGATGGATTGTCCAAGATTTGCTCAAGTGTATCTTGTTTACCTTCACCAGCAGCAATGAATGCAACGCGGTCTAGCATTATTTGTCAGTAATTTATTCCATAATTTCTTATATTAAACTCACAAGCGTGATTAATAACTGGGAAAGTTAATGTAATTCTAACTGGTGGTGGTTTAGGTGAATCATATACGTAAGCAATCCAACGCTCAGATTCTTTTGAAACTGGATGTCCAGGGAACAATGAGCCTGTGTGTCCATCTGGGCCCATACCTAACAGAATCAAATCAAAAGTAGGGAAACGTGCAGCTTCACGTGCAGCGAATGCGTTAACGAGCTTCTTCTCATATTCATCTGCTACGTCTTCCAAAATATCTTGTAAATCCTCGTTTGATTCAATTTCCTTGGCAGATGGTGCGCTATCTGGGTGGAACTTCTTGATAGCTTCATGGTCTGGGTTGAGTGCATGGATTTGTGAAATATTTACCGGTGTCTTTGAGAACAATTCCTCGTAAATAGCCTTAAAGTTTGATTCTGGATGGTCGAGTGGGACGACACGTTCGTCTGCAAGGAATACTTCCCTATTGAGGAAACAATAAGTTTATATAAGTAATAGTTATTGATATACTCACCATTTATCCCACTTAACGTCGTCTCTCTTGAGCAAACCAGTAAGGTTCTTTGGCATAGAGCCTCCTGATAAAGCGATAGTGAACTTGTCCCTCTTCTCAATAGCTTCATTTTGTGCTTTAACTACGAATTTAGCGACAGCTTCGATTAATTCCTATATAATTCGTCAGAATCCTATTTAGCTATAGCAGTGATACCGACATTGGAGTCAGCTAAGCTGTGGAGCACAGGTGGATGTGGTGTTTGTAATGGAACTGTATTCGTTAATAGACATTCATATCACTATTTTCTCACATACGAGATGTCATTATTTGGAGATGATGCACTCGGACAGGATGTAATCATAGAATCTCATAAATGAAAATTTAAATGTTTGAATAATTGAAAAATATACATAATCATAGCATTATATATATACCCACATTTCCACTATAACTCTTCCGTATTTTCACCGGCGTTTACAGTTAATCCGTTGATAATTAGCTGGATAGAAGGGTATATTATATGTAAAAATATCGTGTACATTTACTCAGATCATACACTCTATAAAATCACACTCATTTTTTTTTCTCCTCTTAAAACCGGCGGATTGTCTTCTTTCATCCTTGGACAAAATAATGAGCTAAATAATCACCAATTAACCGAAAAAAACGGTAAATTGGTTTCATGACTAGCTTAGATTGACGGCTGTATTTCGCTAGCGTGCTAAGCTCGAGGGCTATGAAGCGACACTGATAGTAATCAGCTCTACAGACATTTTTTCATTTCACTTGTTCTATGCATTAATTTAACAATTATTTATTTAAACTATGTAAAGAAAGCCACTAGCGTGCACTTCTCATCATACCCCGCTGCTGTGCGGAAATTTACTACACCACCAGCAACTGATGACAACGCGTGTCCATAGAAATATGCACCTTCTGACATTATAACTTGATCAAGTAAAGCTAGCACATCTGTGAATAATCCCATTGGTCCAATCTCGTCTCTGTCCGTTGGTGTCAGTATATCGGACAAGAGTACACCACCTTGGGATCTCAGATACTCTAAATTAGTAGTATTGCGCTCGTCAGTACCTATGTAGAAGTGGTCTCCTTTTTTAGGTAATCCGGGCAATGTATCCTCGCCAGGTATTTTGTGAAGGTATTTTGGCTTCTTATTGATAACATCAATACCACTATCCAAGTGATTCATAATTCTAGCAAGATGGTCTTTGAAGTTTGCCTCCATTGCCCATCCGTGGCTTTCAAAGTCACCCCTACGCATATGTGCAGAACTAATAACATGTCAGTCAAACATAAGGTAACTTCGATGAACATACGCCCAAGCTCTTCCTTGATTCATCTCGCGCATACGTGCATCAACAATTGTAGCTACTTGATATATTCTAGGCAATGGCTTCAGGTACTCCAAAATAATCTCTTTGAAGTTGTCTCTGGCTTCTGGAGTGGTGAATCTTAAAGATCCAGCACGTCTGTAAAGATGTATTTCACCCTTTACGTGAAATAATTTAGACTTCACGTTGTACCCATCTTCATATAAACCGCGAAGAGATGATTCTTTAGCTACTTGAGTGATAGGATTGATAGGACTCTTGAGGAAATCCATACCCTGAATTTGATCATAGGTATAGAGTAGACGATAACCGAGAGCAGCAAGTGCACCTGTACTATCTTCCGGCATCTTGAACCCACGCGCTTGTAAAGCGACACGGAGATATGGCCAATCGATCAGGACTTCTTCACCGAAGATCTCTTCAACATCTGCTGCAGTAAGACCAACTGGTACTGCTTTTGGATCTGCTTCTGGTTTCTCGCCGACGATATCCACCCTGACGATATTTGGAGGATCCCATTGACTTGGTTGTAAAATTAGTATTAGATAACATTTGTATATATACTCACTCGTTTTCTATAGCATGGTATTTGTTACCATTGTTGTAATGTTGTTGCCATTGACCATTCGTTGCTTTAGTGTAATCTTAAGCATACAGTAAAGATTGTCGTTAGTATACTCACCCATTACATCAGCACTAAGGCCTTCAAGATCAAAGTATTCATCAAGTGTCATGAAATTTTTGTAAGTTTCTGAGAGATGATCCAAATCGACCATAACCTTCGATATTTTGTCAGATAAGATTAAATATCACTCAATTTATACGCACTCCAAGTGGTATCTTCCAACCTTGTTGCTCTGATTCAGGGAGATCATTCCATTCAGGGTCACCAGTAGCTTTACCACGATTTACCTGCTCTGCGAAAGCACCACAGGTAGCTTGATCGAACTCGCAAGCACGTGCATAAACGTAACCTGGTAATATAGCTGTTCTGTTGAGTATTTGAGCATGTAATAGACTACTTTCAATGATGTATCTAAATGATCGTCAATATCTAAACAACGCTGAGTATATATAATCACCTTATATTGTTCCAGCCTAACCAGACACTGAAATCTCTAATGAAGTAACCATTTGTGCTCTGAACGAGATCTTTGAGGTCCTGCTTAGATTTGTTCTTAGAATGACCCGGTACGAATGACATAGGGTCACTTGAGAGATTCTCATTATCGAGTATAGCCTTTGAAGGGCCTGAAACATCACTTCTATTACTCTTGAAATCTGTTGCTAATGTGTAGGCGATGTGAATAATGAATCCAAATACGAAAGACAATCTAAAGTGCGGAGTTTAGAGGTATGGCTATTGTAACAACACTTTACACACCCTACGAAAATCAATGCCTTACGCTTATTACCCCATGGTTTCTTAGATGCTGCTGCAGTACCAGATAAGGGAGAATAACCATCACTCCTAGTGCCATTCAAAGGTGTACGTGATGATGAGTTTGGAAGCATTGCGTATTCCTCTCCAGCTTCTTCATCCTGTTGCTCGTAGTTGTTCAGATTTACTGTCGACCTTGACGCCATCTTGTTATCGAAGTCGCAGTACAAGGGTCTATGACACGCTGGAGGGTATTTTCGGATAGTTTCAAAATAAGTTATTGTAATAACATAGCAATTCCTATCTATACATCTTTATAGTAGCTACAAATTATGTCTTCTCTGCCTTGACAAGCAGGAACGACATGTGTTCTTATAGTCTAGATATGCTTTAATTAAAGTGTTAGTTATGTAGACTCAGTCATTCAATGAGCACATTCTGGTTAGCTGATACCCACTCCAAAAGCTCAAACACAAACTCGGGAATGTCGAACTAAAAGCAAGAATGCAATCTACTTAAAAACGGAACGATTTTCATTATCTTAACATCAAACTCAACAAACTCAAGTTATAAATGTACAAGACCGCTCTCCTTACTCTCGCAGCTACCGCTTCTCTTGTCGTTGCAGACGACTTCAAGAGAACTGACGGCAAAGGTTCATGTAACGTCGGTGATGTCAAAGTGAGTGTCAACCTATAGATTATAAGCTATACTAATGTCTTCTGATAGTGCTGGTAGGCCCTTTCTATAAAATATCGCGTGTTTTACTAATCTCATACACAAGCAACATCCTCAAGGATTACGAAGAAGCAACAGCTGAAGAGAAGGACTTGATTGGACTCAAGTGAGTTGTATGTCTTCTTTTTACATAGGTATTGATATCTCTTCCAGCGATGTCGTCGGTCAACTTGGTATTGAATGTTCACAAATTCCAATCATCGGTGTTGCTTTGCAAGATATGTGCAAGGTTACCCCAGTTTGTTGCGAAAATGTAACTACTCTACTTCCTAATGTCTACGCCTCGCTAACACTCTACCTTAGGTTGAACAAAACGGTTTGATCAACCTTGGTTGCTCTGTAAGTAATAAATTTGTGCATAAAATAACATCTAACATCCATATCAGCCACTTTCACTTATCTAGAGTGTATTTTACCCCACCTTTATTACGTTGATACATTTTTGACTTGAGATAAGCTCAGGTTATTGAAATAAAACTTTCTTTGGAATATTATAAATATACTGTTCATTTTCTAACTGATAAAATCTATAACTGTTCTTATGTATGTGGGAAATTTCGAATAAGTTGAAAATTTTTACATAGCATCCAAAAATCGTTAAGAGGGATCGATCAAGCCCATTGTCCCAAGATAGACATGACCTGAATTTTTCAGCAAGTAAAAAAGCCACAGATATACTCACCATTGCACCTAAAAGCATTGACAAAATGGCACCAGCAGCTCTCTTATCTGAAGCATCAGCTAATCCACCGTCGCCCATGAAGAAATCTTTCGCTAAGAGATCAACCGTTGCTCCATAGATAAGCAGTCCAGCTGAAATGGAATCCAAGATACCAATCGCAAGAATCGTTGGTGGAGAGTTTGCATTAAAGAATGAGTAGCAAATGACACCCAATGCAATACCGAATGGTGTAATAAAGGAGTATACAGCTGTTTAAAGTAAGGTGTTGATCATTATAGTTGTAATTGGACTCACAACACATGAGTGTTAAGCGAAGGTATTTCTTGCTTGTGAACTTTACATCGGCAATACGCGTACCAATAGCGAAACCGTCACACATCTACCTTCTGTTAGCTTATAAAGACGACTAGGGAGATACATACTTGATGGAAGACAATCGCAATCAAGTAAGGGGCGAATCCTGCACCGGAAGTAACACCGAGACCTAATCCAACCATGACAGAGTGGAAACTAGACAGTTGTCAATTAAGGAGAGAGCTGATGGGTAAAACCTACACTATACCACCTTCAATGATGAGTACATCAAGATACTTCTCTCTATTTACTAGGGCCTCAACTTGATTAATCTTCTCCTGAATTTCATCGTGCATTTGAGGATCTTCAGGTGTACTCTCCTGTGATGCCTTTAGATCGTTGATCTGTGTAGCATCTACACCGGCCAGGAGTTTCATTTGTTTCTTGCGCTTTCTGAGTGTTCTAGCTACGGCCAAATCTATGACGAATATGACAAATAGAGAAGCCATAGCAATAGCAGGAGCTGTTGGATCGTAGGCTAAATCGATACAATCTGTCTCAAGCTGCTGGAACGCCTCAAAAAGCAAGTGTACGAAAGCCGTTGCAATAATTACACCTGTACCGAAATATCTTGAGCTGATAAATATTTAATAAGGGATAAGTTCGTAAGTAGGTCAACGCACATAAAGACAGCTTCATCCCATACCCTCTTTGCTCGTGTTCTTGTAGATGCCAAACCTTTCGTTAAAATCGGTAGAGTGATGCCTAATGCAGAAGATACTAATACAATGAAGATTGCCGCTATATGTAGACCTTTATCATACTCCTCTGATGGCTCAGAGGAGCAATCTTGTGATGGTCTTCCGTTGGTTCCGAGAACGGTAGGGATAAGAGAGAATGCTACGGTGGTATAGGTAGCAGCGCCTATACGTTTTGCTACGTTTGGGCACATATTGTCGGTTGTTTAAGGATGTCAGACCGTGACTGTGATAGTTCAAGAGGGTAGAGATGATGACAACTGGAGATGATGGTGGTAGATATAAATAGATACAGACAATAAATATATCTTACATATTTATATATATATAGCATCATACCCTTCATTAGTATATATAAGGAAAATCTCAATTATCTCATCTCGTTTATAAGCGGATAAAACGATCGCAGAAAGTAGCCGAGGTGGTAGACTATAGATTGATACTATAAGGGTGTAATAAGGGTATAATAAACATTATTGCTCTCATCTTTCCTGATATCAACACTCTTGGCATGCATGCACAAAAATAGCTAACTAAGTCTATTTATAAATAGTCGAAAGCGTAATGTTCACGTTTATTGTTATAATATTAAGTAAAACCTCTTATGAAAATCGTTATTTACTTTTTGAGACGTAACTAGAACGGTTTTGTTAGTTGATTATCGATATGCGGAGATTAAACACACCCTTGTCCAGTAGCGAGTGCTAATATTGTGACAGATGCAGCTGAAACAAACCTGCGATCCCAGCGTTCATTCCAGTGCTTGTAACCAAGGTAACCAGTCGCAGATAAGATGGATACGTTTACTAGGCGAGATCATCAGCGGGCGTACTCAAAGGTATAATCAACCTACCTAGCGAAAGTGCAAGCTGTTGTGTCTTACGGTCACCAGCAAAGTTCTTGACTCTCTAATATCACATATTAGACTAAAAGATGACGTAATAAGCATATCAACCCACTTGTACCAAACTGAGTCCAGCTTGCTCTGCCTTTTCAATCTTCTTCTCTGCCTTTGATTTAGGCTTTGATGGCTGTTTCTTCTCAGTTTGTCCTTTTCTTCTCTCCTCTTCTTGCTGTCTCTTTTCTGCAGCTTGAGCAGCTTGAGCACCTTCTGTGGATGGGTGGTCTTTGAAATCTTCAGTTTTTAGTATTTACTACGTCACGTGATAAAATCTACTAACCATGTTCAACGACGTTCACTTTAGCTGAGAGTTTGTCAATATATGGCTACATAATCAAAGGTGGTCTTACTGTCAATATCTGGTAGTCCAGCTTCTTCTGTGTGGTTCTGGCCTTCCAAGTAAACATTACTTGGCTTGACCTGTTCAGACTCTGGTGGTGCGTTGGTGGCAGCGATATTTGCGTATGACATCTATATTATATTAGAATAAGCTATTTGTTTATTATTTATTACCCACTCTGATGACTGTTCTTAAAGAAGTTGTGGAAACCCGGTGAGGAGTGCATTACAACGTCATCTCCACCAACCATATGGATTTTTTCGGAGCGTCTATATAATCATTTATCAAGATGGTTACATTTTCTATAGTTTATATGCTATCTATTTCTTTCCATCATTGCATCATGATCCATATCCAGTTCAACTATTTCAGTGATAATATATATGCTTATAATCTACAATTACTTCATCGACACGCCAATATCACCCGCTCCCCAATTTCCTACTGCTCTCATACGCTCAACGCCGCCTTTCATTATGAGTTCTGCGTCTTCTCCACCAAGCAAGCCAGCTAGCATTTCCCATGGATCGCGTCCACCTCCCCAGCGAAGTACTTCATCGCGTAATCTCTGACCTGATTCTCCACTCAATGGGTCATGAGAGAGTACGTCTTTGTACACTTTTGATGCGAGTGCTCTATCAAATAGGTATGAGTAGTATGTTGCACCATAGCCACTGCATTAAAGGTTAGTCTGGCATAACTGAGATAAGATCCACATACAAGAGATGTCCGAATTGTACTTGCCAAGCATTTCCCTTGATTGGTGGTAAGACACCATGTTGAGATTGAACATTATACCACATATCTGTCGTCCAGCCTAGTTTACCATTCAAAGGAGCTTGTTGAGAATGGTAAGCTTGATCTATCAAGGCCATTAAGAGCTGGCCGTGAGTTTCAAGTGCGGGTAAGGCGTTCAATTGGTCTAAATGCGCTTTCACTAGTTCTGGCGACAAGCTCTTACCTTTCTTCCAATGTCTACCAACTACAGATTGGATTTTAGGATTTGCGAGTATGTGTTCCATCAGAATTGATGGTAATTCGACGAAATCAGTTGCACATCTCGTACCAGAGCAGTTTTGGTACTCTGTTCTACCAATCATGGAATGAATAGCATGTCCCATTTCATGGAAAATAGTCTCTACTTCTTGCCAATTGAGTAATGTTGGTTGATTAGCCGTTGGCTTATCAAAAGTACATGCTAATACGACAATAGGTAATTGAAATCGACCAGCTTGATTACTAATAACCGAGCCTGCTGCTCTTCTATCATCTTCCCCAGGAACAAAGTCATCATCGTCAACTCTTCTCGAGCATTGTACGGTATAATGAGCAGCAGTACCTTGCTTTGGATGTCTTGCGAACAGATCTGCGTAAATGGTACCAACAATTGCATTAGAGGAGTTGTCGTATACATCTAACCTCCTCACACTTGGATCCCAGACTTCTCCTGCTTCAACTTCACGAGGTACAAACTTAATACCGTAAAGATGTTCCAATACAGTGCTTAATCCATGTATGACATTACCCAATGATAAATATGGTGCAAGTGGTTCTAATGATGAGTTAGCGCCTACACTATTAGCACGTAATTGCAGGAAGAATTCCCTATCCGATGCTTTAATTGATGGTGTGGAAGGTAAGCCGAGAGTATGTTGAGCAGTTGTAGCCAATTTGTTGATGTCTTGACCAGCAAATGGTTTATTGACATTTACAAGTGACTCCAAGAAGGCCATAACTTGGTTAGGATCGTCGACCATCTTATCTGAAAGTGCGACATGAGAATAAGTTGGATAATTGATAAGCTTAGCAATGTCAGCACGTGATTCCATTAGCTTTTCTAGCGTTTCGACTTCTTCTTCACTTGCTGCGTTCGATGCTACGTGTATTTTGAGTCGTGCATCAGGGGAAGGTGAGAACCTAAGCAGAACTTGGGCTTCCCAACCATGAGCATCCATTGTCCTGTTGCCTTTCCTATCTGGTGCTGGTAAAGTTCTTAAAAACTCAGTAGGAATACCTGTGAGGTCAGCTGGTGATAGTGTAACCCTCCTTGCTGGACTATCTTGACCTTGATTCATCAAGAATTTCCTTCCTAACAATAAAGACTCCGATGAAAGCTCGACAAATCTCCTTCTGGATGTATCTGAAAGGTGAATACCTGATTTCTCAAAGTCTCGCAAGAACATGAGTGCTACCTGCTTAGCAGAGTAGTCTAAATCGATAGTAGGACTGTGTACAGTCTCTTTGAGTGCCTGTATTATATTAGGTATTAATTTGCGCCACCTTCTATACTCACTTGGTATAATCCAACATGTGTATTGAGTTCGTTCATGTATTCACAAAGTCTATCATAGGTTTCATCCGCTGCTTGGACCCATCTGGTATCTGGGTGTACGTTCCTCACTAACTCTGCCAAATCTATAACCCTACACAATCCATCTGATAGCCTATCTAAGTTCTTAACGACTTTGCGCATTTCTGACACGCCATTAGATGGTGCTTTTACTATTCTATCAACTAATGCGCTAGAGTGTTCAATCGTACGGTCACTGATCGGTACAAACGACTCTGGTGAAGTTAAGTTGCGAAAGCTGAATAAGCCACCAACAGTTGTTTGATTGAGTGGTTCTGGGTTATGCGGTCTATCGAAAGCCTCAACTAAACCGCTTGAGTAACATCTAGCACCTCTATACGGCCGTATAAACTGGGTTGATATCAACCTTCTGAAAGTCATCAAACAAGAGTTCATTTGGATAATACAAGGAATAAATAATTGGATAATCTTAAATATTTTACACATTCTTTTATGCTTCGTTTTTTACATCTCTTCTCCATTGATCAACCGAGTTCATCTTCTTTGTTTGTTTTTCCTCTATACCAACTGGCTGTGGCATAACTGGAGGGGTGGGTAGCGGCATTTGGGGTATTTGTTGTAGCTGCTGCATTTGAGCCATCATCATTGGGTCCATCCCCATACCCGGATACATGCTATATTGTGATGGGAAACCTCCCATTGGCACTGACATAGGAGTTGTCATAGGCATTTGGGGATATCCACCCATAGCAGCAGGATTCCAACTCATCGTCGATGCTGGATACCCATAACTCATCCTTGAATCAGCTGGATACATCATGCTATTGCGTTGTTGGAATGCTGCTGCTGATGATTTCATTCCAAGTGCTACATCGTCATCGTTATCACCATCTAAAGGTTGCTTATAGGTGCCTGCTTGTAGATGCTTCAACCCAAGAGGTATGTCATCGTCATCTTCCTCTTGTGCATTCGTCTCAGCATCTCCTGGAAGCTCTATTTGAATCTTTGGCATAAGTATTTTCTCACTTGGTGTCCTAGATTGTCTTACAAATGAAGATAACGGTCTCTCATCTTCACTATCGTCATCTTCGGCTTCTAATTGTGCATGTAATTCAGCGTCTTGTGATCTGGAGCGTATTATAGCTGAAATTGGTCTACCATCTTCGTAATCGTCTTCGCTGTCGTTTATGCTAGAATGAGATGGCTGCAGCAATTCAACTGGAGGAAGTGAACCATCTGGGGCTCGAGAAGATGAGGGTACTATTGATTTTCTAGGAGCGTGTCTCCATTCGTTGTTCCTCTTCGGTCTAGCGAACTGTTTAGGATCAAACTCATGCGATTGACGAGCAGAAGGTAATCCTGTAGAACCTGAATCAACAGATTCATCGTACCTATATCTTTATTAGAAGGCCATTAAATTGAAGAAATCACTCACCAGCTGCGTCCACCGACTAATGTTTCATTTGGTACAGGAGATGCGACTGCTTGAGAAGGCAATGTAATTTCTGCGTCTTCAATGCCATTTTTGGAATGGGCTGCATTTTCTTTGTTTGTCGCAGGTAAGTTGAGAGAAGAATTCTATTAATTGTTAGCAAAGATATTCTCTAACCTTTTTAAAATACCTACTTGTTCAACACTTTGTTTAGAGCCAGTGCTCTTCAAACCCATGATGGATTTCTTTTTATTCTTCTTCATGTGCTTTCTTTCTTGCCTCTCAGCTTCAATGCGTTGATTTCTTTCTGCATCGGCTCTCTCTGCAGCTTCAATTGCTTCAGCTTTAGCTAATTCGCGCTGCCAATGCTCATCAACACCAAATACAGATTGCATACGCGTGGTTGCATTAGTTATGCTTGATCTACCATCAGGTGTCATCATTTGTAGATGTTCATCGCCCCTGAAAACTCTTCTCTTATCCTTTTGAGCTTGCTTACGTGCATCAATATCATCCATCAAGCTTGAACCAAAGATTGTACCAGGTTGCATCTCTGACATTTCCATTTCGCGCATTTTCCTTGCTCTTACTATATATTTATCGTATTCATCTTCTAGCTTCTCGTCATAGAGTTGAGCTTGTTCACCTTCAGTTTGAGCAATTGGTAGACCAGCACTTGATCCAACATATGGTCCTTGGGCATGTGATGAGGCAGCTGTTGGAGCAAACACGCTCGCTCGTGAATTGCGATTTGTGAAAGACACACCCTGATCTGATTTGCCGTTGAGTGGTACGGCAAGTGATGCCCTATTCATAGCCAATGCGGTGTGTCTTTTGTGTGCTCTAGCTCGTTTCAATGCAAGTGGTAATGGTAGGCCAAGTTCGGTTGGCAGATGATGGAGATCTTGATCATCTCTATGGACGTTGATATCATCTATCGAACCTTGCAATGGTACAGGCATAACGAGTGTCTTTGGACGCAGAAGCGTACTTCTTGAGACTGTCTTGACTTCCTCATGCTTGGGTTCTGATGGCCGCAAATGAGGTGGTATATCGTTGTTATTGACATCCGTAGGCTGACTCTCCTCTGGTTTAGCATGATGAGCGTTTTTCGGATCAAATTTTGAGGTGAAATCAAATGGTGGTAAAGTGAAATCAGAGTTGGCCTCTCTGTAGAATCCAAGTGAAGACTGGGCCCGTCCTCTAGTAGGCTTGGCTGAGTCTGTACTGTTTTGTGCTTCCTTCGCTAGATCGACGGCAGAAGTGTCTCGGAAGAGGGAGTCGTTAGCGAGAGAACTATCATCACGGGTCTGTTCCCGTTGAGGGGATGTGTGATAGGCTACGGCGGTAATATCAGAAAGTTTTGCGGCATCTGAGAGTGTTCTATTCTTAGATGCACGAGCTTCACCTGGCGTTGGACGTAGAGGTGGAGGTGGTGGCAGATCAGCACTCGAACTTTTAACCAAAAAGCCATCTAGGCCCCAACTATCGAGGTTTATATCATCTTTAGGGATATCTGGCCGGTCTTCCACTTTTTGTTGTGTAGGGTATGACATATCAAAACCAGCTCGATATGCTTCAACGGATTTCGCGATGTCGATCTTTTTGGTAGCTGGAATAGAATTATCTGAAGATAGGCTTGTACGCTTAACTCTATCGCTCAGTTCGCCGATTTCGCTGTCAAACTTGGCGTATTTATTGATACCATCCTCAGCGGTTAAAGGCGCGGGTGCGAACAAAGCAGAATCTTTAGCTTTATTGCTACCGTCATATTCTAATAAGGCTGCTGCCAGTGCCAATCGATTGAACGACATCGACGTTTAAAATCAACGATTCGTTCAACCAAAACAGTCATCATGCCAGCGAAAACAAAAAGATACAAAGGTCCCTTGGATCTCAAACGATGGCATTGGTATACTTTCCTTACGTGAGTTCTTCGCTTATCTATTATAGGGGCGTTGCTCGCAGACGCCAACTAATATATAGAACGATATTGACATTACATTAGCTGGTTCGTCGCTCTTATATTCCCTCCGTTTGGTGCCCTCGTCAGATTTGGTAGGCTCCTCCATTGGCATTTATATGATCATTCTAACATTACACGGGCTTCGGCAAGGATTTCCTGATAACTTTCATACTCACACTACTCGGCTGGATACCTGGTTAGTCCTAGGCTATTGATTCCCTCTCGCCGCTCATCTAAATCACAGGTCAAATTTACAACTTTTACATACAGAACATTAGAGATAACAGAACGAAGGAGCGTACACCACAATTCGCCATAAGATATAAATTAGTAGACGTCGATAAATACAGGAAAAGACAGCAACGAAATGCTTGGAGACAACGATATGAAGTCGGAGGTATAGACTCCGAGGGTATTTTTGACTCCAGATCGAGCGTATCATCAGATAAAAGCGCAACATACTTCGAATTGCCTTTTAATACTGGTTCAGGTCCGATAAACAGTCAAAATTCTAGTTTCATAGACGACATACAACAAACTAGCAGATCTACAAATCGCAACAAGGGCTCCCTATTTAAGCGCACCTTTAGGAAGCGCAAAGATCCAAATCACAAGAAAGATCGCTGGGAGCGGACGCGTATATCACGTGAACAATCACACATGATGGTACCTGATAGTTTGGATGAATTAGAAGCTCCTGAAGAGCCTATAGGAATGTATAATACCGCGCACAATACTCATGATAAAGTTTCAATTCGTGACACCGCGTTATCAACTGATTTAAGACACGAGTAGGTTTATCTTGCGTTATCAAAGTTGTGCTAACATTCACAGATTTTAACCTCATTTCACGACACTTGTATTATTAAATGACATTAATTGGATTTGCATGAACATAATAATGTATGAATTAACCGTTGTTATATTGGCTTGGCTTACAAAGCAAAAATATTTAAGGTGATCATAATAACTAAAGTGAATAAGATATCCTATCGAAAAGAATGAAGTGTGAGATAGTGTCCATTTTTGTTGTCGTTAATTTAAAAAGAAATAGAGAGAAATCTAAACATAGCTGATATCACGTCTCCTGGTTGAGGACCTTCCGAAACAAATTCCTAGTAATGAAAGGACACTACCAACAATGAGGCATCCAGCAGCAGCAACACTCAACCATTCGGCGTTGTCAAGTTTTGAGTCAATTTGAGCTCCAGGAATGTCAAGTCTGTCATTCATGATATTCTGGAATACCTTGAAAAGCGCAACGTTGAGCGCTAAAGTGACAATACCGACTAAAGCGGTGAAACCTTCAAAGATGGTGAGGAAGATAGCAGTTATTCTGCCACCACGGATTGCCAGCAATCCAAAAAGACTGACGAGAAGGGACAACAAACCACATACTGGGTTCAAAACGAGTGCGTAGGTGATGTTCTCAACTGCCTTGTTGTCTATCGTGATATTAACACCTGGTAATTGATTGATTGGATCCTCCAATCTGTACCCAAGAGACTTATCTGAGCACTGATCATTGTAGCACCAGCCTAAAAATCCATATTTTATAGTACCTGGTGTAATGTTTATGTTTGCAACGTTCACGCTCGGAACTTGGATGCTGATAATCGTCAGAACGTGTTCTTGATTGATAGAAAGGGGAAGCTTACCTGAAGAAGTTAACTTTGTCCCATACTGGTGTTGATACCGTTATACTAGCATCAAATTAGCATGTGCTATCTAAAGCTGAAGTCTTGGCTTACAAGATATATAGCACCAGAGCGGCGAAGGCGAGGAAAACGGCTGGTATTGCTGCACGACCCATAGTTTATATTACAGTTTGTTGTTATTTGCTTTCACGTATTTGACAAGACGTCGTCGTCGTCAACTTAGAAAAGCGATGAGACACCACAGCTTATTTTTTATCGCAGCATCATCAAAAATTACTCCGATATAACTTTAATTTGAACATATTAGTCAATTTTATTAAATTATCTTACATTCATAGTTCTCTACTACTCCTGTTCAATGACTCCAATTAGCAGCACTACAATCAGCGATGCATTTCACAAATTAGACCCTAAGCCATCTACGGGGGGTTATCTACCTGATCTGCATTCATTCACAGGCTCTCAGACTCTCTCAGCGCCCGTATTTCCTATCAAATTCGTTTACAAAGATTCAGGGACAGCTCCACTTCGTCAACATTTCGTCGATCTGTGTCCAGAAGGTCATATATTACTCTTGTGTCCACCAGAAGACTCAACAAACGCCTGCTTTGGTGGCCTTCTTGCAACTGCCGCAGCTGCGCAATCCGTAGCAGGCGTAGTCGCGAATGGTCGTGTAAGAGATCTCGATGAATTAGAAGACAGCGGCCTTACAGTGAGTTCTGCCTTTCTTCTATTAAATATACACATATTAAATTATTTCAAGATTTTCGCCAAAGGTACCAGTGTCTGTGGCCAGGCACCTTTTCTGGCCCCTGTAAGTGCAGGCGAAACAGTCGAGATTACTCACCCTAATGGACACAAAATTACTATCAAGTCAGGTGATCAGCTCTTTGCTGATAGGAACGGTGTCATAGTTGTCGATTCTACTCGAATGAACGAAATTGAGGCTATAGCAGCCAAATCTGAACAAACCGATGAGCTTTGTAGACAAGCACTTGCAAAAGGTGACAGTGTCAAGGAAGTTTTTGCTAAGTATCGCGGAAAATGATTTTACGATGCGTGTATTACGAATTCATGAATGTTGTTATATTGATCTATATATATTCACTCATTTGCTAATAATAGAGTATTAATGTACATAAATAGCTGAGATACAAAGGTTTAGGTCTGAGATATAACGTAATTTGCTAGTTTGTTAACCATGACCCTGTCCAATCCGACAACAGATCCTTTCTCTTGCTGCTCTGGATCAAGAGCATGTTTGGCGAATGTTTCTAAATTGAGATTGTGCTCGTTACAAAGATGCAACAGACATATGAAACAGAAACTTGTGGAAAGGTCGTTAAGTTTTTCAGTTGGATAGCTACTCTTTAGGCCATCAATAACACTTGAAAACTTCTTTCCAACTTCCTTCTTTTCATCGTTATCTCCAGGTGCGACATTCTCCGCCTCGTCATCCCCATCAGGAGCTTCCAAGCTCTTCCAAATGTTGTCCTTCAAAGCTCTGACATCCACACGCTTGGCGCGCTTAGAGTAGTTAACAAATTCTGGTCTAACCTTGTTCAATTGTTGTAAATGTGTGGCAGCCAATGCGTCATCTTCATTCACATGCTCTGATTGATGACCTGGATCTAATTCACCGCTAACTAAATCATCACCCATATCTGGATCATCTTCTTGGAAGAACTGTGGATCAAGTGGTGCAGCTGGTGGTTGTTCACCATCATCGAATTCCAAACCCTCAGAAGCACCAGCCCAGAATGCAGCAGCATCAGCATTGTCATTGTTTTGATTACCCCCTGGAATAAGTTTGCTAGATTTCATTCTAAGTGAGACCTTTGGTTTTAAAAATAGCTTGAGTAATTGCTTTGAGTTAAAGTGAATATCATCTGGTAAAAGGAATTCACCATCACGATTCTTCTTTGGCATCATAATCGAAGCTGATCCTGCTCCTCTTGCTGTTGGTGGCATGAAGAGCGTCTTACTGTTAGATTTCGTTGGCTCATCAAAGTCAATCATAGGAATAGTTTTGTCCTCTTTACTCTTTTCTTTCTTTGGAGCTGAAGCCGCATCTCGTTTTACCGAACGACGAACACCCCAATGCTCAGGACCTGCCCAACCTTTCATCATGTTCTTATCAAAGTAGTCGAACATGCCTTCAGAATTGATAGGTATGGATGACATGACCATATTACCATCACCAGATGGATCAAATTGATCAATTGTGTGTACCTGTTGCTGTTGTTCCTCATTTTTGCTTAAAGAGTCAGGTATGTTCCAACCATCTTCGTCAACACCGCCAGCGTTGGCTGTGATAGTAGGGTTAACAGTCCAAGCTTCTTCGTCGATTTCGCCAACTTCGTCATTTGCCGCTGAGTCAAAGAAGTCGTCCATTTGTACATCTGCCATATCAGCTCCACCGCCGAAATCATCCTGGTCATCATGCTGGAATTCCATCTTTTCATCTTGAGGAGTAACTGGTCTCTCAAAAGGATTCTCAGTTAGGTCTTCATCCGTTGGATTTAACGAAAATTTGAATGTTGACAAAGAAGGGCAGATTTCCTTTTCATCTAGTTCTTGAATCGAAGATAAGAATTTTGCTAAAAATAATGTTATTAGGTGCTCAAGATGATATTGTGTACTCACATTGTAGTTCTTTAATGTCTATACGTGGATCTTGGTCAGTGCCTTGATATTCGTCTTCATCTTCAACCATGACAACATCCGATGAGTCAAAAATAACACGACCAACACCATCAACACCCAAGTGGTTCATCAGTAAGCCGCCAGCACCGCCTTCATCGAAATCAGCTGAGGTTTTTTTGAAAAGTGGGTCAACCGCCAGTTCTAATTCGAATTCTTTTGCTTTGATGGAGTTGAAATCTGAGACCAACGTCGATCCAGTACGTGGTGCCTAACGAGGAGTTAAATGAGATAATTCAATGTATTGTATTACTCACTCTTCTTTTCTTGCTAACTTTTTCGGTGACTTCTTCAGCATCACTTTCATCTTCATTATTCGCGGCTTCTTCGCGGTCATTTGTACCTTTGTAGTATTTCAAAATGTATCCAATTACTTATATGAGACGTACCACCTGCTGATAAACCGTTGATAAGCTTTCCAGCTTCAGTAGCTACACTATCAACTCTAGATGTCCAGATCTTAACACAACCATCTAAAGTGCAACTTGCTTTTTGAAAATTGATTGAATTCTGATTGTCGTCATTTCTCAAGAGAGACATATCAGCGAAATAATCGATTAAAGCGAAATTCCAAGTGTTTGCCGCGTTAATTTTCTATGATATTGTTAGTATTATACTATTGAATAAAAGTGCAAAGATACATTGTCCGTTGCCATTTTCATCCATTCTTCGAAATTTGTTGTCATAACATCTAAACTGAGAGCTGGAGTGTTGCCTGCAGGCTGAGGTGCGATAGTAGTGGCAAGTTTATGCCTAGCTACGCGTGAACCAACGTTCATATTCTTTGTTTTGTGCGATGGTGAGTTCTTATTGCTAGTATCGTCATCTGGATAGTGCGACTTTCGCCTTCTACGCTTCTCAGCAGCGTCATCATCACCTTCTGGATAATTTGATTGCCTTCTAGCTGCTGATGTTGCGGTAGCTACCAAAGATTTACGCGGTCTGACTAAAGACTGTCTAGGTTGTGAAGCCGGAGACTGACTATCATTTAAATGCGCTTTAAATTCACTCCTTTTATTTCTTTTTGATGGCCTCGGTGGTGATAAACTGCTGTCTGTATCTGAAGACATGATCGTTGAAATCCAAACGCGTTCGTTCAAGTCAATCAATCAACAGTTCAGATTCAAAATCAATGGATACAGTAAGTTTTATAATAAATATACAATAATTTACTAAGTTTTTAGGAAATGAAGGATTTTGACGATCTTGGTATGTTGATATAACCCTTCTTTATCTCATTTTGAACGTTATTCAGTCAATGATGACAAGTACGAAATGGGAACTGGACAGGAACTAGCTAGGGCTGAGCTGCAAGCTACAGAGGATATGTTTGAAAGGAGGAGAGTCCTCAGAACCCTCGCTGTACCCACAGACGACAACAAAGTTAGAGAGAGACTCAGAGCATTCGGTTTACCAATGACCCTATTCGGTGAAAGGGTGTGTTATCCCTATCAAAATGTATTCACATATTCACACGTTACAGCCAGAAGATAGGAGGAGTCGTTTGAAATCTATGATCGCTGATATGCAGGAAGAAGCTGGAGAGAAAGCCAAAATAGAAAGCGAGGACGAATCTGAAGTCTGTATTTACATTACACTGTGTTTCCTATCCTAACAATATTTAGGAAGAAGAGGAATTCTATACTGTTGGTTCACAAGAATTGCTGCAAACACGAAGGTTGCTAGCAGAATACTCCATCCCACGGTAAGTATCTTTGCTCACTATCTTGGTTACTCTCTGACAGTAGCAGAGCAAAAAGGAGAATAGAGAAAGAGCGTGACGATTGGGCAAAACCTCTAAAGTCAATTGTAGACGCGAGGAAACGTACATTTGAATACATCAAGGTATGTCATTTAACATCCTTGTATTACTTAACAACTTTAGTCTTTCAATGTACTCGGATCACAAGTTGGAGATAGTCGTCCTATCTCACAAGTCAAATTCTCCCCTGATAGTCAATTGTTAGCCACAGGAAGCTGGACCGGCAATATAAAGTTATGGGATATACCAAATTGCAACCACCAGATGACATTAAGAGGTATGTCTTACTGTCTTGCATTTATAACCACTAAACGCATTACATAGGGCACGATGGTTTGGTTGGTGGTGTTGATTGGCATCCTCAGGCTACCCTTAATCAGAGTAAATCCACTGTGAATTTGGCTTCTGGTTCACAAGATAGCACAGTTGCATTATGGTCATTAGAAAAGTAAGCAGCAGTTGAATAGATATAGAATTAATCTCTAAACCATCTATAAGGGATACACCATTAGCAACTTTAAAAGGTCACACTCATCAAGTAAGACGAGTCGCCTTCCATCCATCGGGAAGATACCTAGGTAGTGCATCCTTTGATGAAACATGGAGGCTCTGGGACGTTGAAACACAAGCTGAGTTGCAGTTGCAAGAAGGACATTCGAAAGAAGTATACGCTTTGGCGTTCCAGGATGATGGTGCATTGGTCGGCTCTGCCGGTATGGATGCTATTGGACGTGTTTGGGATCTCAGAACGGGTAGAACTGCGATGGTTTTGGATGGACATGCCGACAAGATTTTAGCATTGGACTTTTCGCCTAATGGGTTAGTTGATTACAACCATAATAGCTAGCATGTTCTTACTAAAGTCACAGCTATCAATGTGCGACAGGTTCTGGTGATGGTAAAATAATGATATGGGATTTGAGAGCTTTAAAATCGATATCAACCATGCCTGCGCATAACATATCAGTTGGTGATCTCAAGTTTTATAGACAACCAGAGAGAGTTCTAAACTCTCGCAATGATAAACAGGATGTAAAGATGGATGAAAGTGGAGATAATGAAGATATGTCGCCTCTTGTTAAAGAACCTTATTCTCATGGTCTCTTCTTAGCAAGTGCTGGTTTCGATGGCTACACAAAGCTATGGAGCGCAGATGACTGGATCTGTCAAAGATCTATTGCCGAGAACTCAAAAATTATGTCAGTTGATGTCTCACGTAATGGTAAACACCTCGCGACTGGTGAATGGTCGCGATCGTTCAAGCTATTCGGAACTGAATTGTAGTAAACATAAAAATGTAACTTATTATCTGATTATATATTAAAAATTACTAACTGCATCCAAAATTTATTACTGCTTCTTTGCTTCGCGTTCTTTCTTACGAAGGGCTCTTTGACGAATATCTTTCTGCATTTTATGGGTGTACCAAAGTACCAATCTCTTAAAACCACTTAAACTGAGTATAGCATCAACAATAGCGTGTGACCAGTAAGGAGTAGATGTATATGGTCTTGAAATTGAGCCACCGTTTAAGCCAATTCTAGTGAGAACTGATCTAACATAAGTTGCAGGCAATGGTATGAGTTTCGATGGTCTACGGATCTTTGACATTGAGGATACGACGAAGTATGTGTTTACTAATTCGACGGTGACACCCTTTGACTTGACTTCCTCACCGAGTGCTTGTGTCCAACTAAGCAAGAAAGATTTTGAGCCAGTGTAAGTTGCAAGCAAAGGAGTTGGTACAGTTCCAGCGAATGAACCGATGTTTAAAATGAGACCATTTTTGCTGCATGTAAAGTGAGAGAGGTAAAAGGGAAAGTAAAAACTAACCGCTCGATGAGTTTTGGTAAGACGGCTTGAGTAACGCGCAAGGTTGCGTTGATGTTGATTTCGACGATGGCTTTCAACTCATCGAGTGGAGTTTGCTCGAATGGGACTGGCATTTCGTGAGATTTACCAACGTTGTTCACGAGAACACCAATGTTAAGACCGTCAATGGAGTTGCTAAGGGCGTCGTATGAGCTATCGTCACCAGCGGAGAAGTCAATTGATTGAGTTTTTGTCTTGATATTGTATTTTGACTCTTATTATATTGTTAAATAGTATAACTAGTTTACTGATAACGCACCTAAATCGGCTGCAACAGCGCCTAGCTTCTCTGCAGATCTGGATGCAAGAACAATATTGAAACCGGCTTTAGCGAGTTGGAAAGCGAATTCCCTACCAATACCGTCTGTTGCACCAGTTACGACTATGGTGTACTGTTATTATAGTTATATAAAGGATGTTATATGACCAACCTGCCCATGTGCCTTTACCTGCACCAAACTTCTTAAGCTTATGAGATAGTTAGATGAATAGCTATAGTATGATATATTTACTAACGCTAATACCTTTTCTGATCGTAACGTCAAAGAAAAGTCTGAGGAGTCGAAGAAGAGTGATCCCAGCGACGGTCGCACCGAGGAGAGCGAAGGCTAGAGTGAACGTAGGGGTATTAGAAGCTTTGGTTGTTAAAGTGTGATCTATGGTAAGATTATAAAACTCACTAATTTTATCTAAACAATCTTGAATCATCGACGTTGCTCTCTTACATCCAATGGCATTGATTGAAGTGAGTGTTGTCGATAATAAAAAATATAACACCCGCTTATAGAATAATAGGTAATAGCAAACGATAGATTGGGTACAAAAGTTCGTGTTAAGTGCGATTCACATGATACCGTTGGTGATTTGAAGAAAATGATTGCCGCACAATCTGGAACCAAACCGTAAGTTGCTATACATTCCTTTTAGTTATTTATTCAATCAACAATATAGAGAGAAGATCAGACTGAAGAAATGGGTGAGAAACAATGATATAATAGCTTATTTATGTATTGACGATTAAACAGTACTCAGAATTCAAGGATGTGAGTTTAAAGCTTGTTATATTATTCATACTGATAGTGATATTAGCATATTACGCTATATGACGTGAGTGGGATTTAATAGATAATAACTGAAGATCTAAATGATATTAGTATGAAATGTGAGTAATGGTTATCTATATAAAAATACAATTAACTAATAAAACAATAGAAATGACGGTAAGTGGTAATTATTTTTATATAACATATTATATAACTCTAAATAAGGAATGTCACTTGAAATGTACTAATCTATTAATCAATTATTTTCCAATTAACTCATTTTTAATTTATGCCCGATAAACTCAATTGATAACGTCAACCCTGACAGTCATCATCACATTATGGGAAATATTATCTCAACTAACAATACACCAACTACAAACGAACAAGATTCAGTTTATAATGAAAAGCAAGCTCATTTCGATGACTTAGCTGACTCACAGCGTTTGCTTCAGAATCTCAAACTTAGAACTAGTACTGCTGAAGCTTCAGAGACTGTTAAGGTATCTTCACTTCTTTTGTTCATTCACCCGCCATTAACACTCATAGATTGACAGCTGCAAGTCTTGGGAAAACGCTCTACTCGAAGATCCTAAGAACAGACTCGCGGTCGACGCCTTTTCAAAATCAGACATTACCAATACACTCTCAAGCAGATCTGCTAGAATCGCTGACCACAATATCTTCAATTTGGTGGCCAGCAATGTTGAAGACATTACCTCACAAGACTCTTCAGGTAGATGCTGGTTATTTGCAACCACAAACTTACTTAGAAATGATATAAAGAAGCAACTCAATTTGTCTGACTTCCAATTATCCCAAAGTTACTTAAGTTTCTGGGACCGTATTGAAAAGTCAAACCAATACCTTGAACACTCAATTGAATTGGCAGACGAGCCTATTGGAAGTCGAACTGTAGACTATATTAACAGCGGTCCAATTGGAGATGGTGGCCAATTTGATATGGCCGTCAATTTGGTCAACAAATATGGTGTTGTACCACAATCGGTATATCCAGAATCTTACAACAGCTCAAACTCAGGCAAAATTAATAGTTTGTTGACTACTAAATTACGTGAAGGAGCTTTAGAATTGCGCAAGTTGTCAAAATCTGCATCACAAGTTAGCCCAACTTCTGCCGATAGAATTGTGCGTAGACGTAAGAACGAATTATTAGAAGAAATATACGGTGCTGCTGTTATCGCATTTGGTCCTCCTCCATCCGCCAATGAAGAATTCACTTTTGAGTACAAAGATAAGAACGACAAAGTTCACTCTATCACAACGACCCCGCTTGGATTCGCTAACAAGTACCTTAGCAACTTCCGCATCAATGATTGGTACAGTTTAATCAATGATCCACGCAACGAATATTCAAAGCTCTACACCGTCGATAAATTGCAAAACGTAGTAGGAGGTAGACCTGTTCTTTACGTAAACACCACGGCTGATAGACTTGTCGATGCTGTTGTTACTCATCTCAAGAATGGAAAGCCTGTTTTCTTTGGCTGTGATGTAGGTAAATTCAGTGAAAGGAATGGTGGATTGCTTGATCCAAAGTTATTCGATTACGAGCTTGCATTCAATTTGAAACTTGGATTGACTAAAGCCGAAAGGTTAGCAACTGGGGAAAGTAGCATGACACATGCTATGGCTATCAATGCTGCTCACATCGTTGATGGAAAAGTTCAAAGATTCAGAATCGAAAACAGTTGGGGTAAGTCAGCAGGTCAAGATGGCTACTACATTTGTACCGTTGATTGGTTCAAGGAGTTCGTCTACCAAGTTGTTGTAAATAGACAGATTGCTCCTAAGGATCTCACCACAATCTTTGACAAACCTGAGGACGCTCATGTTCTCCCATGTTACGATCCGTAAGTTTGTTTTCATGATTAAATTAAGACCTCTAATCTTACTTAGTATGGGTGCTCTCGCATAGATTGGCAGAATAAGGTATTTTTTATGAATGAAGAAGTATCACAAATTTTTTTTGTTATCAAATGAATGTATAAATATGATCTTATATTTTTCTTTGCTTTTGTATTTATTTTCAAAATTTTGGTGTATTTGTTGGTTCCATTGTTATGACTTGTTTCACTAAACGACAACTCAATGTTGATGATGTCTTAATATGTCCGAGAATATTATTTGAATACCCTATATACTGTATTGGTCTCTTCAATATTTATGCTTTATCGCAATTGTTATGTTCAATCATGTGTTCGACTTAACGACGATGATATCGTCACTTAAGATGGAATCAGAAAATAAAGTTTTCAAAATTATCTTTATGAATTATAAATATGTCATATTGTCAGTTAGTGCTCTCCTAAACGATGAACTCTTATGTCACTTTGTTTTAACAATTTGAAGTTTAAGATGACGAGAGGAGCGAGACACGGAAATTGGATGAAGTTGTATGAAGTTCCTTGTATTCATAAATGCCTCTATGATGCAGGAATCAATGCGGTATTGGCATAGCCGAGATGGCTAGCATACTGACACAGGTGACCTTTGCAGGAAATCTGCGAAATTCTCTGCTATATTTAACATAAAATTATAGTTTTTTCCAACATGCCGGTTCAAATAATTGTAAAAGCTACTTATATCTACTCAATTGATGATGCATGAAAGATGCGTACTTATGATTGATGCTCGAAAGGGGCGACATCTACAGATATGTGAAATACGTGAATGGAAGCGTCATTACTGATTCATATGCTTCAGTAGAAAATGCACTCATTTAGTCACTCCCATCGGATAAGGAACAGTGCATAAAAGTAAATCAGCTAGTTTTTACATGTCCTCGCAAACACATATAATGACGACAGCTTGCTTGTTTGGATACCCCGTTCGCTCAAGTTTCACATCAAAAAGCTGGGTAATTCTTTGTATATGACGTACATTCCTTGCTCATTGCTGAATTAACAATAAATATCCTACCAACGAGCATGGTTTATTAGGATTATATTAATGCGAGAAATAATTAGGAACTAAAGAATGTGCTTTTCTATCTACAATCAAAACATATTTTAAAAGGGTCAGCTCAAGTTGTGTGATAAAAAAATTCCAAAGAACAGAACAGAAATGCGAAGATTGTGCAAGGATGGACCGAGGTAACACACCTGAGCCAACATCACAAGTTAATTACGATTTGAAATAAATAAAACTATTCGTGGGAGTGTCAACGATACGCCAAAAGTCTTGGTCGCAGACATAACAGTGACATTGGAACGAAAGAAAAGGACTAGCTTTAGGGCATTAGAAGGTGGATATTTTTGTTCAAATATGTAGTAAGTCGCCTTAGTGTAGCCGGGTTATAAGACCATTCGATGGGTAGAAATTTAATGCACTAAGAGACGCTATTACTTGATTAAGTTGATACACATGATAGTATTAAACAGATTTTAAAGTTATGTAATGATCTGAATTAAACTATAATGCTCATAGATTTGTGTTGTTTTGTTTGTTTCTGTCTCAGTCTATGTGAATATCACCTAGAGTCTTTCGAACTACCAACTGATGGTTCCAAACATTACATAGCTTCCTAGAATGCATTTCGGGTATCTAACTTAAAGCGTATAAAGGTATACTCCTATAAGAAGACTAAATGTACCAAGCATGATAATGCTTCACATTTTTTAAATATCACAGGAATGTGGTAGATCCACTGGTGAAGTTAGTATCATAAATCAAGCTGTTAGTCCGTCTCAATTAGTAGGTGCTTTTCGTGAATTTGAGTTATATTGTGTATATCAATTAAAGACCATAGAACCGCGAAGGAATTGAAATATAAGTACATCTAAGATGAAGTGACTGTAGCTTTGGCTTGTTTTGCCTATTGAATAGTTGTAATGACTAGGTATGTGTTATTAGAAACATACTTACGGCTACTTTAGCGGCCAAAGCCTGAGCATCTCTAGTATTATTATAAGGATGATTGATCTATAAGTCGAGTAGTTTCACCTACGCTTCTCTCTTGTTCGACAGACGTTGAGCGGATTGCTTTGGACCTATGGATATTTAATAATGAGAATAATGTATATACCTAAGTAGACCTACCTTTATTGTTAGCAGCAGCTTTCTTCTGAGCACGCTCACGATCTCTGAGGAAGGCGTTCTAACTGGCATGAAATAGGAAATCTGAGTGACTCACTTATCTCTTTGGTTACCTCCTATAAGGATTATAAGCGTGAACTACTTTATTAGTAGGTTATATAACATACTGCTCATAATGGTTTAATCAAAACATGGAAAAGGAAAAAAGGGCAGTCTAATAGATAAAAATCCGCTGTTTAGATGAACTTGTAAATAAATGAGTACATTTCAAGAGCGTCAATGAATTTAGAGATCAGCTCTGATGGCAGCTTGACGTCTGAGGTTTTCAAGCAATGGACCTTGTGGCTTGATGTATTGAACGTAGGCACCATCCTTTTGGACACGACCTTCACCGCGTAACTTCAAGTATTGCTCACGGTCAAGGTTGGTGAAACCCCATTTCTTTGAAACGATGATCTTTTGACGACCTGGGAACTTGTAACGAGCACGACGGAGAGCTTCCTTGACGACGTGTGCGTTTTGGTCCTTACAACGAATTGAAATCAAGACTTGACCAATGTTTACACGTGCGACGGTACCGTATGGCTTACCCCAAGCATGTCTCATACCTTGTTGCAATCTATCAGCACCAGCGCATGACAACATCTTGTTGATACGGATAACGTGGAATGGGTGTACACGGACACGCAAGTGGAAAGCTTCCTTACCAGCGGTCTTAACAATGTACTTGTTGCAGGTAATACGTGCAGCTTCGAGGGCTTCAGATGAAAGTTGTTCAAGTTCATCTGAGACCAAGTGAGCACAGTATGGGAAGTCATCGACTGGAGCCTTCTTACGACCTAAATCGAAGATACGAATCTTTGGGTCTGGGACACCACGGTTGTATCTTGACTTTGGAAATGGCTAGATAGAGAATTTAGTGTGAGTGTATTAGATGTCGAGTAAATTTACCTTGTTCTTGATGTATCTGTGATGATTTGTAAGCCAAAATAAAGTATGAGGAGAGAAAGAACACACCTGTAGCAACGGAAAGGACGGCGACCCACTTAAATGAATGATTAATAAATCTATTAGTTTCTTTATTACTACCTACTATCTCGAAGTTGGCTGTTCTGCAAGAAGAAGCTTTTAAAAACTGTCCACTTAGCTCATCGGAAAGAAAAATTATAAAAATTACTAATAAAATAAATAAAATAATAAATTAAATAAATAAACTCTATAACGATAAAAAATTATTTTAGGCTGAAAGCCTTAATATGCGTTTCTAGCAAAATTGAAGGTGTTGCACTTATGGGTGTGCATATGAGGTGTATAAGAATAAATAAACTAAGAGCTCCTTAGATAAGCCCGTAGTCGCCATGCAGTTGCTAGTTGTGACAACATGAAGGTGTTATAATTTTAATAGATAAATAAATAAATAAATAAGAAATAACTATGAAACTTCTTGTTGCTTAAATTAAATTATTTAATTTATTAATTTGTAATTTTTAAAAAATTCAACCAACTACTCACTCGCTGCCTTCTTCAAACTTTTACCAGGTTCATCAGGAAGCGGTCGATATGGGTTAGTTAAAATACAGGACTAAAAGCTTTTTAACTGATATTTTAAAGGTTTCGCACACAACAACGTACTTCACCGTTAGTTTTATCCTTCATACATCAGTCACACCTCTAATTCCCTCCAGGCAACCACTTCAGAAAGGATTGGCAATCAAGAGTCAAGACTTGGTTCAACCAACCTGGCAAGAAGAAGAGCCGTCGCGTTACACGTGAGAAGAAGGCTGCTGCACTTGGTGTTCGCCCATTAGAAAACCTTCGTCCAGCCGTCCGTTGCCCAACCATCCGTTACAACCGCAAGTTGCGCGCTGGTAAGGGTTTCTCATTGGCTGAATTAAAGGCTGCTGGTATCCGCCGTAAGGAAGCACTCTCTATTGGTATCCCAGTCGACCACCGTCGTCGTAACCTCTCAGAGGAAGGTTTGAAGATCAACGTTGATCGTCTTACCGCCTACAAGGCTCGTTTGATTGTCTTCCCACGCAACGCTAAGAAGCCAGCAAAGACCGACTCTAAGGACCTCGACGCCCAAGTCACCCGCGACGTCAACGCTGCTATCCCAATCCCAGCTGGTACCGTCGCTGAGGCTCCAAGAAAGATCACCGATGCTGAGCGTGAGACCAACGCTTACCGTACCCTCCGTAACGAACGCGCTACCGCTCGTTACGACGGTGCACGTAAGGTTCGTGCTGCCAAGAAGGCTGAAGAGGAGGAAGCTAAGTGAGTACTCTCTTTTGACTTGAATTTATTACTAATGACTACTAGGAAAAAGTAAACTGAATGACAGCTTTCTATCCCGGTTGTACCCATATAAAACCATTCAAACAATCTTCTTATCCGTCTGTTTGTCTGTCTGCCCTTGAGTTTTTAAAAATTTTAATAGTAATTTCTCATAAAAATCGATTTGTTAATCTGATCGATGATGACGAGAAATCAAGATGAAATTAGTTTAGAAGATAAAGTAGAAGAATTAGTTAGTGTAGTCTATAATAGCTTGTATCATTCACTAAATACTAATAGACTAATCAATTAAACAAATCTCAACTCTCAACTGATCATCTGAATGACGAGTTGAAAGTCGCGAAATCTAACCTGACACTCTCACAAGCTAATTTTGAAATGCTTGAACAAATTATACAAAATGGTGATAGGTTCTCTTCAAATAAGCGTACAAAGTCAGATTCTATACAATTTAGTATACTAGATGAGCTAAAGAAGTTGAAAAGCCAGAATATTACTTTATCAAAAGAGAAATCTCAATTAGAGGAGGAGTTCGAATCTTTATCACAGGCTTTGTTTGAAGAAGCGAACAAAATGGTTGCAGAGGCTCGTAAATCTCAGTTTGATTTCCAATCTTACAATACAAGTTTAATCGAAGAGAATAAATCACTTAAATCTATTATTAAATCTTTGCAAGCGGATCAATCAAATCGTGCTTCATTATCTCTTCCAATGACTATCCCACCACCTCCTAAAGCTCCACAAATTAGTTCTACAACTTCCTCAATTCAAACTAGATCTTCTTTGAAACACCTTGAAGATGACGCTGAAGATGATTTACAACAATCTGCTCCTATCGTTAGACCAAGTTTAGATAAGACTCCCACTTCTCCACCAAAACCAAGTCAAACTCCTTCCGTTACCCGTCTTAATCAAGTTAGACAGTCTTGGTTTAGCAAATTTAGAAAACCTACAAAGCAACAAGATGATCCATTTGATCTTAATGAAGGTTATGGTGCTCTAATGTCACTTAACGTAGATGATGATGATGATGACGATAATGATCAAGAAGTCTTAATTGATAATAACGGCGATAATAATGATAATAATAATGCACATAAATCTGAGAGTTTGACTAAATCTCCATCATTCCCAACATTAGGAACTTCATCTAAACTTTCGACAGGTCGAACGTCTTCATTCCCTAGTATACCACAATTAAAAACATTCAATTGATATTGCATTTTCAAATAATCTATTAAATAATTATTACAAGTTGTGAATCTATATGCTAAACGATCCGTTTAAATATTGCCTTGAGAGTTGTGATTAATAAATATTGTCATTATTGTTCAGTATATAATTTAAAGTACTTCCTGGTATATTCGTAGCATCCAAGTTCAATACCTGCACCTACAGCTGCACCTAATCCTCTTAACATACCTGATTTGAATAAAGTACGTATGCCTTCAGTTTTTGATATATGTAATCCTACACTAAAAACTCCTTTTCTATTGCTATCAATACCTTGACCTAACATAATTCGAGTTTTAACCACATCCAAAGGTGTAGTTATTACAGCTAAAGGCATTGCTGCAAATCCGCCTGCAAATAATGCAGCGTTTGGTTTGGATATTTCAAAATCTTTTTCAACTTTCTCCCTCAACCATTCATATAATGGGAAATAAGCTGCTGTAACAGGTAAATCTATGATTTTTTTATTAGAACTTTAAATTTATGGACTAATTAGACTAATCACTTCTTAAAACCACCGCTTTATAACCACTTTTTATATCTGACCATGCTGATTTTTGACTGAAAACGATTTTTGCAACTTGAAATGAAGATAATTGATTACCTTGAATTTGTGCCCTTTGCTTTATAGTATCTGCAGGTGCTATAGCACTACATGCTAGTAATTCACCTAAAATTGATGCTGTTAATTGTGCTGTAGGTGCATTCACATATTTTGATAACTCGGATTTTGCGTTCTCATAAGCCAAAAAGAACAAGGCTGATGCGGGTAATGTACTTAGTATAACACTACCAACTCCATTATATAAACCTTTAAATTCGAACGGTTTAGCTATCGTACTAGATGCTTGCATTCTATTAATTGAGATTGATTAAATTTAATTAATAACGACTATTTCATTTAATTACCTTGTTTTAATCGTATCTAATGGATCTATTTTCTACGTTAATATACCTATTAAACTTCATGATTAACATACAGAAGAAGACATCAACTACAAGTGCCGCCGCCGCTCCTGCCTATATTTAATGAATAAATATAATCACTCTATAGATAATAATTCTTTTTAGTTTACTTACGACGGCGATTTCAGATGAATCAGTCATCCGCTAATCTTGGTTGTTCTTATCAACCATGTTAGACTGGATTTTAGTTATAATTTTAATAATTTTAAGTTATAAATTACTTTTAAATAAGAATAAGATTATAAAAATTAACTACAAACGTCCTATTCAAGCAAATGATGATTGGAATGGTAAATTACTTGAAAATCCTTCAATATTTGCCCATAACTTCGATAAGAGTTTATTAAATGGTAAAAACGTTTCAAATGATTATATAACTTGTTATGATCCATCAACCGGTCAATTTATAGACGCGATCAAAGCTGCCAATGAACAGGATATCAAATCTCAAATTCAATTAGCGAAAGCTGCACAAGTTGAATGGAAATCTAGTAATTGGTCTCGTCGTTTGAAAGTCTTAAACAGTTTATTAGATTGGGTCGTTAGCGATATTGATAACTTAGTTGATGTAGCTTGCAGAGATACTGGAAAAACTAGTAAGTCATTTTTATTCATTTATTGTTATTACGATTGATAATATATTAACATAAATCTATAGAGGTTGACGCTGCATTTGGTGAAATTTTGACCACAGCTGAAAAGCTCAGATGGATGATAAACAATGCGAAATCAATTCTATCCCCCCAACGTAGACATACTAACCTTTTACTTGCTCATAAATCTTCGAAGGTTATTTGTTACTTTATCATTTATCTTTAAAACTGAAACTTTACTAGGTAGTTTATGAACCACTTGGGGTCACAGTAGCTTCAGTCTCGTGGAATTAGTATGTTAGTTTTATAAATTAATCAATCAGCTTCTCACGCTTTATTTAAAGTCCAGCTCATAATTCTTTATCACCGATCATTGCTTCATTGATTTCTGGTAACGCATGTATCGTTAAGGGATCAGAATTAGTTGCTTGGTCAACAAAATGGTTCATTGGCGCAGCACAAGAATGTTTAAGAGTAAATGGTGAAGATCCTAATTTAATACAAGTACGTTAAACCTCATTCTTTTATCCATGTTGTCTTACTTTCATACAAGCTCGTCATTTGTTATCCAGAAGTTGTTGAAACGTTAACAACATCAAATGATATTGACCATATAACTTTCATTGGGTCAGAATTAGTTGGAAAAAAAGTAGCTTCTGCAGCATCAAAAAATCTTAAACCATGCTGTATCGAATTAGGCGGTAAAGATCCTGCAATAATATTAGAAAGTGCAGACCTTAACTTTTTTGAATCCACTTTTATGAGGTCTGCCTTTCAGGCTGCTGGTCAAAACTGTATAGGTAGGATATTATATTTTTTCAATAAAATTTCTTTTAACATTGCAGTTAGGTATCGAAAGGTTCATAATTCATGAGAAGATTTACACTGATTTCATTGAACGCATGGATAAACGAGTAAAAGAGTTAAGATTAGGACCATCACTCAAAGAAGGCTCCTGTTCAGATGTTGGTGCTATGATTTCAGATACTAGGTTCGCAAAACTTGAAGAATTAATTCAGAATGCGATCAAACAAGGTGCAAGACTTCTAGTCGGTGGTAAAAGATATCAGCATCCGTTATATCCAAAGGGTCATTATTTTGAGCCGTACGTTTTAAACGTTTATCTAAATTACTCGCTAATTGACCTTCTATATTAGTACTTTACTTGTGGATGTTACAAAAGATATGGAAATTTTTCATGAAGAGCGTAAGTATTATTCAATTATATTTATATATTAATGACTAAATCGCACATTAGTTTTTGCTCCTGTTATGACTGTAATTAAAGCACAATCAACCAACCATGCTATCGATCTCGCAAATGGAACAAGATTTGGCTTAGGTGCAGCAGTATTTGGTAATAATAAAGCAGAATGTAGACTTGTGAGTGAGAATCTAAAATGTGGAATGGTTAGGTAAGTACTTTTTCTAAAAAAATTACTGTCTTTTATCATACTTAGTTTGAACGATTTTGGTGTCTTTTATCTTAACCAGTCTATGCCTTTTGGAGGCGTTAAATCCAGCGGTTATGGAAGATTCGGTGGACCAGAAGGTTTGCAAGGATTGTGTAATCCTAAAGTCATAATAGAAGACAGGTTCTTCTCTCTCATAAGGACACCTATACCTAAGCCGCTAGATTATCCTATAAAATCAGCGGTATCAAGCTGGTCATTTGTCAAGGGCTTGGTTGAGGTTGTCTATGCAACTGAAATCAAAGCGAAAATCCTAGGATTGAAAGATTTACTTAAAGGATTATAATTTCATTGCAACAGACTCCCACAATTTTCTAATATGACATCAAGCTTAGAACGAGCAGGATTAATATGTAGTTTAATTTAATTCAATACTATCCTTAGATCTTATTACCGTACTTAATTTCTTCCTTTTTAAGTATCTCAGTAAGCGTCAATTGAATAAGCTGATAATGACCTAAAAAGTCTGAGAATATTTTATATGATATTATTGTCGTATCAGTGTCTTTCATGTTTGTAATTCATCACAATCGCTATGTTTAATTACGTATTCTACTTAATGTCGATGTCGTTGTCAATTACAGTCAAGATCAGTTAGGGAGCTATCCAAAAACAGTCATAAAGAATTACAAATATGTTATCTTGCTTAATTAGCGCTCCATTAGAAATGAACCCAAACGCCAGTTGTTTTGATAAGCTTGAAATTTAATATCACTAGAGCAGCGAGACAAGGAAATTGAGTAAACTTTTTTAGGTTTCGCTTTGTTCAGAAATGCCTCTATGGTGCAGTAATCCACTCCGTATCGGCGTAGCTGAAGATGGCTTGCATACTGACACGGATGATCTTTGCAGGAAGTCTGCAACAATATTTGCTGCCTTCTACATGAATGACATAGGTTCGGGCCTAACATACCTGTTCAAATAACTGTAAAAGCTACTGCTATCTATTCAATTGATGATGCATGAAAGGTGCGTACTGATGATTGATGCTCGAAAGGGGCGACATCTACAGATATGTGAAATACGTGAATGGAAGCAGCATTACTGATCCATATACTTCAGTAGAAAGTGCACTCATTTAGTCATTCCAATCGGGTAAGGAACAGAGCATAAAAGTAAAGCAGCTAGTTTTTACATGCTCTCGCAAACTCATATAATGACGACGACTTGCTTGTTTGGATAGCCCGTCCGCTCAAGTTTTACATCAAAAAGGTAGGTAGTCTTTTCGTATGTCATACATCCTTTGCTCAATGTTGAACTATTAATATAATAATTACCTGGCAACCACCACAGTTCACTAGCTTTGTATTAATCTAAAGGCTTAATGAGAACTGAAGAATGCGTTTTCTATTTACGATAAAAATAAATCTTTCAATAGGATTAAGTCAAGTTGTGATGAAAAACTTCTAAAGAACATTACATAAATGCGAAAATCACAGTCAAAATATGGTTGCTCTAAGTGAGTTTTATAGTATACACTATTATCCAGGACAAAATAAAGTACTCAAAATGTGTAAACAGTAAACCATACTTGTTGTCCCAGGATTATGTCGTTAAAGTTGAACTTATTGGCAATGTGAGTGGAACAACAAACTACTAAATGATCTCTGCTAAACTTATCAAACCGCCAACTTGAAAGTAGAAACGAGTATCTTTATATTTGTTGTACAACGCAGATAAGATAAAGACCACGAAGATGTCTTGAGTACATACTCTATAGTTATAATTGTGCAAAATGATAAAATGAAAGTACATTCAACTTAAAGGCAAAGTGAACAATACTACCGAAACACGTCGTACCACAACAATAAAAACTAAACGCCTTACAATTATAATTGCACCAAATCCGAGTGGCACACTCACCGATGACCATCATGTTCTATAAATCACTTGACAATTCGTGCGACATTAATAGAGGCTTTGTTAGAGAAAAAGGAATAGTACATATTGCAAAATCACACAGGTTGAAACGTATTTAGTTCAAAACCAATTGGAAACGTTTACCCAAGCATAAATATTCATAAAATGTTGAGGTGAATCTGCATGTGTAAATCAAATACATGTATTTACTCAGCCTTCAGAACTTAAGCTTTATTGCCGCGAACCTTCTTAACTGGAGCATCCTTCTTTGGGTTTTGTGAAGCATAGATAGCTGAGACACGAGCTACTGATGGCTAAAAATGCAAGTTAGTCAAATCTTACTATATGAGAAGTAACTGAATTAATCTGAGAGTATTAAACTAAATAATGTAAATAATGTAATTCGCTTGAATGGCCAGAGAGATTTAGGAAAAAGTCATTAGACTGAATCAATCTGGTAAAGTGATACGAATAAGTTAATATGGCAACACAAATACGCCTGTCCTTTCAAAATTCTTTTTCGAGGGGGTTCTAGCGTGTTGCAGGTTGTTTTATACTCTCAAATTAATTCAGTTGAGCTAAACTTACCTTAAGAAGGTCTGGACGAGTAGTTGAGACAACGTTAGCAGTTGACTTGTATGCACGACGCTTTCCACCAGTGACTTGAGTCTTTGCGAAACCCTTGTTCCATTCGTTGATTGGAGACTTGGTCTTACGTGCAACAATCAAAGCACCCTTTTCTTGTGGCTTGATACCAAGAGCCTTTTGGCCGTTGATAGTAGAAGAGTACTTGTATGAGTGCTTTGCGATCAAGTTACCAGGTTCAGATGAGAGCAAAGGTGACTCTGGTGCACTTGGGCGAATGAATGAAGAAGATTTACGCAATAAGAGCCATTGAAGATCACCTGACACTATAAATTTATTAGATTTATCACTTCAATAATAAATTTTAGATTCTTCCCACTTTTTGCTGATGGATTTGCTCGCAAGAAGAGAACGTCCAAAAAGCTTCACGGGGTGAATAATTTAAAATTAAAATAATATCTGCGTTCATGAATATAATTTTACAAATCGGAAAACTTCTTATTTCATTTATTATGGGCTATAATCAAAGTCTACATCTTCTTCTGGTCTTCCGTCGGACATGAGAATAACAGAATAACGACCCGATAATCTCCAATCCTTTTCTTCTTGATCTAATTTCTCAGCTACACCTTTTGGTAAACCAACAACGACATCCGATTTAATCGTGCGCATCGAACAAACAGGTGGTGCACCTGGAGCAGAAGCTAAAGTACCAATAGCTTCAGAAAATGGTGTTGTTGGTGGTGCGCGACAATCATAAGTTAATTTACGATGATTGAGATCACCCTTAAAGAATACCAGTTTTGATTGATGAAGATCTAAGAAGAGATCTGGGCTAACCTCAAGTAAGTGGAAAAATGTGTAACCTGATATCCAGAAAGGATGCTGCTCATAGATCAATTTACCTTCTTGTTCATAACGCTTCCAACGTTGACCTAATGCACGCAACGCATTCAGTTCTTCTGGTGAACCTTTAAATAATCTACCATAACATGCGGAGTTAATTAACCACTCCCAGTCTTTCTTAGTAACATCAGAAACGAACCAAGAGAACCTCTTTCCGTGGAATTTGACTTGATTTGCTAATCCCGACTGAATCAAGAAATCAGCTAAAACTAAATCAGTAAATAATTCGAAACCAGCGTTATCAAGTACGAAGTCTATTCTACCGTTTTTGCTGTTTTTCAATTGGTTCCAAACTTTATCAATGTCATTACCAAGAATGTTCTTTTGCGTAGCAGCTAACTGATCACCACCAGTTGACTGTAAGTTCTTGATATCTTCTTCTGACATATCAATCAGAAGTGAAAGATCAGTTGAATTACCCCATAAACATACTTGGAATAATTCATAGAAGATTAACTTCTTTGCGTCATCATTTGGAATGTCAAATGGTTCAGCGAAACGAGTAGCCAATTCAAATACAGCATGTCCTGAACGTGCGAAAGTGTCACACTTTTGGCGGAAGAAGACATCATAATCTTGGAAGTATCTTGAAACTGAAAAGCAAGAATGCAAACGACGATATTTGTAAGCCTCTGCAAAAATCCATGGTGCACTCATGAAATCCTTTCCTTGAAAGTACTTGGCTATTTCCTGAACTCTCGTTAGTTCAAGAAGTTGTGTAAAATTACGAAGACGTACTTTGTTCCAGATAGCAATATCACCAGCACCATCATCTGGGATAGGTGTGAGTTTTTTGTTCCCTTTGAGGTCATCCATGAGAATATCCATTCTAATAGGCGTTAGTAATGGAAAATATTTCATGTTTCAGTTTACATACCTTTCAATGCATGCTAGTAAGTCAAGTATTTCATCCTCAGATGACAACTGATTTAAAGTGATTATAGTGTCCTCTATAGCTTTACCAAGGATTGTAGGTAAACGACGACCCATAACATCATTAGCAAAAGAGAAAGTGTGATAACCTCTAAAAGCTGGGAATGGAGGGGATTCAGGGTTAACGTATTTTGCGTCAATCTTGTTTGGTTCTGCCATGTAACTACGTGATCTAGGCGGCATATTCTTTAATCTAAGTTGTACCGATGAAGGGATAGATGGATTTGGAACATCAACGCTGCCGTTTGGTGTTTGCATTTTGTTTGATGAATGATTAAGAATAAGAAGGGATGGAGCCCTCTGTGTTAAGTAGCCAAAGGTGGAGAATTACATCATTTCATTTGGGGTATGTAAGATGACAAAATATAAAGAAAAAAAGCAGAAGATGAAAATGAATTAATCCGACCTAATTAAATCTAAATTATAAATAGTAATTCTTCCGAAAAAATCAGTAGAATCGTTGAATAAAAGTTTGATCTTGTTAACTTCAAAAATTTCTTGTAAATAAAAGGACTGTAACTTATTGTTGTCTTGAGGGTAAAAAGGCTGTTGATAAACAAAATCATCATCTTTATATAAAAGAATCTGACATAATTTACCAGAGAATCCACCTTGAAATGTCAAATTGAATTGCTTTAGTTTAAAAAAATTCTTCAATTTTATAAGAATAAATTGATTTTTACCATTATTTGAAGACCAACAACTATCATTTGACTTATCAATCAAATTTAGTTTATTAGAAAATTTATCTATATTTGAGCTAACTCTGGAGAAGTTATATTAACTATATCTATATTTATATTCAATAAGAACTGCTCACTTTAATTTATCTATTTCATTCAGCAACGACATATGAGTTTTAAGCAAGAAGTTTTAAATTTGAATAATTTTAGAGTTGATGGTAGAAAATTATTAGATATTAGGTTTTTAGATTATTCAATACATGATAATAATTTATACTATAATCAGGGTTTAACGAAATTGAAGCTAAACTTATCTAATGTAACATCAACTACCCAACAATTGAATATAAATATCAATACTTTGAATAATAATTTATCAAGAAACGTTTTGGATAATTTAATTTCGAACTTGAAATCAACCTTCACTTCCGTTATTAAATACAAGTACGCTTTAAATATAAATATTGATTTGATTAACTTGGACGGTAATTTATTATCAACGTTGATTAACTCTACTTCAGTATTGTTATTATTAAATGGTATAGAATTAACTGATATCACTGTTTCATCATCAGTTGGTTTATTTAATCAGAATTATCTGATAGATTTGAATAATTTTGAGGAATTAAATTGTAATTTTATTACAATTGCAAGTCTACCAAATTTGAATCAAATTTCTTTAATTAATTTAGATTCCAAATTTCATCACCAAAATTTTCAACACATCTTAGACCTAGCCTTAGAATCTAATAAACTACTTAGAACACAAATTTTGCTAATAATCAATAAAGAACTGAGGTATTTGAATAAAAAATTAATTATTTAAAAAATCTTTTAATGCATTCATGGTATTTAGAACATTATTATCTTGCCAAATATTCAAGACTGCACCATTCTTAAATACAACAAAACTCGTTGGAGTTAGATCGTTTAAACCAAGCATCTGTGCAATATCTTTGTTTAACTTTAAATCTAATCTCATAAATCCAACGTTTCTACCTGGTTGACCTCGTTCTATACTTAATTCATAAAATGCTTTCGATAATTCTAATTCATTGGAGCTATAGGTCGTATAAGGTGAAACTGTCATTAAAATTGATTTATAATTTGTTGTAATCACGGATCTTAACATATCTAAACTTATGATATTGATTGTTGGGTATGGTGGCAAATTATTTACTGAATTGTAGCTTGATACTCCTAAATTTGTTGGATTGTATATCACATTTTGAGTTGGTTGATTCATATTGACATTAAATCCGACACCGAGAGGATCTAACTGTATTTGCTTTAAAAAGGCTGGAAATGGTGATCCATTCAGAAATTCTAATGTTTTCTCGCTAAATTTATTTCCATTATAACTGTACTTATTAAATCTACTGGCATGAAAATCATTCCGTAATCCTTCCAGATAATCTTTAAATGTTTCTTCATCTATTTCAGTTACACCCATATTTATCACTTTATTCGGTAAACCTTTAAAAGAAGTACCAGCTGGTATTATTGAAGTTAGCCCCTGACTACTGAACTCAAACTCTCTATTGAACACGATTATTGTAGTATGCGGTATACCATTTGAAGACAAATCTTCAATATATTTAGAGTTTACCTCATAAATTCCTAATTCTACCTTGCTCGGCATTTTAATGGAACAACTCTCAATCGATAAATTGATAGGAGACCTTGATGATGATTATTTGGACCAGTTTTAAGATCAATTTTTCAGCCTTAACGTTGACGCACCATACACAACATTGTAGAAATAAATAAAACATTTCAGAGTAATAAAGACCCTATGCAGTATTTGTTACCTATTCTATGACGTCGGATTCGTAGTGCTTGCAATTTTGTACGCAAATGAAAACTGAATAGTTACAACAAGATTATTTATAAGCTTTGATATTATACTTAGATTTTGATTCTAATTTCAATCGCCACATTCTTACAGCCTTCTGACCATAACCCAGAATCGGAAGATTGAATGCAATAACTATAAGAAAGAATAAAGAGAGGACTAATAATATATAAGTGTTAAAGTTAATACGAATATCATGTTCATCAATGGAATATTCTGGGATCGCATCAGTGTCGTAATGAGTGAAATCCCCACTATCCTGTTAGAGGGCGCGTTGTACATTCCAGTATGAAGAAAGTGATGTGACCACCCATGTAACGATTGTTTACTTAAGGAGAAGTTGATTCACTTAATGTAAGACTTTATTAAAGAAGTACGTCTGAGCTTGATACAAAAAAGTTGTTACGAGCAGTTCATCTGATGGCCGTTAAAGTTGACATCTCAATCCTTGATGTGGTACAGAACCATATGGGAACGTTATATGATGTCTTGGAACAATACGACATGTATTAAATGTAATACATATGGTGAGATTTGTATAAATTAGATGAAATGAGTGATGCTGATTTAAACTGGTGATTTTTAGATACACAAGTTCAATCAGTCCACTTAAAATTATTGGCAACGTAGAATTCAGCAAAATTTTAAGATCCGCACAAATATGTAAGTGTGTTCATCAATAACATGTACACATGCATCTACCCTTTCGTAATTAGGACGAATTACATACAACATGCAATGCAAGTATGCAGACTAGTATTGATTTGTATGAAGAGTATTTGCTAGACAGTTCGAATCACTCTATCACTAAGTCACTGGTCCAGTTTAACGATATTATCAACAATATCATATACACTAACCCTCTGCTAATAGTCTGTCTACAAGTATCACATAATAGCCGATAACAATGTCTACAAATCAAACCTCACAGGAACATATTGCTTTTTACAACTTGAAAAGACTTCCTGCTCAACTTTCACAAGCTTTTTCTTTTTTTTAAAAAAAAAATCCAATTGATAACTTTAGTCCCTGGAACTTTGTTTAAGCTTAAGCTATTAGTATTAAATATCCCTACAGGTTTTCTAGTAAGTTGACATCTGTTCAAATTTTGCGTGTGGGTGATATGATTAGGGATGACGTCAAATTGGTACTTGAGATATACCATTCAAATCAGCTTTATTGAGCACGGTTTCTGGTTGCACTGGAGATGTAGCGTATACA